AACAAAAATCATATGCCTTTTGAGGTAATTACCCAATACCCTAAAGATTGGCTACTGATGCTAATGTTAAAGAGGAATTATATTTGTAAATATTGATTGTTTCATTCTATTTTAATTTATAAAATTAACCAAGAGTAAATTAAATAGTTTATTAAAGTGTTGGTTTAATTTACACTTTGTCTTCTATATCATAGAAATAATCTAAGCCTACTTCCACCTTATTGATTTCAATAATTTAATTACTTTATATATCTATCAATTCTTATAATTCAGAAAAGATTTATTTTTCATAAAATTATTTTAAAATATCTATATTATTTAATTGTAATAAATCTGATAATTCCAAACGATATAAACTATGAGTAATTTGAGTATAGGACTTTTAGGTAGATATCATTAATTCAAGTAAATTATAACATCCACTTAGATCATATTGTGTTTATACAGCAACAGAAATAAGAATGATATAACTTATTATTAAAATAAATGTTGTAATCAACAAATATTTTTGAATTTTATATGAATTAGGATTTCTCATATCAGAAGTTTTTTATTAAACTATCTTATATTGAGAATCAAAAAGTTTTAAACTGTCAGAATATTTAACTTAAAATTCTTCAAAGTTTTATTATTAGGATCCTTTGCTCTCTAAAGGTATTTTAGATTCATTATCATTATAAAAATCTTGCTGCTTCTTTTTCTGATTTATTCTATTCAGGGCTTTGAATGCAATTTCTTTCTCAGGAAACTTTAAATTTGAATAGGATCCTTTAAATTAGATTTCTTCTCTACTATGTTCTGAAATAACAGAAATTTAGCTCTTCTTTTTTTAGCTTCCTTAAGTTTTTTTATCTTTCTCTAATAAAGGTTTACTCCATCTTGATCTATCACTTAATAACAAACCTTCTGACTTACCATCTTATCTTGGACTATATATTTAATCAGTTTGTAAAATCTAATTATTTTCTACAAAATAAATATCTTCATAATAATGTGATGGATGAGATGGGAAATTATAATTGATTATATCTCCTTCATGTATACTTTTTTATTCACTTATATTACCTTATATACTCATGGAATCTTCTCCCTCTGTTCTTTATTCTAATAATATCTTTTTAGATTAATAATTTTGATATGTTTATTTGATAGTCTCTCTTAATTATCTTTTATATCCTTTTTCTGTGTTTAGTAATTATTAATCATTTACAATTAATTCAATTACAAACATTTATTACTTATAATCAATATCATTTTTCTTATAACAATATTCTTCATAAAATATAGAATAAACAACAGGAATAGGATTGAAATCTTATGGTGTAAATTTCTCAATATATTTTGAATATCTATCTTAATAAATTTTTTCAGCCCTTGTTTTTAATTATTCACTATCTTCCTCACTACTAATTGTTTATTTATCAGGTATAGATGATTTTGATGAAGGTCTCCCTTAACTCTTTTACATTTCTGATTATCTAGTCTATCCAAATAATAATGCTTGATGTCTTTTTAAATGTTCATCATAAAAGAATACACATAATTTTTCATCAAAAATTGTGATTGCTTATACAATACTTTATTGATCACTATCTTAATAATCACTTCTTAATCCTCCTCTATATGCACTTCCAGATGAAAAATTATTTGATTATACTCTTTAATCATCTACAATCTTTGTAATCACTTTATCATATTATTAAACAAACAAATTTAAATCTTCAGGAACAAATAAATAAGTTTCTTTATTTTAAACAACTTAATTTCCATTTTCTAAATCAATTAAATTAGCATATCTATTTTTTGGAGGAATTTATCCATTCATTAAAAATTCTATTCCTGTAGATTCTATTTCTCTTGAAATAAATGGTAACATCATCCATATCAATACTTTATTATAAAAGTCATCAATCTACAATATTGTATTCGACCATTTTTAATCAAACACATCATAACTGATTATATATAATCTAAATACCTTTCAGATTCGATTGATGAATTTTCTGATTTTGATTTCTCTCCACTTTAACAGAAAATATCTTCATTTTCATGATAAGTTCCTCCTTTATTATTTGTTACCAATCTCTACAATCTTTCAATCATTTTATATAATCCTTTAGTAATACCCATTATATTTCCATTTACATCAAATAAAATGTGTTAAGCTCCTTTAAATGCTATATTTTTTAATTTCTTGCCTTCATCACCTAAAAACTTTGGTTATTCTTCTTCTAATGATTTTAAACATCCAATCATTGTAAAATCATCTTCTAATTCTTAACTAAAATTATGAGCCAAATAAACTTAACATCTTATCAATGTTTTATCATATAATTTTGCAAATGTTTAAAAATACTTGCCTATTCTTGCTGTAACACCTCTACGTATATAATTTTACATTATTTCATCATGAATAGGTTCTAACCAATTTGGCATTAAAGTATTTATATTGCCTTTTGTGAAATCTATGAATGAATTCATTGGATTAGGAAATTTTCCAAATCCAAAAAATTTTGGAATCAAAGGAGATATTACCTTATTTAACACTTTTCCTATATTAGGACCAAAGGCTATACATACTTTTACTGATATTGCTTCTCCTTTAAAAAAGTTTATATTAGTAATTTCAAATGAATTCATACTTTTCTCAAATTATAAAATTTCTCTCCTTTCTAAATTTATATTAACATTATTTACCTTTCTCCATTTCAAAATACTTTCTTACATTATTAAACAATAATAAATTAATTAAAGCATTAACTTTTAAAAATTAGACATTAAATGTTCTACCATTATGATAAAATATTTAATAATAAATGTTAAATTAATACATAACATCATTTCTTAATTTTTATAGTTTTTTAATTTATTCTTCAATTTAAATATAATCTGAAAATTTACCCTCTTTAAATGATTTCCAAAATTAAGATTTAAATTAACTAATCTCTGTTAATAATGGTATCATATATTATTTAACCTATTCCATTTAATAAAGATTTTAAACTATACTTCTTTCACTTTTACTCACCTATAACTTAACATTTGAAACTCTACTCTCTTTATTAATATTGTAGTCTTCATCTTTTTACATTTAAGCTTAGAGTATAAATTGTAATAATAAACACATTTATATGAAATAAAAAGAATAATCTCGTTTTTTTTAAAAAAATATTTTTAATTCTTGATAAGTTTTAGGTGCGTTATGTTTGTATTTATTAATAAATGTTAAGAATTTAAGACTGAATATTTCAAAAACTCTTAAATCTTGATAATTCTATTTGTGTTTCTCAAAACTGCCTTTAAATAAACAAGATATTAAAAGAACAGTTTAATCAAATAATAATATTTTAGATGATCCTATTCTTTTGCATTAACATTTAGATGAATTACATCTATTCATATGAAGACTGAATTTCTAAATTAATTCAATCTCTTTTGTTTTATTTTTCTATGCCAATTAACTCAGCTCAAAGAAATCTTCAATATATAACAACTCATAATATTGATTATTTGTCTTATTTATAGAAATGTAAGCATTAGCTCTTTTACTATCAAAAAGAATTTAAAACAAATATTATACAACTGGCTGCATAATTAACATGATAGTTGCCAAGCTGTAAGGACTGGCTTAACTTTAAGCCTTGATTGAAGAAAATAGAAATACTACAGAATGAGTCATCAGAGCTCTATTAAATATATAACCTTATTAAGAAAATCTAAAATTATAAGATTAATAACTTACCCAAAAGGTAATTAAAAATATGCTTCATAAATTTACATTAATAATATTAATCCATGTAAAGCCCTACTTACTATCTATGTTATTTCATCATTTTTCAAATATAAAATAGCCATAGGAATTACTAATGTCTATGCAATTATATTATTATATGAAAAATGTTTCCTTAAATGTTGTTCATTGAATTCAAAATTAACAAAATAAACATTCGAAATAGTCAGACTCAATATTGTAATAAGTAGAACAATTGTAGCCATAATTACAAGACTCATATCTGTTTAGATAAAATTCCATCCAATATAATATAATTGAGGCAAATACAGAAACCAAGTGAAATATAAAAAATAAAAGTTTATTATCATAGTTGAGATCTGAAATTATTATAATATTAATACTTGTAATATGCTTTTAGATATATTACCTACTTTCTTATTCACATTCTTAATTCTTCTATAAATTACAATAATGTATGGAATAACATTTATTAAAATGATAATTACTCCAATCAGTATGTTTATTTCATATGTCTCTATAAATAAAGGAGTTATCAAACTAATTCTTGATAAAGTATTAATTAAACGATAAATGTATTCATGATTTTCGCTTATTAAGAAATATGTTAACTACAAATAGTAGACTGTTATCTAAAAAGTTGTGAAATAAGAATTATTTAAAGATGGTGATAGGTTAGTTTAAATGATCAAACTTATGAATTCCCCTAAAAAATTCCATTTCATATTTTAAATCAATTTTTTTATTACAGAAATTATCAAAATTAAGATAAATATATTTTATTCTAATATTCTAAATCATTTAAATCAATTATTAAATACAATAAAAATTATAAAAAAACTCCTTCAGGTCATCTATATTTACCTAAACTTAAAATTCTACATAAATCTTTAATATATATATTCTTAAAATTATATATAAATTTCACTATTTTAAGAAATATTCTTATATAATTTATGAGTTTCTTGTATATATTTATATCAAATATATTTCTAATTTTTGATATCTAAACCTTAAATTATCATAAATAAAGCAAATTTATAGGTCAAATTAGTTTGAATTTCATTTTTTTAATTTATTCTATTATAAACATTAAATAAAGGACAGAATTATGATTAACCTATTTGTTTTTAACTTAAAATTTAAATCGATATTCTATAAATTTCTATAAATTTATCTATATATGATGTGTAGAAATTTTCTAATTTATAGAGCATTATTTACTTAAATTGGAAATCTAACCATAAATTAATGAAGAATTTATTTATAATTGGATGCCTATTGTAGCTCATCAATTCAGTTTCAATAGGAGTTGAAGGTGGCTCAGTCAAATGTTTCTTTTTTGATGGATTTGATGGATAAATAGTGAAAGTGCCTTATGTTGTAACAGGAATAAATGAAGAAAATGTTTTTGTGGAAGTATATATAAATATGTATTAGTTATTTGAAACAATATTAGAAAACAATATTGAATATAACAAAACCTTAGAATCTTAAGAAGGGAAAAGAGAAGGATAATTAAAACATATTGTTTAAGGAAAAAAAGAAATTTATTTATGCTTTTAATCTAATGATAGTTACTATAAAATATTTAGCTTTGATATAGATATTAGTGGAGTAGATAAGAACTTTGCTGATAAAAGTATTATAAATATTTGAATATAGATTAATTGGATGAGACTGAGGGATCATTAAAATAAGTATTATCGAAGATGCATAAAGTTTATAGAAATCAACACTTTTAAATTGATAGAGAGAATTATCATGAGAAATGTATATAATTCATTAAAAATATATTAGTGATGGAAAGTACTGAAAATTAAGTAAAATGGTGTGCTTTATGTAAAATAGTAGTATTAATGAGCGTGTGTTTAATATAAATATATATGCTAACTAATTTCTTTAAGGATAAGAGCTTTGGTCCCAGTGTTTGAGTATAACATATAACAAAAATGCTTATAGATATATAAATTACATATAATATAATACTATTATCATGTAAAGCTATCAATAAATACATTACAATGATTAAATTTTCTTAATATAATTAATTTATATTATAAATAATCCTATAGGCATATAAAGCAATATGCGATTAGAATAAATTAATATAAAAATTGAAGAAATATGAAACACTGTAAAAAATTTTATAAAATTTAACAGCTATTATAAAAATTAATCCTTTTTTTATTTAATCATAATAAAGAGAGTTTGGTTTAATTAGATTTATGCAAGTTTAAATAAAATATTTTTATTCAATTATTAATTACTTGGATAGTATTCAGAATTTATAAATGATAAATAAATTTTTATTTATGATAAAATCTTCAGATCATCTCTATTATTTAACTTAAATTCTCTATAGTCATTAATCATAACTTAACCTTCTATAATTAATAAACTAATTTAAGCTTTTCAATTTTCGTTAGATACAATTATTATTGTAAAAACTTATAATACAAAATTTAATTGTATACTCCTGATGGATTTTATGTCTTAGATTTATTGGTAAGAAAAAATACTATATGGTAAGAAAAAAAATTATAATTATTTTTATATTTAAATGTATATATATTGTCGTATTAATTTAAATTTGAAGTTGAATAAATATGAGCAAAAGTAAAATTAATATGTAAATAAGAAAAGAGAGTTTCTTGGTTTTTTGAAAGTCAACAAGAGTCATTAGATGCATAAAATAAATCTTCTTTAAAAATAAATACAGTTGAAGAACATAAGTAAGATTAAAGAATGCCATCTTAACAAATCGCTCAGCCAATGTAGGTAGTCCCTTAAATTCCACAAACAATGCCATATTCTTAAATTGATTTGGAAAGTAATAGAACTAGAAAAGTTTCATTTATTCCATTTATAGGCAGAGTTGCTGAATCAACTCCGCCAAAATTAAGTACAATTTTTGAAGTTCAGCCAAGTTCAAAAAAGCAAGAACCACAATAAAATAAGATTCCTGTTGCTTAGAAAATTTAATTACAACAGTCCATACAAAAATAACCAACTATTTAAACTTAACTCATTTAAACACCATAATAATAACCTTTTCGAACACCTAAGGCAATTCAAATGGAAGAAAACAGTGTAAAATAATCCTATAGGAAAAATGTGAAACCAATTGAAATAGATATTGTGAAGGATCTTAAATAGTTAAATTCATTGGGTGAAGTGAATGATGCAACATTGAAAAGAGTGATCACAAAAGAAGAATAAGAAATTTTACTTATCTAAGATCTATTGTCTTAAAAGATAAGTAAGTTACAATAAAAGTTAATCTAATTAAATGAAATTGAATAAAGACAACTTGACTCAAAGATGAATAATAATAGTAAACTGAATTAAATGCAAGATAAGAAAAATTCAGTTGAAAATTAATTATATGAACCAAAATAATAGGAATAAAAGGGATCTTCATTAGAAATTAGGGCTACATTGATATAATGTCTTGGATATAAAGTAACTCATATCAATTATGATAAAAAACAATATTAAATAATATTTACCTATTAATAAGCAAATGTTCAATATTCATTTTAAAATTAGAAATAGATTGACGGTAATCTAGAAATTTAGGATATATTTAATGAATTCTATAGAGAATTACAAGAGAATAGATTAGTATTATCTGGCTTGAAAATTGATTATAAATAAAAAACAGAAATAAACAAAGGAGAAATACTACAATTATCATTGAAGCATTAATTTTCAAATTCAAACAAGATGGCTAATGAGATAATATTTTCAGCAATTCATTAGATGCCTATATTGTTATTTAAAGTAGATGAATTAGAATAATAATTGCTTTTTAGTAATAAGATTTGGGGAACTTTATGGAAAGTTGATTCAGAAAAAGGTTCTATTTAAATTTTATTCAGCCATAGATGCAGAATAGATAATAAAAATTTGTTATCTAATACAAAAAAGAAAGTAATAAGATTTGAAATAAATTTAAGAACTTTCGAAATTCAATATTAATTTTATAAATATTTTGATGAAGTAATATCACCATTCAATGAAAAAGTATCAATGAGAAAAAAAAGTACTGAAGAAATCTCCTTTGGTGAAAGAATAGAGAGTATGGTGAGTGACGAATTTACAGAGGTAATTTAAGATTATTTATCACGAAAACCTAATTTATAATAACTTGTAGATTGGTTGAATATTATATAACTCATATGAAATTACAAGTGTTTTCATTAAATAAAAAATTATTATTAATGCTCAACGCATCTGAATAGGCAGCAACTTCCAATTTAAATGATAAATTGGAGGATCTTAAAAAAATAATGAAGCAATACTCAAAGTATACATCTGATTCATAAAATGAATTTGAGACACATTTTAAGAAATATGGTCCATTTAATAAATAATACTCTTAATAGATTTCATTATCAGTAAATGATCCAATTAGTTTAGGTATTTTAGTATATATATTTAAAGGACATAATTTGATGGAATTCATTCAGCTTTTTGAATTGATCTCAAAAACTACTCTTTCATAATTTTCAGAATTTTAGTAATTCTTTTCTCAAAGTATTGAATAATACAATGAGAAAATGAATATTTTCACAAAAATAATAACAGATGGTAATTTTTAACAATCTTAATAACTTGCATAACATAGATAAAATTGTAAAAAAACTAAAGATAAATATGATAAACTTTGTAAAGAAATAGAAATGACTTTAAGTTCAAGTAAGAAGAATTCAGAGGATGCTTTCACTGGATATGATCTCAATCTATCCCAAAAGAATGATTAAAAATTAAAGGAATTAGTTAAACAAGTTGAACCTGCAGAATAGCAATACAAAGATGCTTTTGATAGTTTAACTATCAAAACCAAAGAATTCAATTAAGCTATTGATGATTCACGATAGTAATTGATTCAAGCTCATTAATTAACATATTAAAGGTTTGTAGAAATCACAATGAAACTTGATTAACACAAATTATCAGCAAATTGTTGGATCAAAGGTTAGATGGATGAAAAACAAGAAAAAATAATAACCATGCCAAAATATGAATAAGAGATGGAAGATCGAATAATAACATCAAAATATGAGTAAGATAATTAGTTTAGATATATTAACATTATGAATAAAGTTATAGAAAAAAAACCTATAACAGATTAAGAATATTTGATATTTCCAGATGTTTTACATAAGCATATTGATGCTTAATTATCTTTTATAAATGATAGAGTTAAAAATTAAAAGACTCTACCAAATTATCTATTAGAAATGTCAAATCAAATGGATGCAGTTTCAAAAAACTTATAAAAATCAATAAAAACAACATTATAATTCATTCAAGTAATCAATGTTATCATTCATCTAGGATAAATCAGACAAAGATAAATCAAATTTTATAAAGCCAATACTTTAGGTCTAAGAACTATTAGTTAAGTAAAATGATTAATATTCCAAAAAGTATAACTAATAATCACAATTTATTTAACTAAAAGCTTAATGTCTAGATTAATTAATAAAGGAATAAAAAAATTAAGAAAAAAGCTTTCTAAATATGTATTAGAAGATGTTAAAAGATTTTTAAGGTCTCAAATAATAAATTTTAGAAAACGAATAAAAACCATAGATTAAAGAAAATTTACTTTAATTATTAAAGAAATAAATATAAGATAATTGTATAGCTATAAAATACTCAGTTGAATAGGTAAGAACAAATGAATTTCAAAGATCAAATCAAATAATTTAAACTTTAGAATAAATATTAGGTCATTATAGTTCATTCATTGATGAAATAATAACTTACACTAAATAATAGGAAGAAAATCTAAGTTAAATTTAGGAAAAGATTGTATAAATTGAATATGGAACAATGATTAACACTAAACTTGATTAGCCAGAAATGAAATTTTAAAAACTCTTTGAGATGACAGATGAAATCAGATCTAAAATTGAAACAGCTACATTGCTCCAACAATAAGAAGATAGTGAAAGTGATGATATAAATTTGGAAGAAGGTTCAGTTAAAGTGTCTTAAAAATTGATTGAAAAATTTAGAATTTTAGATGGGGATAAATGCATAGCCAGTTATGCATGTGCATTTGATAATAAAATTCTATTGTAAGGAAGAATGTATATTTTTTCATCAAAAGTTTGTTTTCATTCATATTTTAATGGCAAAGTATATAATTTAATATAATAAGACTCTTTTTGGAACTACTGCTTTAGGCATTCCATCAATTGACATATAAAGTATCAGAAGAATTAAAGCATATATGGTAGATGCAGCACTTGAGTTTAAAACATTAAAAGGAACTTTAGTTTTTGCAAGCTTAGCAAATCGAGATTAAACTTTGGGTAGCTTGAAATAAGTAAAAGGTTTAGAATAAGGAATAATTGAAGAAAGAATTGAAAGTGATCCAGAAAGAAATATCTAACAAGTTTATGTGGAAACATAATAATTAGTAAAACCTTAAGAAAAACAATAAGGAATTAGAAGTCCTTCTCCTAAACCTTAAAATATTTAAGCAGAAACTATAAATTTAAAAAATATTGAATCATCTAACGATAAATTACAATAAATTGATTAAAGCCCCAAAATTCTTAATTTCTAATAATAACAATAATAATAATAGTAATAATAATAACAATAATAACAATAATAACAATAATAATAACAATAATAACAATAATAATAATAATAATAATAATAATAATAATAATAATAACAATAATAATAATAGTAATAATAATAACAATAATAACAATAATAACAATAATAATAACAATAATAACAATAATAACAATAATAATAACAATAATAACAATAATAATAATAATAATAATAATAATAATAATAATAATAATAATAATAACAATAATAACAATAATAATAATAATAATAATAATAATAATAATAATAATAATAATAATAATAATAACAATAATAATAAATTGCTGAAAAAACTCAATAGGTTCAGGAGATAAGATCTTCTCCTGAATCAAATTCTAAGTAAAAATAAAATTATGCTATCAATTAACAAGGAAAAACTGAAAATTTATAATAGTAAACTCCAAAAATTAATACAGACTGTTAAGATTAATCTAATCCTGCTATACCAAATGTTTCTTAATTTGAAGTTGAGTAAACAAATAATTAATCTAATAGTCTATATAATGAAATAATGGTTTAAAATAAATCAAATAGATTCATGAATTAACCTAACATTTAAAAATTTAAAACTTAATTAAAGGTGACAGTGAAAGAATTTATTGATTTCTTTTTATTTGATACTCCTTATGAAAATTGTCTATCATTTCCTCACTACTATTAAGTTGTATTGTGTTAGGATAAAGAAATTAGCTTTTAAAAGTATCAACCTTAACCTTAAATTGGACAGATTTCAAAAAGACCAATAAACTTTATTCATCCAGTTAAAGAAAAATAAATGTTTGCTCCTGATGTAGTTCATTGTTTTGCAGAGGATGTTTTGTATTATTTTAATCAAGATGAAATTTTGATAGAAAAAGAAGTAAAATTTGCTAAAATACCTTATGCTGACAGTTTTTGTTGCAGAGTTTTTTGGCATATTTATTAAATAGAAGATGGTTGCCAAGTAAATTATGGATTTTATATTCATTTTTTTAAATCAACTGTTTTTAAAAGTAAAATTGAAAGTAGTAGTAAAAAAGAAAACACGGAGGTTTGGGAAAAGTGTTTGAAATAAGTATACGAGGAAGGGCAAAATAAAATATTATCTAAAAGAGTTTAAAATGAGAGATAGCAACCAAAAGCTGAAATTGAAGTTACGTAATAAATAGAAACTTAAGTTGAAAAAGTTAACTAAATTAAGGAAAAAGAAGAGACCAAACAGGTAATTCTTGAGTAAGAATAATAAGAATCTTAAATCTTACTTGAGAACAATGAAAATCAATAATAAAAATAATAATTGTTAATTGAAAATAAAGTTAAAGAAATCTTTGTAGAGAAATAGGAATAATCATCTGATTAAAAAGATTTGAATTTAAAACTAGATAAGCTAACTTAATTAGCTTATGCAATAATAGGTCTTTTAATTATTGATATTTTGTTCACAATTGGAAAATGAGTTTATGAATAACAAATATTATTATTATTTAATTAATAATTTTTTACAATTCAAGATGTCATACAAACCCAGACCAGAAAATAAGTTAAAACAAGATTAATTCACAAAAGAAATTAAACCAAATAATTTACCAAATAATATCCTAAATATTAGCAACAGTTAAGAAATTTATTTCAATACTAAAGGTTATTATTAGGATTTATAATTGAGGATATAGGGTTAAAAAATTCAGGTATTTCATTTTAATCATTTAGTTGGATGGCATTTTAGAGAAAAGCTTAAAAATTTTAGATGAGGAATAGCAAAAATAATAATATGAAGGAATAATTTGAATTTATATATATATATAATTATAAATTATTTAGTATTCGTTAATATTAATTTTATTTTAAAAATTAAATTAAATGTTCAAAATTTTAGATAAATATAATTTCTTATTTAAAATCATAAAGAAAAAATACTTATTGTTCTAATGATCATTATATCTATTTTGATTTTAAATTTATTGTATCAGATATCTTTTTTAATATTTATTTAAATCCTTAGCTTATGAATTTAATAAGAATATCCAAAAATTGAACAGATTTGCTTTATCATAATAATAGAATCAGATAAATATTTTTGAAAAAATTATATTTGAATCAAATTAAAAATATATTTTTAAATAAAAATCAACTTAAAATAGAAAGTAGCTTCATATCATTTAGATGAATATAAGAAAATTAAGTAGCATTAAGAATTAAAATTATAGGGAAATAAATTGTATTAAAAATATTTAGATCAAGCATTAAAAATAGAACAATATCAAATTTATTTGATTACTCTATTATATTCTTATGAAATTTCGCGTAGTTTTTTTTGAAAAAAAAATTCAACTTATATGTTATTAGATTTGATATGATGAGATACATTAGGTGTGAATATTTTATGCCAACAACGATCCTTAATATTTATACCAAACGATGGACCCATTCATTTGAGGAAAATGAAACTTTGTATAAAGGATCAAAGTATAAAAAACCATTTAGTTTTAAAGAAGATAATCTTCTAACAAAAGGTTTAAGATTTTTTTAGATATTAAAACTACATTTTTCTAAATTTACCAAATAGACATCATAAGTAATGTGTTCAAAAATTGAAGCGACGGTATAGGAGGATTATTCTATTTAAGTTAAAATTAGAGTTTGACCATTACATTTTTGAAACTAGAGGGAGATTCTTTTTTAATATAGCCTGTTTCAACTAGAGAAAAGCATCTATATAATCAGAATGAAATGAAAGAACAATATTTATCCAATAATATCACTATTACTACTTTTATTCTAAATAACAAGAAATTTCAAGAATGGAGTTTTTGAGTTATGAAATTACATTATTTATTTAAGGGTCAATATTTTTATTTTTTATCAAATAAAACTAAAAAAAAAATAATCAGACTAATTATTTTATCATTGCTATTTATTCTAAAAAAACAAAATCAAAAAGTAATGTTTTATTTTTGATTAAATTTGTTTAATTAATAATCTAAATACTAATAGAAAATGTCCTTTACTTTATTTCAGACTAACCTATGTTTAATTTATTTTTTTAATGCAATTTTTTATTTGCTAAAGAAAGAAAAACTATTCAAAATAATTTATACTGTATTATTTTATTTTATACAGTTAATTTGTTAGACTAAATGTCATGAGCATATTTATTTATTTTTTAAAGGAAAGGACTTGAAAAAATTTTCTAGTAATTAAACTAGAATTAAATCTAAAAGACTTAGATTTAATAAAAAAAGTTAGATGATAAATCTTAAAACTAAATTTACTTTAATCTCTTTAACAATTTTAGAAATAGAAAATTTGTAAGAGTGATAGGAATAATATCAAATATTATTCACCAATCTACCATTTTCAAATATACACTCTCTTTTAATACTATCCTCGATTATATAGCCTTTACCATGTTATTTTCCTTGATTCCATCCTCCAATATACACTTTTCCATTTTCCCATGTGAATTATCCTTATCCGTGCTTTTTATCATTTTCATATTCTCCTACATAATGCTTTCCGTCAGGCCAAAACATTTCTCCTTTCCCTATTAACTAATTAATAAATAAAAATATACCATTCATTTGATTATCCTTCCATTAGCCTTTATAATATTTTCCTTCTTACCAATAAAATTCTCCATTACCACTAGCCTAATTATTATTGAATTCTCCATCATATCTACTGCCATCTTCAAAAATAATCTTCCCTCTTCCATGTTTTTTTCCTTTTACATATTAACCCTATATATCTAATAATACTTAATTAAAAAACTTCATATTTTATTTATTAGGGCCATTCTTCTATTCCATCCCCATGTTAGAGGTCATCTTTCCATTATCCTGTATAGGTACTTTGATTATTCTGTTTGAAAATTCCGAAACCATTTGCTAAATCATTAGCCCACTCCCCTTCATAAATATCTCCATTTGGATGGATTATTTAACCTTTTCCATGCAATTAATCATTCTAAAACTAACCTGTATAAACTGTATTATCACTCCAAGTCTAAAGTTTAAATTTTCTGATACATAAATTCCTTATCCATGTCTCATTCCATTTAACCATTCTCCTTCATAATATCCCATATTCTTCATTTACATTTTATGGAATTTTGATAGGACAGATGCATTTTTTACTAACTCTTAATCATCTGGATTCAAGGGAATGGAATCTTAAATAAATTTTCTTTACTCACCAGAGTTACTAACAATAGTTTGCTTAGATGGGACCTTTTGAGCTGGTTTCAGTTAAATTTCTGGTTCCCCTTGAGAATTTTGATTGCAATTTTTGCATGCTGACCCCATCTTTATCTTATTATAATTATTTTTGAATATTCATTATAAGTTTTTCAGTAATTATTATTACCTAACAATTTTATATTAACAATTAAATTTATGAATTATAAAATTCATCATTCTTTTTCTTAACCTTTAAAGTCTTTCACTTTTTTAGCAAAAGCTTCTGATAACAAAGAAAGTAAACTTATTTCATAATCAATTTGTGTAACTTTTTTATTTTAAGTCTATTTTTTTAACTCTTCATTCTATTTCTTTAATTATTAGTTGTGTTCTTAAAATTATTTAATTTTATCTGTTAACAATGAAATTTATTAAGACTATTAAAGTTATGATTCAAATTTGCTTTTTTAATTCTTACTTTCTTCTTCCATTTGCATTTCATTGATTTTAGCTTGTAATTCTTTTATTTTTTCTTCCAATTTATGATTTTCTTTAATGTAGTATTCTCTTTCAAAATTTTCGTTTTTCTAATTCATAGATAACTTCATTTCTTAAGACAATTATTAATTATTGCTACTAGTTATTTTGGGCATATCCTCTTCAGCTTAGTGCAAAGTTTCAAGCAAATCTTAAAGCTCCCTAATTTTTTATCCATATTCAGTTTCCATAGTTTTTATCTACTCTTAAGTTCTTTCAAATCTAGCTTACTTTTATTGTAATTCTAATTCTAAATTTAATTTTGATTCTTTCAACCCAGATTATTATAATAATAACTCCTTAATATTTTATTTTAATGTAGCTATTTCTTTTTCATATCTTTCTTTTCCTTTTTAGTATACATCTTTGTCTAATTCTCTTCTTTCTTGTAGCTAATTAATATTTTCTAATTTTTTACGCTTTCTATTTTTTATTCTAATTTTTCATTCTCTTGTAATTTATATTTATTTTGTTAATAATCTTCCTTTAGTTATACATATTAGATTTCTTTTCTTTTTAAATCTTCAATTATTAATTCATATTGTGCCAATTTATGTTCCTACTCCAAACACTTTTAATGAATTTTCTCACTTTCCTTATATTCAAGTTAAAAGTCCATCTTTTCCTCCAAACCTTAAATTATTTATAAAATTGGTTACATTTTTCTAAATGACATTTAGATTCTGTGAGTGCCCTGATTTCCATATCTTTATTTTCTAATTAGATTAAGGCATCATCTAAGGCACTTTTTAATGCTTTTTATTTCTCTTCAGATTCATTTAGTATTTATTTTAATTCTGTATTTTAAGATTCAATTTCATCCATCTTTTATACCAGACTTTGAATATAGTTTTCCTCTTACCATTCATTTGTTTAATTATCAGACTTTTTTATATATAATTTATCATACTTCATCGAGATGATTTTTAAGGAAATGCATTAAAGTTTCCTAAACTTTCTCCTCTAACATCAAAATAGGCTCAATAAATTTTCCTCTTATATTTGAAGAAAGAATAACTTTCATAATCAATTCAAATAATGCCAAAATTTGTTGCTTATTTTATTTTACTGTAATCTCAAAAACATCTATTTCAATATAATCAGGAGGCTTGCATTGAATATTCGTCCGATATTATTAAACTTTTTAAAGCATATCAAACAAATGACCTTAAACCTTCTAAACATCAGTATCAATCTTTAAGTTTTTAGCACTCGCCAAAGAAAAGAATGTAGGATCAACTAAATTCAACAATTAACTAAATGCGCATCCTTTAATTAAAAAAATGCATCTTTACCATCAGCCAAGCTCTCAAATGACTAAATATTCAATTATTAATATTTATTAAGCCATTGAACAATAGCATTCTCTAAACTCATCTTTTAATTATAGGTTATTTTATATTATTCTTCAAAAATTCATAAAATATTATTTCTAATAAATTTTACAAAAACTGCTTTGTGTTATTTATGAATTATAATGGCTCATATGGACATAATAATATTATAAAATAAAGATTCCAATATTAGATTAAATTCTAAAAGGTTTATAAATTAGACTTGATATTGATAAGCTATTTTCTTCAAACTGAAACTTATTAATAAGTTTTAATTTGAAGAAAAAATTAAAGAATTATTTAAACCTAATAATTAGTCTGCTAAATAACTATGTAAAGGATCAATACATATTTAATATGAAATAAATCAAAGAATTAATTTTTTCATAGATGTGAGAAATGATTTTTTTAGAAATTTTTTGTTTATTTACCAAACTAAAATTTAAAATTATAATAATTTAAGGATAAAGATATTCAATTTTTAAGTAGATATGATAATAATTTATATTTATGTTAATAATTTTTTTTTTTATTATTTTGCTTTTAAGTTATAAAATAGAATTGTATAATTTAATTAATGAGTATGCCATTGTAAAAATTTCCATCAATAGAAATTATTAAAGTAGCTGGATCAGGTACATTTGGTAAATATTGTAAATATTGGCAGGATATGTCTTTGAAGCATATGATCATAATACTAAACAGAAAGTTGCTCTCAAAAGAATTGAGAAAGTTGGAAATCTTTTAAGTAGAGAATATGAAATACTATTTGAAATTAAGGAATGTGATCACATCGTTAAAATCCTTGTAATATATGTTAGTATGAATAGGATTTCTTTTATTCCAGAACTGATGCGGGTAAATTAATTCAAAATATTGTGTTTGAATATATGGAGGATAATCTTGAAAATAGGATATAAACATATGTTAAATAAGGTAAATTTTTCTCCGAGTTGACAATAAAATCATATATCTATCAGATTTTAAAAGGATTATAGTTTATTCATAAAAAAGGAATAGCTCATAGAGATTTAAAACCGTAAAAATGATTGATAATTTTTTTTAGAGAAAATATTCTTATAAATGACAAAGAAGTAGTTAAATTGTGTGATTTTGGAAGTTCAAAAATGATAAATTCTCATGGTTAAAATACACCATATATAGTGTCTCGATATTATCGTGCTCCTGAATTAATTTTATGCGTAACAAAATATGATGTGTCTATTGATATTTGGGCTTTGGGTTGCATAATGGGGGAATTAGTTGTAAAGGAAGCTCTTTTTAAAGGAAAAAGTGAAGGAGATTAATTGTTCGCAATTTTCAAAGTGATGGGAAGTTTTAGTCAAAATGAAATGGATTATTTTTCAAACAAAGTGCCCTTTGACCACAAAATATTTTTCAAAGAATTATAGAAGTATAAAAAATAGAATTTGAAAGAGAAATTCAGTTAAGTAAAGGACTTGGACAATTTTTTAGATTTACTTAAGTATGTATATATAATTTATTAAGCTAAATGTTGTAATATAATCCAGAGAAAAGAATTAATGCAAGTGATGCATTGAAGCATCCTTTTTTTAAAGATGTATGGGATTAATGATTATATATTTACAATAAATATTTACTATATATATTTAATGTGAATCATTTGTCTTAGGCCTCTCTACTAGCAACGATTTTTTCTTCTCCCATGGCTGAAAGAACTGAAATCAACAAATCCCTAAGATATTTATGGATTTTAAATTACTTGCCAGCTTCAAATTATTCTCTGATTTCTTTAACCAAATTGAAGTCATCTTCAGTTTCTGGTAATTTGAGATCTTCTTTAGTTGATCCATCCTCATTCATAAGAATGACGAATCCATCAGCTTAGATATCCATCAAAGTATATTCCTTTTTAGTAACAAAAGGAACATCAATATTATGAGAAGTAGGAGCTGAATCTTCATAGGTTTTATTTGTAAAAATATCCTTTCCAACAATAGAAGCCTAATATAATTAAATTAACAAATTACTTTAGCATGACCATGCTTTCCTGCTTTTGATGTTGATACATCAGTTATCTTGCATGGATGTCCCTTAAGCATAACATAGCCTCCTTTCTTTAATGAGCCTGCACTTTCAGTATAGGTATGAGATGATCCTGCATTTCCTTACTCAAATTGATTCTCGTCGTCAGACATTTAATGATATTTAAATTTATTTTAAATTTGGGGATTTGTGAAATATTATAAATTGCATCTAATCAGAAAATAAATTCTTTATAATTATTTATAAATAGTAATTTTTTTACAAAATTTAACTATAAATATTCTCATTATTATTAACGCAAAACTATTCGAGTCATCATCAATTCTTTCCAACTATCAAATTCTAAATTCTCAATTATTTACATTTCACTATGATGTCTTTATTCCTTATAATAAGTGTATGGTTATTTCCAATCACAATTATTTGTCATTTATATATCTTATTAGGCTCTAAGTTAGCATAATATTTATACTAATATTCTGTTATTGCTATTTGATCTTATTGAATATAATTAGAACTCTTTTGATTTATTAAATCTATCCACTAATTACGTTTGTTGTGTTATAATAAAGATCGATAAGAAATTTATTGTGATTATTGATTTAATATAGATTACTATTACTTTGCCAACTCAGATTACTATTCAGTATTTCTAATAGTAAAATCAGCTGGTGTATGTAAAGATGTACTAGGAGTCTTTTTTATATACTTTTTCATTAATCTCTTAGGAGATTTATTAGTAAGACCATTTAATACATTCTTCAAAGAATCATTTTATGAAATCATCACTAAAGTACTTTCATAAGATGATTTTAATTTTAGATTGTTTATTAGATTTTTAACATCTTTCTTTTATTTTGGACAATAAAATTGCTTTTACTATGTATCATATCTATCATATATCTAATTTATTGTTTATTTATTGAATGAAGAGGTTCTCTTCTTCTCAGCTCCTTTATTCATTAAGTTAACAATATTATTTTTAATATTAATCTCACTTTACAATTAATAACGAAATTGATCAAGAATACTAACTATTTATTATACAAAATTATTAGTAGATACATATATTTATCATATTACGTTCCACGCATTCCTTCCTTACTTATTTAAAATGTGAGAAGAGGCTCCTGAAAACATGAGCATGTCAGCTATAATATAATGAGAATATGCTATTGCCAAATGCAAGGGGGTGTTTCCATCATCCTTTTTTAGTAAAAAAATACATTCTGTATGTTAATATCTGCTCCTCTCTTTATTAGCTCTTTCACAATTTCCTTATTTCCACTTTGTGTAGCTAAAGTTAAGAATGTATCATTATTTTAGAATCTATAATCAATATACATTTCTGGTAATGAAATAAAATTTTCCATAAACTATGTAAATTCTAAATATTTAATTTACCTCTTAAAAATTGTTATCCTCTATTGCAAATTTTACTTAGTATTTTTGATCATATTTCTATCTTTTAGTTTATTCCTCTGCATGACTCCTCATTCTCAATGCATGTTGTTGCATACTTTATATCTAAAAAGATGATTTATAAATAATAATATATATACTTTTTGTTCAAAGATCTTATTTATTAAATTTTCTGATTTAGTATGATGATGCTTGAGTTTTTTTACATTGGGTAATTCTTGAAACTATTATATTTTTGGCTAATGCTTTTAATTGTCAACATCTAAAATCTTTTAGGAACTAATTTCTAATCTACTATTAGATGATTTTATGGATGATGTTTCACTTAAATCTGCGTTTGATTTACTTTTTTATATTGTTTTTGATCCTGAAATATTAACTGATTATTAAGATTAGTTAGTTGGTTTAGTTAAATATTATGTAGTAGATTGAGTAATAATATTATTATTATTATTATTATTATTATTATTATTATTATTATTATTATTTTGAGTTTATTAATTAGTCAATTAATTAGAATATTACATTGTTAATTTTGAGTTGTTTTAATCTGGTGAATTGCTAGTTTATTTTGTTCTTAAATTTGGTTAAGCATTTATCGTTTATGTTTGATTTTTTTTAAATTATGTTTTATTATGAAGATTCTTCTTTATCTGCGCAATTTATCTAATTTATAAGTCTGTTTTTACAATTTATTAATTTGATTATGGTTATTACTTTAATTATTATTTTTAATATTGTTATTGTTATTGCATTTATGATTTTTAACTTTTTGATTAATATTCTATTTCTTTTAATTTTGGTATTTCCGGTAGATTTTATAAAGTCTCTATTAAATCTTAGTGTTCTATATCAATAATCTTTTTATAATCTTAATATCTTCCAACTAAGATTCCTTCATATCTAACTTCTAATTAGAATACTATTCTTAATTTTAAAATTTCCTAATCATTATATTATTCAAGTTAGTTAAATGCTCCACTATCATTATCAGAGTAGAGGGAATTTAACATCTCATTTATTGGTTTTGCTTTTTAAGGGAATGTTAATAATTAATTTTTAGTGTTTTGATCTAATGTGCTTAAAATGCATCTAAATTCAAGTGGTTACAAAAAATTATTTCTGGCTTTCTTAATTAAAGTCAACTAACCAGTTGAAAGGGCTGATAGATAATTTAATTATAAATAATTACATTTTAAATTCTTAAAATCATCCTCTATAAATATGGTCTCATCTTTTTCTTTATCTAAATTATTAATTGATTATTTTTTATTAGCCAATAAATTTCCACTTTCTTGTTATTATTATGATCCTGGCCTAAATTTATTTAAAATTAAACTTTAAATTGGTTCTTCTAAAAGTAAATCTAAAGATAGACTTTAATCTGATTCACTAGAAGAAAATGTTTAAGTTTGATCAAAGTTGATGTCTAAGCATAATTTTGGTTAGTAAATTATGTATTTTGGAATTTCTAGGTTTTATTACAATACTTATCCAATCTATTCTAATCCAGGTACTTCTGTAACTTAAAAATTTCTAAATATCTTTAGTAATAGAAATACATATTTGTTAATTTAATTAATTGCTACTAAGAAGTAAAGTAATCTTCTATTTCTTGTAGATTCATTCCAGTAAAAGTTGTTTTCCTGGGCAATTTATGCAATTTACTTTAATAGTAAAGTCTGACATATAAATTAGACTTGAATATAATAATATATCTATTTTACTTTTGAGAATTCTTAATTAAAATCTAGATTATGATTTTCTTCAATATTGGGAACGATTTATATATTCGAGGTTTCTACTTTAATTATTTATTGTGAGACTGAATGCCTTAAATTTATATGTTTTTAAGATTAATGAAGAGATCCAGAATGTGTTAATACTCTTCTACTAGGAGATTTAGCAAGTTTAGGAGGAGATAATGCTAATTGTATTTCTTCATTAACTTAATCTAATTGAATTAAAAATTTAGGTCTTTGAAAAATTTATATTTCATTTTCTAATTTATCATTAGTAATTGTAATTATAAATTAATCTTTATTTAAATTGATACCTTATGCAACATGTTCATTAGTTCCTTATTAACCAAATTAACTTTTTTTATATTTTGATAAAAATGAAAATTTTTAGGGTTACTCAATTTCTTTGTTGTTTTCAGTTGTAGTTAATATCATTTTAATTTTTCTTTGAAATGCTTTATTAGTTGTATTTAATTTAGCTATTTATGAATTGACAATATTATTTATTTTATGAGGGTGTTTCATATTTAATAAGCTTACAAATAATTTTTTCTTATTGGTTACTTCTTTATGTTGAAATTACTTAGCCTTATATAAAATAAAATTTCCAGCCTCGAAAGCATCACTTATTTTTTGACGTTCTTCTTCATGCTTAAGTGTAAATTCAGGTGAGATTATGACATTAAAGAGTGATTTTGGCTTAAATATATTTAATAAAATACTTGTTTATTTATAAAAAGTGTAGAAACTTAAGATTAAACAGCATTTTTGAATTTGAGTCTAACAGAGAGCTTCTTCATTCTTTATTATCCTTAAGGAAAATCTTCTTCATCTAAAGAATCATCATCTTTATCTGATTCCTATTCCTAACCTTTAGATGAATGCTACTCTAATGGCTCCGTTATTTATATAATTGGAATCTATAATAATGGAGGAGTTTCTGGTAATCTAGCACTATGTTAAGAATCATTATAAATTGAAGGCAAAATACTTTTTCGAGATTCAATTTTTCTAAGTTCTCTTGCTTTTTTTTAAATAATTAAAAATGGATGTTATTCTGATTCTGTGTATGATATAATTTTCTATTGTATAAATCTTTTTTATTAAGGTTAGTTCTTTAGATCAGATGATAAACTTTTAATATGATGAACTATTGGCTGTTATTTAGAAATATGTTGAGTCTAAGTTTTTACACGTACAAAATTTTAATTTATTGGTTTACTAACACTTTAAGGAGATGTAATTGGTTTTGCTAAACTGTTTTATTTGTTCAAATTGGCTGTTTATGTTCTTGTTGATGATAAATATTCTGATGCTATACTAGGTGTTGAAGTATGAGGTCCAAAATAATTTCCAAATGCTCTATAGAATTGCTACTTAAATAAATTGAATTTCAAACCTTAGTGAAAAAGGCTTGGTCAATATAATTTTAATTCATTTTTTTATAATTAACTAGAAATAGAAATATTCATATAGAAATTGCCAGTTAATCAATATTGTTGATAAATAATCAAATAAAAATCAATATAATCAATAGAATGTAAGTAATCAAAGATTGAATTACTACATTCTATTTCAAATTTTTAATTTAAAAAAATATGATAATTGAATTTCATATTATAGTGTTACTTATTAATATGAAAGTTTAAATATTTGATATTGTAGTTTTAATAATTGAAATAATAATTAGAAAAAGATCATAGAATTCATATCTTTAATTATTTATTTTTTTTTGATATAAGAAAAGAATGGAATTAAAATGAAAAGAGATTTCTATAAATATTAGATTGAACATAATTTCTTTAATATAATTCTATATTAAGCAAAGAAATTTATTGCCAGATTAAAATTGATGTATGCTAAATAAATGTGGTAATTTTAGGTTGTTTATTCCATAATGAAATAGGAATCATCATTTAATGCCAGTTAATTTTCTCACCAAGCAGGACGGAAAGGTGACTCTTCAAGCACATAATTCATCATTGTTACTCCTGGGTTACCCATCATTCTAGCTATCTCCATTTCATGATTAAGAAGCATAACATCCATTGGTGCCGTTTCATAAAAAGGCTTTGTTAATTGAACAAACAATGTGTATTCTTATAGTTCTGATGCATAATCATTTGGCAAAAATGATAATTCTTCGTTCTACTCTAGTCTTAATAAAGGCCACTCATACCAATTTTACTTTTGCCTCTTAATGATGTTTAAGCTTATGTGCTGAGTATTGTTAAAATCAGAATCAAGATGACCATCTTCATGGTAATTTAATTAATAACTAATGTGAATCCGTTTTTATTTAGATAAATTATATCAATAAATCAAAATGGTTAACTACTACATATGTTAATATATTTACACTAAAAATATGAATATATTATTTCAAATGAAAATTATGATAAGAAATTCAATATAAAATAAGATTATAAGAAAAAATACTATAGATTAAATGAGTGAAATTCTAGATTTATTTAACATACTTACCTTATGTTGTATTGATATTATTTTTAATAATAAATATTTACTAATATTTTGAAGATATATCTATACATAATGATAAATTTATAATATTTTATATAATAAACTCTAGCTATATTCTATTAGATATTTAAGATTCTTCACTTTTAATTAAAATGCTCTTATCTCAATTATTAAATAAATTTAGTTTAATATTGTAATTAAATAATTATTAAAGATGAAAAATGTCTAATTTAGTAAATGTGTTGGCCATTATCAAATAGATTTGAGTTAATAATTAGGAAAGGGTACATTTGGAGAAGTTTGCTTAGGCAAGGATACAAAGACATAAGAGATAGTGGCAGTTAAGATTATCAATATTAAAGGAAATGAAAAGTAAAATGAGTAAATGAGAAAATTGTGTGAAAATGAAAGTTAAATAATGCAGCGTTTGCAACATCCAAATTTAGTCAAATTTCATTCATTTTAAAGAACTTAAAATAATATCTATTTCATAATGGAATTTTGTGAAGGAGGCACATTAGATTCTTATATTGCAAAGAAATGCCCTCATAAAAATTAATTGAAATATTTAGCAGAAACTGAGGCCAGAATTATTTTAAGTTAAATAGTAAATGGATATAAAGAAATGTATAAATAGAATATAGTTCATCGTGATTTAAAACCAAGCAATATACTTATGAATAAAGGTATAGCTAAAATTTCAGATTTTGGATTTAGTAAAATATTGTCTGATTTCGAAAACTAAACCTTATAAACTTTTGCAGGAACTCCTTTGTATATGTCTCCACAAATTCTTAATAATCAAACACAAAGATAATATTCTACCAAAACTGATATATGGTCATTAGGAATTATTTTCTATGAAGTTCTCTATGGATAGACACCTTGGAGAGCTTCTTCATTCTAAGAATTAGTAATTAAAATTTTAAATGTTCCTCTAAAATTTCCATCCATACCTCGAGTTTCTGATTAAATGCAATAAATTATTTAAAAAATGCTCAAGGTAGATGAGAGAGATAGAATGAGTTGGGAGGAATTATTTCAATTATAAATCTAACTAGAATAAGAATCATAAATAACTATAAACAAATATATAGTTTAGATTAATTAGGAATAAGATATGTTGAAAAGAAAGAATCTAGAGAAAAATTTAAACACTGGTATAATTTAAAATATACAACATGGAAGATAAAAATAAGAATATATGGATAAAGCATATTAATAAATAAATAATGATTCTCATAAAACTAGATCAACTGATACAACTTTATCTTAAAATAAAAATAAAAATGAAAATTCAGCTAGTCCTGTAAGAAAAGAAAGAATATTTTCTTAAAAATAATAATCAACTTCACCAATTAGAACTCTTGCAAATTTTAATCAAAATTAAATTGTTTTAGGAAAGGAATAACAAGAATAGATTATAAATAATTATATTATGAAAAAAATCTCAGATTGGATTACACATAAAAAAAATAAATCAGAATTTCTTAATAGACTTTCACAAGAATTATTTGAATAATGGTCTGCATGTATAATTATTTTTATATATTAATAGAAAAATTCCAATTAAATTAAAGTATCTATTTAGGAATTTGTTTTTTATTAACGAAATATTAAGTTCTCATTTTATATAAGATATTAACAAGATTATAAAAAAAGACTTTAAACAAGTATTTATTTAATTTATATAATTTCAGTACAACTAAAAGATTTACAGAAAAAGAATGGGCCATATTTTGTTAAAGTAAAGAATATAGTGATTCATTAAAAATAATAAAGAAAGATTATTATTTAATAACAGAATTTCTAATTGAATTAGTTAAAAGAACTTAAACAGCACTTTAAGATACAAAAATAGAAGAAATGAAATTAATTAAATCTATTGCAAATACAGAAGGAATAGAAAAAACTTAATTTGATTAAATTTTCTAAGTTGGCTTATAGTATTATTGTAAAATTGTTTTGGACTTATTACCTAAAGAACAGAATGATAGAAGCTATTTATAATTTGCTGTTCGTTTAAATGATTGTTGTAAAATACATTAAATTTTTAAATTTTAAGAAGTTGATTTCTTTAAATATGAAGATAACATCACAAATTCTTCAAACTAATAACTACTAGAGTAATTATAAAAATGAAATAATATCATATTTTATGTATAAATCTAAATAATTATTTTTTATATTAAAATAATTTATTTTTTATTTAAAAATTGTTAAATTAGATTTAAGTTCACAATTATAAAAACTATTATATATATTAAAGTGAATTAATTCAACAAATAATATAATTGTTAATAATGAAGTCTCAAAAATATTAAGATTATTTATTATACTATAAATAAAAATAAAAGTCAATCATAATAAATAGTATTTGAATAGCTATAACACTTATTCAACAAGTTATCTTTCGATTTAATCTTGTTTCATCATCTATTTATTCGATTGTAGTTTGACTTTTAGATTAGATACTTGAATTCTATCATATATAATATATTAATACATCTAGAGTATTTTAACAATTATTTCCTTAAGATCTACAGCCAATCTCATTTCCATCTAATTAACTTTTGGCTATTAAAAAAACCATGATATCATTTTCAACTATTATTTAAAAACTAAATATAAATTAATATAATACCCAAACAATTTATTTAAATAAAATTCCAATTAAGATTTCCTTTCTCTTAAATCAATTATTTCTTTTGGACTTAAAGATTTCTTTTCAGGTAGATGTGGAAGAGGGAAATCAAAACGAAGATTCTTTAATTATCTATGATAATCTCTTAGATCCTAATATCGTTAATTAAACTTCCATCTCTTTTGAGTAATTGTATCATTTACTTCAATTGTATAAAGAATACAATCATCTATTATAATATGATCATCAAATTTAAAAATATATTGTTATCTATTCATATATATTTAAATAAATACTTATTAGAATTCCCAATTTTTTTTTAAGGTAAGGAAAAGATAGAATCACCATGTTTAGCTAGGTATGATTCTTTCAGTTATTAAATCTCTTACCATTTTCTATCTACTTTTTAACCAAATTATTTTTAACATACAATATCCTTAGGAAGCATATCTTCAATCACATCCAAACATTATAATTCAGAATATGCGAATACTTAATTGAAATATTATTATAATTCTCCTCTCTTTGATAATTAAAAAATTTACTCTCTTAATAATACTTTCCTCACTTTAATTGGTGTGAAAGAATAACTTTTTTTTGGGGAAATTGAGATTTTGAATTCGTATTTTAAAAATATTAATCCAATCTAATATTTTTTGATGCATTGATTCTAATTCTGAATACCTTTTTCTAGTCTCTTTAGGTTCACCGCCTTCCATATTATACACATATATTATGTAGTAAACCTTTTTATCAATTATTTCATGAGATAAGATTTTTACTGAATATCTTTAAACTGATTGTTTCATATAATTTATTATTAATTCTTTTATCGTCATAATTCTTTGATTTCATTTATTTTCTTTTTTATATTATAAATAATAGGTAATTTACTATTAATACACTTTAATCTTTCAAATTAATTTTTTATGTCCATTATAATCATTTCAATTCAACCTTTTTTCAAAAACATAGAAACTCTAATTATAAAATATTTCTTTTTATAAAATATAAATAATTTCTATTGATATCAGAAATATTATTCTAATGTATTAACATAAAAATACATTTTCTTTTTATTTCTAATTTTGAGAATATTATTTCTTCTTTCAATATTAATTTTAATACTAATTATTAATAAATGATAAATAAATGTATTAGACTAAAATTATAATAAATAAATTTTATTAGAGTTCATATCTCTTACATATAAATAAGTAAAAATATATCTAATTAAATTTCAGCATCTATTTAAATTAAAAAATTAAGTTAAGATGAAAGTAAATATATAATATATGTACAAAATTGATCTTTAAGAAGTGATTACTTATATCTTATATAAAAATAGCCTATTATTTATAGAGTAGAATATAGAAAGTTTAGGTTAAATAGAACCTTATTATATTTCCAAGTAAAGGGTTGTCTAATTTCTTAATAAATTTTAGAGAAATTAAATAATAACTAAAATGGAAATTTATCTTACTCATTTCTGATTTATTTAAATGATTTTAAGTTCAACATCATTTATGATGGAAAAAAGATTTAAATTACTAAGATCCATGTCTTAATACTCAATTTTAATAATGGAAATTTATTAATTAAAAATTTAGATTTGAAATATAGTTTATCAATCTTATAAGCCTAATGATATCAATCAAAAAGATATTATCAAAAAGGCTTTACTAATATTATAAAATAATGATTAATATTATTATTATTTTATTTATCACCTAAAACCTCCATCTTCTACTTATTAAAGTGGTTGCATTGCTTCTTTAATCTTATTTAATACATTTAATTTCCATTTATCTAGAGGTATGATTTTATTGAATTCAAAACTGCAATTATTTTAAAATATTGTACCATTCATCTGAAAACATTTATGCATTATTATTGTCTACAGCTTTAATTAGATTAACAACAAATTTATATTATCTGGCTGAACCAAAACTAGGATCTTTATCTAAATATCTCTCAAGGGCAATACCACATCCTACTGAATCCTATATTTAATTGTATTATAATATTTTACATTGTTGCATAAATATAGTAAACATGATTTAAAGTATAGTTCTTTAGCACTTGGAGCTGTTAATTTATTTTCCATATATTTATCACCGATATCTTCAAAAATCTTAATAATAAATGTTATGAAAACCTTAATGGCTGCAATTAAATCACCTGTTGCATTTAAGGTTGATAATTCTGCAACTTTTAATCTCATTTAGTTATAATCAGATATTCTTTTGCCATCTGCTTAAAATAAATCTGCTGCTTCTTAATAGGCTTTAACTGCTAGATGGAATTCAAACTCAGATTCATAAATTTAAGCAATTTCCTTCTTATATCTTGAGGCATTATCTAATCTATTTTCATTAGCATAATGTTCTATTGCTTTTTCATATAATTGTATTGATTCTATACATAAAATTATATTAGTATACCTGCTTTATTAACATTACTTATTGCTTTGGCTGCTTCAACATAAAAATCACCAGTTTCTCCAGATTTTAGAGTTTAATCACAAGTTATACAACGTTAATATGCTTCACATGCTTTTTCCCATTTCTTGCCCAATTTATATTGTGTTGCTGCTGACTTATACAATTCAAGAGCCTTTTCTGCTCTTTCTCCTTTCGATCCAAAAATATTTCCAAAAGTTGAACCTTTCTTAATTATAAATACCTACCTTTTAATGCTTTATCTCCTTTCATCATAAATTCATCACCTTTTAATACATAATTAGAATCCATATATATTTAAATGAAATAATAATGGAATGATATTAATGAAGATGTAAATCTGATAACCATACAAAAATCAAAATTTAAACAGACCAATCCTATTTAAATCTGTATAGATATTTAATACTAATGAGATTATTAGTTCTATGATCATGAAGGATTGCTACTTAAAGACAAGATAATCTATAGAGGAATACTTCGTAATTACACTTTTGTTTTATAACGAAAAGATAAAAATGAATTCATTCTAGACTTTAATCAATATCCAATTAGTATTCATTATATTATATATTAGAATTATCCATATTATCTAATGATGTCTTTTAATTATCAGTGTTTAGTCATTAGTTTTAGTTCTAATCTCTAACTAATAGTAAATAATGGATTCTCTCACTTAATTATTACATAAATACATCAAAACCTTAATGTTTTCAACATCCTTTACCTAATTTTTACCTTTAACATTAAATACCTTTTGATATATTTGAGAAGAGAGCAGAAACCCTAGATTTATTATTGTTTAAAAATAAATCAATAGCATGTTAATTTTAAAGATTCATAACTAATAGTGAATATGGTAAATATCAATAAAATTATTTAGATCATGTTGCTCTTGTTTTAAGAAATAATAAAAATGTATTACATGTTTTTGAAGCTAATAGTGATGATGGAGTTTGTATATATACTTGGGATGCATTAATGTAGAGTAAATTTTAAGATCATGTAACACAAATTAGTTTTAGATAATTATATACTAAAAGGGATATGACATTGTTAATAAAATTATAAGATTTTGTTTATAAGAATCATGGTAAAAAATATTCAGCAAATATTATGAAACTTTGTAAAAAAAGGTCAATTACAGGAGTTGAAAAGGAAAATTACTTTTGTTCTGAATTAGTAGCTGCTTGTTATAAACATTTAGGAATTATGGAAAATGATATTTCATCTTGCCAATTTTGGCCAAGTATTTAATTATAGTTTATAAATCTAGAGGATTTTGCAGGAAATGTTAAATTAGCCAATGCTGAATTAAGCCATGAGATTATTATTTATTAATGATTTCATACTATAATACCTAATTAATATCAAATTTTAATATAAAATATTTTACATATAGATTCATAATTAGAATTCTACAAGAATTCTTATAGAGATTAAATTTTTTTTTAATAACAAATCCTAAACTATAATCTTATATAATTAAAGAGAGTAGTTTATAAGTAATTATATTATGAAACTAACTAAATAAATAATAGAGTAACTTCTATATTATTTTATTATTATTCAAAGGTTTATATACTATCAGGGATATGTAAAAGATATATTATCAATAATTAAATGGAATAAATGAGCAAGTACACACTTAAATTTAAAATAAAAGAAATTGAAGAAAAATACTAGGCATAGTCATATTAAAAGCATCTAAAGCCATTGTTTTATGGTTTGTTGATTATGGCATTGTCATTGAACATTCTTCAACTAGTCATTATTTTAGTGAAGGGTAAAATAACAATCTCGTATATTAATATGGGTTTTATTGCAATTTGTGTAGTTGGTTTATATATAATGTACAAAAAAGAAGGTTTGACAGCAAAGATTGCGACTATTACAAATGCATATTCTTTGTCTTTATAATTCAATTTTAATCCTGATAATACAGAGGATTAGGAATACTTTTTATATGGTTGTAATTTCTCATTGATTTAAGCAGTAATATACTTTGCTACTGACTTTAATTTAAGTTGTCCCTCTCTCTTAATGCATATTATTTTTAGATAGACATCAACTATTTTATTATCTAATAAAGTAGATATTTAGTGTTTAGCACTTTCTGTTGCTACTGCAATATTAACTACATTTGTTTTATACATATGTAATAGAGCATAAAGAATATAATTTTTAATGAGTTATTAATAAGATACTATTAATAATCAGTTGCATAAATTAATAAATAAACCTTTCACAAAGATATAATATAATGAAAAAAAATTGTTTATGGATGTTTAGACAACTGCAATTTAAGAATAATTCTAGAATTATAGAAATGATTTATGTTCTGGATGTAATATTAGAAGTTTTATTCGAAATTGTGTAATTAACAACATGTCTTTAGAATAAGCAGTAATAAAGGGTCAAGTTAAATATGATGAAGAATTTGAGGTAAAATTATTAAGAAAAAAGATAAAGTTACGGTTATGCTAATATAACATTGATAATAGTATAATTGTAATTTAAGAAAGTGTTTAATTAGATCCAATTGAATATAATAAGATTTCACATAATTTATAAAAATCTCTTTTAAAATAATTTAATACAATTAGAAAGACACCATTAAATTAATAATTTTAGTTTGGAACTTTATCAATTTTAATGTTAAGATAATTCAAAATCAAAACAATAAATATGAGGAAATTGATTAAAAATTTAATGTCCATTTATTTAACATCTAAAAAAGCAAAATTAAATTTTTATGGTAATCATACTAAAAAATTAAGAACTTATGGATATATAATTAAAATATTCTTAATATAAGTTTTTTCTATTTTACAAGATTTAGAATGCTAATAAAATTATTTAGAAGAAATTAATATAAAGAATTTAGAAACACATCTCTAAGTTAAAATAACTTTAATGGATTAATTTTCTTTTTATCCACTTTACTTGAGAAATTATTTTATTGAATAAACTGCTCCATATTTACTATTAAATCCATTAGGTTACAATTTGGAGTTTTAATTTAGTAAGATATTGCCTTTTAGCGATATTAATCTAGAATATTGATTTATTATTTAAATTTTAAATTAAACCTTCACTCTTATCTGTAAATTAAAATCCTTTCTTTAATTTCTTAATAAAAATCTCTATTAAAAGTATTCATGATTCTATTAGATATTTGTTCACCACAAGAAATACAATTCAATTAATTTTCTAAACACTAGTAACAGGTTACCTTATGTCCACAAGGAGTTGTAATAATAACATCTGTAGTGTTCTTAAATCATATTTATAAATTATATACAAAACATTTTTAGCATTTAGAAATTGAACTTTCATTTTGAGGTTATTGGTCTAAATGTTAATCAATGTCTAAAAGATTAACATTATTCTAATTTTAATTAAATTAAGTATTATCATTATCTTATTCAAAATTCATTAAATCTAAATTATCTAAATATTTAGATGTTGATTATTATTTTTATGGTTGAACTTATTAGATTTCATTTGATTTAATAAATTGTCCTATTATAACTTATTGATTTTAAATTTTGCCTGTCTTTAAATATGTACCTTTGCTACATTTCTTATTTTAACATTTTTATTTGAGTTGACTTTCTTTTTAATTGAAAGTTGAAACTTCTCTACAAAATTAGCAAATTTATTTAAAATAATATTTATTACACTAATTGCAATAATTTTTCATTTCATTATTGAAGTTATCAATTCTCTTTAATGATTAACAGTTAGTGCATCTAAATATTTAAATATGAAAGATACTTTAGCATTTAAACTTATTCACAACTGAGAACACAAGATAATAACTTACCATCTAAATTATCTTTAGATTCATTAACTGAATACCATGTTAGACATTATTTACAATCTAAATAGTAATTAGTGATTTTGCAAGAATAACATTTACATGAATTTTCTTTCTAGAAAAATAATTAATAAAGATACAATTCCTCTTAAATTGAGGTTTGTACATTCTCCACATGGAGACAATATTGATTCTGCTTAACAAGTGGTACATGTCCAATGTTAATTTACACCTGTCATTAAATCAAAAAACGTTGGTTATGTGAATTGGCAAAATTAGCATTTTACAATTCCAAATAGTAAACCACATTTGCATGCATATGTACGTGAATCATCAACTAAATATCAAACATTTAAAGATGTAATTATACTTAACATGACAATCAACACATTCAATCTAAGGCATTTTTTATAAATATTATATTGATATATAAATGTTAATGTAAAATTTATATATATATTTTTAATGGTATGAAATAATTTATATGAATTTGTATAAGTGTAGTGAATAATTAATATATATATATATATAATTATAATATATGAATAATTAGCCTGTTTATATGTCTGCCGAGCAAATCAACGCATTATTTTAGAGGGATTCAACTTTTGAAATGAGAGATGATAGAATTAATTCATTTTAGAATGATTTCAAAAAAAATGAAGTATGGGATTTTATGTTAGTTAAGACTTTGAAATCTGAAAGTGTTGAATGTGAAGAGAACAGACCAACAAATTAGAGCGAGAGTATGATGATGAGTAAGAATTATTTAGCTTAAGGCTTAAAGTAACTAGGGAGGAGTATCAGGGATTATAATAAGAATACGATAGACGTAAAGATATGGAAGAGAAATATAAGGAAGATATCAATAGATTAATGAGGGAACTTAAACAAAAGTGCAGTGAATTAGATTATATGAAAAGAGAACATGACATTTATTTGGAACAGAATCAAAGAAGAGAATGTATCCTTTATTAATAAATGAACAGCAACACTTTAGAATCTGAGATAGTAGATTCAAGAAGCCAACAATAGAGAGTAGAAAGCTGTTATTGAATTAGGAGAGTTGTATGAATAGAATATGTAAGTGAAACAACAATTAGAGATTGTCCAATAGAAGTATAACAATTTATAGAAGCAACATAAATTTGAAATTGATAGAAAGGATAAACAAATTGATTAATTTAAAATTCAAATAATGCAACTCAATGAGGATAATGAAAGACTTAAGGCAGAACACCCTACAGGATTTCTCAATCTCGACTCTCAAAGAGTTCCATAAGATAATACTTAAAATCAATGGGCTTAATTTAATTCGAGTGCTTATAAAAGCAGCATTTAATTTTAAAAGGATAAACCAGTTACTCAAATTTAGTTTAAGAGCAATTATGACTCCAAAGTTATTTTCGGAAAGAAGTCTCAAAATACATTAAAATATCAATAGTCGTAATAAGATTTGTAGCCTAAAGGATTATGAGTCAAAATATTATATATAAATTCTATATTTTAATTGTTCTAAACAAAAAATAACTGTATATTAAAAATAATATAGTTTATAAATTGAATTTATCTATTATTTTGACTTCAACACATGAATAATCATCATTTGATACTAAAATACAAAAAGAGATAATAGTTATTAAATTCAAATTAAAAATTTATTAATTTAAACTCATTTATCAAGTAATTTATTAATCATTTTTAAGACTTATTTATTTCTATTATACTTTTTTTTTTGTTTGATTAAAATGATATATTCAATTCATTCTACAATAATATCTTTAAATATTATTATTAAAATATGTAAATGAATTTACCATTTTCTATAATATGACTACAATAATTTATTGACTTTAAATAACATAAATTTTATAATAAGTAAAGAAGATTCTATAGAATATTCAGATTATGAATTAAAATTATGTAATTTATTATGATAATAATAATAATTTATTACTCATTATGGGTATTTGATACTGAAAGCATAAATGTCAAGAATATCACATAATTCATGAACTATACTTGTTACACAATGTAGATAGGATAAAAATGAGAATGCTAATAATAAAAAGATCATTTTGACTTCATCAAAGTAGCAAAGACCATCTGATGTTAAAAATTATGATATCAAATTCAACATTATTGATCCCAATGTAAAAGCCCAAGTGAATGAAAATTAATTGAAAGTCTATTTAATTTAATTTTTATACTTACTTCTTTAGTAATAATTGCCAATTACCATAAATTAATCATTTTTGACCATTGTAATCCAATAGTCAAAACATAAATGTGAAACCATTTTGATAAGACATTAGTTGGTGATAGATAGGTCAAACTAATAAATGTTATCATTAAAGTAATAGGTAATGAGAGACTCTTTAAAATTGTTAGAACATTCCAATTCATCTTCTTAAATACAGGATAACAAAATTATATGATAGTAACAATAGATGCACTTATTGTAATTACAAGCAACACTGTATTATATTAAATTGAAAGTGTATTTGTGATTTAAATTTGATTAAGCCAAAATTATGAAGACATGACTGCAGTTATCAAGAAAAATAATTATAGTATTGGTAATCCTTCATCAACTCCATTAATTACACCTAATTAGAACACTCCTGTATGTTATTGACAATAAACACCAAAGTAAAATCCTAAGAAACTTACACCTATTGCAGTTAACATATTAAATGGAGTAAATGTAATTTTAAAAGCATTTATATATAATAATCCAGCAATCCAAGTAGCAGTACAATCACTACCATGATCCATGAGCATTCCCAAAGCAGTTGACTATTTTGTTCTTCTAGCTTATTTTCCATCTGCATTGTCTAATGTTTGATATACAAAAATAGTCCATGCTATGTATAGACTAGCCCATTGAGGTAAATCTTAATCAAACATAGGATTCAGAATGAAAATCAGAGCAAATCCAGTTAATAAATTACAGAATCCTGTAATAGTGATAAGATTAGGAGCTACTGTTTTGGGCAATTAATCAACCTGAGATGTATTAATAGTATGTTTACCACCCATTATGCCATATCCCCAAGAATCCAATTATATAAAATTGAAAGATTCTGACCACTATATTTAAACCTTCTCAAATTTTCATAATATTATGGATTCACATATTTTTGAAATAGCATTTTAATTAATCAATTAATACCATAAAATTAAATTAAATATCAATACTTAGTCATTTTAATAAAGAAAAATCTGTATAGAAACTTAGTATTTAAATAAGAAATGTGATATTTTTATATAGTAAATATACATATCATTTAATCAATAATTTATCAATTTCTTCATAATGATTGTACATTTCCCAATAAGTAATGAATCCTTTTCCAAATAAATCAATTTCATGATAGAGACTAAATAAAAATAATTATTATTTACATTTCTGCTTATATTCTATCATTCATTTAATTGATAAAATTTTCCATATTAATATTTCCATTAAGTTTATTAAATAATTCCTTAATTGGATTTGAGTGAGATTCTTTTTCTAAACAAGTTTCTCTTAAGGTATTACCTAAATCTTCTAAATTTATCCATCCATCTTCATCAGTATCTGCCATTTTAAATAAAGAATCTAAATCTAATTATGCATTTGGAATGGCTATCTTTGCATTTTCCATAAGTTAATATAGATTTAATCTTTTAGTAAATCGATGATGAACTAAATAGGTGAATAATTCTTCAGCAGTTACACCTCTTATTTCTAAACTTTTTACAAGTTAAGAAGGTTCAGTTTTAAGAGTCGTTAAATTTTATTTTGATTACTCTGATTCAATTTATAATTATGATTCATAAACATTTTCTTATTTTATATGATAAGTAGGTTATTAAGGAGTGAGTATATTTTTCCAATCTGTAAATAAATTTTAATATTCTACATTAACCATTTATTTATAATTTAGACTAATTAATTATGGAATTATGTAGGTTTCTTTAGAAATATAATGTTTATCTTATTAAATATATTACTATATTTCTGCAGCATTATATTATAAGATACATTCACTTCTTTAATCACTTTAATTGAGAGGTGCTTATGAAACAATTGTTTAGAATTCCATTTTAACTGGAGTTAGATCTTCAAAAAATGGATCAATAACTGAATTTGCTGTATTGAATATAATTTATTGTTCTTGTGGTTTAACTTCTTATATTTCATCAAGTATCTTAAATTCTTCATTTTCTTTTAGTTCTATTTGGTTATCTATTTTCTCTTATTTCTTTTATGATTCTATTTTTTTATGTGATTAATCTTCTTTTTGTTTTTTCCTAAAATCTAGATTGGATCTACTAGGTGATTTAATAGAAGGATTTGAACTCATTGATGTATTCCATTCACATCTCTCTTTTGATTTTACTTTTCTCAATATAAGAGGAGCACCTTGTACTTTTTCAGGTGATCCTTTTTTATCTTTAAGAAACTTTCTTAATTCTTATTGTAAATCATTTAGATCATTTCTTTTTTTATATTTTGCAACCAATTCAATGAGTTTCACATTTTCATCTTTAACCATTTACCTCAATTGTAAACGATCTTCTTTCATAATTTCTACAATAATCAACAATTATTTATACTTGTACATTTCTCAATTACTTATATAGTTTCCAATTATTCATTTTTTCTTGACTTATTCGAGATTTTTAGCATGTTTAACGGATAATTAATATATAAAAAAAGCTAAATATAAAAAAATCAAACTATTCCAAATTATTCTTATTTCTTTGCTATTATTTATATCTCTCTTAATAAATTCACACTTTATATAGTTAGTTCTTCATTTTGTTAATTAATTACATCATTTAATTTATCTATTTTCTCTTTCTATAAGAAATACTTTTCTTTAATTTATTCAAACTATATAATATTTAAATATATTGTACTTAATCTTGATTTTATTGTAACTATTCCTTAAGATTTTCAATCTATTTTTAAAGATCATTCTATAACTTTATATTATTTCGTTCTTTTAATACTTTATCTTCTTCATATTCCTTAATTGATATTCTTAATTTTTAATTATCAATCTCTAAATAATTACATTAATCTTTCTATTTTGATAATTATTTTTATAAACTAAGGAATTATACTTATAATGTAGATAAATCTTATTCAATAGTATTGAGTTTATTTTAAGTAAATTCTTGTTCAAATAATAATTTATCATTTTTTCTCTTATAGTCTATTATTTATTCATCTAATTATTTAATAGTTTAATTCTGTTAAATAAATTCTGGAATCTCTACAACAATTGTATTAGTAGATCTATCCACTTTATTGAATTTATTAAATTCATTTTATTCTTCCAAAGATTTTAGTTTTTAAATACATTACTAATATTTATTCTAAAGAATTTAATATTAAAGTTTTTAATTTTAAATTTCATGATTCATTTATTCTAATTTTACTGTTTATTAATTTATTAGATATCCATTCTCTTTTGATTATTATAATTCTTACTTTTAATTTTCATTTTATTTTTCTAAATATTCATTCTCATTTTTCAATTCTAGATTATTTTATTTAAGAGACTTAATTTCATCCAATAATTATGATTTATCCTCTTAAAATTTATTGATTTAATCTTAAAGATTAGAAATTTTCAATTTAGATTAATCAAGATCTTTAAGACTTTTCTCATATAATTCTTTATTCAATTAGTTATCATAATTAGATATTTTTAATGAGTTCAATTTAGAATTTTAATTTTCTTTATCTAAACCAAATGATTCACCCAAAGATTTATGATTAAATGATTCATTGATTCTACTCTCTGTAAAATATGTTTCACCCAAATTTATAATTTAATATGAAAAGAATATTTTAGCATTTGAATCAGGACTTCTATCTAAATTTAAGGAACATTATCCTTCTTTTGCCATAGTTTCAATAATATCAAAATTAACAACTCCAGCTAATTTTGATTGACCTTAAACATTAAGTAAAACAACTAGAAATGTCTTTTTTGGAGTATTATCTCCAATATTAAATTCTAATGTAAAGCTTTCATTCACAACAAAAATATTTTTAGTTTTCTCTTTAGCTTTTGTTAAACATTTATTTTGACCACGTTTCCACATTACTTATAATGTACAAGGAAACTTGATTGATAATTCTACTTTGCTTATTTACAAAGTAACTTAATAGCAAAACCCTTTCATTTTAAATATAGAATCTGTTAATTAAAAATTATACTACTAATTTTAATATAAATTAATTAATCACTCTTTATAAATTAATATAATTTAGATGCACTAATTAATAATATGATTTGTATATTGCTTTGTGAATTGATTAATTATTATAACCATTTCTTATATAATAATAAATTATTCAAATGAATTATTGAATATCTATAGATTAAAATCATTTTTTTGTTTTCTTTTATGGCTTAGGAGATTCATCTTCACTTTCTTCTTCATCATCCTCTTCATCATCATTGAATTCAGAATCACTTCCAATACCTTCCTCTTCATCATTATCTTCCTATGATAAATAATTATTTTACATCAGAGTATTCAATCTCCTTTCCATCTTTATTTTTATTGTCTAATACTTGCAAATTAGGTAGCATTTCAAATATTTTTAAATGATATCCAGCTTGTAATTCCACTTCATTATCAGATAAATCTAATTGATATAAGGAAGATAAATTTTTTAGTATTTACAATTCCTATAATATATCTAAATTTATACTTCTAAAGATTTGATTTAGTTACCTGCTAAAGATAAGCAGATTAAATTTTTAAAATTCTCACATATATATTTTAATGCGCTTCCATCTAATTGATTACCTTCCAAAATCAACACTTCTAATGAATCCATACTAGGTAATCCTTTTAATGTCTTGAGTCCACAACTAATAATAGCTAAGTTTTGTAATTTTTAATGTTTTTTTAAATTTTCTGTAATCTCTGTTGTAAATTAATCTATTTTAATCTCTGAGATATCTAATTCTTCTAATTATCCTTATTCATCAGCTTGCTTCTTAATTAGATTTATAATTTGCTCTGCCATATTTATTAATAAAATTTGTTAAACAAAAATATCTAAAGTACATATATTAGCCAATCAAAAATCATATTTCAATTTCTATTATTGTTTCTAATATTGTATACAATTTTATCAAATTTTTGATATATTCTACCAAATCATTTATTAAACTCTTGAATTTATATTGTTTTATCCAAAAATATCTAATTTTGTANCACTCTTTATAAATTAATATAATTTAGATGCACTAATTAATAATATGATTTGTATATTGCTTTGTGAATTGATTAATTATTATAACCATTTCTTATATAATAATAAATTATTCAAATGAATTATTGAATATCTATAGATTAAAATCATTTTTTTGTTTTCTTTTATGGCTTAGGAGATTCATCTTCACTTTCTTCTTCATCATCCTCTTCATCATCATTGAATTCAGAATCACTTCCAATACCTTCCTCTTCATCATTATCTTCCTATGATAAATAATTATTTTACATCAGAGTATTCAATCTCCTTTCCATCTTTATTTTTATTGTCTAATACTTGCAAATTAGGTAGCATTTCAAATATTTTTAAATGATATCCAGCTTGTAATTCCACTTCATTATCAGATAAATCTAATTGATATAAGGAAGATAAATTTTTTAGTATTTACAATTCCTATAATATATCTAAATTTATACTTCTAAAGATTTGATTTAGTTACCTGCTAAAGATAAGCAGATTAAATTTTTAAAATTCTCACATATATATTTTAATGCGCTTCCATCTAATTGATTACCTTCCAAAATCAACACTTCTAATGAATCCATACTAGGTAATCCTTTTAATGTCTTGAGTCCACAACTAATAATAGCTAAGTTTTGTAATTTTTAATGTTTTTTTAAATTTTCTGTAATCTCTGTTGTAAATTAATCTATTTTAATCTCTGAGATATCTAATTCTTCTAATTATCCTTATTCATCAGCTTGCTTCTTAATTAGATTTATAATTTGCTCTGCCATATTTATTAATAAAATTTGTTAAACAAAAATATCTAAAGTACATATATTAGCCAATCAAAAATCATATTTCAATTTCTATTATTGTTTCTAATATTGTATACAATTTTATCAAATTTTTGATATATTCTACCAAATCATTTATTAAACTCTTGAATTTATATTGTTTTATCCAAAAATATCTAATTTTGTATAATATTATTCTTCTTTAAATATAATTATTATAACTAATCTAATATCAAAGTAATTAAAAATAAAGAATTCAAAATCTTTGTAATAGTGAACTAAGAATATTAGTTAAAAATATTTTATTTATTATTCATTATTGAAAGCAAAAATGAAATATTAAAAGAACTTATTATTCAAAATATTTTATGTAAATATTCCATATTAAGTGATTTATATTGTTTATATATATATAAAATAAATTATTTCTTGGAAAAACATCAAAAATTATTAATTCTCTACTTCTTACGACCCTTGTTAAAACTATTATTCAAACTCTAAGTTGCCTAATGATATGTTTAAGTCTAGAATATATCTAAAAAATAACTTAAATTATCACCTCTATCTGATTTTTTAGTATCCTAAAAAAGTGATAAGACATCATTCTTAAAATAAAATGGTTAATTTATTTAGTCATTTTATTATTATTAATAAGGATTAGATTAGAATAAATTTAAACTTGAAACTACATTTGAAGTTTATGGTTATTAAGAAAAAAGATTTTATATTTAGTAGTTTGACTATTACATCAATTATTCTGAATAATAATGCTATTATTACTATTATTATTACTATTAAAATAGATTATTTTATTAAGTAGACTATTGCTAATAATTTAGTTTGACTGACTCAAAATTATATGATTAATGTTAAATAATCGGAGTAATTTATGGAACCTATTAAATAATTTCCATTTATTTATTTGTAGAGAATGGTAATATTTTTTAATTTGCAAAATTGTTAACATTAAATATTGACTATAAATTTTAAGTATTTTATTTATCCTATGTTTTATTAATTATTTATTAAGATGAAGATTATTATGTTGATATTTTGAATAAATCTATTAATGGTTGATTTTAATTTTATGCTTAATATTCTTTATTTTAATTTTATGTTGAAGTTCCTTAAAAATACAGACTTATTTGATCAGAACTGATATTAGGACTTAGTATCAAAAATGGATTATATTCTTTTATTGATTTCTCATTTTTTTCTAAAATTTACTTGTTTTAATTATTTAAAAAGCTTGTTTGAAGTATATTTTTGGATATTTCTTTGTTTTACTCATTTTAAACATTGTTAAATTATTATTCTTTTTCATTTAAATGATCTTATTTATCAATTTAAGATGATATTTTTTTTTTCAACAATTAATCTTCTTATAAATAAACTTAAGAATTGATTTTCTCTTTTTACTTATCTAATTTTTATTCATTCTTTTTGTTTTATATCAATTATGTTTATTTTGAATTTTTTATTTAGATATTAGATAGATTTACATTTTCAAATTGTTCTAAATCCTATTATATCAAATTATTATGTTTTTTTAATTCAACGTCTTGTTTTACCTTTAGCATCATATCTTTATTCCCTTCAATTTAACTAAAAATTAATTTAGATTGTTCAGACTTTTAAAATAATTGATTCTCCCTTTTATTGTCATGTTATTCAGTATTATTTTGATTAATACAGTCTTATTTTTGTATAACCATACTATTGTCTTATTTAAACTCTAGTTATTTCTAATTTAATACAAGGAAAAATTACTTAATGGCAATCTTTTATATTATATTCATTTGATATTTATATATTTTGAAACCCATATTCTGAATTTTATTTTTAAATTTAAGGTTTTATATTGTTATCTAAATTTTGCATATTATACTAAATTTCTTATTAGAAATCTCCATTTTTTAAACTTAATAGTGTATCATTTGCCTCAATTTTTGTGTTTATACCAGTTGAACTTGATAATTTTTTATCCATATTTATATTATCTTGAACAAATTCTTTATTTGATGGACTATGAACAGAAGATGAAGATGTTTTTAATCTTTTTAGTAATAAATCAGACATTTAATTTTTATTATCTTCATTTTGAATAATTTCTTAATTCTCAAATATATTTATTGATGTTTTTTAATCTTTCTATTATTTGAATTAAATATTATTCTCTTTATTGATATCAAATTGTTTCAGTCTTTTATTAGAACAATTTGATAAATTTTCTGAGGAATTTTCTTTTTTTTCAACTTAGTTTTACTTAAAATTTTGTTTATTTAGGTTGAACTCTAACTATTTCTGATTTTCTATTGTTATTATTTACAAATATTACCTTCCATTTTTCTATCTTTATAAATTTTTGAATGATCTTTTTAAGACTTCTTTTGTTTTTTAGCATTTGATGTTTTGATCTAACAATGATTTGTTTTTCCACTCAAATCATTTTAAGTTTCTTTAGACAATTTTTTAGCAGTATCTAATTCCTCTTTTAGGTATTATTCAAAAGAACATATGGACTTGCGTTTTAAAGTCATATTATCTTCATTATTTGGTATAATTCTTTCTACAAGAACAAGATTCTTTTTAAATTAATTAGATAGTTCTTATTCTATATTTTAATCTTCAAAAGGTTATATCCTTTAGATTATACTTTGTGAGTTGATTCTTGGTATGAATAAATCTTAAATCTTATTTTTTATCTTATTAATGATTCCTGGTTTAAGGCATTTCTAGGAACCAAAAGGACAATAACTGGAATTATTGACTCTTGTATTTCCAAACAGAAATTTATGCATAAATAAATAAATAATATATTTAAATTATTAAGATCATCTAGATGACAAAATATTTAAGTGTTTTAATATTTAACTAATATAATGATACATAATATTTATTACTAATACAACTTTATCACCATGAATTATAATTAAAACCCTATTATTTTTTTAATAATATATTATTAAATTAAAATTTTTGAGTTAGATAACTACAATCTCGTATTAATCTTATTAATCTTTCTTAAAATACTAATTGATAATTATTTAAATTATCATATTTTTTGTTTTAAAAATATCAGTACTTTTCATTTTTTAATAATATCATTCCACTAATCATTTTAAATTATTTTAAAAATTATGATAGATTATAAAATGGTTATATTTTACAATTTATCTCATATTAAGAATATATTATAACAAAAAATTTAATAAATTGAACTTAAATATAGTAATTTGAATCCTTATCTATTCAATATCAATATATTTGTTTAAACATAATACAAGATTATATATATATTAATATTTATTTCTCAAAAAGCAAAAAATCTATATTTAGGAAATTACTTTAATTAATTAAATTTTAATGTTCACTTTCAAATAAAGATTATAAATAATTCACCTAGAATCTTTCCTGATTTGAGAAGTAATTTGTTGTCAACAATAAATATATATATACTATGATAATAATTAAGTATTAAATTATTACATTAATCAGTAAATTATCTATATATAATTTAACTAATTAAGAGATTAAAGAATGGGAAATTCTTTCAGTATTATTAAAATACTAAAATTTAATTTTGGTAATTTTCATTATAACTCAATTTATTTAATTTCTCAATTGATAAGAAAAATGTTTTCCCGTATTCCATTTATATAATAAAATTATTAATTATAATAAGTAATTCAATTAAATTTGTATTTTACTTTTTTTTAATATATATACATAAGTAACACTATATAATTCTAACTTTATAATATTAAACAGATTCAAATGAAGTTGGAATATAATGCTTATTAAAAGATTATTCTAATAGATTATTACCTATACAGGCTTAACAAAAAATTAAACTTAAATTTTTGACAAAACATCTTACTTCAGTAGAAAATTAAAGAAGTTTCAGAGTATATTGTTGTCATATTAGATTTAATGGTAATTTGTTATATAAAAAGATAAAAAATGGATTTAAAATATTGTGAATTGGAATTGATTAAGATAATATAAATTAAGTCATAATTTAACTAATTGTAAATAATTTGGGTATCAACAGTATATTTAGAATATCATGTTATTTTAAAATAATTAAGGAAATATATTCAAAAAAAAACATAAATTAATTGAGATTTGTATGGAAGATAATTTTAAAATAATTATCATAATTTTTCTTTCATTTATTTAGTTCCTCAATGCCTAATATTAGTCATTTAATGTCCAAAATATTGGCAAAGTACATGGAGTATGATGATTCTGCTCTTACATTACCTGAAAATTTAGTAAACTTACTACTTATTCATGCTTCCCTATTGAATATTTCTTACATTTACTATTAGAATTCATCTTCATGGCTTTATACATTAGTAATATTTGCTAGACCATCAGTTAGCATATAAATTTCATATTTTTATATTTTTGGAATATGCTACTTGCTTTTATAAGTATTATGTATAATAAAGACTAAATTACCAGGTAAGAATATAGTAAGTCTAATAAATTGTTTGATGAAGGTTGGATTATTAAATTTTGTAATTGAATAATTTTCAGACATTATAGGGTATGTAATAGCAGGACTTATATTAGTTATATAAATGTTTGAGATCTTGTTTATATAAGGAACATTAGACATAAATACAAAGAATTTCTAACGAACTTAGATTACATTTTTCACCATAATAACATTGATGATAAATATAATGCTCATGATATTTTATAAATTAAATTTCCAGCTTAAACACATATAAATTATTGCAATAGTAAATTCAGCAATTTAAGCTTTGGATCTAATCATATTGAAAAACTAAAGAAGTTCATTAATTCGAATAATAATGATTTCAATTTAATTGGTAACAATATATGTAGGAATAATGTAATTTATTCATTTTGAAAATTCCTTTACTCTTGTTTTGGTTCCTTTTTTCTTTAAAATCATATCATTAATAAAATTATCAGATTTAATATATACTAAAGATCCTATTATTAATGCATCAATTTTAATGTAAGAAAAAAAGTTTTATGAAAGTTTTTTAATATTAAATAAATTAAAAGATCAAAATTTTATTAGATAAATTAAAAGAAATCAATTATTAAAAAAATGCATTTATTAAATAAATTAGGATTTATAATAAAAAGTGAAAACTCAATAATTGTTGGGAGTTGCTTCAAGATTAATTTAAAATGATATTAAAAATATTAAAATATCTAATAGTTTAATTAAAATTATTTAATGGAAAATTAAATTATTATAAAATTGGAAAACTAATGAATTTAGTGAGATTTATAAATTTGTAAATAGAATGTTAAAAATAAAATAATAAATAGATGATTATTATTAAACAGAACCTAATGGTATGATATAAGCATTAGTTTGTTTTTTTTATGCAGAAATATTAAATGATTTATTAGAAGCAAATGAAATGATTATTCATGCTAAAAAATCAGCAGATGTATATCTATAAGATTATACAACAAATAAAAATATGTTTTATCTTACTACTAAATATGAGAATGGATAATTGTAAATGAATAAAATATCAAGTAATGCCCCATCTTTTATATGTAATAAAAAATTAGAAGATTTAATTCCTCTAGGAGTTCGTGAATGGCATAATAAATTAGTAGATTAATTCATAATAACTGGTAAATCAAAATTTGTAAGATAATTGAGTCAAAATTATGTAACTCATGGATAATCAATTGAAACTATAGATTTTGCTATTGATTTAGCATACTCTGATTAAGTAAACTTCATTTGTTTAATTTCACCAACTTTAGTCAAAAATGCTACTTTGATAGTTGATGAAAAATATAATATTGCCTGTTATACAAATTAAATAAAAGATATTAAATATTATAAAGCATTGTTTTCTAAAGGATCATCAATATTTAATATATTTCCTGAAATTTAAGGAATAACTTAGAGCTGCTTTTTAGAAAATATTCACATTAATACACAAAAACTAATATTTCATAATGATGAATTAGATGATATTCATTATTATTGTAATTTAGAAATAATTGTTAAATAATATTAAGATGTAATGATATACATGATTGTTAAACTAGAAAATATATAAATTATATATTCAAACAATGGTAATTCAACTAAAAAAGATACATAAACAAATTAATCTTCCTCTGCAAATGTTTTAAGTATAGCTGAAGAAAGACTTGCATTAATTAAATAAATTTCTAAAGAAGACACTCATACACAACATTAAAGTATTGAAGTAAGAGGTTTAAATGATGTCAAAAGTTTAAAAGAAGTAAAGAGTTAAAATAAACGAAAAAGTGCAAATGAAATAAAAAGTCTAAATGAAGAAGCTATTAAAAGTGCCTTAAATATTGACATTGTTTAACCATAAGTATTTACATCAAGAGGAGATCCAGAATAACATCTTTTAGTTGATAAAATGAAAACTGAAAGTAAAAAACAATCAGTTAAATCTATCACTTAAGGGGGAGAAGGAAAACCCTAATAAGTAGAATAATAGGATCCTAAAAAAGAAGAATTGTTTGATAGAGAAGATTAATCTTAAGTATCTTCTATTAGAATGCTGAGAAATTCTAAATTTTATAGAAAATATGACCTTTATAATAAATTTAATAAGCATATGCCTTTAAAACGATAACATTAATTGTTAGTCATACTATTTGTATTATGTTTAGTTTTTTAAGGATTATTCATTATAATTGTAATATTTTTAATACTATATATTTTAGCAATTAACAAGTTTAAATTTAGTGGCATTTGCTGTTGATATTAATTTATTAGAGATTAAAAACCTTTTCTTTTAACCATTGGATATGTTTTTGGTAACAAGATGGAATTTATGGACTTACAATTTTCAAAGAACTAATGGTATCATATCTCAAGAAGAGTATAATTCAGTTTCTAAATTTGCTACTTCTAATTTAGGACTAGGATTTGATTCTCTAAATTCAAACTTAAAATTAGTACTTAATCGTTAAGAACTTCAAGGATTATTATAAACTAAATATATAGAAGCTTATTCTTATCTTGATACATATAAATCAGAATAATATAATATGACACTAAGGACAGCAATATCTGTTTTGTTAAATTTCTAATATATATTAAAAATGAATTACATATATGAAAAAACGGTTAAAGCTGATAGTCCTTAGATTTTTTATAGTTTTAAAAATTATCCTATAATGAGAGATATTATGACATAATTAAATTCTGATATCATGATACAGACAATTTCTAGAGGATAAAATTTTGAAAATGAAATGGAAACATTATTTTTATTTTAGTAGATATTTTTGATTCTTATGGTAATGTTAATAATTTATGCTAAAATCTACATAAATAAAAAACTTATTCTATTTTTACATTTAAGTTAATATTCTGATAATGATGCAATATAATAAGAGATTTAAAAGTTTAAATAACTTCTTGATAAATTACAATCTGATAATTCTTATAAATTCAATTATTCTCTTAAAATAGCAGAAAAGGAATATTAATTTTTTGAATAAAAAGTAGAAAAAGAAACTAGAAATACAAAAAATTTAAGAAAGAAAAGAATTCCTCCTTATAGATTTATTTTAGTATTAATTGTGTTTTATTCAATAATAACACTAAATAGTATAATAAATTATTTGGAATTTTAAAAATATTTAAAAAAATATCCTGAAACTGCTTATTATAAAAAATAATTGGCTGATCTTGGTGGAGATATACCATTGATGTTTGCTTAAAGGGAAGTATTATATGGAAGAAAAAATTATATGTATTTAGATGCTGCTTATTTCGATAGAATGTGGTATTATATTATGGAATCACTTAATAATACAAAATTATTTACTTCATAAGATCCAAATTTTGATAAGTAATTTGAAATAATAATATTTAAGAATGCTTGTTACAAGTAGTTTCAATGACTTTTATGCTGAAATCTAATTAAGTGATTTGTGTCAATATTTACCAGGAGATATAAAAGTTAGAGGAGCTTAATTATGTCCAACCATAATGAATTAAAATATGAGGCATGGCCTAAAAGCAATGTTAATATATATACAAAATTTAATTGAAACTGATGTAGCAATAAATAATTTTACTTACAGAGCAGTACCAACTTAAAATGAATTAGAAGGTGCATTTATGATATCAGAAGTAATTAATGTAATGAATTCTTATTTTTATAATGATCTAATTGATGTAACAACAAAATTAGTGGATCAATAATAAGTAATAAGTGATTATATTAAATTAGGTTTTTAATATTTGTTACTTAGTTATACTTTTTATAGTCTTATTGATAATTGTAACTGAAGTGAAAAACAAGATATATGAAAACAGTAAGATTATAATTCATTTTGTGTATATAATACCTTCGCAAACATTATTTACTGATGATACATTTGAAAGAACACTAAGAACTTTGATAAATATTTGATAATATTTCTATTCAAAATTTATTGTAACTTTTTTTAAACATTAAATAATTAAAATATCATATCAATTTTTATATTCTTATAAAATGATTCAATATTAATTAAGGATTAGACTAATTTGAAATGAGTTCTAAAAAGTTCAAATTAATATTCATGAAAATTATTAGAAAATATTATTAAATGTTCTTAAATGATAGATATAAATTAAGAAATTAAAAATATCATATTATTTAAAAGGAATTTAAGGTTTGACATAATTATATTATTGGTAGTGATTACATAATATCAATATTCTTAATCTGGTGGTTATAATTCATATTTCTAGAAACCTGGAAATAACAAATCATCTAAGTCATCATCTAATTAAGATGGTTATTCTTATTTTTTTTTTTATACAACAGGAGGTTATATAACATAGGGTTATGGTTATTTATTTTGAATAGTAGTAGTCAATAATGGTTATGATTTTCTATCAGTTGAGAGTTTTTGAATCTATTATTATTGATTTTGTATATCTTTTGTTCTTTAATGTAATTCCTGAATGTAATCTTTTTATCTTGTTTTCTTCCTATCACTCATAATATCAATATTTTAGTCTTAGTCAGATTTCTATTTTTGATCTAAAAAGAATTCCTTTTTAAATTCATTATAATTTATTCGACTACAATGAACTCTAAGAATATTTAAATTATTACTTTGACATTCTATCTAAACAACCTTTTAAATCATATTATTCAAATTATCCTCCTAATTCATTCATGTAGACTACTAAATCTTGTAAAGTAATGTATCCCTTCATACCAATATCTAACTATTTGAATAGGGCTAGTAGAATATCTTTGGTTCCTATAACTTCTCTAATAAAATTGAGGTTTCTCTCTAATTGTAATTGTAGATTCATGATTTCACATATCCATTCTCTTTGAGCTACTGATAGAAACTAAGGAATATTCTATTTTAATGGATGATGCATATAATGCATGGCTCCAAATTGCATAAATTGTTATTAATCATCTGGACCTAAGAGCATATATTTAAATTCAGCTGAAGAGATTTAATTATCATCATTGCCACCATAACGTAGAAACATTTATGTTAATTCAATTGAATTTAGAATGATGTCTAATTTCTACAATCCTAACTGAAATTCATTATAGTCTATTGTTCTATTCTTTTTAGAATCAAAGAAATCAAAAAGTAATTTTACATTAAATCTCTAATCTTATTTCAACATCCTTTGTAATTTCCAAACTTTCTTATCAATAATAGAGCATTCAGCAATATATTTTGCAAAAGCCACTTCTTCAAAATTTTAAGTAGATCTTGGTAAATTTTTAATGAATTATAATACATATTCTTAATATCCATCATCATATCCTTAAATAAATGAGTCAATACATACTTTCATGAGGCATAAATGGAATATTACTTGGATCGTTAGGATCAAAATATAATTATGGTTATCCCATTTTAACTGGATAGGGAGGATATTCATTATATGCTATAATTTAATTAATAATCATACTATAATTTAGAGGTTGTACATCATTCAAATATGTTCTATTATGTAGTTAACTTTAGTAAGGATCATAATATTAGTAATCAGTGTAATCATCTTGAGTTTCAGTCAAAAATCCACTGTATCTGTATTATTTTTCATTATACTATCCTTGAGGATATGGTTGTTAATATGGGTCAGGATTATGATAATTCATAATATGAATAATTATAAATTATAAAAAGTCTTATTCAAGAAAGTCAATAAAGGTGTAATAGTTGAAGAACATTTACTTGTTAAATCATTGATAGATAAACAATGTTATGTCTTAAAAAGAACAGATATTAGTAAAATTAATGCAGAAAGATTGAAGGAAATTGAAAATCATCTCAAACAATTAATCAATCTCAATCATCCAAGCTTAACTAAAATTAAGGAATACTTCATTGAATCATAATATCTTGTTCAAGTTTTAGAATATTGTGGAGGTAGTGAATCTTAATAATTTAGAATAAATATTAAATGAAAGACTAAATAAATAAGTCTCTGTTAATTTAGTATGCCAATATTTGCTTTAATTACTATTTGCATTAAATTACTTAGAAATGCAATAGATTAATGTATCATTAGATTTAGACACAATCTTTTTGAATTCTTTTGGATCACTCAGAATATAATTTGATTTACTTTCCCATAAAAATTGGAAAGAAGAAGTCAAATATTTATAATAAGTCTTAAAAAAAACTAATTTGGATTGGGAATCATAAAAATCACATGAATTATCTTAAATTCTTAAATCACTTATGTAACCTAATCCACCAAGTGTTTAATAAATGATTAATCATCCTTATTTATTAAAAGCCATGTTTGATTTTTGTAAATAATAAGATTTAGAAGCTTAAGCATAATAAAATTAAGAAAAATTAATTAAAGAGTAAACCAATAATAAAAGAGTTGGAAGAGCATCCACTTCAGTTAATTAAAATAGATAAAAAATAACATAGCAATCACCTGTTTAAAGGAAAAATTCAAAAGATAGACCATAAACCAATTAATAACATAAAAAGAAGCCTGAATAATAATAGATTAAATAATAACCTAATAAAAATTAAATACCTCCAAGACCTCTTAGATAAAGAAATAACTCTTAAGATACTGTTACTAGTGAATCTATTCTAAATTAAGATTTATTGATGACTAAAGGTAAAGAAGAATTATAAGAATTATTAAAACTCTATAAAGATTAGCTTAAAGAAAGTAGTAAATAGTATAACCCTTGGTTAAATATGTCTGAGATTAAAGAAATAACTGAATACGATACAACTACTAATCTAAATCAATAATAATCATGAAATATATAGAAGAATATAATATCATTCATTTTAATATTCCTAAAATATTATCAAAACTTAATTATTATTATTTTATGAATTATAATAAAATGTTAATTCAACTAAAACATTAATTAATAGAGATAAAATAATAGTCTTTTGAGTATTCATATTTAAACAAAGAAGTCAGTCCTTAAAATTTTTTGATTATTCTATTCAATCATTTAAGATAATTTTCTTTAGTAATAAATATATATATGTATAATTTTATATAAAAACTAAAATAAATAGTATACTAGATATGATTTAATATTCATGATATATTATCTATATGTTATTTATATATACACCCTCTATAGAATTTTGATGCATTAATTATATTATAAGATCTTTATAATATAATTAATACATTATTATAAAATAAAGGATGTGTGTTATATTCTTAGATATAATTAGAATTTATTAATAACTAAAGAAGTCATATAAAAAAGAGTTCATTAGTCAATCAATCATCATCATGATGATTATTATTCTGTTAGTTTTATATATTGCCTTTTTGTGTAACTGGTTATCGTTGTGGAGAGAATATTGATAATAATGCATATGCAGTAAATAGTAAGAACATTATGAATACTAATCCTTATGTTGTGGATGTGTTTGATGATGTAGGATTGTGATTTACTATTGAAATATTAAAAAATAAATTACTTATGCTGCCATTTTCATTTAATTATCCATTGAGATTGGCTAATGATTGATATATTTGATTTGCATGATTAACAATTAATTCACATAAATCGTTGTTCATTTCAAAAAATAATAATTAATAAAATTCCAGAAATCTAAATAATTTTTATAGTATAAAATGTGCAATTAAATTTATTAAATTATATCGTTTTTAATTAAATATCAAGCATTTGTTATAATATTATTTAATATCAAATACACACTCAATATAAGTAACATCACAGAGAAACATAATTTTTTCTAGAAATCGATTTAATCTTTTTTTTCTAATTTAGGTGGATTTATTAATCTAGTTTATTGAGGAGATTGTTAATCTACTTTCTCATCTTAAATAACAACAATCTTTTCTTTTCTCAAGTTTTGATGTAAGATTTGTGTGAGTTTAGCTGAATAATTACCATCTATCATTAATGATATTCATCTACCTGTTTCTATTTATGATACTGCTTATATTAATGTTTGCAATTTTGCGAATATTGTCTCATCATCCTCTTTAGATAAGCAAATAAATTTTAGATCTTTATCACATATGGCATACATATAAACATCATCTTTCAGAATTTTTTGATTTTCTTAGACATTCTTAACATCAAGTATTCTCTTCTTAATGATATTACTATAATCCTCCTCAGAATCAGAAAATTCTGCCAAAATAAGTGATCCTCTAACAATTATAGTATGTAATATCATTAATTTAATAAAATCTTTAATGGAAGAGAAAGTGTATATATCAGAAGAAGGAATGAGATAATTATTGAAGGAATTCGATACTAAAGACCCATTAAAAAATGTCTTATGGACAACTAATTATAGAATGGAATTGCCTATAAGAGTTAGAAAGTCAGGTCCAGGAAGTGAAATACCAATTACTCTTCCAGAATAATTTAAAAATGATTGTACTTAATTTGCAAAGAAGCCAGCCTTGAGTGTGAAAAGGAATAATAAATGGTAATGATGTGTTGAATTAAATAGGATTACTAGAACATATGAGGAATATTATAATGAATCAATGTAATTTGCAAAGGCTTTAATTGCTTATGGAATAACAGAAATGAGTGCAGTTAACATCATAGGTTTTAATGCTCCTGAATGGCACATATCATTTATGGGTAGCATTCATGCTCATAATTTACCTGTTGGAATTTATACTACGTAAGAGATAAAATTAATACGTATTTAGAAATAATCCAGATGCATGTTTTTATGTATCAGATCATTCTGAATGTGAATTAGTAGTAGCTGATACTAAAGAATAATTACGCAAATATTTGAAAATTTGGGATAAATTGCCTCGTTTGAAAGGAATTGTATTATATAATGATGATATTCCAACATCTGAAATACCTGAATAAAGAAGATCATAAGTATTTAAATGGAAAGATTTTATTGAAATGGGTAAAAAAGCAGATTTGATGGGTTCAATAATTGAAAGAGTATCAAAATTAAGACCTGGAAATTGTGTAACATTAATTTATACATCAGGAACAACAGGAAATCCAAAGGGAGTAATGTTATCACATGATAATTATGTGTTTACAATTACTTAATAAAAGAGGAAATATGTAATGTAAGGTGATGGAGAAATGAGATTAGTAAGTTATTTACCATTATCTCATGTTGTGGCATAATTAATAGATATTATTGGTTTTGCTAGATGGGGAGCACATTTGTTCTTTGCAAATCCAGATGCTCTATAAGGATCTCTTATTAATACTCTTAAAGAGGTCAGACCTACTTTATTCTTTAGTGTACCAAGAGTTTGGGAAAAGATTTATGATTAAATGTAATAAATAGCTAAATCAAATGGAGCTATAAAAACAAAGATAGCTAATTGGGCAAAATCAATTGGTAAAGAAGGTACTTTTGCATAAACTCATGGTCTTAAACCTCCTCTTTGTTTTGGATTAGCAGATAAATTAGTATACTCAAATGTTAAAAAAGCATTAGGATTAGATTAAGCTTAATATATGATATTTGGTGCAGCACCCTTATCTCCTATTATTAGAGAATATTTCTTAACTTTAAATATGTATTTAATTAATGGATATGGTATGAGTGAATGTGGAGGTGTTTAAAATATGGCAGATCCTTTTCACTTTGATAAATTTGATGAATTATTTATTAATAGTACTGGTAAACCTATGGAAGGAACTGAATTAAGAATAGATAATCCAGATAAAGATGGGAATGGAGAAATCTGTTATAGAGGCAGACATATATTTATGGGTTATTTTAAGGATGAAGAATCCACAAGAAATACAATTGATAGCAATAGATGGTTACATTCAGGAGATGTTGGTAAAATTGATAAGAATGGTAATTTAATGATAACAGGAAGAATTAAAGAATTGATAATTACAGCAGGAGGTGAGAATGTAGCACCAGTTTTAATAGAAGATGAAGTAAAAAAGAATATTAAGATTGTTTCAAATTGTATGGTTATTGGAGATAAGAAAAAATATTTATCTATCTTATTAACATTAAAACATTAATTAACACCTGATGGATAGTAATATTTATATTTTAATATTATCTAGACCTACTGATAAACTAAATGAAGATGTCATTGCTATATTTAAGAGTCTTGGTTCATCAGCCACTACAATTGAAGAAGCAAAGAATGATAAAGCTATTACTAATTATATATAGTAATTGATTGATGAAACTAATACTAAGTAATCAATTATTTTTATAATTTAAGAGTTATTTCTAAAGCTCAATATATTAGAAAATGGACTTTAATTCCTGGTGACTTTAGTGTTGATGGTGGAGAATTAACACCAACTTTAAAATTGAAAAGAAGAGTAGTAGAATAGAAATGGCTTGCTGAAATTGAGAAAATGTACTAAGATGCCAAATTATGAAATTATTAATAAAATATAAATAAAAGTTAAATGGATCAACCCAAAATTATAGTTGCAGTCAGAAAGCGTCCATTATCTAAGAAAGAAAATAAAGAAGGTTAGAAGGATATAGTTGAAGTTCAGGGTAATACTGTTATTGTTCGAGAACCAAGGTATGATTAGTATAATCCTATTAGAATGAAAGTTGATTTAACTAAATTCATAGAAGAATTCAATTTCAACTTTGATGCTGCCTTTGACCAATAATACACAAATGAGGATTTGTATTAGTAACTTGTAAAACCTATGGTACAAGCAGCAATAAATGGTACTAAAATTACTTGTTTTGCTTATGGTTAAACTGGATCTGGTAAAACGTACACAATGTTGGGAGATTAAAATGTGGTAGGAATATATACGTTAGCAGCATATGATTTATTTTAAATGATACCAAATTCCATTGTGATGAGTGTCTCATTCTATGAAATTTATTGTTCTAAATTATTCGATTTGTTGAATGATCGTGTACAATTAATAGCTCGAGAGGATGCAAAAGGTTAAGTCAATATAACAGGTTTATCAGAGACAAAAGTTCATAGTGTTTAGGAGTTTTAAAAAACTGTTGAAATGGGGATCAAAAGTAGAGTTACAGGATAGAATAGTGTTAATTAAGATTCATCTAGATCTCATGCAATTTTATAGATAAATTTGAGATAATAAAATAAAATCATTGGCAAATTGTCATTTATTGATTTAGCAGGTAGTGAAAGAGGTGCTGATGTTGTTGAATATCATAAACAAACTAGAATAGATGGAGCTGAAATTAATAAGTCATTATTGGCTTTGAAAGAGTGCATTAGAGCTCTTGATCTTAATAAAAATCATACACCTTTTAGAGGATCCAAATTAACTTAAGTTCTTAAGGATTCATTTACTGGAAATTGTAGAACTCTCATGATTGGTACTATATCTCCTTGTCATAAAGATGCAGAACATAGTCTAAACACTCTAAGATATGCAGATAGAGTAATTTTGATATCTAGCTATTAATGTAGGTTAAGGAATTGAAAGCTCCCTAAGCATCAAATGGTGTTGACTAATTAACAAGAGAATTAATGTTACCTAGATAATATATAATGAATAATTATTTATTTGAAAGTCCTTAGGCTGTTAAATCTAGTTCACCTCCTAAATTATTTGATCATGATAATGGAGATTTTTATGAAGATGAAGTTTAAATGAAACCAAGTCGTAATAGTAATCTTAAAGATAAACATGATGAACTCATTTAATAAATATTAGATGAAGAAAGAGCTCTTAAAAAGGCTCATAGAGATCATATTGATGATTTAGTTGAATTGGTTAATGATGAAATGAAAATGTTATAAACTGTAGATCAACCAAATTCAGATATTGAAGAGTATGTTGATGGTCTTGATCATGTTTTAATATTGAAAATTGAAAAGATCATGAGGTAGATTAATCATTTAATTATTATTATTTAGATTACGCAAGAAATTACAATAATTCAAATAGCATTTGATGGATGAATAAGATTTAGCCCATTAATGTCAGACTCATTTCTATCAGAAACCACACTAAAACTGATTATATAATTATATTTATAATAAATTATATGGAAAATAACTAAGAACCAGAACCTCCAAGTCATTTCTAAATTTGGTAGTCTATTTTTTCTATTTATAGGCTAACATTTATTGAAATGGTAGCTGTGTTAGTTTGCCTTGCAAGTAACATGGTCAAATTACATAGTATGAAAAATAAAAATCTGAAATTTTGGTTTCTGATGAGTGTGAGTGCGTCGAGTGCCTTCAGGGGTATGAGTCTCCTTCTAATAATGGAATAGCCATAAGGCATATGGTTAGACTTTCTATACACAGCACCAATCCTAATTTGGATCCAATCTTACATCATATTTATTGGACATCTAGCCATTTGCATGAGTGTTCTTGCTAACAAGGATACTAATATCATTCAGTACTCCATATACTATAGTCCTGTTTGTCTAGGTAAGTTGTTTATAGACACTTAGTCTTATCTTATGTTTACTTTTTACTCAAAGATGGATTCTTGGAAAGAGTATTAATTCTTTAATTTTTACTCTATGCCGCACTTATTATTGGATGTTTATACTTTAGCAATAAGTTATTTTCTGATGTACTAAAACCTAACTATAGCAGCTAGAAGATGATGATTAGATCGTACCTTTCCTTACATAAGTCAACAAATTGATATAAACTATATCAATAAGTTTGGCACTCAGATTGCTTATTTTTTTTCTAATTTTTGCCAATTACATATAATTGAATATAGATTTGATTCTTATAGTATTTTTCCTATTTCATACATATTAGGAAGTATTTATGGGTGAATTAGTACCATATTGTGCTTTGACATTCTTCAAAATACCACCTCCAAGACATGATAATGATTCCAGAGCAGGAACCTAAATGGAATTACAAAATTTAGAAGGACCACTTTTGAAATGACAAACATTATAATTTATAGTGATTTTACAATATTCATATTTTTTAATCTTTATCCTCTAGATGTAAATATTGAAATTCAATAATTGATTAAAATCTTATTTAAATTTAATAATTCTAAAATTATATTAATCTATATTTTTAGAATTATAAAAGATTAAAACAATTTGACAAATATTATTCTTTGATTTTTTGATTTACTTATTGATCTTTAAATATATTTTACATCTTATATAATTATAAGATCAATTAAGAATTTAGAAATTTAAATTTGAGATTTATACAAATTAACGATATAATAATATTATTTGAAATCAAATATTATATACATCTACATAAACAACTCCAAAAAAAGAATTAATCAAATGGATAAACGAAATCTTTAAATTAATCAATTAATTTATTATCGAATAAGATATCTAATTACATAATTGGAATCCCTTAACACAGGTAGCAAATTTTGTTAGATATTTGATTATATATCCAAATTCAATAATAGAAAATAACATCATTTGGAAAGCTAATAAAGAAAATGATTACATAAATATTTCAAAACCTTCTCAATATGCTTTTGCTAAATTAAACTTTTAAAAATAATTAGATGTAATCTATTTTAACAACACCTAAAAGAAAAACTTAACAAAAACAAATAATGAAAATCTCACATCTTCTATTCATTCCTTTTTTAGTTTAAATGACCACTTATAAAAACTTTCTGTTGGTATAAGCACAAATACATAATTTACAAAAATACCAAAATTAAATTACAGAAATTATTTAGAATACAGAATATGATGAAACAATAAAAATTTAAAAAATAAAGACATTATTCATTTGAATTAATATTATTTATATTGTAATATATTAATTTATATTTTATAATGAAAATAATATTTTCTGCATTCTATATTCATTTTATAAACATATGTTTAGATTAATCAATAAAAAGAAGTATAGTTAATAATTAATCATTGGGATGCAAGCTCATAAAGTATTTATGGATATATTCTAGATTTTTTATGTCTACTTGTTTAATAACATTAACAGATAGCAAATCCTAAGTTAAATATATAGAGAATATCAACAATCAGATAATCAATATATGATCTATTGACATAGTAAATGTATTCTTATTAAAAATAGGTAAAACATCCATCTTTTCTTATATTAATAAAATATATACGGTATTCCATTATTAATGTTTGAGAATAAGTAAACAGGATGCTATTTACACCATCCTGAACAACTGTATTTTTCTTCTAAAGTTGCAATTTGATTATAAGACACACCATCTACTTTAATTGATTTATTGCAATCAGGATATTTGATGATGTCACTAATTTATTTATTGGTAGTATAAGAAATTCGATTGTTCTCTAAATAATCAGGATCCCAATCTTAAATTTTCTCAATATAACAAAGACAATTTTGTTTACAAAACTGTGTTTCCGCCCATAAAATTTATTCTTTAGTTTTTTGAGCAGAAGGCAAAGATGAAGAAATGCAATCATCAAAATTTTTATTCATTAATTAATCTTGTAAGATTGTTAAACATATTGTAACATAGATTGTTAATACTCCTATAAAGATAATAAAACAGGAATAGACAAATATAATGCAAAAGTTAGGACAATATGAACTTAATAATCCTGATGCCCCAACTATAATTATAGCTAAACCAACTGAAAATGTAAATACTACTCCCTAAAAAGTTAATAAATATATTTCTTACATCTTTGCCATTATTGATGTCATCATTTAGTGTAACAAATACTTGAGAAATAAGTACAATTCCAAATATAATGAAACAAAAACAATTTATTCGAATGAATAATTGTATGAATTTCAGTGGCAAACACATAAATGATAAATATATATATATATAAATATTATACATATTTATTAATATTTATTAATATTTGATAAGAAATAAAATATCCATAATCCATATAATTGCAAAATATTTATTTAAATCATTGTTTATGTTTCTTAGCATGATTCTCAACTAAATCATAAGCTTATTAAACTGTTTTAATTTCAGAAATCCTAAGTAAATTTATATAATAATTCTTACCTTTTACCCTTTCTGACAGCATAAGCAGCATCATATTATTCTTTATATTCTCTAGTTTAAATGAGTAATTATTCAGTTAAACTAAGATCTCTATTGATAATAGTTAATCTTTTTTCCAAAAGAACCTTAAATAATAATCATTCGAATAATACTTTATCATTAGTTCTTTTTTTTATTAATTAGGAAGTGATTTCGAAATCTTTAGAAAATCTTTCTCTCAATTCAGCAATTTCTTATAGAACAGTTTAGAATGTAATCTAAATTTAATTAAGAATTTTTACTTGACTTTATGTTTCTTATTCATCCTCTTATTACATTAAAGCAATAACAGCATTTCTAATATGATCCAATTTATCAATAATTCTTTTAACAGTTGGAACATCAAATTTAGTTGTTAAAGCAACCATAATAGCAATAGGATGATTATGTCCTAATTCTCTTTTGATCTTTTCAACAATTTCAAATTATTCAGTTTGCAATAATGATTTTCCTTCTTAATCAAAAACAGCAACTTATAATTTAGGAATTATTTCATTCAATGCTGCTAAAACTTTACTATTATTTTCTTATCTAGCTTAATAAGATGCAGCTTCTTAAGCTCTAGTTTATCTTAATTATTCTTCTTTTCCATTAAGAATATTTAATTATTCAGTGAGTGCATCTAATTATTATTATAAACCAACTAGGATTTAATTCAATTCACTTAATTAATTATTTTTATCTTATCTCTCCTTAGTAAGATTTCTTAATACAATAATCAACCATTCAATATCTAATCCTAGTGTTGTTGTTCTCTAATATTATTTCTAAAATTTACATGAGCATATTCAAGATCATCATTAAGTTAGTCTCTCTTCATTTATTCTAATAAATCTCCAACTAATGAAACTACTTCAGAAACTTTTCCTCCTTAACTGAGTTCCAAATCGAGTAAGAATGTAAACTCAGTGTGTTCTGTTTTTATTGCTTTAATTTCCTTAAGTAAAATTGGTACTCCAGATTCCAATTCTACTGCAGTGATTCCAAAAATCATCAATCCTAATATGAGGACAGCTTTCATTATTTTATTAATAATCGATAAAAACGGAATTTAATCATATAAATAATAAGAAAAAAATTGTCACTTCACTTCTCCTAAAACCTTTTCACATAATGGACATTGATGTACTTATTTTTTACAACAATTTATACAAAATGGTATTAAACAACAACTAATAATTAAAACAATCATTCAAATAATACCCACAAAATAACCCAAAAGCACACATTGTTAAACATAAACTAAAAGAAAGACATCCAGGAATATAAGTTAACTTTGTTTAAATCATACCTGCACACTCAGGACATCTGACATTCAAAGAATAAGGAGGAAGATTCTCTTTATCAAGTTCTCCTAATCAATAAATATTAAACCATACCAAAGCTTCTTTATTATAATGAACTTGGATAATGAGTATTGGGAATTGCAGGGATATATTATGGAACATTACCTTAAGGAACCCAATTCACTTAATTACCCTACCATTAATTTGCATGTATTGGCTATCCTATTTATATTGCTTAAATATTTTCATCAGGAGGAGGATAACTTAGTAATTTGAATTCTTACTTGTAATTGTTAACAGGTTTATCAAGATCAGGATATTAAATCATAAAATATATTAAAATTTATCAAATAAACAAGTTTTTTTATTGTTTATTTATAATTATTGTTATAATTAATATACTTAATAGACTAATCTAATCATTAACAAATAATTAATTACTGACAAGAATATAAGTAAATGATTCATAGTTTAAGTCAATTATAAATAAAATATAATATTGACTTAATTATTTAACACAATGGAATTTCCTGTTTATAAATATTTTGCTACTAATTATTGATTAATGAATTTGCTATTCATTTAAAAAAAATTAAGAATCATATTTGATTTAATCGAAAGAATAATTATGATCATATTTTATATAAAATGAAAGTCTAAAATTAAAAAGCTCTAATTGTATTGATATTAACTCAAAATTTTAAAAATTAAAAGAAACTTTACAAATTAAATAAATATTCAAAGTTGAATACTTTTGATACAAAATTCATTTTATATAATAGAATTGTTTTTATATCAAAATCCATCTATCATTAATTATAAATTTATTTGTTTCAATGATCTAGTATATTTGCATAAATTTACATAATTGATATTAGATAAGGAAAAGCTTATAGATAAGTGTAATTTTAAATTGATATTAATATATTTAATTACTCATCTTCTATAAGGGGCTAAACTACTTCTTCTAACTTCTTCAACTTCTTTTTCTTTCTCTTATACTCTTGCTCTAAGGCTTTCAATTTCTGCTGATTACATCTAAATTTAGAATTATAGAATTACCACAAAGTGGAAAAAGAGATCTTATATTTTTCTAGTTTAAGCTCCACCATCTGCATATTATAGTCTCCACTATTTAAGTTCAGCCTCATTAAGATCTATGATTCCTTATAATCTATCGATTTCATTAGACAAAACTCTAATCTAAAGACATATTATAATTTATTTACATTTTCTTCATATTATTTTAACTAAATGATTTATTATTCTTATTAATAACATTTCTTTTTCAATTAATCAATTTCATCTTATCTATTCATTAATAGTTAATTTAATCTTTCAATTTCTGTTGATAACATAGCACATCTATTCTCTAATTCAATATATTTAGTTTTATATAACTCTAAAGAATTATATTTTTATTTTAATTCATCATATTATCTTTAAAGTAAATTATATTATGATTCTAATATTTCTTTTTCTTTTCTTAATTCATCTGATTCTGAAAATGCTTTTCTTAATTATTAATTAACTCTTTCTAATTCTTGATTACTAATTTAAATTTTATTTTCATATCTTTAAATTTGAGTTCTATAATCTTCAATTTCTCCATTTCTCAATCTTAATTATTCATTTAATCTTTAATTTTCAGTTGTCAAACTCATAATCTTCTATTCTAAAATTAAACAATTTTCTTAAAACATTTTTAAACTTGCTAATTAATTTTCTAATCCTAATCTTTTACTCTTTTCTTCATCTTGTAATTTTTATAATAGACTATTTCTATCTAAAGCCTTATATAATTAATCATCCTTAATTTTTAATTAACTTTGATAATGTGATATTTGATTAGTCAATTATTCATTTTCATCAAAAATCTCAGCTTATACTTATGTTAATCTATCAATTTCAGAACAATGTAAAATAATTCTTATTAATGATTATTTCCATTTATCTTCAACTATTCTATTAGTTTAACTCAATTCAGAGTAAGCTTATTCTAATCTTCTATATTTAGACATCCATTCTTCAGCCTCTGTAGATTTCAATCCCATACTTTATTTCAATTTTTATATATCATTCATCATCTATCTTCTTTATTCATCAAATTCTTATGATTTCTATTAAAATAACATTTTCTATCTTTCCAATTCTTATGAAATCATAGCAATAGTATTTTCATATTCTACCAATTTTTTATTCTTCATTAATGATTCTTATAAATCATATTCTATATTAGTATATTTTCTTTTCCATTCTTCAATCTATTTTTACAAAGATTAATTAATTAATTCTTAATTATTAATTTCTTTTTGTAATTAATTTTAATTTATTTATAAATTTTATAATTCTAATTATTTCTATCTCAATTATTCTTACATTCTATCAATTTCTTAAGTTAAACAATTTAATTTATTTTTAATATCATTATATTATGTTGATTTATTTTTAAATTCTTATTCATAATGTTAAGATTTTTATTTCCATTCTTCTAATTCGTGAATCTTTTATCTTAAAATATTATTTAGTCTTTCAATTTCAGAAGTTAATAATTCAATTCTATTAATTAAATCTAAATTTCCTTATTCTAAATTATGATTTGATTATTATAATTAATAATTTTTCATCTTTTAATCTTCCAAATTATTACTCAATTATTAAAACATATCAACTTAATCTTTTAATTACATTTATAATTAATCTAATTTATTTAATTTCTATTTCATTTCTTTACATTGATTATCTGAATCAAAATATTTCTATCTCCATTCTTCTCCTTATTTTATCTTTTCTCTCAATACTTAATTGAGTCTATCTATTTCCCCTTACAAAAGAGTTATTTTGTTTTACATTTAATCTATAATTTAGTCTTAATCCTTATATTTAATTAATTCATTTTAAGTCATTACATATGCTTAATTTAGTTAATCATAATCTTTTTATTTTTTATCAAATTAATTTTATAATTATCTTAATTCAGATCTCCATTTTTCAGATTCTTAAACCATATTATTATAACGTGCTTTATTCATTTCTAATTCTTCTAATTTTTATTTCAATAAATTATTTAATCTCTCAGTTTCACAAACTAACATACCTATTTTATTTTCTAACTAAACTATTTTTTCTTCCTATTACTTATATTATTAAAATTCAGTTTCATATTAATTCAATTCTACTTAATAATACTCTACTGCCTATTATTTACTCAATAATTATTCTCTAAGTTTTTATAATTCATTTTCCTAGAGATATTTAATCACTCATATTACATTCATCTATTTCTAAGTAAATAATTGATTTCTTAAATCATCTATTTCTTTTTATTATTTTGAATTTCCAACCAAAAGTTATTGTTTCAATTACTCATTTTCATTTCTGTATTTTTCTTCATTATTAAAAAATCTGATTTTCCAATTCTCAATCTCTTCAGTATACTAAGAAGTAGTAATCTCGACCTCTTATCTTAAAGTATTAATATATTTTTAATACCTATACATACTCTCTTAATATTGCATCTACATAAGTCTAGCTTATAAATCTTCTATTTATTTTTCATAACTATTTCTATCAAGTAATTTGTCATCCATCTCCTTTATTCTATATTTAAGTTTATCATTTTCAGCCACAAATCTTTCAACCTCACAAGCCATCAAAAAACAAACAATATCAAGATTTTTGCCTAATTATTATCTGGCTGGAGGAGGATTATTAATTTAAGAAGAATAGATATTATTTCCAGACCTAGTTTTTCATAAACACAATTAATTACATTGATCTTTTCATTTGTGACACTCCTAAATTTTGTGTCACTGAAGTGCATTGTCTAACTGTACTTGTTATTACCTTTGATGAAGATTGTGATGTAAAATATTCTTTATTTTAAGTGACTGGTTCTAATGGAGATCGACTATATGTATTCATTTTAAATTCAAATAATTATTAATAAAGATCGTTAATTTATACAATACAATAAAAACTAATCAATCTTATTACTTAACTATTCCAACATATTATATCTAAATTAATATATACTTTCTTTCTTATATATATAATATTAGAATTTATTTTTAAATATAAATTCATCATAATTTGTTTACAGAATAACAAATATCCTTATACTACTTTAATTTTGATAAATATGATAAATTCAATTAGTATTTGAATTATCAATAAATATAATAAATTCTTTGTGCCAAATTAGGATAATTTATAAACTTTCTTTAATATTTTTAATTGGTTGTTATAAATTAAATGCTCAAACCTAAAACAAGCAACCCAAACAGTATTAAATTCTTTAATTTAGACAAGATTACTGGATGCAAGGTTGAAGGTCAAATAAAACAGAGAATGACCATAAATGAAACTAAATTACAAGGAATTACAGAATCAAATTAATAAGATATTTTCATGGCCAGCAAATTAAATCCTAGTCAAATAGTTACACCTAACAAAATTAAGAAAAAGAAGAAGAAAAAATCTAAGAAATCTTCATAAAAATCAAAAACTGAAATACAAAAAAGTGGTTTTAAAACAAAAAAGTCTATTTCATAAGTTATTCCATGGGGTGTTAATTAGCAAAGACTACGTAATTACATAATAGCTGAATAACAAAAATATTTTAATGCGATGTAACGTCGAAATACAAGAACAACTGTTGACCTTAAAGAAAGGAGATAATAAATTGGCACATCATTTTTAAACCAATAAGCAGAAAAGAATATTAAGTCTATGATTAAAAGTAATATGATTTATTAAGCTAGAGAAAAAATCTTTTCATGATGAGAATCAATCTAATAAAAAATAAAAAATATCAACTGCTTTACAATAATAATATAAAAAGTTAGTAAATAAACCTAAAAATTTGAACATTGTACATAATCGATTGAAAATGAGTTAGATACATTATCCTAGTCCTGCTTAAAACATATAAAAAAGGAATAGAAGTCTCTCATAAGGTTAGCATAATAAACCAATTTAAAATAATAGAATAAGAACAGGTTCTCTTCATGAAAAAACTGGTACCTTATTTGAAGCATCTAATTTATAATTGAAATTCAATAAAGGTTAGAAACAAAAAAGAATAGTTTTATAATATTAAAATATTGATGAGAATTTACTAAATAATAATAAATTAGTATGTAATTCATCAAAAAATTAATCAAAACCTCATTCATCTCTATATAAATTTATGAGTAATTCAAGCAATAATAATATTCCTAATGATAGTGATGGAGAATAAAATATTTAAGATTTGGATGATAGTTTTTATAGTTAAAAAAATATTCTAGATACTTATTCTGATAAAGAAGAAGCTTAATAAATTGAAGAAAAAAACATATTTTAATGTTCTTATCCTGAAAATTATAATGAAGAGTATTATATAAAAAAAGAAAATTGTAAGAAGATTACTTTACCTTAGAATAATTAGTCTGTTGAAAATTAGGCTGCATTGATCATTTAAAAAATATGGAAAGGATATAAAGTACGAAAGATGATTTTTGAATCTAAATTCTAATAAAAAATAGACATTAATAAAACTAAGGATGGATTAAATTTATAAAGTTTAACCAAATCTCAAATTAATAAATTAATTAAATTTGGATTTCTCAAGAAAGGTTCAATAGATAATTCTTAACTTATAGATGAATCTAGCTTTTTAAGTCACTCTAGGCCCAATTCTTAAATAGATAATTAAAAAGAAATAAAAAAAAATATTGAAACAAATTAATATTAAAGATTTATAGAAAACTTTTAAGATGATATTGATTGCAAACCAAATTAATTTAATTAATTGAATTAAGTTTCAAATAAATTTAAAAATATGTAGTTACAAATAATATCTGAGCATACTCCTGAAAAAATTAAGAAATCATATTAAAATTCTCAAGATGAATCTATTGGGAATTAAAAATCAAGAAAAATTAGTAAATTATCAATAGATGTTGAAGAGTAAGAGGAGGAGAATAAGGTTGATATTGGAGAAATTAGATGTGCTTTTGGTTCAGAATCATTATTAAAGAGTCTTTCATAAGAAGGTGAATAATCATTTTAATAAGATAAAGGATTGTTTGAATAAACATCATTTTAAGACTTTGTTATGAATAAGTTTAAAGAACTTATGTAGAGAGACAAGATGGATTAATTAATTGCTTTAAGAGAAGAAGCAGTTTAATAAAGACAATAATAATCTTTAAAGTAAATTGATAAAGCTTTTTAAAATAATTAAATATCCCCTAGAACATTTGAAGTTTAATAAAGGAAAATAGAGAAATGGGTTAATAAATAAAAAACAGATTTAGAGTAAAAAAAGAGGGAAATTCTTAAGGGATAATAAAGTGTATTTGATGCTATTGTAAAAACTTAAAGAGATTTATAATTTGTAAAATAAATGATGTCCTCATAAAATTCATAAACATATATAAAAATAGTTGATACATTAAGTTAAGAATCTGTAAACTTTTCTGAAAATTCTTTAAAGAATTCAATAATAGATATTTAAATATCAAATTCTCAAATGTAGTAATCTTTATAAGATGATAAAAATAAGGCATATGATGATGTAGTTACAATATAGAGAAAAAGTAATAATATATTAGAAGAGTAAGAATTAATTTGTCCTGAACCATTTAATCTAAAAAAATTGGCCTAATCTTAATTTGTAAGAAATGTTGAACAATTAAAAGAACCTTAAAAGATATCAGAGAAATGTGCTGATTCTTATTCTATTTTGATTTCAAATATGTTAATATAAGAGGAAGTAAATACTTTTTATACAGAAATGCAAAGATATGGAATAGATTTATATGAAATAATCAGCAAGTCTTAATTAAATACAAAGAATTAAATTGTTTAGCCAAAAGAGCAAAAGATTTAGGGATTGAAAACAAATGTTGCTTAAATTAAATAATATCTCAAATATTTGGAAGAGTATTTAATAGGTAAAATAATTAATGATATATAATTTTAGATAATGTAATGATTTAAATCTAAAGAGTTATCAATTTACCATTGGGTCCATCATCAAAATTAATGCTAAAGTTTCTTTAACCAATTCGAGATTCAGCAGAGTCAGATTTTGATTCAAATGGAAATTAGCATTAAATAATTCTAAGTGTAGAGTTATTTGGTAAATTTGAAAGATATTTAATGGAATAAAGAATTATTAACCATCAAAATAAACTAATAATTGAATTAGAACATATTCATAATAAAGCAATCTTTGATTCTTTAACTGAAGCACTTGATTATTTTAGACCATATGGTCTAATTGGATAACCATTTTTATGGAAATCTGATCCAACTAGATTAAGAGCAAGGGAAAATTAATTGACTGATATTCCTGAAATTATTAGGAAAGCTTCAGAAAAAGTCATAGATTGGAGTCATTATATGACAGGGATATTGGTTGATAAAGAAGATTCGCCATTTCCAAAATCTATGTAATTAGATTAAGAAACCATAGCATAAATAAGAGAAGATAGACTCTATAGAATGTTAACATTAGATGTATAATTTAAATTTGAGAATTGTAGATTATAGATAATGAAGATAAATGGACAAATTATGATGAAGAGACTACAGAAATTTCAATAGATTTATCAGATCTATTATTTGATTATCTTATTGAAGAAGTAGCATATGAGATGTTTAAGAAATGATATTTTTGTTGAATATATTAAATTCAGTTGTTTTAATTTATTCATGTCTAATGTTTAATTACTTAGAAAAGATTACTTCTTATTTATTTAACATCAATTTCATTTTATGTTCTAAATATTAAATAAATAATATTACTGCAATATCTAATTCAAATTGATAAATATTAAACTTTAATTTAATAATATAGTATCAAAGATACCTGAATTATTTTATAAATCTGCCAAAAAAGATAGGTCTTATCCTTTTTCCATATAATCTAAGACCCATTCCTCTTATAATTCAGTAAAAATAATCTTATCTAATTCTTCTTCTGTATATGAATCCACTGCATTATGATATGCAAATTTTACTTCACAAGGAAGAATTTCTATTTAATCTTTTAATTTATTAATAACATCAAACATCTTTGTCTAAATTTCAATTAATTGTCTTTATTTTTAATCCTATTATTAATATGGAGAAGAAAATTGAGAATTTGACATTTTAGTCTTTTTGTAACCTTAATATAATAATACAGCTTTGGCTATATTGGAATGATTTTATTCTAATTAAAACCATTTTAATATTCTCTCTGTATTATCTTAATCAAATTAAAGTAAATTTATTGGCTTATCTCCTCCTAAAACATCTATTTTTTCCATCACTTTCTTATTTGAAATTTTAAATGAACTTATTATTACTTTAATTAATTCATTCTTTATTTAAGCCCAATGTTAATATTTTCTTGGATATTAATTAAGATAATAGAATAAATGACTAAATCTATTTATAGCAATAAAGTCTTCAAAATTTGAAATATCAATAGTTCTTGAATATTCAATTTATTCTTCTTTCTACATTTGGAATATGAGTTTAATTAAATTCTTTATATTTAAGAATAAATACTTTTCTAAATTAATCATATTATTTAAATAAATTTAATATCCATTTAAATCCTTATACTTAAACTTATTTAATATCTTGTAATTTATCACTTTGTATTAATTCAATTCTTTTTTCACTTTCTATAATTACTTCTATTAATTACTATAAAGAACTATTGTTATTCTTCTAATCTATTTCATTAAAATCCTCAACAATCATTTATAAATTTCCAGTATGTAAATATTACATAGATTCTAATAAACATATAACATCTTTTTCAAATATTATATCCTATTATAATTATAACCTAATATGTTCAACATCTATAGAAACCTTCTTTCTTTATAATCTTATAGCTGTTTATTCCAATTAATGTGATAAACTAAAGAATTTTTCAATGTTTATTTTTTTCAAATTTTAACTCTCAATATCACTTAATTATAATTATTAAGGTAAATTAACAATTATTTCTTGTATTTTTAAATCTATAATTTATCGTTATTTTTAATAGTTTTCTTTAAATGTCAAATATTAAACATGTGTATCAATATCTTGAATATTTAAATATGGTTCTACTTTTGGATTTAAAGAATCTATAAATTTAAGCTCTGTCTCTATTTTTCTAATAAATTTCTCTTTAAATTCACTTAAACTAGGGTGTTATTATTATATTGTGTTTAATTTTACTAGTAATTTTTTAAGTGTACATTTAGATTATTAGACTTCTTAGTATAGATTAATAAGATGTTGCCATTAATCCTTGGATATGGATTATTATAGATTATTGAATATTTAATCAAAAAAGTCCTAAAAATTGTTATTTTTATATTTTTTAAATTAATCTATCAAAGGAATTATGAATTGCACTGCTGTTTTCTATGAATTTATTTAATTTTGAATGTTATCGATATATAAACAAGATTTCTAATATATCTTATTCTTCATTGCAAAAAAATATTTACTCTAATTAACATGTATAAATTTAATTTCATCCTTTTAGTATTTAAATTAATAATAGTTATCTTTGTAATTTTAAGGTTATTAATTTAAATAAAAAATTAGATATTAATAATAATCAAAGCTATCAAAATATTCTTATAATAAATCTTTATGAATAGCAATTTTATCAATTGAAGCTAATGATAGCCTATAATCTTAAATAATTAACTAATAATTTGATAAACATATTTAGATATCTCTTGAAACCCCTTTAAAATATATTGAAGATACTCTTTATAAATTAATCATTTTTTGTTAAAACTCTTATTCTAATTATGGAAATGATTTAATTAATTGTAATAATTTTGAACAAATAGATTTATATTGCTAATGATTTTGATTGATATTTCCCAATCTAAATTTTAGTGAATACTATTTACCTTCTTTTTTCAGAGAGAATTTATTCATACTCTTTGGCAATTAATTCTATATCTGAGAAATGTTTTAAGGAAACTGATGTAAATTCAGCTTCACTTACTATTTCTGATTCATCAAAAGGTTTATGCAATCTTTCATAGGCTGCCACTGAAATAACTGACATAAAATTAAATGCTTCATTAAATATATCTCTTAATTCATCAGCTTTTGATTCAAATTGATTAAATTCATATTTGATTTCTCTTTAAAATTTTGAATAAGATGTACATTAATCATACTAAATTAATTTAGATTGTATATTTTTAAGTTATTAAGTAACATTTAATTTTTATTATTTTATTTTACTATGCTTTTCAATAATAGTATGCACTGTTCTTCCTTCCATTTTAATACGATCTCTTATATTTTCTGCATCAATTTCTAATTATTAGTAATATTAAGGCTCTACATTTGATGTCATTAATCTTGAAGATTATAGATTAGATTAATTCATTGGTACTGTTGATCTAAATAATGTGAAAATATTTTCTAAATTCTCTAATTAAACATCTTTCAATAAACTTTGTTTTGCAGGATCTTCTTAAGATATTTAATCATTTCTAATTTCGCTTTTTATTTAACCTTCAATTCTAGAAGAAGGCTTTTATTACTCAATTTCAATTGGTGCAATATAAGAAAGTTCAGGATCAATATTCAATGAATTAACACTTAAATCAGGTTGTTTTTAAGTTGGTAATTGTAAATGATTTTGAACTTAATTTGGTTGAGTGTTATCAAATATTCTTTTTCTTTAAGTTGATGAAACATTATTAATGTTACTTGTAGTAACATAGATGTTTGACATATTTAATAATAAATTATGAATAAAATTAATTATAAAAATTCATCAAATTCATTGTATTTATTTGAATATTAAACAATAAATCAAGAATTGTAAAAGGATATATTAAAGATTAAAAATATATCTTTGAATGATATAATATTTTATGAAATCTATCTGATATTTATATTTAGAAGATGAGGATTTACAATATTATTATATTTATAAAGAATCATTATACAAATAAGGGAATCTCAATTTAGAATTCATTTATAATAACCAAACATTTATACTAAAAATGAAACATATAAATTAAAAAATTAAAATCTTTATTCATTAATTAAAATAAATAATGAGAGAAAAGTGGAGAAAAAAGAGAATGCGAAGACTCAAGAGAAAAAGACGTAAGGCACGTAAGTGATATAAGAATGTGATAAATATATAAATATTTAATCGAACATTTTTTTAATTCAATTTTTATCAATTCTTTGACTATAATTATCTAATAAATAGGTAAGTTATAAGCAATTTTATGATTTATTGAATATATGATATATAATATGAATAATAAAAATTGTTCAATGAAGTTTTGATAAATGCAGTTAATTAATTATTATTTAATTTTAATGGAGCAAGAAGCCTATTAATAAGTACAAAACTACATTTTATGTAAATTATAATCAATTTAACAAGAGCGTACATTGGGTTAAGGAACTTTTGGAAAGGTGAAATTAGGTTATCATACAATAACAGATGAATATGTAAAAGTTATTTTATATTTATTAGGTTGCCATTAAAGTTCTTGAGAAGAACCGAATAGAGAATTAATTTGATTTAATGAGAGTCTAGAGAGAAATAATGATTTTGAGAAAAGTCAATCATCCAAATGTAATAAAATTATATGAAGTAATAACTTGATTGATTTAAGATTTTAGAATCAGAATAGTCAGTTTATTTAGTTATGGAATATGTGAGAGGGGGAGAGTTGTATGATTACATAATAAAGAAAAAATAGTAATGTGAATCCTAATTGAATTAGCCTACCTGAACATGTTGCAGTACGCTTTTTCTAGTAGATTATTTTTGCAATAGAATACTTGCATAGTAACAATATTACACATCGAGATTTGAAACCAGAGAATCTATTATTAGATGAAAATAAATAATTGAAAATTGCTGACTTTGGATTGAGTTTTATTTCTATTACAAAGGGAGAACTATTGAAAACAGCTTGTGGTTCTCCTTGTTATGCAGCTCCAGAAATGTTAGGTATATACATTATTTAAATAAAAAGTTGGTAAATAATATGAAGGTTTAAAAAGTGATATTTGGAGTTGTGGAATAATCTTATTTGCAATGCTTTGTGGTTATTTGCCATTTGAACATGAAAACACAAAAGAATTATATTAATTAATTAAAACTAGTGATTTTGAAAAACCTACTCATTTATCACCTAATGCAATAGATATATTAACAAAGATACTTGTTAAGGATCCAGATAAAAGATTAAATTTTGATTAAATTAAATAACATCCTTTTTTTTTAATGTAACCTCCTTTATAAAGAAAGAATTTAAACTTAGATGATTAAATTATAATATAGAAAATGATAGAAATGGGTTATTCTCAAAATTAAATTTCTTTTTAATTACATGCAAATAAACATAATACTTTAACTACAATTTATTTTTTATTACAAAAAAAACAAAATTAACCATATAGAAAGAATTTCTTTCAGAATATTCAAAATATTGCTAATTTAAAGTTGGATATAAATTAAAAAAGATAAACTATTGTTAAATTTTAACCTTCATAATAAGGATCTCCAAATTTTGATAAATATGAATTTAGATAATAAAAATTGAGATCAAGAATAGATAATTCTCCTTATTTATAAACTTAGAATTCATAAAAGTTTAAGAAAATTAATTTATCTGTATAATCAAAACGAGTTAGTGTTTAAATTGATAATACACGTTAAAAGACATATTCAGTTTAAGAGAAATATAATGATTATCCATAATTAGTAAATAATGGTTTATTAGATTCTAAGTATATTTATAAATATATCTATATATAAGGATTTAAAGTAGAAAGAATTCTAAATTATAAGGAAATATAAAGTTATAACCAAAAAAAGAGATAGAATAGGGATTAAAAACAGAAGTTAATGATGATGTAACTAATTATTTTAAAGGTAATTTGACATAAGTAAGACAAAGAAATAAAACATAACCAAATAAAAATGAAGAGACTTTAAAATTTTTTGATAAAAATTCTAAATTAAAAGCATCCAATTAAGTATTATTAATTGTTAATTAGATTGTATCGAAAACACCATAAAATAATCCATTTGTTCAAGTTGATTTGAGTAGAACTAAATAGTTACAATAATAGTTAATTGAAAGCAAATATTCTGCATTAAAAAAAAAAAGAATTGAATTCAAAGTTTAAAGATTATTGGGAAATCAATTTTGATTAAATTGTAACATTAACAAAATTAAAAGAGTGATAATAATAGCATTCTTGAAGAATGTAAGAATAATTAATTATTTTATTTAATAATGTAAAATCTCATTACTTTCCATATTCTTTTTAGGTCATTAGATTATAAAAATCATCAAATGTAACAAATCCATCATCATCTAAATCAGCCTATATTATAATAAATTAATTATTTATACTTTCTTAAACATATGTTATATTTCTTCATCTGTCATTTCCTCTCCTAAATCTTAAGCTACTCTTTTAAGTTCATCCCAAGTGATTCTACCTAATATATATATTAAATTATTAACCTTCTTTATTCCAATCATATAAATTGAATACTTTTTGTATTTATTCTCGTGTATCTTTATCACTAACTTTAGCTGTAGCTAAATGTAAAAATTCTTCAAAATCAATTCCTCCTGAATTATCAGTATCTAATTCACCCAAAACTTAATAAATAAATTTATTGTGATATGTTTTAATTCCAGATGCTTCAAATGCTTCTCTTAATTCTTATGGATCAATTGATCCTGATCCATCATTATCAAATATATCAAAAGCTTACTTAAAATTATTATTTTATAATACTTTAACTTCTAAAACTTCCTCTTTTGTTAAATGTGGAGGTTTAGCATAATCTTCAGCATTGAATACTTTTTATTTAGGAGGTTGAGGTGGTTATGGATTTCGTTATTATTAATTAACTTTAGCTGTTTAAGGAGAAGGTTATGTTTATTTATTTTGTTATTTTTACATTTATCAAATAGATATTAATTAAAATAAAAAGTATATTATTTTCATTTTACAATATTTACTAATTCATCATCTTAATCTATATATTGACAAGAATTTAATATTTATAATTCATTATTACTTTCTAAAAGTGAAATAAAAAAAAGTTCTTAGTATTCTTATTTCAAATGTTAAAGCTAAAATTATAATAATAAAATATACTATTTGCCATAAATCTAATAATTCAAGTGCATTACGAATACATAAACAAATAACAATAGATGGATCAATAAGTGAATTATGTATTAATTAAATATTTTAACAAGTGTAAGATGCTTGACTTTTTGAAAGATCCTCAAAATTCTAAGCATTTTAAACAAAATGTGGATCCAAGTAGATTAAATAATCTTATATTCTTCCTACAATATAAAGAGCTCTTTTTGAAACACCTCCAATTATTCCTTGAAAATAAGGTAAAGTCATTAATTAATTCATGACTTCCAAATAATCCTTATTAGTATTATGGAGACCTATACGAGCAGGAAGGAAGACACATATGCCTTTATAATCTTATGAATTAAATTGATTATTATTTTTAGCACGTTCTTTCAACCAAATTTCATTACCTTAATTATAATTAAACATTTATTGAATAGCATCTTATAGAATAAAAGCACATTCATAATTGATATAGATTTACATATTTAAGGAGTCTTTTTATTAAAATTCAATTTACATTAGGAATATTTAAATAAATAGTCTAAGGTTTAAAGTATTTCATCAGGTTTATACCAATCTCCAGGTTATTTTTTAAGTTCAACTTTTGCAAAATGAACAATTTTTTAAATAGAGAATGGAGCATGATAATATTCAATTTGGTTCTTGTTAGTTTATTAAATAAAATCAGTCAACTCATTATCATCATCATCAATGAAATGTCTAATTAAAACTATCAATTATTCTGGTTTATTAAAAGAATGATAATATCTTATAATTTAAGCCAAAGCCATTTAAGCAACTCTTATCATACATCCCCAACCAGTATCTGAAGTTAATGATGTGACTTAAAAATAAAAGTAATATAAACTTTAAAATTTTGGAATATTTTTCCTATATGAAAACCATATAATTTTAGTAAAAATCTACTTCAATTTTTCTATTCTTTACTTATATTTTTATTAAATTATTTTACTTCAATGTCTATATCATTTGATATTGTATCATTCAAAATATAAATGATTTTATCCTATTATCTTAACTATTTATCTATGTCATAAACATATTAAGTTAGATTAAATTTGGCATTATACCATCTGTTTAACAAGGATCCACATAAGTTTTACATATATTTATTAAATGTTATCTTATAATACTGATTTCTATATATTATAAATAATATATGGCTAATCAATTTATTGAATATACATCATAAGAATTTTTGCAATTGCATTCTTATCTCTTAAATACAAATAATAATACATTAGAATTAGAGAAAACAGTAATATATTATTAAATATTTCAGTTCAAAGAAATAGAAAGAGCATGTACTATATTTTCAGCATCTTTAAAAAAAATTGCAGATAAACTCCATGAATTTGTAATTAAAGGCACTGGTGATGATGATAATATTGAATGTGTTTACTAATATTTGAGTAACTTTTTACTTTAAAATTCTCAATAGTGGTAATAAACAAGTGAAAATTTGAAAAGCGAAGTTTATTTATTTTATAATTAATGACTTAGGTTCTTGAACCATATCAACTAATCATGAGCAATTATAGAAATATAAACTTAAAATTATCTTCAGAAATGAAAGAATATGTTGCAAATATATAATCATTAAATAAGCAAATCTCAGATTAATAAGAAGAATATATACGATTAATGCAAAATGCAGATAAATGTTAATTAGTTATGGAAAGAACAGTTGGAGAGATAGCAAAAGGAAATAAAGGTAAAGAAGAATTAGTAAAAGCATCAGAAAAATAAATCAAATTAAAAGAAATTGCAGTAGAAGCATAAGAAGATTATAAAAAAATTATAGAGAAAGGAAATAAGAAACTCACAGATTTTGATTTAAAAATAAAAGATTGGTATTAATAAATATATTTAAATGATGAAAACAGGTAAATATATTATAATTAAAATTAGAATCAAGTTTTCTAAATAGATAATGTTGTCATTAATGAAAAAGTTAACAAATGAAACTGTATATTCTATATACTAAGATAAATTAAATTAATTAGAATTACGAGTCACATAAAAATAACCTTAAGATTTACAAAATTAAATTTAAAGATTGCTAAAAAAAAGTGGAAGTAATTTTTATACTTATTGTAAGCTGATACAGTTTAATTTTCATTATTTGATTAAATTAATTATGATTAAATTAAAAGAGGAGAATAGAAAAAATCATTGCAATTTATAGGAAGTGAATGGACTTTGATTGGAGAATAATTGAATGAAGAATAAGCTACAAAAATTATTTAATTTATTAATGATCTTATGGAAAATCAAGAAACATCAGATGACAGTGCCAATAATTCAAGAAATAGATCATATTCTACTTCTTCAACAAAATCTAATTAATTTTTATCACATGAGTATTTAGGAGTTAAATAATTAATGACAAAATAATCAGGAAGATCATTCTTAATTAATTTATTATAAAAAGAAATTGAAAAGAGAAAAATCAAATAATTAAATCTATAAGAAGATTCTTTTAATGAAGTTAGTTCAATTTTTAAACATGTATTCTTAATATTAGATGCTGATTTTGATGTAGAAGAATTCTATATCTTTTTATAATTATCATATAAAATTGTAAAAGGAGAAAACTCTCATTTGATTTCTAGTTTTTCTAAATTAGATATTTGGTAAAATAAATAGAAATGGAGATCCTTATATGAACATATTAAATCAACTAAATTTTAGTAAAAACAAGTTCTAGATTAATAATTTAATTTAGTTAAAAAAGGATATGGATTAATTAGTAAAGGATTAAAAAAAATAACTGGAGCTGTATAAGTATAATAATATTCAGAAAAAGAAAAATATTAATAATAAAAATATATTGTTTTATATGAGATTGCCACATTCCTTAGTGAATTGAATGTCTCTCCTTAATTAGGAACAGATGTAATTTTAGAGCTTGCATTTCATTCTGATATTAAATTAGAAAAAGTATAATTAGAAAAATTATTATAAATTATGGAAGAAAAAAATGCAATTACATTTAATTAAAAATATACTTCAGGATTGGGTATGAAATAAAGAAAAGAAGATAAGTATAGAAGATTTGGTTTAAATAACCCTTAAACAAAATTAATTTATGCTATCAGATTATCAATTAAATATTTGTCATATAAAGATAGACCCTAATAATTATTATTAGTATCAAAAGCCTTTAAATTCCATTTAAGATTTGCTATTGAAAAATATTACATTATTCACAATAGTTTACCATAAATGGAACAAAATCAATATTATAGAGCATAAAATTTAAAAGTCTATTTAAGAACTGCTTAAAATAATATGGATTATGCATTAAAAAAATCAGAAGCATAATAAGAGATATAATAATACGAAGAAATTATCACTATGGATGTTTAAAGGTCTTTACAATTACATTTTGAAAAGGTTCCTTCAAGTAAATTATAATCATTCCTCAGAACATATGCATTTCATAATAAAGAAGTTGGATATTGTTAAGGAATGAATTATATTGTAGGATATCTATATTTAACATTTGAAGATGAAGAAGTCACATATATAGTATTCGATTATATAATGAATAATTATTTTTCATAATATTTTGAGAATGAATTTGAAATGCTGGTATTTATTAGATAAATTATTTTTATTAGAAAAAAGTATTCTATTAATATGAGAGATTATTATTCTTATTTTTACCTAATTTATATCATCATTTTAAAAAAGTAAATATGATTAATTTATGAAAGTAAAAAGTTGATGCATCTTATTATTTAACTGCTTGGGTTATTACTGTTTTCAGTCAAGTATATTAATTTACATTACAATCAGCATTATTAAATATTATATGGGATATATTCATTATTTAATAATGGAAAGGTAATAATAGAATATAATATTTTAAGGATTTTATAAATGTGTTTTATTTTTATTGTATTTTTACTAAAAAGAATTATTATAATTAGAATTTGATTAAATACTTCATTTTTTGAGTGAAATAATAAAAAATGAATTATTTAGTCTTAAAACAGAATAATAAGTTTAAGAATATATTTGTACTAAGTTAAAAATTCCATAAAAAGCACTAAAAGAAATTATTACTAATTAATTTAATGTTACAAATAGTTTATTATAATAATTGGAATAAGAATTTAATTGCTTTTCAACAAATTTGGATTCATAATTAAAATAATTTAAATATAAATGAAATATATTTAGATTCATTAAGTTATCCATTTTTATTTATTATAATATTTGCATGATTATTATAGATTCCAAATATTATTATTATTTAGGCTATTTTCATCTAAACCAATATCATCATCATCATTATCCTTGATAGCTTAAACTAATTTGCTAGGAGATTTTTCAATTATTTCATATGTAATTCCTCTAATATTGGATGAATTGGCAGATTGATTGAGATTCTATCTTAAATGAGATCCTTTAGATTTTAAATTACTAATATGCAATTCTAAAAGTATTGTTAATTCCGAAAAAGTAATCCTGCGAATAGGATCTTTCTCAAGCATTCTTTATACCATTCTTTAAGCTGAAGACGAGATATTTTTCCATTCATCTAATTACAATCTTATTTAACATTACTTATTTCTTTCTAATAAAACTTTTCTAATAAAATATTAAAATCTACCTTCATAATTTGTACTTCTAAATGGAAAATTTCCACAGAGTAAAATATAAAATAAAATTCCTAAACTAAATATTTCACAATTCTCTGTGTATGGAGCCAAATCAAATAATTCTGGTGCAATATATCCTGGTGTTCCTTATTTATTTATAAGTTAATTTTTATTTATTTTTTCAGCAAATCCAAAATCAATAATTTTAACTTAAATAGGATTAAATTAATATATTAGAATATTATCTAATTTTATATCTCTATGTACATAACCACATCTATATATATATAAATTATAAATAATACCTATGTATTTCTTTTAATCCTAATATAATTTAATGACAAATCTCACTTGACATCAATTCATGAATTTCATTTTATTTAATTAAATTTGATAATGTTCCTCCTTAAATATATTCTAAAATTAAAATTATAACATCTTCTAATTAAATAACTTCAAAGAGTTCTACAATAAATTCAGATTTTGCAATTTTTAGAATTTAACATTCAGATGTCACAAAATCCTTAATATTAATATAAATATACTCTCATTTATTTTGCAGAAATCTTTTATTATAAAGATTAAGAATAAATTTTAGCAGCAAATTTTTTATTTCTTTATTCTTCTGGCATTAATTAAGAGACTAGAAATACAGAACTAAAAGCTCCTTGATCAATTGGCTCTATAATTTTATAAAAACCTTCAAAATTTTAAGAAACACAAAATTGTGCTAATTTTTTATACCAATTTATTGTGCATGCTCTATACTTAAAATAAATAAATAATTATACTGATTTTCTGGATTCCAAATATATATAAAACAATTCTAATATTTTTAAATTCTAATTGCAACAATTTTTTATTAAAGATGATCTTCTTCATTTGTTAATTCAATTTTCTTTATTAATATTTTAAGATTTAATTGTATTTTTCCTTTTATTTTAGAATCCTAATATATTAATATTCCAGATTTCATTAATAAATAAGTATATTACTTTGGCACAGATTTATTTTTTCCAATTCTAAATAGATTATCTTTTATGATGAATTAGTTTGTATCTAATTTCTAATCATTCTTTTTATCCCAGAATATATTATTACGTGATTAATCACATTTAAATATAGGCCAATCTGTATTGTCTATTTTTTCAATTTAGACAATATTTTTAGTTTTTATCATAATAAATAATTTAATGAGAGTACGTTTGTAATCAGAATTAGTAAAAGATCAAATTATGCCTGCTTTAGAGACTTTAAGAAAATCTACTAAATTTTTCTCTCCTTTCACTTAAAAATAATTGATATTATTTTAGGAGTACTTCAGATTTTTAAGTTTCAAAGAGAAAACATAAATTACAAGAAGAGGAGAGCCAGTAGATTTTTTAGGATTTATATTGAAAGGATAAGTACATGGATTTGTTGAAAATCAACATAAAATAACATTGACAGAAGGAGATTGTTTAGGTCATATGGCATGTATAAAATTGGCAGGGTATCAAATAAATTTTTATATTTCAGATGTGAAGTATAATAAATTGATTACTTTGCAAAAGAAGAAGGATATATAGCAATAATAAGATTAGATGATTTAAGAATTTTATAGAAACGTGATTCAGAGTTTTCTACTTTCCTTTATAAATAAATTTCACTTTTTACATTGAATTCAGTTTCATAACAATATTTAGGTTAAGAATATTAGAGTTTACCTGAATAGACAATAGTAGAAACAACAACTAAAAAAATAATGTTTATGTTAGATTAATTAGGAGTAAAACCAGATCCTGAACCAAATAAAAAAAAGAAAGATAAATTAATAGTAGAAGAACCAAGAAATTTAAGATATTTTTGGAATTAATTAGATTAAAGAGATAAACGTGCATTTGTATAAAATTGTACTTTAATTGAAACAAAAACTTAAGAACTTTTAATTAGATCTCATTAAGCATCAAATGTATTTTATATTGTTTTAGATGGAGAATTAATTGAATTTTAATAAAATTAACCATCTATTATCTTTAAATAAGGAGATACAATTGGATTAAAACAATTTCTTATTAATGCAAATTAAGAGAATAATATTATTTCTAGAATGAAATGTTTATTATTAAGAATAACAAAATCAAATTTGGATGATATTGCAACTGTTTCAGGTTAAAGTGCTTGTTCAATTATAACTATGTTAACTAGATTTGAAGCATAAAAACTTAAAGAATCATTTGAAAAATAATTCAAAGATGAATAATAAGGATTATAAAGAAAAGTAGTAGCATTAGTAGATGAATTATCTTATGCATATAAAGCTGTTAGTAAAAAAGATTAATAAAGTCCATCTTAATTGATGAATAATTTTTTTGAAATTGATGTAAACAAAATGAAATAAGATGATAAAAGTGCAGCATCATAATTAGAAAAATAAATAATTGCTCCATTATACTTATTAGATGTATACAAAGATCTAGTTGCAAAAAGATACTATTAACCAAATGAAGTTAAGGATAGAAAGGATCCTATGTTTGAAAGTGGGTTAAGTATATTTATAAGAGATAAACTAAGTGAGTAAAGAACATAAGCCTAAAAGAAGAAGGAGGAACTTAAAAAGGCTCGTAAATAAGGAAAAACTATTAAGGAAGATGATGATGATATAGAAATACATATGGATCCAAATTAATTGGTTTTGGAAGAACTTAATAATGATTATTATAAGATTGTAGATGAAAGAGATAAATTTTAAGAATATACATATTTATTGGAATAACAGATAAAGTAAATGAAGGATGAATTTAAAGAGATGAAAGAAGAGCATTAAAGAATGTAAACATAAATTAGAAAAAATGAAATGCATAAAGAATTATTATCCTTAGATTTAGCTTCATAATTATTGTAACCAACAGATAGAACAACTAAAAAGAAACATACCTTATATGATAATGTAAATTATATATATTATTAGTATCCAATAGTATTTAGTACAAGTTTAAGAAAATAAAAAATTTAAAAAAACTGTTTAAGTTGCAGAGAAAGTTTTAACAATGAGTTAATTGCATAAATTACAATTTTGATCTTTTAACAATTATTATATCTATACTCATAAATATATTTTCTATATTTCTATAAAAGAATTATTTGATTTTAATAATTATATTAATTTTTAATTTTTTTTAATTTATGTAATAAAGTGAATCATTTAACTCTGATAAATACAATGATTAAGAATTAATTCACCTTTAAAATACTTAAGAAGTAGATTAGGAATCACATAATAAATTTAAATTTAATTTAATGAAATTGTAAAAAATATATTAGGAATGCAAATGTCCATCATGTTAATTATTATTTGAAGAACCTATAACAATTGTTTGTGGTCATACTTTTTGTAGGGAATGTATTGTTCGATCAGTTAATCTTAAACCCTAATGTCCAGAATGCTTGTATTTTTTATATATAATTAATAAATTAGATATCCTATTACAAATATCATTAATAAAATTCAAGAAAACTTTTTAGTTAAATCTGTTGTTAAAGAAATTAATGAATTATTTATTGAATAAAATAAAAAAAAAGTTAAACCTAGACTTTTTGATTAAATTATTGCAAAACAATTTTAAGAAAATAGTATTAAATAATATTTGATTTTTGAAACTAAATCTCTAATTATACCTTATACCAATTAAAATGTACATCTTAATATAAATTAATTCAAAGATTTAAATGAAGATTAAATATATAAAATCTTAAAAAGAGATTCATTAATATTGTTAACAAATCCAAATAAAAATCATTCAATTTAAGAAGTAAAATTTTTGTAATTAATTCTCTCAGACTGCTACTCTAGTTATTGTTATTAAGGTTGTAATAAATTCTAAATTAATTGATTTAAGTGTTCAAGTTAAGGAACAAATGAAAGTTTTATAAATTAAACCTGAAACATTTAGAATTGAAAAAGAGATCCCATTAAATGTTGCTAAGGTTTAAGAAATTAATGAAGAACCTATTTTTTTCACTTTATAAACTGATTAATAGATCAAATATTTAATAGATACTATAAGATAATAATTGGCTTCTCATTTACCTTAACTTATTGACTCATATACTGCTAAATATTTTGAAGAATTTTTTCATAGACTTCAATTATTTGAAATTCTTAGGAGTAATATTTTAAGGAATGAGAAAGCCTTAAAACATATTAGTTTTGTTATCCCTTGTATTTTACATTTAACAGATTAAGAGAGGACTAGAATTTTCAATGCCAATAATAGTATAGAGAGATTGATTTAAATCTCTTAAGTATTGTAAAGATTTTAAAATATAACAAATCCATTAATGGTTTTCAAAATTCCAGGGGATAAAGAAAGAATTAATAATAAAACTGAATTAATAATCATTGTGCTATTATTATTTTTTGCATTTTATTACAGAGTCATTGGAATCTGAGAAATTATTGTATGTTTAATTATAATAATAAATAAAATGAATAATTAATTTGAGATTATAAAAAAGGTTTGGGCATCAAAGAAAATTTGGTCCTTTTTCAAATATTAAAGTCTTTTGAACCAAAGATTGAAAGAACTAATAAAAGAATAAGATCCTAAAATTCAAAGTGTTATTCAATTAAAAGAGAATAAAGAATAAATTGAAATATCTAATAAGTAATTTACAAACGTATGCACTAAAGCTTTAGAAAATTAAGCAAGCCTTATGAAACCATTAATATTGCTCAATAATAGAAACTTAATTAACAATTAGAAGTATATACTAGATATTTTATAAATAATTTATTATTCTACAAATGATGAAGAATCTAATTATATAGTAGAAACTTTAAAGAATCCAAACAAATTTAAAGAATAGAAATAAGTAATATTATGATTTAATTTATTAGTTATATAAAATACTAGAATTGATTTTCATAATTCTTCAAAATTAAATATCAGAAACAACTAAATATTAAATTTTAATAAGTTTAGATTCCATATTAAAATCATTTATGAAATGTTCATAAAATAATCCTTAAATATTATAAAACTTAAGATAGTATTAAAAATACAATAGAATTATATAATGCACAACATCTTATTAAGGAATAGATTAATTTATAAAAGCTATAACATCTTTTGATTGTAAATTAAAATCAAATTTGACACCAGAAATAATAGAAACTATTTTGAATAATGTATTACAACAATTAGATTGTGTAATTTGTTACAATGCAATGAATGATCCTGTATCTATGAAATGTGGACATAGTTTTTGTAAAGCATGTATGACATAGGATTAAAATAATTCTAAGAAATGTCCAATTTGTAGGTATTATTAATGAAATATTTAGAATGGAGTAGGTAGATGAGATTTATTTAAGTGAAAACAATAAATTCTTAACAAAGTTGATTTAACTAAGATTAAATTTTGAGAATTAGTAAAATTTAAAGTAAGATGATGATACCTAAAATTATTATAATATTTATATAAAACCATAAAGTAGAGAGGTATATGAAAAGAAAATTGTATTAAGAACAAAGTAATCACTCAAATATTTAATTGAAGAAGAAGTTGAAATAGATACAATTAAATTTAGATCACTTAATATAGTTTAGTTTTAACAATTATTATAGTAAAATCTAATTTTTATTCTTGTTGATAAAAATGAAAATGCTTATTTAGTGAAAAATGTATTGACACATATAAGCAAGAGCAAGACAAGAATTAAAGTTGAATATTAAGATAAAATACAAATTGTACATTAATATTTCTCAAATATTTTCCTTAATATTGAAAATGTAGAATATATTTTTGAATCCTTATTTGCAACAGCAATTACATTAGAAGATCAACATATAGATCTTACTAATATTGAAATATAAAATTAATTGTCTAATTCAATTAATAATATAAAAGAATTCTTTAATTAGGCTCTTCTAAATTAGTAGTAAGATTAAACATATTAAACTATTCATTCATTTTTAGCATAAGTAGGATTTTGGAGTCTATAAAATTCAGATATAATTAATAATTATGATTAAATGAAAAAATATTCATATCTAATACCAAATATATTAAGAATACCAGAAAAAGAGAGAGTGTAAATTTAACAAATCAATAATTTAATAATAAGGTTGCAGATGATTGAAAAAAGTCTTTTGAGATTCAAATAATGCTCAAATATATTAATGATATTTATTATTCAAAGATAGAATTAAGATTCAAAGAGAAATATCATAATTTCTATTTTAGTATTTTTATTTTTGTCATTTGCCCTATAGTTGTGATTTATCATAAATTTATATCAAATATCAATTATAATTATTCAATTATGAATCAATAATACCTACAAGTTCCTTTATCTTAAAGTAGACAATCAATAACTTATGATAAGTATTAAACTACATCAGGAATAGTAGTAAGTACTGATAAGTAAATTAATAATATATATATTTTAGACGAATAAGTGACAATATTTAAAACGGAAGAAAGAGTACTCTTTTTGAAGATAAGTAATCTACTAATTGAATATATAGACGATATGAAGAATTACTTTAAGATAATCATAAATTGAAAGAGGTGATTGAACAATTGGATAAGGATAATTAGTAATTAAAATAGATGTCAGGGGAGAGCTATAATCTTAAATAGAAATATATGATTACATAAGCAGAATTAGAAGCTGCATAATAGGAGTTAGCTAAATTGAGATCTCAACTCTTGATGAGAAATTCTTAAGATGCTGAATAATCAACTCTCATGATTAGATACAAACAAGATATATCTACAATGACTTAGTAATAGATCAAATATTAACAAGGTAAAATCTTATTTAATAATAAAGAAATATCATAGTTAAATGCTCTGTTACAACAATAGAAGAAATAAGTTGAAGAATTCTTGAGATTAAAAACTAAATATGAATAAGAAATCCAAACATATAGAAGTAGGACATAAAATTTAGAAATAGAAATTAAATAAGTGAAAGAATAAAGGAACTCTATAACTTAAAATGAAATTATTAGATTGACTTAAGAAATTGCGAGATATCAATCTGAAGTTTAGATACGATCATCAGATAAAGAATTATATGAAAGAACTATACAAACATTAAATTAGAAAATGAAGGAGATGGATAATGATATTCAAATATTGATTGAAGCACATAATTAAAATTAAATGAAACTTGAATCTGCTATGGCTGAATCAAAGAGTAATATGTAATATCAAATTGATTAACTAAAATAAGAAATGAGTTTCTATTAAACTTAATGTCGATAATGGTAGGAAAAATGTTAAATTGTTGAAATACAAAAAGAAGAAAGTGAAAGAAGAATTATTTAGATGGAAATTAGAATAAATGAAACTAAAAAATAAATTGAATAATAATAAAATGATAAAATATAAAGAGATAGCTATTAAATTCATAATATTCAAAATGAATTAGAGGGTTGGAAATAAAGATATATTTCATTAGAAATCAAGATGAAAGATTATGACAGTTATAGAATGAAAATAATTGAATAAGAGGAATAAATTAATTATTATAGAAATGATAATGAATAAATAAAAGAAGAAGTAGAAATCTTGATTGCAGAAATTAAATAATTAAAGGAATTAAATAATGGATATCGTTTAAGTATTACTTAATTGGAAAATTAAACAAGAAATAGTATTGAAAGTGATAGATATAAAACTTAAATTAGAACTTTAGAAAACACAATAAATTAATTAAATTAATAGATAAATGCATATAAAATTGAAACCAAAGAACTTGAATAATAAGTAATATATCATTAGAATAAGAACACAAATGTAGATTATTTGGTTAGAGAAAAAGATGAATCAATTTAAAAGTTATAATATAAATTGAATAATATGGAAAAAGAACTTCGAATTATATTTGAGGAATAATTAAAAATAGAAAAATAAGATTGGGATAGATAAAAATAATAATAAATAGATGATCAATTAAAAAAGATAAACAAAAAATATGAATCTGAAATATCCACTCTAAGGTAACATTTTTAGTCATTAGAAATAGAGAACCAATCATTAACAAATCAGTATGAAAGATTAAAAAAAGAAGGAGGGATCAATTTCTAAAGATAATCGGAAAAAGAAAAAAATAGAATAATTGAACTAGAAAGATAAATAATTTAATTAGAAAATTAATTATTTTTGTAGAAGAAAGAATTCTCATTTAAAATTGAGGAAGTTAATTAATAATCCAATTTAAAAGAATATTATGAAGTTTAACTTAAGTAGGTTAATGAAAAATTATTAGAATAATAAAATTAAGTTAAATAATTGAATGATTAATTGTTAATCGAATAAAAAAGTATTTTAAATTTATAAAACAAATACTCTAAAGATATTATAGATATTAAATAATAATAAGAAAAGAAAATTGAAATCTAATAAACTAATTAATATTAATTTGAATTAGATAATTATCAAAGAGACTTAGAAAAAATGAGAAGAGATTATAGAATGATTTAATAATAATATTAAGAAATGGAAATTCAAGTAAAATTGTGGAAAGATAAGTTCTATGATGAATAATAAAAGCATCAAGAAATTAGATAATAGTTGGTAGAAATTAGATCTAAATTTGAATCACACACAATTATTGATATGAAATCAAATTATGATAAATAAAGAATTTAAGAGCTAGAAATGGAAATAATTTAACTATAAAAAGAGATTAAAATTAGAGAAGAAAAGTATCAAGAATAAATTACAACATACACTATATAAATTTAGAAATAAGATGAAACAAAGAGAATCAAGCAATTAGAATATGAAATTGAATCTTTAAAAATTAAATGTAGAGATTTAGATAGATAATTATAGGATAAGACATTTGAATTTGAGAAATTACTTTAAAGAAAGTAGGAATTTAAACTTGAAACTATTGAAGTATCTTCATCATCTGATAAATATAAGATTTAAGAATTAGAATAGTAAATACAACTCTTAAAATTATAGATTTAATAATTAAGCAATTCAAAGTAAGATGTTATAAGGGAAACTATTAGAGAAACAGTACAAATTAGAAGTTAGGAAGACATCAAACTGATTGCTTAACTAGAGGAAGAACTATAATTATGGAAAACTAAATATTATGAATTAGATAGAAGAAAAAATTAAGTAGTAATTGAAACTATTAGAGAGGTTTAATCTCTTGAAAGTGATAGATAAAAGATATACTAATTAGAATGTTAGCTTTAATAATTAACATAAAAAAAATAAGAAGTAATAAGGGAGTATGTAACAGAGACAATTGAGATTCCTTTAGAGTCTGATAAAATAAAAATAAGACAATTAGAAATTCAATTAAGTAATATTCAAAGGGACTATTAATTGTTAAGTTAAAAAAAATAAGAAACTATTAAGGAAATAATTACAGTTGAAGTTTCATCCTAAGCTGATAAAAATCACATTTAATAATTAGAGACACAGTTAAATTAATTAAAATCAGAATTATAGGTTTTAAGACTCAAAAAATAAGAAGTAATAAAAGAAACATTGATAGAAAAAGTTGAAGTTTCAATGGAGTCAGATAAATAGAGAATTAATTAATTATAAGATTAACTTGAAAGATTATAAAGAGATTATTAAATTTTAAATAAAAAAAAATAAGAAGTAATAAAAGAAACAATTACAGTAGAAGTTTCATCTTAAGCTGATAAATTGAAAATTCAATAATAAGAATCTTAATTATAATAATTAAGAACTGACTTATAAATTTTAAATTAAAAAAAATAAGAAGTAATAAGAGAAGTAATTACTGAAAGAGTGGAAGTTGCCTTAGAAGCTGACAAATATAGAATTAGACAACTAGAAAGTCAATTAGAGAGTGTAAATAAGTCATATGAGGCTCTAAGTAAAAAGAAGTAAGAAATAATTACAGAGACAATCACAATTGAAGTACCTTCTTAAGCTGATAAGTTCAAAATTTAATAACTTGAAACATAAATTTAATAATTAAGATAGGAATTTTAGATTCTTACTTTGAAGAAATAAGAAGTAATAAGAGAAGTGGTGACTGAGAGAATTGAAGTTCCTTCTTAAGCAGATAAATTAAGAATTTAATAATTAGAATAACAATTAAATAATATTAAATTAGAATTATAGATAGTATCATAAAAGAAATAAGAAGTAATTAAAGAAGTGGTGACTGAGAGAATTGAAGTTCCTTCTTAAGCAGATAAATTAAGAATTTAATAATTAGAATAACAATTAAATAATATTAAATTAGAATTATAGATAGTATCATAAAAGAAATAAGAAGTAATTAAAGAAGTGGTGACTGAGAGAATTGAAGTTCCTTCTTAAGCAGATAAATTAAGAATTTAATAATTAGAATAACAATTAAATAATATTAAATTAGAATTATAGATAGTATCATAAAAGAAATAAGAAGTAATTAAAGAAGTGGTGACTGAGAGAATTGAAGTTCCTTCTTAAGCAGATAAATTAAGAATTTAATAATTAGAATAACAATTAAATAATATTAAATTAGAATTATAGATAGTATCATAAAAGAAATAAGAAGTAATTAAAGAAGTGGTGACTGAGAGAATTGAAGTTCCTTCTTAAGCAGATAAATTAAGAATTTAATAATTAGAATAACAATTAAATAATATTAAATTAGAATTATAGATAGTATCATAAAAGAAATAAGAAGTAATTAAAGAAGTGGTGACTGAGAGAATTGAAGTTCCTTCTTAAGCAGATAAATTAAGAATTTAATAATTAGAATAACAATTAAATAATATTAAATTAGAATTATAGATAGTATCATAAAAGAAATAAGAAGTAATTAAAGAAGTGGTGACTGAGAGAATTGAAGTTCCTTCTTAAGCAGATAAATTAAGAATTTAATAATTAGAATAACAATTAAATAATATTAAATTAGAATTATAGATAGTATCATAAAAGAAATAAGAAGTAATTAAAGAAGTGGTGACTGAGAGAATTGAAGTTCCTTCTTAAGCAGATAAATTAAGAATTTAATAATTAGAATAACAATTAAATAATATTAAATTAGAATTATAGATAGTATCATAAAAGAAATAAGAAGTAATTAAAGAAGTGGTGACTGAGAGAATTGAAGTTCCTTCTTAAGCAGATAAATTAAGAATTTAATAATTAGAATAACAATTAAATAATATTAAATTAGAATTATAGATAGTATCATAAAAGAAATAAGAAGTAATTAAAGAAGTGGTGACTGAGAGAATTGAAGTTCCTTCTTAAGCAGATAAATTAAGAATTTAATAATTAGAATAACAATTAAATAATATTAAATTAGAATTATAGATAGTATCATAAAAGAAATAAGAAGTAATTAAAGAAGTGGTGACTGAGAGAATTGAAGTTCCTTCTTAAGCAGATAAATTAAGAATTTAATAATTAGAATAACAATTAAATAATATTAAATTAGAATTATAGATAGTATCATAAAAGAAATAAGAAGTAATTAAAGAAGTGGTGACTGAGAGAATTGAAGTTCCTTCTTAAGCAGATAAATTAAGAATTTAATAATTAGAATAACAATTAAATAATATTAAATTAGAATTATAGATAGTATCATAAAAGAAATAAGAAGTAATTAAAGAAGTGGTGACTGAGAGAATTGAAGTTCCTTCTTAAGCAGATAAATTAAGAATTTAATAATTAGAATAACAATTAAATAATATTAAATTAGAATTATAGATAGTATCATAAAAGAAATAAGAAGTAATTAAAGAAGTGGTGACTGAGAGAATTGAAGTTCCTTCTTAAGCAGATAAATTAAGAATTTAATAATTAGAATAACAATTAAATAATATTAAATTAGAATTATAGATAGTATCATAAAAGAAATAAGAAGTAATTAAAGAAGTGGTGACTGAGAGAATTGAAGTTCCTTCTTAAGCAGATAAATTAAGAATTTAATAATTAGAATAACAATTAAATAATATTAAATTAGAATTATAGATAGTATCATAAAAGAAATAAGAAGTAATTAAAGAAGTGGTGACTGAGAGAATTGAAGTTCCTTCTTAAGCAGATAAATTAAGAATTTAATAATTAGAATAACAATTAAATAATATTAAATTAGAATTATAGATAGTATCATAAAAGAAATAAGAAGTAATTAAAGAAGTGGTGACTGAGAGAATTGAAGTTCCTTCTTAAGCAGATAAATTAAGAATTTAATAATTAGAATAACAATTAAATAATATTAAATTAGAATTATAGATAGTATCATAAAAGAAATAAGAAGTAATTAAAGAAGTGGTGACTGAGAGAATTGAAGTTCCTTCTTAAGCAGATAAATTAAGAATTTAATAATTAGAATAACAATTAAATAATATTAAATTAGAATTATAGATAGTATCATAAAAGAAATAAGAAGTAATTAAAGAAGTGGTGACTGAGAGAATTGAAGTTCCTTCTTAAGCAGATAAATTAAGAATTTAATAATTAGAATAACAATTAAATAATATTAAATTAGAATTATAGATAGTATCATAAAAGAAATAAGAAGTAATTAAAGAAGTGGTGACTGAGAGAATTGAAGTTCCTTCTTAAGCAGATAAATTAAGAATTTAATAATTAGAATAACAATTAAATAATATTAAATTAGAATTATAGATAGTATCATAAAAGAAATAAGAAGTAATTAAAGAAGTGGTGACTGAGAGAATTGAAGTTCCTTCTTAAGCAGATAAATTAAGAATTTAATAATTAGAATAACAATTAAATAATATTAAATTAGAATTATAGATAGTATCATAAAAGAAATAAGAAGTAATTAAAGAAGTGGTGACTGAGAGAATTGAAGTTCCTTCTTAAGCAGATAAATTAAGAATTTAATAATTAGAATAACAATTAAATAATATTAAATTAGAATTATAGATAGTATCATAAAAGAAATAAGAAGTAATTAAAGAAGTGGTGACTGAGAGAATTGAAGTTCCTTCTTAAGCAGATAAATTAAGAATTTAATAATTAGAATAACAATTAAATAATATTAAATTAGAATTATAGATAGTATCATAAAAGAAATAAGAAGTAATTAAAGAAGTGGTGACTGAGAGAATTGAAGTTCCTTCTTAAGCAGATAAATTAAGAATTTAATAATTAGAATAACAATTAAATAATATTAAATTAGAATTATAGATAGTATCATAAAAGAAATAAGAAGTAATTAAAGAAGTGGTGACTGAGAGAATTGAAGTTCCTTCTTAAGCAGATAAATTAAGAATTTAATAATTAGAATAACAATTAAATAATATTAAATTAGAATTATAGATAGTATCATAAAAGAAATAAGAAGTAATTAAAGAAGTAGTGACTGAAAAAGTGGAAGTTAGTAGAGAGTCTGACAGAAAAAGAATCTTAGAATTAGAGCGTGATATATATAAATTGTAATAAGACTACATAGCTTTAAATAAAATAAAATCTGAAATAATAAAGGAGACTGTAACCGTTGAGGTTCCATCGTCTATGGATAAGTTTAGGATCTAATAATTGGAGGCTTAATTATAATAAATAAAGAGTGAATTATCAATGGTATTAGCTAAAAAGTAAGAAGTTATTAGAGAGACAGTAACAGAAAGAATAGAAGTGTCTTCGGAGTAGGATAAAATGAGAATTAGGTAATTAGAATAGTAATTAAATTATTTGTAATAAGATTATTTCGCATTGAATTAAAAAAAATAAGAAAAAATAAAAGAGACAATAACTGTTGAAATACCATCTGAGTCTGATAAATATAAAATAAGGTAACTTGAATCTCAATTGCTATCATTTTAAGAAGAATTAGATGCAATTTAATTAGAATACTAGAATTAAAATTAGGAGATTGATAGACTTTAAACTATTAATTTTGAATACTAAGATCAAATAAGAGTTTTGTAATCAAAGTTAGAAGACAACTAAAAGCAAAGATCAATTTTAATTTAATTTGAAAGAAAAGAGTAAGAGTTTTTGGAATAGATTTCAATTTTAGAGAATGAAAAAGGAAGAGAAATAAAGGAACTAAAAAAATAGATTGAATATATATAATAGGAGAATTAATAAATAAATGATATGATGAGAATTAAGGCTGAAGAAAGTGAATAGTGGAAAAGAAATTATTTAACTATTTAAAATCAAATGACCTCAGGAGAAACTGAATCATTAAAAATATAATTGAAATCTTTAGAGTAAAGTAGAGAAATGACGAAATTAGAACTAGATAAAGTAAACAAAATGTACTTTTTAATTTAAAATGAATAAACTTAATATAAGTAAAAATGTAATGAGCTAGAATTAAGAATTAAATAAATTAGTAGAGAAAATTAGGAATATTAAGAAAGATTTTAATAAATGGATTTTGAAAAATTTAGTAGATTAGAATAAGAGAATAGACGAAAAACAGAAACTATTTAATAGTTAGAATCATAATTAAGGAATCAAGTATTTATGAAAGATTTTTAAATTTAATTATCTAATAAAGATAAATAGATTTATGAATTATAAGAAAGTATTTCAGAATTATAAACTACAATTAGAACTCAAAGAATAGAAAATTAGACAATTTTTGAATAAACTAATAGACAATAATTAACTTTAAGAGAAACATAAAAGTAATTTAATATTTATTTTAAAGCAATCAAAAGATCGTAGAGTTAGAAACAAAAATATAGAGTCTTAATTTGGAAATCTAGAGACAGATGAAGATGAAGGATTAGATTTAGATTAAGCATGATATATTAATTGAAAGAGTAATTGATATTTATTATTTAGGCCACTGAGTATGAATCAGAAATTAATTTGTTAAGGGAGGAATTATAGAATAGAAGATATAATTCTATTAATAATGGACCTATAGTATCTAAAACATTTGAAATTCATAAAATAGGAGAAGTTGTAAATAATGGCACAGGATTAGTTTCAGGATTTAATATAGAAGATACATAAAGAATAAAATCAATAGTGAGTACACAATAATTTAAATCTGAAATATAAAATACTATATCAAATGTATAAGAATAATAGTATTCTATGAAATCAAATTCATCAGTTTAACCATTTAATCCTTTAAGAAGTGATGTATAGATAATATTTATTCATAGATAATTAAATCAAAGGCTTAATTAAATAGAATTGACGAAAAATTATATAAATGAATTTTATATTATATACAATAATTTTTTAATAATCATTTCCAAAAACTTTATCCCTTAATTCCAATCTTTACATTTCCATTATCTTCTAATATAAATTAAGATACTCCACAATAATCAATCCAATTATGATTTTTTACTTTTTCAATCATTAAACTTAATTCAACTACTCCTTAATGTGTGACACATATATTTATTGTATTAGTTTTATTTGGAAGCTTGTCCATTTGACTCTTAAGTTCTACCATAAATGCCTTAATTCTATTAAAACATAAATTATCATTCTCTGGGAATACAGGTTAAGGTAAATTAGGATTTTTAATAAATCTTTCTTTTATAATTTAAACACCATTTTAATACTCTTTTGTTAGAATTGGATGTTATTCAGTTCTCAAATGTAATTTATCAAGTATATTAGAAGAAAAATCATATGTATACATTAATTCTCCAATTTCATCTTAAATATATAACTTTGAATTATTAGGGATTTCCCTCATTAAATTAATGGAAGTTTAAATGCATCTTAGAAATGGTGAGGTCATAAAATTCTAGTTTAAATAACATCAAATACTATTTATAAGTCCTTTACTTGAATTTATTTTTCATTGGCATACTCTTAAATTAATTTATTTAAATGTGCTCCTGTCATTCTTGCTTATTTATCACCTATATTTGTAAGATGAGGATCAAATGATTTTTAAATTCTTTTCCTCTCTCCATTATCATTTGTTTAATCAGCTCTTTCTCCATGTCGAACAAAAAATATCATAATTAAATATTTTAATAATCATTTCCATAATGTTTTTGCTTTAAGAGTCAATTTAGGATTTTACCAATTTTCAGGAAAACAAATTGTTGTAACAGAACAATAATCAATATTCTTACATTTACCATCAAAATGATCTAATACAATCTCTTAGACTCCTAGATGAGTGGCACATATATATATATAATTAGCTTTATTTTAAAAGAGATTGACATAATTTTAAGTCTCAATTATAAATGAACCTATTCTAGCTCTACAGTATGTTTAATCTTCAGGATATTTTTATTCAATCTTTATTCCTTTTATATAATTTTATTTCCATATTTCAACACCATATTGTTTATTAAAATATCCTTATATCTTTTTATCATAATTAATTTAAAAGTGCTCTTTGACAGGTTCTTATTTATATAAATGAGGTAATAAAAGATCACTTAATTAATTTTAAATGTATATCTTTTTATTTTCTGTAGGTAAATATTACATAACAATTGCTAGAGTTTCTATACATCTCATATAATGGGATGACATGAATACAAATATTAAATCTTTAGTATTTAATTTTTGAGAGCTGATATGTTCATTTATAATCTATTTTAATGCCAAACCAGTTTATTTAGCTTAATTTTATCCTTTCTCAGATAAATTGACATCGGGATCCTATCCTAAAAAGTAATCTGTTTGATCTTTAGGTTCCCCTTCACTAATAAATACAAACATATTTTAATTATAATAAAATTCTCAAAAATTTTCATCTTCGATTTTAACATCTTTTGGAGCCTTATAATAGTAGTATTACTATTGTATTTGAGATTTATCTTTTTTCAAAGAATTTAATTCTTAATCATAGACACTCAAACCAACTAACTAATTTTTTGTTACTATTTTACTTTTAATCCATTATAATCAGATACAGATCGACCTTTGTCATAACCATTTTTATTTTTGATATCTGAGATTAATTTCTATGGATTAGGTATATCTAATAGTTCCCTACTTGGTATTTATTCTAATAGATCTTATTTTAATTATAATCTTTCCTATTCTTCTTTTTGTATAATTTTCTTTATAATAAACAATAATGAATTACTTAAGGTCTATATTGAGATCTTAGTCTTTGATGCCAAGTTATAACTGGATTTTTGGATTCCTCTGGTTTCAATTCTTCAAACATATCTAATGAGTCTAACCTAGATCTATATTCTAGTTATTTAATATATGAAAATACAAGCCTATCTTTCAATTAAGGTACTTTAATTATTTTTCATTCTAGAACTAATTTTTGTTGATAATTCATTCCATATTTACAATTGTTTTTCATGTTTATTTAGTGCTCTTTCATGTTGATTTTTCAATATCTTTTCAGTTACTGAAATTTTTTAAAGTTAATTTTATGCATTTTTTTCATTATTCTTAATTATTTTCTATATTTTTTCCATAGTTTATAATAATTCATATTTATCAAGTACTTCAAAGTTAGCATCTCCAGTTTTTTGTATTAATTGTTATTAATTTGTAATATTTTTTTTGCTTCTATAAGATGAGTTTAGACTTGATGGTTCATTAGTATTGGCTAAAAATATATTCATAATATATTACTTCTTTTAATCTTCTTTATCATACTAGATAACTTTACAGGTTAACTAAAACGAAGAGGCTTTTCAAGGCCATTAGCCTATTTATTGTAAATATCCACTTTGCCAACTATTGATCTAGACAAGATTTCATTAGTTGAATTCTTTTGACTAAAATCAAATATTTGATAATCAGGACTCTAAGCTAATTGATGACTGCTCTTTTACTTTGAAAAATGTTACTAGAATGTAAGTCTTAATCAGCAAAAGGCCAACTCATTTAACTTTATTCTCCAACAACTTTTCTTAGAAATAAAGTATGCTTCCTTTTCATTCTTTTTGTTAATAATATTTTATATTATCAAAAATAAAATCAATATAAAAATAATAGATATTTTTACTTAGACTTTCATAATTCTTAGTGTTAAATTTAAGACTCCAATTTCTATTTATTTAAATTTGATAAGTTACAATTATTTAATTTTAGTATATTTAAATCATTATATACACTTTTAAAATCAATAAATCTTTTTCTACTCAAAATTGATATTAAAAGATATATATTTTTAAAGGTTCTTATGTAATTATGTATTTCTTAATAAGTTTTAAAATAGAAATGAAATTCAGAAAATATAATATGAGGGTCAAGAAATCAAATGTAGTAATTATTCACTTATTAAAATCTTTTTTTAAAATATAAATAAATGGTTAGCAGATTAAGAAAATGCAGAAAGATGAGAGGACATGTCTGCCATGGTTATGGTAGAGTTGGTAAGCATAGAAAACATCCAAGTGGTAGAGGTGTTTCAGGAGGTTTAACACATCATAGAATCAACTTCAATAAATATCATCCAGGATATTTCTAAAAAGTACCTATAATACTTATAAATAGACTGGAATGAGACATTTCCATTTAAAAAAGAATACACTTCATAAACCAGTTGTAAATATTGACAAATTATGGTCTCTTGTTACAGACGAAACTAGAGAAAAATATTCCAAATCAAAAGATAAGGCTGCAGTCATTGATGTTACAAAGGCAGGCTATTTCAAGGTTTTGGGTAAAGGAAGATTACCAAATCAACCAGTTGTTGTCAAGGCTAAATTCTTTAGCAAAACTGCAGAGAGAAGAATCAAGGCTGTTGGTGGTGCATGTATACTTGTTGCCTGATACATTATATACATTAAAACACACATTTGTCAATGTCATTAAAATTATGTTATGGGTACATCTATTCTTTTTTTTATTTTTTTAATTTAAATTCTTTTATTTAAGAAAATGGATTCTGCTGCTATTATGTAAAAAATGGCTGTCATTTTTGATGATCCTGAATAAAAGTTACTTAATGAAATTTCTGAAATCAATAAGAATAGATATTAGATTCAAATGCAAAAATTAAATGAACTAAAAGAAATATAAGAGGATTCAGATATTGAAATTCAAAAATAGAAAAAATTAATTGAATAATTAGAAAAATCATTAATCATTGAATCAAACAAGTCTAAGTAATATGATGAAATCTTAAAATAATATGAAAGTGAAGGCAAATCTTTATCTGATGAAAGTAAAAAATACATTATTCAAATAACACAACTAAGTGAGAAAGTTGAAAATATTAAGAAATAATATTTATAGGCATAAGAAAAATAAGATACCATGGAGAGAGAATAATAATAATAATTAAAAGATTTAGAGAATTGGAGCAAGAATTCAAAGAATTTATAAAATGAATTATAAAAGAAAGATTAAAAATAAATTAAATTGCTTGAAGAATTAACATAAGTTAAAATATAATAATAGGAAGTTAAATAAATAGAATCAAATGATGATTTATAAAAATAATTAGATAAACTATTAGCAGATAATAAAAGACTATTAAAATAAAGATAAGAAGTTGTAGCTGTTTTCAAAAAATAAGCTAAAATCATAGAAATCTTAAAAAAATAAAAACTTCATTTATAGACATCAACATCTCTTGATTTAACAGAATAAGATTTTGCTAAGATTGTTGATTTTAATTTATGATTTTAATATTTATACTATTCTTATTAACAACGATATAAGATGGAATTATTTACTAAATATTTTTAATATTTATGTTAAAATTGAATATCATCTTCCAGACCAGGATGCTACTTATTTCTTGAAAATAATAATGACTTATTCAATTATGGCATTTTCTTCATCTCTCTTAGCTTTAGCTTCAGCATAATCAGCTCTTTTAGATTCTAAATCTGCTTAAGCTTAATCAAGAGCATCTTAAGATTCTTGTAAAATAATCTTAGATTTAGCTTATTAAGCAAGAGCTGCTTAAATTTACTAGAATTTATTATTTATTAAATATTACAGTAGCTAATCTATCAGCATAAACTTATTTTCTTTCATATTCAACTTTCAATGTAGTAACTTCTGCTTCACTCAATGAAACCCATCCTGCTAATTCCCATGAGGCATTAATTTCATTGGTTTCAAGAGCTTCAAGGGAAGCTGCTAAATTAGCTTCAAGTCCTTCTAATACAGATAATACTCTTTCAGCTAAAGTTGCTCCTCTACTAACTGATCCATCTTCTTAATTGTTAGCTAATTAAAGGAATGAATTAATTTCATGTTCATTAAATGTATTACTATATGATTTAAGTTTATCAGCAACACTTTTTACTTGAACTAACTCAAAAGAATCTCCATTAATAATATATCCTGCAACATCTTATTTGAGTAATCTTACAACTTCAAGAGCTTCTCTATTTTATTTGATTGATCTAACAAAAAGTTAATTGCTTAAGCATTGTTAATCAAGCAAAACTTAAATTTTTCTATTAATTTCATCTTATCTTTGTTCATTCCATGCAAGATAATTTTTAGTATCTGATAACTCTTATTCAAATTAGGCTCTGTTTTCAATTGATTATTGGAATAACTTTTGATTCAAGGTCTTTATTTTAGTAAATTGTTCAATTGTTCTGAATATAATTATTAATGTATTACTAAGCACCAACCCATTCATCAGTTTCATTCTTTTAATCAGCTGCAAATTAAGCATCTTTATTTGATTGTATCAGATCATTCAACAAACCAAAAACTGTATCAATAGCATCCATAGCCTTTGTACCTGTTTACAAAAAGGCCATGATTTAATCATGAGTAGAAGTGGCTGAGGCTAATGTTACTAATAATACTAGAGCAAGACTCAATTTCATTAATATTATCAATAATTTAATGCTCTTAAATAAGGAATATAAGCGTAACCTACCCGTTTCCAGACAATTAAAAAAAAACGGGTATTAATATAAAAAATATAAAAAATAAACTTATCAACCCTCTATAATAATACATTTTAATAAATGTTGGCCAATCTTATTGATATTTAGATTAAAATAAAAAGGTTTAATAAAATTCCTTAATTGATGTTTCATTCCTATTGTGATTTCAATTCATTTCCTTTATTATTTAGAAAATGACAAATATGAATGCTATCTTTAACTAAGTATAGATATATCCTAATATATAATGTCAAAAAATAAAAATATTCTATTAAAAATTATAGAAATCTTAGATATCCATAATATTTTAGTAAAATAGAATCAAATTTGGAGTTAAATGTTTTTATTAATGAATGAAGGTATATATGCAAAATTTTAAATGAAGATTTAATATAAATAAATGAATGGTTTTAATTCATATGATTGATGCTTAAAGTAATTTGATTATTGTAATAATTTTAAAATTGATTAATTGTTATATAAAAAAAATGATTAAGAATTCAAATAAATAATGTTTTACTAAATTAATTTTCAAATCTTAAAAGTAGATTTAAGTATTTTAAATTATTAGTTTATACAATATAGATATGTACTTTTTATTATAATTAAAGTTATTTAGTAAATTACAAATTTTTGGATAAAAAGGATTGTTAATTTATATTAAATAATAATGAATAAGTATGAAATAATGGGAGTTGTGGGTGAAGGTGCTTATGGCATAGTATTAAAATGCAGAAATAAGGAGACAAATGAATGTGGTTAGTTATTTTGTTGTATTTGTTACAGTGGCTATCAAAAAGTTTAAAGAAACAGAGGATGATGAAGCAGTGAAGAAAAGTATTTAAAGAGAGGTGAAGATGTTGCGAATGTTGAAGCATCCAAATATTATTTAACTTAAGGAAGCATTTAAAAAGAAAGGCAAAATATTTCTTGTTTTTCAATTCGTTGACAGAAACTTATTAGAATTATTAGAGGAGAGGAAAACACTAGATGTATGCTTATAGCACTTAGAATTAGTAAAATAGCATTAAAAGAGTGATACTTTAATTGGTTCTTGCAGTGCATACTTGTCATTCTGTTGGTATTGCACATCGAGATATTAAACCTGAGAATTTACTTATAGACAATGAACTTAATTTAAAGTTATGTGATTTCGGTTTTGCAAGAGTAATATCGATATAATCATTAGACAATATAAAGTTAAGAATAATTGACTGATTATGTAGCTACAAGATGGTATAGATCCCCTGAGTTGCTGATATCTAATAATTATGGAAAACAAGTAGATATTTGGGCAATTGGTTGTATTATGGGAGAATTGATAGATGGTCAACCATTATTTCCAGGTGAAAATGAGATGGATTAATTATATCTAATATAGAAAATAATTGGTCCATTAACTTAGGATTAGATGGAGAAATTTCAAAAGAATTAAAGATATATAGGAATGAAGTTTCCTGAAATTGTAAAATCAGAAACTATTGAGAAAAGATATTCTGGTAAAATGTGTAATAAAGGTTTGAATTTCTTAAAGGAATGTTTGATAATGGATCCAAATAAGAGAATGACATCTTTAGATTGTTTAGAGCATCCTTATTTATCAGATGTATGGAATAAAGAAAGTGATGTTAGACCTAAAAATAATTTTTAGAGAAGGATTAGTTGTGAAAGAGATGATTCTAAACATAGTATCATTAATCAATATGATTTTGGTGAATAGAAAACAAAAAAAATTCAAGAGAAGGCTATTCCATAAACAATATAGAATTAATCATTTGTATAAAGATAAGTTTATAATTACAATATTGGAGATGAGACTACTGAAGGTAACAAAGAAGGGGATGATACTAAATCATAAATGCATAAAACATTTAATTAATCATTCAAAATTAAATTTAATGATACTCTCCCTTAAAGTAGATTAGGATCTGAATAAGATAAAAGAATTAATAAAGTTATAGGTTTACCAGGTTTAAAGGAAGATTCTAAACAATAACAGAATATTCATAATAAATCACCAAATAAGAGAACTTCCATCTAATAACCATCATTTTATGTTTAAGTATTTATTTTATTATATATACATAGGGATAATATAATTTATAACCTTAAAAACTTAATCTAGTTTATAATGCTAATACTTATAATTATTCAATTAAGAAATCATACATCTCAAAAAAATGAATAATTAATTTATTTATTAATGCTAATTATTTTATATTTATTCTCCTTGGCAATTTGTTATGATGATCCTATTCACACATCTATAATCTATGGCGATAGTGATTAAGGTTATTATTATGTGAATATATTTGTTGGAGAACATAAATAAAAATAATCATTAATTCTTGATACAGCAAGTTCAATCACAACTTTTCCATGTGTAGATTGTAAAAGTTGTGGTACCCACATTGATTCATTCTATAATTACAAAGTAAAACAAATCATATTTATTAATAGAATTCTTAAACTCATAAATAAGTTAAATGTGATTAAATAATAGGTGAAAAATAATGTGATAAATGTTTAAACAATAGGTGCTCTTTTTAAATTAGCTATGCTGAAGGATCAAGGCTTGCTGGCTATTTTTTATAGGATTGGTTAATTATGGGAGATGAGTTTGAAAATTTAAACTAATCAGATGAAATAGTTAAATTAGAATAGGTCTTAAGTGTCATTGGGTGTACTACTTTAGAAACAAATTTATTTTTTACTTAAAAAGCTAATGGAATCATGGGGTTATCACCAAAAACAAATACAGAATTCTCCTTTCCAAATTATATTGATGATCTCTATGAAAAAGAAAAAGGTAAAGAATTTTAGAAAATGTTTTCAATATGTATTGGAAGGAAAGATGGCTATATGACAATAGGGTAGTACGATTTTAATAGACACCAAAATAATAGTTAGTATTATAAAGTGAAATACAACCACGAGACAGATGTTTATAAAATAAATGTCAATAGTATCAAAGTAAAATGATCTTCAAAAAATAGATAGATTGATAATAAAATAATCGCTGATCACAACTTAATAAATTTAGGATAAGGAGCTTTTATTGATTCAGGATCGACTTTGGCTTATGGTTCACCAAAATTAAGTGAAAAATTGACTCAATAATTTAATTGTTAAAATGAGAATTGTCCAGATTTGCAATATTTAGAGGGATTAAATTGTTATCAATATATTCCAGAAAAACATGAAAATTTCTCTAATTTTGCATCATATTTTCCTACATATCAGTTTGAATTAGACAATAATTTTACATTCAACTGGAAACCAATTAATTATCTTATATTGGCTGTTAATACTAGTGATAGATATTGTTTTCCTCTTGCAGTAATACCTGGTGGTAATTTAATTATCTAAAACAGCATCTAGGATGATTCTTGGATAAGTATGGATGAGAAATTGGGATATTGGATTTAATAAATAAACTCAAGAGATATTATTTGTTGAAAATAATTGTTCAAATTATAAAGTCAATCATTAATTTACAGAAGAAGATATCATACTCTTAGAATAATAATCACTTAAGAAAAATAATGGTAGAAGAGTTTATAAAGATTTAAATCTAAAAGAAAGTAATAATTTTTTAGATTATAATTAGAATATAATACTTTTTCAGAAACCTTATATGCTTTTGTGATGATAGTGTTAATTATCTTTTTATATTATTTATTCTCCTTTCTACTAAAGTTAAAGAAAAAATATGGAAAATATTAAACTATTTAAGAAATAAGTAGTTAGGAATGAAAATAATTACATATATTTTAATTAAAATGTTCGTTAATAATTCTTGTCTGCCAAATAGTATGAATTGTATAATAGCACCATTAAATGGAGTTGGAGGTGTATATTTAGGAAATCTAGATGCTGCTTAAAATTCAGAGCTTTTATCAAAATATTAAATAGGTGCAGTGCTTTCTGTGATAGATTAATCAATTTAGATAAGAGGGGCATAGAAATTGGTAAATTCTATATAATAACTAAATTAGTGGATAATGGCTGATGATTGTGAAGATTTCCCTTTAAATAAATATTTTGATCAAGCTATTAAATTTATAGATAATCATTCTCTTAAAACAAATATATTGATTCATTGTTATGCTGGAATTTCAAGATCTGCTGCAATTTGTGCTGCATATATGATGCAAAAATATAAATGGAATTTGAATTAAACTCTTAGACATATTTAATAAAGAAGAAGATTTATAAATCCAAATCCAGGTTTCATTAAATAACTACAGGATTATGAATAAAAAATTAAACCAAAATAATAAAGGAAGAATGGTTCAGTTGAAATGAATATTAATGAAAAATCTAGACATAGTTCTGTTGGTTATGATGGAAACATTATCAACTAAAATGGAATTAATTCAATTAATAAATAAATATTAAGTCAAACAATGTAGCAAAATCAAAGAGATAGACTAAGTGACTTTAATATTAAATTAAATTCATATATGCATTAATGGAAATTAAGAGAAAGAGCTCATTGAATTTACATTTTATACTAATTTTATTTAATGATATATCTTAATATATTAAATTAATCTGATAATAAATTAGTATTATTAATACTAATTGTATCTGATTATTTCATAAATACATATAATTACAATTTGTTAATACAAGACCATTCATATGATTATAAAAATTATTTGTATTTATTTCATAATTGTTGATTTACCAGTTTGAATTAAAAGTAATGATATATTGAGGATTTATAACTTCCTTTAGAATTTAACAAATTTTATTTAAGTGAAGCTTAATTATTTCATTAAAATTAAATGGTCTTACTTTTTATAAAATATTCAACGAAACAATAATTTATATTTAGTATAAAATTAATTATCATTTAAAAGATTGCTCAATTTCTAAGTTCTATATTAACACTTAAATGTTTTCAATTAAGAATCTCTCCATCTTTTTAGATTTTAATTACACTATTGAGTTCTCCTAGATTGTAAAGGTTGAGATCAGTAATGTTTTTATAATTTCCTTTAAGAATATTGAAAACTTGTTCTGATTTTCACCTCTCAATATAAATCTAATGTCACCATAATAAGATAAACTAATAACTAATTCTTATAATGACATGGATGATTTGAAGTCCATCAAAATAGCGATGGCTACAGCACTTTACAAATTAGATAAGAATGCTCTTCAATATCTTAAATTTAAAAATTTTTACATAGTGACTATTTATTTCTACATTCTAAAAGATCTTTGATTAATTCATTAATTGACAAAAACCCATACTTTTAATTTAAATCTTAATATTAAACAGATGGATGAAATGGATAAGGAATATTTCAACATACAATCTTTATTTGAATTAGCTAGCTAAATAATAGTTTAAAACATTATAATGTTAAGGAAGTACAAATACTATTGAGTTGATTTCAATATTCTGAAGATGCCACTCTTCCATAAATTTATTTTTAGTATAATCTTAATTGAATTATGATTGAATAGCCAATCCATATTTATATCACAAGTCACTTAAAGGTAAAGTTTGGATAAATTATTTCAATAATATTACTGGAAATTATTGCATATTTATGATTAATACTAATAGTCAAATAATAATAATTAAATGAATAACATTTATATATATATTATGTTTGTCAAACTCCTTATATAAAATTATCGAGCATAAACCATGAATTCTCTCTTTAATCTTATGGGACCATCTATTATATATATATATATTTTATTACATGTCCAGCACCTCTGATAACTTGGAATCTGAAATAATTGTATTCTACAATCCATCCTGCTAATTGATCTTTTAATGTTCCTGGATGAGTATTCAAATAAGGAGTCCAACCTTTGATTTCCTTGACTCCTGGTATCTATTTGATACTTTCATAGGTCTCAACCATACTAACAGCTAAATCTTGATCACCAGAATATAGGAGTATTTTAATTCCTGCTTAAAATAATTCAGGTAAAATTAAATAACTTCCCTCTGATTTAGTATATTAAAGATAAACTGGATCACTACATCCTGTCCAGACAGTATCCATATCTACATGAAGTGCCTATTTATATTCATCAGTGTTTAATTTATTAGCTAAAGGTCCAAAATCAATACAAGGAGCACTACTATCATCATCATCTTCACTTAATTTTAACCAAGGAGTATATGAAAATCTATGTTTGGATTATCTTTCAACTTTGTATTATTTCCATGTACTGTCACCCCAACAATATGAATAAACTCCATAAGGATTTATCAATGCAATAGCATCATCTAATGATTTCTTAGCTTGTCTACAACTTGCTGAATTTGGTTATAAAGCACAATTGTGATTCAAAATAAACTAATTAGTATAATCAATAAATGATCTTCTAGCCAAAAACTTTAATGAAGTTTAACTTCTAAATTTCTCATTATTTATCAATACACCATTTCCAATTAATACTCCTTTGAATTAAATCTTTTCCTTTGCATCTATTGTTTTTTCTCCTTCTAATAATGCTTTGGCTGTATAAGGAATATACATTCCTAACATTTACTAACTTTGATACCTGCATATGATTCTCCAGCAATATAGAAATCTCTACCTCTATAATATGTGAATGTATCGAACCATTATCTGATGGCCTCATAATTGAATCTGCCAGTCTTCTCATCTGTGAATTTATAGTTTTTATCAGGGGCTGGCTAAGAGAATCCAACTCCGAATGGAGATTCCAATATTAATAAATGAGCATTCACATTCCAAGACCATGGATTCTATTTGTATTCAGTTTCTCCATTATCAATCACAAATGGACCGATTTCTTACATTAAACCCAACAATGATGAACATCCTGGACCACCATTAAGCCAAAGTATTACTGGTTATGTTGCTACTTCTGCATCCTCTGTTTGACTCTCTACAAATACGTAATGCAAATTTCTAATGTAAAAATCTATATGAACCTCTTAACTCCATCGTCATCAATCTCAATCAATCCTGACCAAGTCTTGAATCTATACACAGGCCAATCTGGCCATTTAAATTCATCTGCCACAAAGTCTATGCATGTGATTGAAAGCAGTAACGTAGCAAGAATCACACATTTCATCATTAATTTCTAATAATTTATTGAATTATGTATAATGCACAATTCCTATTTAAATAACAGGTACAAATTTTGAATGCATATTGATTATTGTACCCAATAATGTTCTACATAGATTATTTTATAATCAAAATACTCATAAGATATTTATACTATTTCTTGATAAAATCATATTATATATTACACTAAATCAATAGTTTGTGTTTATTAAACAAACACTAAAGTTATTATAAACCATTCATAATTAAAATTAGAAAATTCATATTTGTTAATAGTAAATTACATTATTATAAATTAATATACAATACTTTCCATAAGTTATTCATTTTTGACATCAATCTTTATTGAATTGCTCTTCTACATTAAAATATTGGAATTATCTTATTTTTATGAATTTAAGATTATAAAATTATTGATATATCATAATAATTATTGTCTTATCATTGAAATGTATTTTATGCATTCATTAAATTTATATAAATAAGGATTAACAATATATCTTATAGTAATTAATTTATAATTAAATTAAAAGTTATTGTTGTTATATAAATTAGAGAGTGAATTAAGATTCAATTGAACTTAAATAATTTTATCAGCATTATTTTAATACTATTTTCTATTGTTTTTTAGAATATAATAATTGATAAATTCATTTTCAATCTCTAGAAAATAATTAAAAATGAATAAAATAAAATTAATTTAATATGTAGTAAATTAGTAAAGAGAAAGAGAATCAAATCTAATAAGCTATGGATTTAGAAAAAGATGTCTTAGGCACATTAGCCAAAGTTAGATAATATGAAGCATCAATAAATACACTGAAAAGAAACATACAAAAATGTAACATTACTTTAAAAGAATTGAGTAGTATTGATCAATAGAAGACATTTCAACCTATTGGAAGATGGTATCAGATTTTATAAATGTTCATAGTTTTATTTTGAAACCAAAAGCTGATATTGTGAACGAAGTCAATGAAAATATCAAATCTCATGAAAGAGAAATTGATGAATATGAAAAAGTTAGATAACATTTAGTTACAAAAGGAAAAGAGAAAGAGACTTAATTGTAAGAAGCAATGAAATCATTAAAAATTTGAAATTATAACATATATTATGTTTTAAGATAATATAAGGAATCAGTTTTATAAATAATTTTTTTTTTGTTATTTCTAACTCTTTTAGCATATGTTTTATAGAAATACTAAATAGATTTCATAGATTTAAAGTTTATAACTTATGATTATGTTAAAGTATAAAATATAGAATGAATTTTTAATCTTTTAATTATTTTAGATTATTTCTTATGAGATGCCTGATAATCAATTTAATAATAGATAAAGTTCAAATTTTTATNACTAAAGTTATTATAAACCATTCATAATTAAAATTAGAAAATTCATATTTGTTAATAGTAAATTACATTATTATAAATTAATATACAATACTTTCCATAAGTTATTCATTTTTGACATCAATCTTTATTGAATTGCTCTTCTACATTAAAATATTGGAATTATCTTATTTTTATGAATTTAAGATTATAAAATTATTGATATATCATAATAATTATTGTCTTATCATTGAAATGTATTTTATGCATTCATTAAATTTATATAAATAAGGATTAACAATATATCTTATAGTAATTAATTTATAATTAAATTAAAAGTTATTGTTGTTATATAAATTAGAGAGTGAATTAAGATTCAATTGAACTTAAATAATTTTATCAGCATTATTTTAATACTATTTTCTATTGTTTTTTAGAATATAATAATTGATAAATTCATTTTCAATCTCTAGAAAATAATTAAAAATGAATAAAATAAAATTAATTTAATATGTAGTAAATTAGTAAAGAGAAAGAGAATCAAATCTAATAAGCTATGGATTTAGAAAAAGATGTCTTAGGCACATTAGCCAAAGTTAGATAATATGAAGCATCAATAAATACACTGAAAAGAAACATACAAAAATGTAACATTACTTTAAAAGAATTGAGTAGTATTGATCAATAGAAGACATTTCAACCTATTGGAAGATGGTATCAGATTTTATAAATGTTCATAGTTTTATTTTGAAACCAAAAGCTGATATTGTGAACGAAGTCAATGAAAATATCAAATCTCATGAAAGAGAAATTGATGAATATGAAAAAGTTAGATAACATTTAGTTACAAAAGGAAAAGAGAAAGAGACTTAATTGTAAGAAGCAATGAAATCATTAAAAATTTGAAATTATAACATATATTATGTTTTAAGATAATATAAGGAATCAGTTTTATAAATAATTTTTTTTTTGTTATTTCTAACTCTTTTAGCATATGTTTTATAGAAATACTAAATAGATTTCATAGATTTAAAGTTTATAACTTATGATTATGTTAAAGTATAAAATATAGAATGAATTTTTAATCTTTTAATTATTTTAGATTATTTCTTATGAGATGCCTGATAATCAATTTAATAATAGATAAAGTTCAAATTTTTATGATATAAACTAATTAGATTCTCTTATTATAATCTAATTATCATAATTATAACAATTATATAAAAATATTATAAACTGATTCAACTAAAATTTATTTGCAATCTTAATAATTTAATATATAATTGATTTAGAGTTCAAAGAATATTTGATTCATTGATAAAGAGTTGCAATAATTTAAAAATAAATAGTTTTTATAAATAAATTATTTATTCAAGAAGATTTTGAAATTATTAATAATAAATTTATATATAATACAGATTAAAATATAATTTTATTTCAAAAGGATATCAAAATAAAAGAAATCTTTACTAACATTTAATATTCTTATGATTACAAAAGAAGAATAAACTAATAAAAATTCAAATGTTTTGGTTGCAATATCTCAAATATTTTTAAGAAATTATTCATTTTACAATTTAGTTTAGCACAACAAGAGTATTTTTTATGTTTCATCTTTATATTTAATGAACTTTTTATACAATCGATTTATATTAATAAGTAAAAATATAAGATATCTGAAAAATAATTAATATAAATAAATTTAGATAATATAAGATAGTTTTAAAGAAATAATTTAGATTGACTTTGATAAAATTATAAAAAACAAAAATTTAAAAGGAGTTCTAGAAGTAATTGGATAGAAATAATGAATATATAATTAATATTATCAAAATTTTAAGTTCAGTATAAAGTGGGTTTCTACATTTCTTTATGGTACTAGATAAATAAAAATTATACAAAAAAGTCTGCAGTTTTTCTGGGAATAAGATTTCCATCTTTTCTAACTTATAATACACTTGTTTTATTTTGCATCAAAGATTTAAGATTGTTGTATAATTATACTGCTTCTTCAATCTGGGCTTCGACACATTTATTCTTTGAAAAACTTATTTAACTATTGTATGATTCTTTATGCTAATGAAACTAATTTAAATGAAAAGTTTACATAGGAAGCACTATTGTTTTTAGTTGAATTGCATTCCAAAGGGATCGAATTAAATTATACCTTCAATATAGATTTAACAGGAGTACTAGATTTCTTTTCATATGTAGGAGTGTCTTATTTAGATTAACTTCTATTAATTTAAATAATAGGTTTTGGTATTTTTCTTTCACTTTAAACATTCTTATTGGAAATTTCTTTATTTTCAGATTCTATAGTATTTATCTTATTGATTGATTAATTGATTTTCTTTTCAGATGCACTTCTCAACTATAAAAAATTAGAATGTGTTTTTGAAGGTTAAGGTAATTTTTTTAGACTTGAACTTCTTATAACTCCTTTAAAACATTCAGCTTTTTTAGTATAAGAGGCATCAGAAATACGCGATTCTTTACTTGAAGGTCTTTATCTTAATTCATAGTATGGTTTTGATTATTAATGCTATAATGAACTAGGTCTTGAATTTGGTTTAGTAAGAGATTCTTTAAGAATTTTTGACTGTTAAGATATTTGGGATTTATTTAAAGATTTTTCATTTTTAAACTCTTTGGTTTCTCTTGTTAATCTTTAAATTTCAAGATCCAAATTACCAATATCTCTAAGTAGCATTTTTTTGATGCTTGGCTTTTATGGTTTATCAATTAAAGGAGATTATTCAGGAGGAATTGGATTCACAGGTTATTAAACTTCATATTCAATCTCCTATTCTGGAGGAGGAGTTGGATTTTTTAAAGGTGATTCTTCTTTATGAAATTCTAATTTTGTGGATAGCTTTTTAGATGGTTTAGATAATTGTTTTTTATTAGGATTAAAGACAATGAATTCTTATTGGTTAGACTAATGTTATTATGATTTGGATTGCTTTTTATTTTTTTAACTATTTGCATTTTGGTATTGTTCTTACAAATTACCTAATAATTATTATTTTCTTAAGTAAATTTGGATGTGTACCTTAATTCAAATTGAGCTGCAGCTTCCTCTTCACTTAATTTACTATATCTCCCTTATTCTGCCATTCAGTTAAATAAATTAATAAGTAAATTGAGAGTAAATTAAATACAATCCGTTTTTATTATAATAAAAAATGGTCAAATAATGCTTACTATTAATCACCTTTATGGTGATTGTCCACAGTCTGAATTATGGAACAGTTTTGATTCAAAATGAAAAGGGAGGACAAATACAAACAAAAGTAATTCATTTGATAAATTTAAGGAAATATTCTTTTCATAACCTTTTTAGCAGATCCCTTAAGTGGCCATTGCACTTCTTAATGGTCATGGAGATATATTTGCAGAAATTCACAATATAAATCAAGAAGGTACATGAGTATCTATATAAAATAAGGATTTTCATTACAAATGATGGCATCAAATGAGATTGAGGCAGAATTTGCCTATTTAGCCATAGAAAATGATGAGAACTATCAAATTGAATGTTTTAACCGCATTGATGTTGGAAATGAGATTCAATTTCCTCTAATTATCTAGAGACCAACATTTATTGGTGTTTTAGCTACTAATACTCATGCAAATAATTTCAATATTGGTATTCATTGATTTCATTGGCAAAGATTTACTTGATGGTAATCTCATTGTTGATAATGATGGATAATTGAACATGTGTATAATTATAACAAATGAGGAACAACCTATCGAATTGATTGGATATTAGAATTACCAAGAACAAGAAGTTGCTGAATTTCATTCATTTAAAAAATAGAATGCCATGTAACTCTTTTATAATTAATTCATCTTAGGAGCTTAGTATAAGCTCAGCAATCCCTTGAAATAACACATTTAGATTAACATAAATCTTTTGAAATTTGGCACCATTAATCTATTGAAATTATTAAGGATTCCTCTAATGAAGTAAATTAAACTCATAAATCAATTGAAATTGTGAGTGAAGATTAACCTAATTAAACATAATTCAAATAATAAGAATCAATAGAAATATTTAAATTGGATGATTAAGAATCATAATCAAATATTGATTAGAAATTAATTGCTGAAGATATTAATCTAGACAATATTGATGATAATCTTGATTCTAATAATAATTAATTAGAAGATATTAAATTAGAAGATTCTTCAAATGTTGATTAATTGACCTAACAGTAAACAACTGAAGATGCATCTAATTAATTAGAAGATATCACATTAGATATTGAATCTGAATAACAAAATTTATAATCTGAAACTATAACTCTTGATGATTAGTAATAATCTAATGAATAATCTTAATAACAACTAGAAAATAATTAATAAGAATAGATCGAAGATGTGAAATTAGTAACTGAAGAATTGATAAATAATGAAAATTCATAAGAAATTAAGTTGACTACTGATGAGGTTCAAATCATAGAACCAAAAAATGAATCATTATAAAACTCAGAAGAATAATAATCAGTTATTGATAATCAATAAGTTGATTAAGTATAAACAGAATAAATTGATTAATAAAATTAAGATTAAGATATTTCTAATTTATCATCTGAGGTTGTGATCAATAATAATGATTAAGTACTCTAATAAGAGGATGTTACATTTGATAGTTTTGATAATGATAATGTAAATTAATAGGAGGAATCACAATAAGAAATCTAAACTGAAGATATAAAATTAGATGATACTACTATTTCTTCAATTAATGCTGAAGATATTCCTCAATAATAGGATGCTATAGACATCCAAAATGATTAATTATCTACTTAATAAGAAGTTTAACCAATTGAGGACACTACATCAACTGACGATGTTGTTGTTCATGCAGATGAAGTTAAAATTGAAAATGTGAAGATTTCAGAAGCAAATTTGGATGACATAAGTACAGATTAATAAGTATAAGAGGATAATTCAGAATAGATATAAGAGGATAATACAGAATAAATAGTATAAGATAATACAGAATAAACATAATAAGATAATACAGAATAAATAGTATTAGATAATACAGAATAGTTATAATAAGATAACACAGAATAAATATAATAAGATAATACAGAATAGTTATAANGGCACCATTAATCTATTGAAATTATTAAGGATTCCTCTAATGAAGTAAATTAAACTCATAAATCAATTGAAATTGTGAGTGAAGATTAACCTAATTAAACATAATTCAAATAATAAGAATCAATAGAAATATTTAAATTGGATGATTAAGAATCATAATCAAATATTGATTAGAAATTAATTGCTGAAGATATTAATCTAGACAATATTGATGATAATCTTGATTCTAATAATAATTAATTAGAAGATATTAAATTAGAAGATTCTTCAAATGTTGATTAATTGACCTAACAGTAAACAACTGAAGATGCATCTAATTAATTAGAAGATATCACATTAGATATTGAATCTGAATAACAAAATTTATAATCTGAAACTATAACTCTTGATGATTAGTAATAATCTAATGAATAATCTTAATAACAACTAGAAAATAATTAATAAGAATAGATCGAAGATGTGAAATTAGTAACTGAAGAATTGATAAATAATGAAAATTCATAAGAAATTAAGTTGACTACTGATGAGGTTCAAATCATAGAACCAAAAAATGAATCATTATAAAACTCAGAAGAATAATAATCAGTTATTGATAATCAATAAGTTGATTAAGTATAAACAGAATAAATTGATTAATAAAATTAAGATTAAGATATTTCTAATTTATCATCTGAGGTTGTGATCAATAATAATGATTAAGTACTCTAATAAGAGGATGTTACATTTGATAGTTTTGATAATGATAATGTAAATTAATAGGAGGAATCACAATAAGAAATCTAAACTGAAGATATAAAATTAGATGATACTACTATTTCTTCAATTAATGCTGAAGATATTCCTCAATAATAGGATGCTATAGACATCCAAAATGATTAATTATCTACTTAATAAGAAGTTTAACCAATTGAGGACACTACATCAACTGACGATGTTGTTGTTCATGCAGATGAAGTTAAAATTGAAAATGTGAAGATTTCAGAAGCAAATTTGGATGACATAAGTACAGATTAATAAGTATAAGAGGATAATTCAGAATAGATATAAGAGGATAATACAGAATAAATAGTATAAGATAATACAGAATAAACATAATAAGATAATACAGAATAAATAGTATTAGATAATACAGAATAGTTATAATAAGATAACACAGAATAAATATAATAAGATAATACAGAATAGTTATAATAAGATAATACAGAATAGATATAAAATGATAAAGAGGATAATACAGAATAGATCTAATAAAATAATACAGAATAAATTTAAGAAGAAATTCAAGATAATAATATAAATAGTGAAATAAAAGAATAATCTGAAGATATTTCTGTAGAACCAGATGCTTTTTCAGAACCTTAATAAAAAGTAACTTAAATTAATGATGATTCTCTTAAGTAAGAATAAGATATTGATGAAATGATTAAATTTGCATAAGAATTAAAAGAATAAGCTAAATAATTAAAGAATAAAAGTAGAAATGAAAGATAATAAGCAAAATTAGATATTATGGAATAGGCTAATATTTTAGAGAAGGAAGTTGGCAAATTAGAAAATGAAAGTGAAGAACCTTAAGTTGTAGAAGATTAAATAAGTTTGGATGTTAATTCTGCTTATGATGATTAAAAGGATATATAAATTGAATAACCTTAGGAAGAATAATAGCCCCCCATCATCTACTTAAATGACAGTGGAGTCAATCCAGAGTAATAGTTAATAACATAAGATATCAAAGATGATGATAAACTTATGATCTCTGAAAATTCATTATAGGAATAAGTTGATTAGGAATTGCAATCATAAGAATAATAGGTTGAAACTACATCTCAAATTGGAGAAGAAGATATATAAATTATTGATGCTTCCATTAAATTAGATGAAGATCATTAAGAATTAGAAATATATCAATCTGGTCAAGTTGAAGTCATTCCTGAATAAGTTTAACCTGAAGTTGAAATCATTTCCGAATAAGTTTAACCTTAAGTTGAAGAAGTCTAATAAACTGAATAACCTCAAGAATAGATTGAAGTAGAACCTTAAGAAGATTATGTTTAGGAATAAGAAACAACAAAAGAAGAAGGTGCTATTGAAATTGGATTAACAACAGATGAAGGTGAAGCATTTATTAGAAAACCTAAGAAGTCTGATTTCTTAAGAGAAAAATAAAGATTAAAAGATAAATTAAATAATGTTATTAAAGATTTTAAACTAGACTCTGTTGATAGTAATACTTTAGATTCTGTAGTTGAGGGGGATAAATAATATTCTTTAATTATTGATAGATTAGATGTTCCTGAAAATAATGAATAAGTTATTGTGTTAAAAGATGAGGATTATGAATAAAGTCAAATTGAACCAGAACCAGAAAAAGAAGTTAAATAACTTGGTGATTATTTAGAAGCAGTAGAACCAAATATTGAAAATGTTAATTTTATATATGATGATGAATAACAATAGGAATAATAAACCATTTAAATTGAAGATATCAAATTAAATGATGATAATACAGATGAAGAAACTAATTACAAAATTGTTGAGGCTAAAGATGATGATCTTGTTGATACTACATTAGAATCTATAGATGATTCATAATAATATTAATTATTATCAACTGAAGTTGCTGTTACTGCTGAAGAAACATCTACTGCTAATGTTGAAAATTAGAGTGAAGATGAAATTAATATTTCTTTTGATGAATTCCAAAAGGAACTTGAAGTATTAGCTAATACTATTGGTAATATCAAATAAGAAAATATAGACACAAAATAAAATAGTGACTACATTGTTGTAAATGATAATAGTTAGATTTATGAAGCTACCTATGATGAATAAAGCAATGATTTACCATAAGAAGATGAACCTTAAATTTAAGAGGATCAATAAATTTACTATTAAGGATTTGAAGATGATCAAAATAATTCAATTGAAATAGAATAACCTGAAAATTAAGATGAATAATTGTAAGAATAATAAGAAGTTGAATAAGAATTTGATGTTCCAGAATAGGAAAATAATTAAGAATAATTATCTGAAGATCAATTTTTAGTTAACGAATAATCCACAGAAGATTCAGCTCAACAAGTTGAAACTTATGATGATGCTGAACCTCAGGATTAATATCTAACCATAGATAATTTAGTTAAGGATAGTTAAGCTATTGCAGAATCTTATGATTAGGCACCATAATATTATGATGAATCTGATAATGAATCCAATGAATAATAGAATTAAAATGTAGTTGAAAGCTCATTAGAATCAGATTATGATATTTCTGAATAATAATAATAAAATTAAGAGATTAAAGAATAATAAAAAAGTGATAATGGATAATAATAATAATAAGAATAAGATTTTGTTGTTATGAAAGCAGATTAATTTAAACCATAGTTATAGGATGAGGTTTAGTAATAAGAATAGTAATCTGATATCCAATAGGTAGATGACATCTATTCAGAAACTCCTAAAGACGAAAATGAAATAGATATCATTGTAGATGTAGGAAATCAATAAGATGATTAACCTTAATTAAGTGAATAAGATTATGATTACGGAGACAATTTTGAAATTTAATAACCTGCTAAAAATGATGCTGAATAATAATCATAATAGTAATAATTATAATAATAACAACAATAATAATAATAGTAATAATAGTAATAATAGTAATAATAAGATTAATAGTAATAATAATAATAATAATAATAATAATAATAATAATAGTAATAGTAATAGTAATAGTAATAGTAATAGTAATAATAGTAATAGTAATAGTAATAATAATAATAATAATAATAGTAATAATAATAATAACAACAATAATAACAATAATAATTATAATAAGATTCTATATCTAGTAAGAAACATAAATAAAAAATTTAACATTCAATTACAATTTCTCATAATCCTTAAGAAAGTAATAATAAATAAACTGATAGATCTATTGAAATATAACATGAAGATAAATCTCTAAAAATTGAGCATCCTGTTAATTAAGAAGAATTAAAGAAAGATTTGAAGGAATAATTAAAATAAGAACTCAAAGAAGAATTAAAATAAGAAATAAAATAGGAAATATAAGAATCACACAATAGAAGAAAATCTCCTAGTCTTGTTATAGAAGATAATGTAGCTAAAGATCCAGAAAGACCTGCTTAAAAAGCCATAAACAATTTTAACAATCTACTAAATGATGTAGTAGATGAGACCTTAAAAGAAGAGGATAAAAAACACTATTAGAAATTACCAATAGTAGATGTAAAGAAAGAGTCTTTTAATAAAGTAGAACCTAAGATTGAATAAGGAATTGAAGACCTAAAGAAAGCATTAGGATTAAAAGGAGGAGTAGAAGTTGTTGATAACAATGGTAAGAAGCAAGTCATTAATGTTGATGATCTTAAAAAAGAAAGCGAGAAATTGTTAACTCGTCCAGAAAGAGATAATAAAAATGATAGCCCTTAATATGAAGAATTTTTGAAAAAAGTAACTGAAAAACCATAAACAAACAATAATGATTAATTTAAAAATTATGAAGAATAACATAACATAAGAAAATAAGAAATTTTAGAGAATATAAAGAGAGAGTTAGAAATAAAGAAAGGTCATTTCACAGTTCCAAATGATTCTCCTCAAGGTATAATATTATATTATGATATAAGCAGAGTTATCACCTTATGAATTCGAGAGAGTTTATTTGGATTGGGAAAAGAACAAATAGGATATCATACCAAGCATGCTCTAACATTCAATAGAATAACCTATTACTTAAGAAATGCATTCTAATTCAGAAGTAGTACAATAGAAATCTAGTGAGAGAGTTTCTAGAAAAGAAGAAGTGGAGAAGGAAGTTTAAGAATTACTTTATGGAAATCAAAAGAATAGGAAATAACAATCAAAATAATCTTCAAAAGGTTAATATTTATTATTATAAATTTAAGAGTTTAAAGTGGAAGATTTGAAATATATAAAGGATGATCCACTTTTGGATGCCACTTATAGTGGATTTTTATAAGTGAAAGCAAACTTAAGAAGAAGATAACAGTGATTAATATAAGTTTATAAATTAACAGAAAATAATATGGAAAGAAAAAAATCATCACTTCAAAGGCAAATCCCATTTCTTTCTTTATGTAATAGGATGGTTATCCTTACTAATTTCTGGTTTTTTTATTTTCTCTTACAAGAACTACATTAAGTCGAAGTGCTATTCATTTCTAATTTTTGCAAATTCTTCAAGTAAGTCATATAAGGAAATATTTTTGAGTGTTTGGGTTACATTTTATTTCTTTTAACCTTTAGGTTTGACAACAGAAGAAAAGGCTGGAATTCTTCTTCGGCAATGAGGACATTGTTGATTCATAAGAAAATATAATTAATTTCATTGTTTAATTGTTTCTTTAATTGATTATTCAAGTCCCTATGTCACATATGTTAACTTAACATTAGGAGGTAATTAAACACAATAAATGGTTACAGCAATCATGTTAGGGTTGAATCTGGGATAAAAAAAGGCTTACACTCCACAAGTTTTACAAAAGTAATGTTTAGCCTTGTATATAAAATTTGGTCATTCATACTTGCTTTGTATTGAAAGTATAGAGTGTAAGTTCTTCCATACTTGTAAGTAATTTAAACTTGGAATTGTTTATCAATACATGATGATTTTGTTTCATTTTGCAGATTGAGCAATGACATCTGATTACTTCCATCTCAAGGGGTCCTGAGAATTCAAATTTAACCTTTTGGCAATGACAACTACCTTAATATTATTATTCCATTTTCTTATTTTATTATATATGTATTCAGTGAGCTAAATTTCTAAATCTGATCCAACCCGTTATGGTGATTAGTTTAAGCCAACTGCAAGAAAAATGACTCATCGTTTGCTTTCCCATTGTGATAATGAGTTGACTCTAAAGAAAATGGATTTTGCTTTGTCAGGGAGTGGTAAACAAATCCCAGATTATAACATAAAATCAACCTAAATTGAAACAAAGTAAATAGAACCATTCAAAATCAAGGATTTTATACCTTAGATCAATCCAACAATAAAAGGAGAATTGAGTCGTCTAAATAAAAATAATTTTTTAGACTTTCTGTTAATTTAGAAGGCTGGCAAAGTAATATAATTAATCCTTATTGTTAGTTGGGGGATTAGAAGTTCTTTGATTTACTAATTTAATAATACAATTTTGATCCATTTAAGAAAACCTTGAAGATGCATGACAATAAATAATAAATTCAATATCTTCAAAAACGAGACGAAAGAGAAGAATAAATTGCTTTATAGATTAAACAATTTTATAAACATATGCAACACAAAAGGAGGGGCACAATCAATGAATAACCTTTAGACCGTATGATAATTGAAAAAAATAATTATTTGATCTAAAAACTACCACGCTTTAGAGCTAAGTTAGAGGCTTTGTAAGGAAAAAATGATAATATATGATCAAATTATAGTAGAAGTAGTGTATTTATGATTCGGAATATAACCATGGTTTCGACGAATAATTTTTTCTATTTCAAATATCACATGTATGTCTCTGTTTCGATTCTTAGGTTTTGTATTTTGGGGTTTCATTTTTATTAATGAAAGTTATGGCAAAAAATGTTTTTCATTTGAAGATTCTTTAATGGTTATGAATTTGTTGATATATTGTTATTTTATTACTTGTCTTGGTGATATACTATTCAATTTTAACTTAGGTAATTCACTTTTCTTTGCTGTTAATATTGAATGCATTGTTTGATGAATTTCTTTTATTTCTGTCTTTTCTTTATGAAATGGTACAGTCATTTAACTATGATATCGTGAACGAGGTCTATAATCATCACTGCACCAAGGACCTAAGTCTTCATCATAATACATTTAATTATCAAATTATTATTATTTATGCTTGATAATTTTATATATTCTTCATTTTACTAATAATTTGACTATTCTATTATATATTTGTATAAAAACTAAACATATCGACAGAATTCTAATAAGAATAAATGAAAACCTCCATATTTATCAAGATAATAGAAATAATAGATTAAGATACTATAAATTAAAATTGTTATGATTTTTATAATAAACATTTCTCTCTTTAGTGATATGACACGATTAATATTATATTAAAATATTTACATAAATTTAATATTTATATAACAGCAATATATTTTGAATAATGATAAGTTTAGATGAAATGGAGTCAATTGCTAATTCATTTCGCAAGAAACCTAAGAAAAATTAGTGTTAGTAAATACAAACAGATGAAACAATTGCTATGTTAGAAATTTTAGAATCAGATATGAATAAATTTAGAATTGAAAATTTAAGACTTTAACAATAGATAAAATAATTACAAGAGAGTTTAGTTCATTGTTCTGTTAATATAACAAATACATCTTCTAAATTTATGTTGCCAAGTGAATTTAAATTAAAATATGAAAATATGGTCAAAGAAACACTTCCATCAGCTTTTGGTTATCTATTTGATTAACCTAAATTACTAGTATAGGTAGTTTAATAGAGTTGTCTCTTTTTAGAATAAGTGATCAGAGAAGAACTTAATAAGAAGACTTTACAAGTTGGTTCAATACTAGGAATAAATTGTTAAGGATTATTTAGTCTTTTATAAAAGTTATATTAAGATAATTATTAAAGTGTTTTGGGTTTCAATGATACAACAATAAACAAATTAAAATCACATTTAAAATTGAATATAAAAAACATAGATGAATTTATAGAAGAGGATAATGATGATTTGATTGAATGGATGAAATAATATTGGCTATTGTTATCGTATATAATTCTTAGTGATTAAGAGATTAATATAGGTTTTAGTAGGGTGATTTACGAAATAGTTCCATATCAAAAGAATGAATATTATTATGTAGATGGTTTTGGTAAAGAAGGAGCTAAAAGTTTGGTTATTCTCCCACCAATTATGAGAAAGAATCAATCATTTAATGGAGTTAAACATGCTGTATTAATATTACCTACCAATTTTGATTGTTCAATATTTAGTTAAGAGAACAATCAATAGGATACAATTTAAGAATTGAAATCTTATAATTCACCTAAATAATTAACTATTCCTTAAGAAATAAAAGTTATTGAAGAAACTAAAAGAAGTAGTTTATAATATAGTGCAAGAGAGAACACTTTTTAAAGTCAAGGATCTGAAAAATTTGATACTTTTGAAGAATACAGAATTAAACCATAATTAAAATAACCATTAAAATCAATGAAGGAAACTCTTAATAAATTAAATTAATATAATAATAACAATAATAATTAATCATTTAAAGAGATTTCTAAATTACTTAAGTAAGACTCTAAAGACAATAAAAAATTTAGGTAAATTATTACTCATATTTAGTTAGTTAAATTATATTTAAAATAAGATTAGCAATAGTAATTGGAGCAGGATTCTTTCTAATAAAAGAAATAAAGAAAATAATTTGAATCTCAATCAATCTTAATTTTAACCCTCTTAATTAACAATACAATAATTCATAAAGAAAATTAAGATAGATTTCTCTCGTCCTTTGAAAAGTCGTCATGAAGAATCAAAATTCATTAAATCACAATAAGATAGTTTCAGATAAAGAGCATAGTCTAATGATGGAAAATTTGTTAAATATTATAATGATTCCTTTAATTAGAAATTTAATAATTGATTTACTATTATAATTAATTATAACAGCTAAATGAATAGACCTAATAGTCAGACTAATGATTACTTTAATTTAATAGAGAAATGCATATGTAGAATATGACATTCTATCTTAGAAATACCCAAGGATGATCGACTCTATTTGAGATAATGTGCCCATTAAAATAATCCAGATATCATTTCAATCCTATTTCAATATAAGAAGAAAAATGGTATAAAATTATAATCCATAGAGACCAAAGAAGATTATATATGGATTTACGGAAATTTTTGTAACAAAACAAATAGGTACGTATTCTTTAAAAGAAATAATAACAATCAAAGGAAAATCTAAGAAATGGATCTCCTTAAGCTAAAAGCAAATAATAATCTAGATAGAATAGTATTAAAAACAATAATCCAAGATCATTAAGCAAATAACTATTATGTATTAATCCATCTGATAAATCATAACATTTATTAATGTATAATAAAATTAAGAAATTAGGACAACTCCACATAAATAATAATAAGATAGATTATCTTAAAATTAAAAATTCCACACAAGTAGTGGAGGGTTCTTTAAAGAAGTATAAAGATTTGATGAAACAATAAAGAAATCTCATAAATAGAAAAAATGGACTGAAGAAGAAATTGTTAGGAAATATGCTGATCTATTTACAGCACCTGATTTCTTAAAGAAACATAGAGCAATATCTTAAGATACAGATCCTGATAGTAAAGATTTTAATTTTGCAATTCCTTGTCAAAGTTTCATTTGTTAACCTAAATATTATGCTTTATAGAAATTTAGTGCAGAATAAATATTTGGATTTATTTTTATGGAGACATCTTTAACAAAAATAAGCAAGAATTTCTTTTAATATAAAATGGAAGCATTTTATAATGAAATAGATGCTGAAATACCAGATTTATAAGAAATGTTCTTGTTCATAGATAAAAAAAATGATGGTTTTATTGATGTAAATGAAATGGGATAATTTCTTGATTTTGTTTGTTAAAAAGAAGATAGATCAATATTCATGAAATTAGATACAAATAATTAAGGATATTTTACAGAACATTAGATGCTTTAATAAACAAGAGATCGATAATTTACAAGAAAGTATTATAATTATATTATACAAAAATAGCTATTTTTAAGAGTATGATATTGATTAAACAGGAAGAATTACTTATTGGGAATATTATTTAAGGTATTTCTTTTCATATTTATAAGATAACCTACTTAATTAGGACTAAATTTAAATAAATTACTAAAATGAATTTATATAATAATTATTTTTTTCCGCTATTTTTAATTTAAATGTGTATTGAAGAAGTTTAAGATGATAAGGGATTAGAGAAATTTTTGAAAATGGCTATCAAATAGTACATAATCTTATTAAATTTAGTTATGAAACTAAATATGGTACCACATAAAGAAATTTGAGGGAAAAGGCAATGACTTTATGGCTTGATTTATAATCTTATAAAGATAAAATGATAGTAATGGAATTCATGTAAAGGAAAATTAATAAGATTGAATCTTCATAAACAAAGATCACATAATTCTTTAAATCAAACTAAAAACCATCTACTACTAAAATTATGAAATAAATTGATAATAATGATGATTAAGAAATTACAGGTCCAATAATAGAAAAAGTGAATACTCCAAAGAAGAGAGATAAATCACCATATAGTAAATTCTATGAAGAAACTTATTGGAAAATAAAATTGGAATATGAATAACTGAATTAGAAAGAGATTAGATAAATGGTAAAAAAATAATGGGAAAGTAATAGAAAGACAACTTTATTTAGTTGAATATTGAATTATGCATTACTTAGAAAGCAAAATCTTTTGTATTAGTTTGACTATATTAATAATATAATTTATTATAAAAATCGTTAAGATGTTAAAGAGAAACTCCCATCGTTAATCTGATAATTAGTTAAGATATTCATCATTAACTAAAAATGATGAATCAGAGTTTAATCTAGGAAAATTTCGAGAGAGTGTCTATTCAAAGATGCAACAATTAGGCAATTAAGAACAATAGACATATGCAAAGGGTACTGCTCCAAAAACTGTTAAATCCTCTTAGGTTTAAGAATTGAGGGGAAGGTATAAGAAAAGATTAAGTTTAGTATTCCATCATTTGAAGATATTTTCAAAAAGATGTCTTCATATAAAGACAGTTCACATAATATATTAAAACATGATGGATCTTTAAGGTCTAGTATTTAATGCAAAATAGAATAATTTGCTGATCCACCATAGAGCAGATTATCTTAAAGATCAGTTGGAATGACTTTGCATATTTCCAATAGATTTGCCTCCCAAACTAAATTGGATACTAAATAACAATCAACAGGAAAATTCACTTCAAGCTTTATAGAAAAGCCTGTAATTTCTTAACCACTTAAAACAAGTGTAATAGATAAGTTGCCATTAAAAGAACTAATTGATATTAGAAATAGAGTCGAAGGGAGTACATAAAGTGAAGTATAATAATTGTCTAAGAATTATGTGTCTGAATTGGTGAAATTGGCACAAATCATAAATAAATAAGTGAGAAGATGCAAATTATGATATTATTAATATGTTATAATCTCATAATAATGGAACCACAAGTCAAGAGTATAAAATAGTAGTTGAGAAATATTAGAGATATTTGGATGAGAGATCTAAATTGAAACATAGATCTAATGATAAGTTAAGTGCAGCAGTCAGAAAGATTTATCTGAATCCTCTTCTTCCTTCATTATAATCTGATCATTAATAATCCACTAATCGAATGAGAAAAAGACAATCATCTGTATTGAAAGAACAATATTCACATTTTAAACAAGAATCTATTGAACAAATAAATACTAATATCTAATAATCAATTGTTAATCATCAATCAAACTCTGTACCAAAAAAATAATAACATTAATCCTAAGCCAATCTTGAAATACCATAATAACAAAGCTTTTTTGTTGGTTTATATAAAAATTAGAGGATTGAAAATTAAAGCAAAAACATCACCATTAAGGATTTAGTATAATTTTAAAAAAATTCACAAGAACAATAATCAAATTTAACTCATTTACCATAATTATAATAGCCATATAATGAAATTAATTTAAGTAGATATTTTGTAAGAAAACCAAAACCTAAAAAGATCTCTTTTGATGAAATCTCTTTTACTAATAAATGGGAAAGAGAAAGAGGTAATAATGTAGTAAGGATTGATAAAATGTAAGCAGATGAATTCTCAGAAAATGTAGTTGATTATCTCTTAGCTTAAGATATTATGAAATTATTCTTTTAAAATTCTAGTGTTATATAATTCAAAGCAATTATGCTTGAATTATTCAAAGGAGTTTATTATGAAAGTACACTTGATTTTGAACAAATTATAGCATTCTTTACAACATAATAGATTACTTATTTAGAAATATTCTATATTAAATATGCAATCTCTTAGGTATTAATAAAAGCTAAATATAATTTTATTTTTATAGAAAGAGCTCTTAATTAATTTGAAGAATATCGTTATCTATTATAAAAACCAATACCATTTATTACTAAATTATTTGATAATACCTTTTATTCTAATGTTGTTAAAGGAATTATGATGAAACTATTAAAAAGTCCAGCTTACAATAAATTCTTGACTAATAATAAATTTGAAAGTGAATCATTCATATATGCAGTTAAAAATGGTTTATTTCCTTATTTAGTTGGAGAGTATGTAGGATTACCTCTGCATGCAAGGATTAAAGATGTAAAAGCTGAATTATTCAGATAATAAATCTTATAACCATATATAAATCATGTGCTTGTTATTCAAGTAAAAAATCTATTGAATGAATATTATCTTGATGAACTTTACATAAAAGAAGTGGAAAGGAGATTGCAATTTCCTAAAGAAGGATAAGATTTATCTGAAGAAATACACTTTCCTCTATATTATATTAAATCATATATACAATGTAAGAATACTCTTATACCTTCGTATGACATCAAAGCATTGATAAAGATAATAAAGATAAATCCTAGTTCAGTAGATTCAGATTCAACTCTATTTATAGATAATATCAAATATTTGGAGTAATTTGAATAAATAAAAGAAGAATTGTAACTATTTAAATGATAATCAATTTTTATTTTCTTTTTGATGTTTTGATGAAATTCATATATTAATAATTATTTAATTTATAGAAAATAATAGTTAAATTATGAAAATCAATTTGTCTAATAGACTATTAATATTTAGAGAACTTTTAGGAAATGTCATGAAATCAATTAACAATCTCTTTTTTTCTATTTATTTGGTTTAAAATTATTCTTATAATTTATAAAAAAATTTAATACTTCAATTCATCAAGTAAAATATCTAAAAACATAACAAAAATGAAATCGAAAATAGCCATAATTTTTATTACTCTTGATGTTATATAAATCTTTTTAAGTCAATATTTTTAAATTCTCTATTAGATAGAAAATAATAATAGAGATTAAGTTATAATTTATAATTAAAAAGTAGTTAAAATTTGATGGCAAGTGAGAGAATACATAAGTATGAGGAATCGAAAGGTGCAGTATAGAAAATTGATTGATTAGATTTTATTTAGAAATGCAAACAAAAGAATTGTTTTTCGAATAGTTATGGGAGTCCATTTTGTTTAGTGAAGAAATTCAATGATCATAATATTCTGAAGGAGAGTTATAATAAGATGAATGTACGAGGAGATGAGAAATGTAGTTTAAATGATCGTCTTTAGAAATATAGATCTTAGGCTTAGATGGCATTGGATAAATTGGAGACTGGTGAATAATATGCTAATTTTAGGTAGATTACAAATACTAGAAGCAATTACTGATAAGATAGATGTAATAAAAGTGTTAGGAAGAGGAAGAGTAAATGTAGCATAGAATTTAAGTGCGAATGAAGAAAGTTTAGCAATAGTGATTATTTATTATATATTTTAATGGACCAAATTGAGCATAGAATATAATAATTAAACCCTGATTCCTCAAGTGTGAAGGAAATAATAGATATCTTAACACAATATCATTAAATAACAACAGTATGTATTATTTGGGAAATACAATTCAATAGAGAGATTCTATACAAAAAATAGTATTATCCTTAAAATCTTGTTAAGAATACTTTAGCCAATAAAATTACGATCATTATGGAGAAATGGATCTTAAGGTTTAGAATATAATAGAAGATGTTCAACGTTTAGAAGTAGTAAAAATGAAGAAGTCTTTTACAAAGAAGATGTCAACAAAGTAACAATTTAATGATATCTTGTTTATAGATCGATTCGAATATTGTCAAATAAATTGCGAATAGCATTACATATATTGGAAGGTGAATGGATTAGTAAGAATAATACATCATTCCAATATAAATGGGCATCAATTAAAATGAAGAATATTTAGCAGTAGAAATGTTTAGTATTTTTAGAGTAATGAAGATTGATATGAAGAAGTGGGATAAAAAATAATTTGAATTATTGATTTGTAGAATATGTGAAAAGAAAGTACAAGCTTTTGAAATGAAAATACATTGTGAAGATTGTCAAAAATCTGCAGAGGCAAAAAAAAGAATATTAGAATTGAATTTAGAAATGGCTAATCTTTGTGAAGCAGCTTATTAAGAAAAAAGAAATGCATAAGTAAAATAAGCTCTAATAAAGTAAGATTTGATAATAGTTAGTAAAAATAAGAAAGTATAAAAAAATAATAATAAATTCAGAAGAACCCAGACTTTTAATAATGATGATCAAGAAAATGAATAAGAATTAATCAATATTAATAATGCTATGACTATCATTATTAATTATGCTGATAAAATAGTTAATTAATCTAATGATGATCCTAAGTGTAAGAATTATCTGACTAAATAGAAAATCTGGTAATCCTTAATGATTTATCCAATGCAGGCAATTATATTGAGAGTAATGAAGCTAAGACTATAATTACACGTGTTCATAAAAGTATCCTTGATAGAATGGAATATTTCAAAAAATAAGAAGGTCATCATTAATAATATGATATGACTCTCTAATTATCCAAAATCTAAGCTATGAAAAAATCCTTTGCAAAATAAAATTCACTATCATTTCGTTAATCTAAATTTTCTTAAGTATCTCAATCTCCAAGAAATCGTGTTGTTGATCCTATATTTGAACAAGAAGAAGGAGAAAAATAGAATTAACCTATCATTCCAAGAAGAAGAGAATTTAAAATGAATACTTCAATATTTAAAGTGAATGAAGGTTGTGACAGTCCAAGAATTTCAAATAAACCATATACAGCAGGTTTTATTAATGATCATACAGATTCTGATAGTGTTAAATAGCCATTCTCTTTTGATTCTGATATTGGAGACAATAAAGTACCATCAATTAAAGAAGAACATAATAATTCATCTTCAGAAGAAGAATCTAGTAAATCTAATGCTTCCAATTAACTCAGAAGATAACTTAAAATTAAATAAAAGAAGAAACGAGTCTCTAATTTTCACTCCTAAGATATTTAATAAGCAAGCACTCCAACATCCTCTTCTTAATAATAAGTTTAAGTAAATAAGAAAAGCAAATTCAGTAGTAATGCTTCAAATAATAGTCCTCAATTAATTTAGGAATAGATTGATCCAGTTAATATTGATAAAGGTTATCATTCTGATTCTGATATGATCAAAACCAATTCTACTGTATCAATTGAGTAGAAGAATGTTGGTATTAAGGATTTTGAATTTATTAAGCCATTAGGTAAGGGAGCTTATGGATGGGTTTTTTAAGTGAAAAAGAAAGGATCAGGAGATATGTATGCATTAAAGATTATAGATTGTGCTTAACGAGTATTAATTAAATAATTACTAATAGAATTTAGAAGCTTTTTTAGAATAATTAAAGGCAGAGAGAAATATATTTGAAATACTCAATAGTCACTTTGTTGTTAAGGCATACTTCTCATTTGTTCATGAACATTATTTATGTTTTGTTTAAGAATATATGGTAGGTGGTGATTTAGCTAGTATTTTGAAAACTTATACAGCATTAGATGAATTTTATGTTAGACATTATATGGCTGAAATAGTATTAGCTTTAGAGTATTTGAGAAATCAAAATATTGTACATAGAGATTTAAAACCAGAAAATATTTTATTAGATTCTTAAGGACATGCAAAATTGGCTGATTTTGGATTATCTGAAAAGGGTTTGAATAGTAGATTAAAAATGAAAAGAGAGAGTTAATAATTACCAGATTGTATTTAATAGTAATTTAATGATTCATCAGAATTTTATGAACATATAAAAAAGGCTGAATCAATTTTTATTGAATCTAAAAATAGTGGAAATAAGAAGTATTTTTATATATTTTTTAATTTAGAATTATTGGTACTCCTGATTATATTGCACCTGAAATTATTTAAGGTGTGTCAGTAACTAATTATTCAGCAGATTATTGGAGTTTAGGTGTTATTATGTATGAAATGTTATGTGGTATTGCACCATTTAATGATGATACTGTTGAGAAGATATTTGAGAACATTCTCAATTTAAGAATTGAATGGCCTAAATTAGGAGATGATGGAGTAGAATGTATTTCTTATGATTCTTATGATCTTCTTACACGTTTATTAGAATCTGATTACAAGAAGAGGATTGGTCATGTTTCTATTGATGAAATTAAATAGCATAAATTCTTTAAAGGTTTTAAATTCCATTATTATTTAATAGGTATTGAATGGAATACATTATTAAATAAACCAGGTGTTATTATTCCTGATTTGGATTAATCTTCAAGAGACACTGAAAAAATGGAATAATTCTTAGTTAAATTAACAAAACCAACTAAGGATTAAGAACATAAGAAATTAACATAGTAGTTAAAGAATCAACTGTAAAATTTGGAACGAATTGATCTTTTGAAATAAAGAAGTGTATAAGAGGCAGAGGAATATATGTATATTATTCTATTTATTATTTAATTTAGATAGATGATAGAAAGAGAACAAAGTAATATTCAAATATAGATTGATTAACTTACTTAATTTACTGCAAAGCTATATTCTTCACATATGAAAAATAAATGAATGAATTATATAATATAAGATAACTTGTCATATGCTTAATTTTTTATTGTTTAGTATTGTGAACGCAATAGATGTTAGTATATCAAATATGGACAGTGCTATAATAGATATCGTATGGTGTGGTGCTCATAATTAATCTAATGACAATGTATTCAATCAATCACATAATTAATATAGATCTTAGTTATGAGTTCAAAAGGAACAATCTATTTAAGTTAAAATAATGGTGATGATTGGTAGAAATTGGCAGAAGTATTTCATAGAAAAGGATTGCTTGTATTATAAGATGAAAATGAAAAAGTAGGAGTAGTAAATAAAATATAAAAAAGTCCAATAGATCCACAATTAATTATATTCTTAGGAACAGAATTTGTTAATTGGATATCTCCTGATTGTGGATAAACAATAAATGCAATTTATACAGGCAGATAAATGAGAGAATTTCAATTTCATCCTAAGCGTAAAGATTGGATATTAGCATCTTCATGGTCAAAGTGTCAAATGAAATAAAAAGATTGTTTTGTAACTAAGGATCTCATGATTAGTTAAGATATGGGTTTAAATTGGGAAGTTATAGCTAAATATGTAAATTAATATTCTTGGGGATTTAAAAGTCCAAACAATGATGTAATTCCAGAAGAGAGAATAATGATTACATATGAGCCAAATGGAAAAGGACATTAATAATTTTCAGGATGGAATATGAAAACACATTTATTTTATAGTGATGATTTTATGAAAACGAAAACGATGTTAGTTAATTAAGGTAATAAATTCCAATTAACCCCTAATCACATATTTGTAGCTTAAGTTATGAATTCTTCCAATTAAGAAGTAACATTATTAGTATCAGAATCTGATCAATATGAATACAATTTCAGATATGTATAAATGCCAGACATACTTAAAGATCATAGTTATACTATAGTTGATTCTTAATATGGAGCCTTTATTAACATTAATCATCTAAAGCCCAGTTCGATAATGGGTACAACTTATATATCAGATTCAACTGCCTCCAGATATAGAATTTCATTAAATTATACAGTGAGAACAGAAGAAGGATAATGTGATTTTGAGAGAGTATTAGGTTTGGAGGGAATTTATATAGCAAATGTTTATGCATCAGAATAAGCAGAATTATATTAATCTGAAATTGATGAAGACTCTCCAAGAATAAAGGAAAGTGATTTAAGTAAATTTAAATAAACTAAAATTACATTTGATAAAGGAAGTAGATGGTAACCATTGACACCACCTGTTGTTGATTCTGAAGGTAAAAAGTTATAATGTGATTCTAAAACATGTTCTTTACATTTGCATTCAGTTTCAACAAAAATGTAATTTGGTCCATTCTATTCTACAAAGAATTCTATTGGATTAATTTTAGGGACAGGGAATATTGGAAAATATTTAAGTTACAGACCTGATTAAGTTAATACTTATATGTCAAGAGATGGAGGTTTAACATGGTTTGAAATAGCCAAGGGATCACATATTTATGAAATAGGGGATCATGGAGGTGTTATAGTATTAGCAAGTGATCAATAAGCTACAAAAGTATTGAAATATTCATGGAATGAAGGATTAACATGGGAAGTATTTTAATTTAGTGAATAAGCTATTGAGATTACTAATATCATAACTGAACCCTCTAATATTGGTACTAGATTTATTATTTATGGTACATCTGATGTATACATTAATGAAGAAAATATTGAATAAGGTAATATTGTTAAGATTGATTTTTCTTAAATTCATGGAAGAGAATGTATTGGAGAAGATTAGCCATCAAGTGAGAATAGTGATTATGAATTATGGTCACCTACAGGTAAGATGAATTAAGATTGTTTAATGGGAATGAGAGTAGAATATGTGAGAAGAAAAAGGGATGCTAAATGTTTTAATGGAGAAGATTTATAAAGATAACATTCAGTTTAATATTGTTAATGCACTGAAGAAGATTGGGAATGTGATCTTAATTTCCATAGAGAAAATTCAGATATAAATGGTAAATGTATTCCATATGAACTTTATGAATAAAATTTTGAGGCTCCTGAAAATTGTGAAGATTATTATGAAGTTACTAGAGGTTATCGTAGAGTTGCAGGTAATAAATGTTAAGGTGGAGTAGAATATAATCCAGTTAAACTATTATGTCCTGGTTTTAAATTTTGGAAATTCAGAAATGTAAATTTCATTTTATAATTTAGATTTGGGACTTTATGTTAATTTGTATATTTGCTGCCATTATATATTTTATATATAAGAATAAACATCATTTCTCTAAAAAAAAGGATCATACAAAAGAATAATAACAATCAGCAAGGGCATATGGATAAAAAATGGTTGATAGGGGACTGGGATATAGAGAATTTGATGAAGATTTAATTGAAGAGAATTAAAATGTGTGAATATATATATATCATAAATATTAGTATTATTTAATTTATTCAAAATATTTTGAATTCATAATTTATTATTCAATTTTTTGTTAATATATATATTTATATATATATTATAATTGTATATTCAAATTGAATAATAATAATCATAAATTGAAGAATTAATTTTTTTATTATTCTTAAGATTTTAAGAAATTTAAATAATAATATATCAATTTATTAGATTCAAAAAATGATGGATTAGAAATAAAGTCATGTTTTGTTAATCATTTATTTCTATTATATTTATTTATTTTTAATAATGTCAAAGAATGTTAAACAGTTACTATAAGATCCAAATTATACAGTACCTTTAGAGGTTATCAAACGAGAATTAAGTAAAATACCTGGAGGGGAGGATGTAGAAAAATAGATTTAAATTTTAGAAATATAAAGAAATACAATAAACATTATTGCCATTGTTAATGGATGGAATAGAAGAATTATCAAAGGAATTAGAAACAATGATACAGAATCCTGAAAAGATTGATCCTGAAGAAAGAGAACGATTTAATCCTTGCATTTATTTAGGGTATTTAAAGTGAACTTATATTTTATAGATAATATTTAATGAGAAACAATCCAAAGTAGTATTGATTAAATAATAATATATTAATTAAAATATTTAATTTTATATGATTAGAAGAATCTTTTGGAATGTAAAGAATTCATTTTTTGGAGCAGGAATGCTTATATTGATCCCAGTTCAATTCATGTATTTCCCAGTTTTACTAGGAGTCCCAACATATGCAGCAACTGTATTGTAATCTGGTAATAATTAATCTTAAAAATAGGTCTAACATATTATGATGAATATGATGGAGATGTCAATGAAGGAAATTATTATAAAACCAAAAGTGCATGATCATTATAAATCAAATAAATTATTCAAGCATTATTTATATAATTACACTCTTAAAATAATTCTTAATAAATCAGTCTGCTTTCTTAGAAATTCATTATATTCATTACAATCATTAATGAAGCAAATCATTTAATAAATATACAAAAATAATATACAAATCTCTATTTAATGATTCAATTAAATTATGGTTATCATTATATGAATAAAAATAAATAAAGCATAATTTTGAGTATCTAAGACATTCAATAATAATTAATATATAAATATATTGTAGATTATTATAGCTCATTTGTAAACTTTATTAGATGTATTTTTAAGTACTTTCCCTATATTTTATTATAAACTTATAAGTTCTTATAAATATGCACTACTTAATTAAGTAGCTTCTGCTTATTAAACATCTTGAAGATGGTTTGAAATTCTTATAATTTCTGCAAGTGTTGCTCTTTCTGTTACTGCTTTATTTCTTTTCATATCTAATAAATCTGTCAATGGTTTTGAAGAGGAGTATTATTATTCTTTTTTTGAAGATTAAATTTTGACCTTTTCCTTATTTATTGCAGAACCAAATGCACTTTAATAATTATGCTTTATTTAAATATCATCTAAGGGATGATATTGTTTCTAACTTGGAGAGTAAATTGCACGAGTTAAACCCATTTTAATTGGAGATTCTTATTTTGGAAATTTGTTGTCCATCAAATTTTTTAAATGATTAGCTGATTATCTATGAGATAAAGGTTAAGCTGAATTCTTTTCTTCTTGATTCTTAAAATTATAAAGTAATTCGCTTTTTTAAATAAACTTCTAATTCTCGAATCCCTAAACCTTTGAGTAAACCTTATCTCTTATGCCCTTTTTAACATCATTCCAGTTTTAGGAATCACTTCTGCCAACAGGAATATTAAATTAGGATGCCGAGTTTTATAGCTAATGTCTATGAACACATTTACAGTTGTTTAAGAATATTTCATTAACAGTTAAAAATATTTTATTATATTTAATAATTCTAAACTATTTATCATTTACCAAAATAATCTAAATAAAATAATAATGATAAAATAGATATATCAAAAGTATTATCATGTTTAATAATAATACTATAATAATATTGAACATGATTTTGAATTTATTGTTGATAATAATTTGATAAAATTAAAATAGAATAAAAACATATATACTTAAGAAACTAATTTAATGAAATTCAAATATCTATAATTATGTTAGTACTAGATAGATTTTTAAATCCTCAATATAAGTATTTTTGATTCAATTTAAAAACTTAAATATTCTTATTTTTTTAAAGAATTTTATGTTTATTATTTATGAACTATGATTTATAGGGGGGGTAGTTTTAAAGTCATATGTGATTTTGTTTATGAAATCATTTTATTAATAGTTATTATAAAATTGTTATCTAATATTTGGATAGTTAATCTTTTTACTTTTAGGGAGGGATTTTTTGATATAAAAACTTATAAGATAATTAATGTAAGAGGATTAATCTAAAAAAGTAGATCCTATGGATGCTTTTAGAAAAAAAGAAGATTATAAAGAAGCATGTTAAAAATTAGATGGTTTACACTCTTAAAATAAAGAAAATGATGAAACAAAATATTTGATGCTATTTAAAAAATAAGAAACATCTAGAAAAGATTTATGTGTAATAATTAGAGTATATAATGGAAATATGATATGGATGTAAAAAATAGATAGAGCAGCATTAGATGAAATGATTTAAAAAACAGATATTAAAGGTACTTATTCATCTTTTTGTGAATTGATCAGATTTGCAATTAGTGAAAATTCTTATGATTTTGTTCAATTTGAAGCTTAATTAGATATAGTACTTTACTTCTCTCTACAAAGACACGTTTAACTAAAAGGATAGATACCTTTAGATTAAGGTTTGCCTATAACAAATGATGAAGACACTAGAAAAATTCAATTTTAATTTGTTTGTGATTTAGTCGATGTTTTAAAAGCTACTTAATTATAATTTACTAAAGAAATTGAAGTAAATACAATTAGAAAGAAAAAAAATGAATAAATGATAGATGTTGAACAACCACCTCTACAAAAGCCTCCTCCTCCACCAAAGAAAAATTTACTTACAATAGGTTAAGAGATTTTAAATACACCAGAAGTATTACTACCTAGAAAAGGTCCTTATGGAATACCCTTTTATGGAAATCAATATGTTTAGTTTCCATCAAATGCTGATTTAATAAATCCAAGCAAAAAGAAGAGAAAAACAAATGGAGGCAAAATTGATTGAAATTACATTTTTTTTACCTCATAGAATTATAATTATTAAAAATATAGAAGTTTAAATAAACTTAACATCAGAAATCAATTCCATCTTTTTTAAAAACTAAAATTCTCCATTATCCCAATAAATATAAACTAAATTATTTAAAATATCTAAAGATAAATTAAAATATATACAAACTCAGGAATTAAATAACAATAATGTCAAATAAATAATATATTTAATTAAGCTTTAGAAAAAATTTAACTAAAATTAATATTTGAAACAAACAATAAATTGTAAGAAAAACTACATTCCAAGACTTTTTAGAAAATTCTACATTGATTTTGCAAAATAGTTTAAAAATAAATTCCTTTATTAGCAATATCGAATATGGTTAATTAAGTTGGTCTAAAATGACTGAATAAAATACAAATTTATATAGTCATTTTGTAAAGAACACCTATTTTTTAATAAAAAAATTTACTAAAAATACATTTATTATTTAGGTAGCAAATTGTTCTTTTTAAATTGTTATACATTAATGCTGGTTTTGATTTATATTAATATTATTCACAATTGCTCTTAGGGATTATATTTCTGATTAGAAATACACTAACATATTTTATAATTTTTTCTTGAAATATAGTCAAAAAGTAAATGAATTTCATAAGTATTTGATAAATTATCATTTGCGAATTTTAAACTATCTAAAAAGATTTAAAAGGAATAAAATTTATTATTTTTTAAGGAATTAATGATGTTTATGAATGTTGTATTTAAATATTGATACAAATAGAGGTTTCAGTGAGCCAAATTCAATATAACTGCAATTAGGATTAAGATAATTTGAATTGTAACCATTGCTATGATATAGGGCTTGGTTGTAGCTAAAAGTGGATAATGATCATCATCAGTCATAGAGATTTTATTTATTTTATTTTATTATTAAAGCCCATACCCGTTTTTATGGAAATATTATTAATTTTATTGACATGAATAAGTTCATAACCATTGCTTTGGTTGCCTTAGTAAGTGTTTCAGCCTTGGATATTGATTTCGCACTCCTCTTATAGGTATAAATTATGAATATATTAAAAGACAGGATCAGAATCCAATGATGCTGTTTAAGCTGTCTATGATTTATTGAATGATTTGAAAACCAGCAATATTGAAGCTTAAGGTGTTGCAGATGAAAAGAATATTTCTGATGAAGAAATCGGATAAGGAAGAATTGCTGCTCTTTCTAAAGTTAATGAATTAAATCAAAAAGCTTGGGCAAGTGCTAAAGCTAGAAGAGAACAAATTGGTGTTGAATATAGAGTATTTGATTTAATAAATTCCAGGAAGCAACAGACTATATTGCATGGGCAACATAAAGATTAGCTGATATTGATAGAAGAGAAGTTGAGCTTGAAGAGTTGAGATGTTTCTCAAATGGATTGTTTGTTAGAGCTATTAAACAACATAATGATGCTATAGGAGTCATCAAAATATTAAAGAATGATTTAAGGTATAATTTAACTATTAATATCTAGCGGTTATTTAACAGGAGCTCCATCATCAATGGTTGAATTGAAAGTTGAAAATGTAGCTGATAAATTGAAATAATACAGTTAATTGTTCAATCAAGATGCCATGACCAAATTTGCTTAATTGGCTGCTGAATAAGCATCAGGAAATGCTGAATTACATGCATTAGGAGAATCTGATGCCTCTACTGGTGGAGATAGATAACCAGGAGTTAATGTTGGATAACTTGTTTATAATGCCTTGAGTGACTTAGAAGATTAATTAAAATCAGCTCTTGCTGCATTAGAATAAAATGAAATTGCAGGATATTATCAATTAGCTGATTGGTTGGCTGATTCAGAAGCTGAAAAAGCACATCTTTAAGATGAAATTCAAAGAAAAACTTAACTCTAAGATAAGTTGGTTGTGGTAATATTTTTCCTTTATTTTTTTAGTAAGAATAAGCTGCTCTTGCTGTATAAGCTAAAGCTAATTCAGTCTTAAAAGATTCATAAAATGCTATTAATGCTGCAACTGCCACTCTTTAAGAATTAAGAGATCTTTATGAAACAGAACTTAATAGAAGAAATGGTATTTCATTTTTTAATTATTTTAGAGGAAAATGCTATCATTGATGAAGTCATTCACATATTCAAATAATAAGTCTTAGAAATGGCTAACTAAACCTCTTATGGCAAAAAATGATTATGAAATATAAACATTATCAATTTAAACTGAAATAATTAGTCTCATTTATTTTATATTGATTTTATCTAAAATTTTATATTAAAAACTTAAAAAAAAATGTTTAAATATTTTAATTATATTTCACTTAGGTGATCCCCAAGAAACTGGTTGAACCTATTCTGTTGTTGTATCAGTCTTCCATTCATTATTAATACCACTTGATTTCCAATCATTATTGATACCACTTGATTTCCAATCATTAGTTCCACTTTTTTTCCAATCATTATTATTTCCGCTTGTTTTCCAATCATTATTATTACCACCAGACTTAAAATCATTATTAATTTCACTAACTTTCCAATCATTATTAGTTCCACTTTACTTCCAATCTCCATTTCCTTATTTATTATTCCAATCTCCACCTCTATTCTTTTACCCTTCCTAATTACTTTTCCAATTATCTCCCCTTTAAAAATTTTATTTTCTACCCTCTTTATTTTCCCAAGGTTTATTCCTATCATTACCTCCATTTCTATCGAAACCTCCCCCTCTTCCATTTTCTTTATTGCTATAATCAGTTCTTTGATTGTCATTCCAACCCCCTTCTGTATTCCTCTTTTTAAATTTATTATTTTAAAAATTATTATTTGACTCAAATTTTTAGTTATAATTATTATTTGGTTTATCTTACTTTCCTACATCCCAATCTGTCTTAATCTCAGGTTCCTTTTATTTATTCTCCACATTATTAAGAATGGCCTTCAAAATTTCAGTAATGCTCTTATTTTCTGATTCTTTTGCAAATTCATCTAAAATATCCAGCAAGGTAATTTTTTATAAGCTTGTTAAAAGCTTATCTGTTTAATTTTTATAGATTCTAGGTTTGTTCTTATCATCTTGTTATGACTCTGAATGATATGTTTTCTTTCTTATTGGCAATTAGTTTTCCATTTAAAAATAAATACTTTAAATTTAGTTAAATTAAATATTAATCAATTTTAAGATTCTGTTTTGCTCTTCTTTACTTATATTTTAGATTGAGGTATAAATTACTTTTGTTATTGTTCTTTTTGTTCCTTAACCTCAGCACCAAAATCCTTAGTCTTATTTACAGATGTATCAGCAGTATTAGGCTTCTTTACTTTTGATAATAAAGCCTATTCTTCTTTAGTAATTTGTTTTTATCCATTGATCCAAATCCCTTTCTGTAATCTCTAATCAGGCCAAATCATTAAACCTTTCCCATGCATAACTCCATTCTTCCATCCTCCTTTGTATGTTCTCCCATCTGGCCAACTGTATTCTCCATATCCTTACCTCACATTATTTACATACTCTCCTTTATAAGTCTTTGCTTCTCCCCATATGAATTCTCCTTAACCATGCATTTTCCCATCCTTCCATTCTCCTTCATATCTTTTTCCATCTGGCCAAGTTTAGGTTCCCTTTCCACTAATCTAACCTTCTTTAAACATCCCTAAAAAAATGCATCCATCTACATATTCCAATCTACCTTTACCATCCTTTTTATTAGCTTTGAATGATCCTATATAGATATTACCATCTCCAGTTTATTCTCTTCCCTCACCATCCTTTAAATATTATTATTATATTTACTTTTTAATTCTTTAACCATTTACCTTCATATGAGGAACCATCTTAATAGACCAATACTCCAACACCTTCTCTTTCCCCATGAACAAACTCTCCTGAGTAATAATCACCATTTTAAAAAATATATCTGCCATATCCATTTAAAAAATCGTTTAGCCATTATCCTTCATAATAGGCTCCATTAGAAAATATTTATTTCCCAAACCCATGTCTTTTACCCATTTACCATGTACCTACATAAATATCTCCAGTGTCTAGAATTAAATATGGACCCAACATTTCACAAGCATTCATATCAATATTTATGTTTATTGGTTCCAATTAGAGAGACAACGCAACTACATGTTCATTTTATATATTAAGGATATCAGTATTTGATGGGACTGCTCTTTCTAAACTTGGTTTATGATTTAGTATTTCAATTTCAACCTCATTTTCAGATTAAGATTTTTATTAAGACTTTATGAATAATTATTATTAATTTGGAGCAAAGGACATAATCATTTATTCTCCTCTTGAGGATTAAAGAATAATTTATCGTTCTTAGGGAGGAGGAATTTGTTATTATACTTCTTGAGGATTGTCATCTTCTAAAGATATTGTATCTTCTTAATGTTATTAAAAGAGTGAATTATTAAGAATTACCTATGATTTTATTTATTCGGAATGAAATGATTATTGTTCTGGTTATAGAACCTCTTCTTTCTTAACTTACACAATTTCTAATTCAAAATATAGTGGGTCTTCTTCTTTTAATTCTTCACATTCAGATTCTATATCTTATTTTGGAGTTGCTAATGGTGTGATTTCTGCACTATCAAATGCTTCATATACACCAAATTCAATATTTCCTTATAAATTAGTTGGAGAAGGAAGAGGATTTAATAGAACCTCTATCTTACTTTTAGACAGAAAATCAATCAATTTATTATTTGTCTCTGACTACTAAAATAGATTATCATTTTTTTCTTGTTATGATAAACCTTAGGTGAATGATCTTTATTATTTTTTCTCAGTTTCATAAAGAGAAGAATTTCTTTACTATGTCATATCCTATACTTGAAAATTTAATGATCTCAACTCTAAGTCAACTTGTAAGTTTGATGAATCATTTTCAGAATCATTTAAGTTTTTCTACTAATTATATATTATTATTTATACTATTTAATGATGTATATTTTAATTTTCTAATAGTTATTGCTTTTAGAATTCTTCTGCCTCTAATTATCGTTTTAGTATACTTTCCTGCATATTTCAGATATTTACATCTCTATTTTATTATCTTTTCCATTCCAATTACTGTTCTGGATCCATTTAAACATGTCTATTTTCATTTAGTCTGACTTAATCATATGTGTTGCTTTCATTTTATTTCTAATTTCCACTTTAAACACAAGTTCCCATAATTATATAAAATAAAAACAAATATAGTATTAATATTTTAGTTTTCTTATGCTTTTACAAAGTTAATCAGTTTTTTTACTCTTATTTGCTTATTCAGAATAAGAAAATTTAGTCTAAATTTCTATAATTTTTTGTTTAGTTCTATTCTTTTTTTTCATTTTCATTAAGACAATTATATTAATTATTTAATCTATTAAATTTAATTGATAACTTAATATTGAGCAGTTTTACGAATTAATACCTAATTTATTTAAATATATGTCAGGTCTTAAAAATTGAGTATAAAATTTCCTTATTTTCTTATTGTCTTAAGTTTATTCTCAAGATTTTAAGAATTTAAGATTGCTCTTTATTGTTTGTGTTATTAAATTAAAAACTAAGTCTGTTTGTTATAGTTAATTAAGTACAAGTTAATTATTTGCTTAATTTTTATTTATCTTTATAAGTTTAATATGGTTTTAATTTTCTGATTGATATTCTTCATTCATTGTTCAATAAATTAAAATCATATCGAACTATCATTTGAAAAGAGATCCTCTCTTTAATGCAGACAATATTATAATTTTAGTTGATTTGACCAATTTAGTAATAATCTAAAGTGAGATATAAGTTTTTTATGATTGAGTACCAATAATAATTTTGCTTCCAATTAACTATATTGATTTAAGAATTTCTTTTTTATTATTATGCTTATAATAAAAGATCTAGAAATAGAAGGATGAATGAATTCAGGTAGTTTAATAGAAAGTATTTTTATTTATAAAATGTAAGTCCAAAATTTAGATTTATATATCAAACTTAAGTACTTAAAAATGTTTAGAATTTGGGATTAGAAAGTCTACGAGCACCAATTTCCCATGAAGATTTCTTTTATTATTATACTTATTCTTCCATTTTTTTCATTTGCATCTAAAGCTATAATAATTGTGGATTTAGTTCTTGAGAATGAACAGTTTATTTTCTACTATAGGATTTCTTTAATCTTTAGAATGATAAGAAATTACGAGGCAAAGTTTGTTTAGGAAAATCAGCAGTATTTCTATACATCAATAACTCTTTTGACAGTTTAAAGTCACAATATTATTTTACAGGAGTTGCTTTCAAAAACTATTTCTAAGTCTAATCTATACTCCTAACTCTGTTTCTTAAACATCTAATAGGAAATTCTGTAGTTGTAGTTGTTGCTGTATGTTTAGTTAATTTAGAATAACTGGTCTTTGTATTGTTTATTTTTTACTTTTCATCCTTGCCAGAATAAATTGTTGAGCTTCTATATTATTGATTCTATTTATAAAGAATAGATTAAGGGGATAAATTCATCTCTTGCCAAGGACTCACATCTTCAGCATCAAAATCATTCTAAATAATACATTATTGCATATAATTATAAATAATAAATTCAAGTTTTAGAGACTAATCGTTGATAGACAATACATGATATATTATTTGTCTCTTCCATTGCTCCCTTACCAATATCACCACAAATCAAGGTTTTACTAATTGAATCTATTATAAAAGCACCCATCTTTTATAGTTTATTAATTTGTTTAAAAGTAATTGGATTTTCATACATCATAGTATTCATTGCAGGAGCTAAAATCATAGGTTTCTTATAATCCCATGCTCTAGCAACATTTGTTAATAAATTATCACATAAACCATTAGAAATCTTAGCCATTGTATTGGCTGATAAAGGAGCAATCAATAAGCAATCTGCCCATTTTCTTAATTCAATATGTAATACTGGATCATTTCTTTATTTCCATGTTTTAAATTCATCCTCATCTGAAAAATGTTCTATATTTTCAATTTAAGGATTCATAAATTTTTATGCATTTTGTGTTGTAATAATTCTTATCTTTATTGTATAATTAAATTCTTTGAATTTCTTTTAAATATCATTAATCAATTGTTCAGCTTTAATTGAAGCTACTGAACCTGTAAATCCTATTAGTATTTTAAATTCTCTTTAATTATTATCTTATTACATTAATATATATATATTATTTATTCAAATATATCAAAATATCTGACAACCTGCATTAAATTCATGTTCATTAGCTTCATTTTCTATTATGACAATTTCTTCAACAAATTTCTTAGGTAAATCAACTAAATTTAATAATTTATTAATTTACATTTATAACTTGGTTTATTCATAATATCTATAGTTTCTTACTTATATTATGATTCAGGTTATTTTTAATTTGATAATTGATATTATTATTATTATGTATACACTGGAGTTGTTGGTCTATATATTTATTCATTTTTAATTGATTCTGCATGGATTGAAGGAGGATACTATCCTTTATTAATAATAGGATCTATTGGTTTTTAGGTTTTTATTTGAATTTCTGAAGGTCGAATTATTTCTTCTGTTTTTCTAGGTCCAATATTTAATGATTCGATTGGAGGTGGAGGATTTAAAGTAGTTCTATTTATTTATGTATCCAAAGTAATTCTATCAGGATTGTAAGGAGTATATTAAGTTTGACTATATTAAATTAATAGAATTACACAACTGATAAATTTGGTTTTGCTTATGGAATAGATTTATATGATGATTGATATTCTTTTGGTTATTCAGGTAAATTGAAATCATACTTCATAGGTTCAAATTTGTATTGTTCAAACTTTTCATAATTTTTAGGCTATTCATAAGTAGTTTTATATTTATCAAATGAATTTAATTCATATTTTGTAAATGTATTATCTTATTTTGGTGGTTCATACAGAGTTTTATTCTGAAAGTTAAGCTAACTCCCTATTGGTTCTTAAACTTGAGTAATAAAAATATTAAATACATGTTGTATTGTACGCTATAATTAAATAGTTCAAGTACCTGACTAAATGTAAGATCCTGCACGACCAGCGTCTGGTTTTTTGTATTCAAAACTTTAGTAGTTAAATTAAGAAGTTGGTTAAGCACTTACTTCTTAAGGTTTATAAGTTTGAACTGTTCTAAAATTGAGAGTGTCCGTTTCTGGTTTCCGATACTCAAAATTTTCTTAAGTTATTTAACGTGAATTTTATGCTTTTTAAATAAACATACAATTTACAATTTATCTCTTAAGAACCTTATATCCCTAAAAAAGTCTAATTTTAATATTATTTATAGTCTGTTTATTAAGGATCTGCACTAGTATTTTTTATTGATCTTGTTAATCTCTTTGTCGGTTCTTATTCTGTACCTGTATCAAAGATGGCTCTTGCAGTTCCCATTTTTTAGCTTGTAGCCATAGGACTCTGACTCCTTCGATCTATCATATTATTAATAATTAAAATATTATAATAATGTTGAGATTCATTTCTTTCTCTAGGTTTTCGAATATATCAATGGCAAGAGGAACTCTATTTAAAACAATATCTAAAGAGTATAAATATGAATATCACTAATATGAATAAGAACCTACATTAATGAAATAAATCAAACATCTAGGATTTTAATTGATAGATGATCCAAAAACTAATAAAGTTACTTTTAATAAAGAATTTTCATCTAAAAAGATATCAATTGAATTCAGAGGTACACCACCACCTTTAGAAGGCAAAATGTAATAATTTTGAAAAAAATCACTTTATTATTAGAAAAGTATCAAAAGAAGACTAATCCATCTCATAAAATCCAAAATACCAAGACAAAATACAATAAAAAATCTAAGAGACTAAATAAGAATTAGAATTAGGAATTCTTTCTGTAGATTATACAGTATTAATCGAAACTGAAAAAGGAGAAGCTATAGCTTTTGAATGCAATACAAGTATTACTTGAAAGGATTGTACTACAGGTAACCAGACTACTTTCATCAATTACGTACAACCAGTCTATGATATCCAAGAGTACAAAACTAGATCCAAATATCGTAAATTCTTAAGAGATTATCCAGGACCAGAAATTAATAAATTAGATGAAGTAAGAAATAATAATAAATTTTATAGTAATTAAAACAATCACTTTATACTTATCTAGAAAGTTATGGTATTAATTAATCATTGAATGCATTAATTGAAGCATATTCAATTGACAAAGAGTAAAGACTATATATGGAGTTTTTAAAATCTATGGAAAATTTTCTAGCTGTTTGATTAATATATATGAATATTTATTATTTATTTATAGTAATTATTATAAACATAATATTTATTAATTTAAAAATACTATTATAGAATTTTGATATACATTTATAAACAAGTATAAATATATATCTAAAATATCTTTACATATTATTAACTAATTTACAATATTAGTAAAACTAATTTAGTTTATTTTTATATTTAAATAAATATAAAATTATATATTTTATAATCTATTTTTAGTTATGTTAATTAAAATAATTTGAGAAGAATTTCAAGAATTAATTATTCTTAATCCCATAATTTATGGTTCTGGTTTAGGATCATAAAAATCAGAACAAACCTTTGCTAATTCTTGAATTTCATTTTTTAAATTTCTTTTTTATTCCATCATTTCAGCTTCTTCCATACATATATCAGTTATAATATTTTTAATAATAGGGGCTAGATATGGTAATGCAACTTTTTTAGTAACTGCTTATCTTCTGACTTATTTTGCTTTTTCTATGAATCCTCTTTTATCTTAAGCTTCTTTCATTTTCATTTTTACTACTGAATTTCCCCATTTTTAATTAAAAAAATTCATTTATTATTATTTTAGTCGATTTCTTAATTATTCAGCTTAATTATGATAATTCTTATAATATGTATCATATGAGACAGTAGGTTTTTATTCAAATTATTCCAATTTTAAAGAAAGTCTATCTTTACGATAACTATCTCTCAAACTTTCATTAAATTCTGTTCTTATTCTTAAATCTTCAAATTGACTGATTTCCTAAAATAATTAAAGTTGTGGATATTCCTTCATATCAACATTTTTAAATTTATCTTTTAACAAACATGATAAATTCTCAACCTCTTTATAAAGTTAAGGTTCGTATTTTTACAAATTCAAATGAGTTTATGCTTTTTATAATAGAGCAACCTTATTTCGATATTAAGTTTAAGGAGGTTTTACTTCAAACTTCAAATAATCAGGGTATTCTGATTTCCATTTTTTAAGTTTTAGTTTTGTTTTAATTAAAGTTTATTAACTTTCAAATAAAGCTTATCTCTCTGGAGTTGGCTGATCCTTATTCATATCTTTCAGTAAATCAGTGACTGTGAAAAATGTATCTAAATTATGAAAATCTTTCATTCCTTCATCAAATCTTTCTTCTTTATTTAACGATTAGATTCCAAGCTTTTAAGTAATCTTTTTAAATCTTTGTGATGTTGCTTTAGGCTTTTCTTTCTTAAATTCCATCTAACAATTGAAATAAAATCTAGAAAATAAAATTTAATGTAGATTAGAAAATAATCAATTGATTATAGTCAATTATTTCTCCTCTCTTGTTTTTCTCCATTTTATTTTGTATTTACTTTTCATTCTTTTAGATTCCTCATATTATTTTTCTTCTTTTACTTTCTTAGTATTGATTCTTCTTGCAACAGTTCCAAATCTACTTCTTCGACCCCATCATCTTGATTAGATGACAGTAGATATATTATTAAGGTTATAATAGTAGAATTTCAGGAATAATTCCTTAATTAAATTATGAGTCTTATAATCCAACATTAAATGAATATATAAAGTTACATGTTTATCAGATTCATAAATTAATATAAAATCTCATTTTGGTAAGATAACTAAGATTCTATGGAACTTATATTGATTAAAATTCAATAGATGATATATTTTGATCCACTTTAAATATAATTAAATCAAAATTAATGTTTTCTTTTTGAATTTCATGATCAAAATCTTTATTTTTTATAAATTTTTTCAATAATTCTTATAATTATTATCTTTTACCTAACATTATTTATTTTGTTAATTGATCTGTTTATATTTTTATTTAAAACTTTAGACACCATTAAATAAAATAAATTACATTTTGTATCTACATAATTAAAGTATCTACTACAAAATATTGGTTTAATAATTTATCCAAGTTCATTTCTCTTAATAGAAAAATACAAAATTTATCCAAATATATTAATGTAATTTAAATTTAAATTTTCTTTTGTTATCAATTTAAAGAGGTATTTTTCTTGATGGAATATTATATATAATATCAAGATTATTTAGATCTTTGTATAACATGAAATATTTTAGGTTTATTTCTATATAATGTATAAATAAGGATATAAATATTATTTAAAAATGTCTTAATAATAATAGTAGTCGTAGATAAGAAATCATTTCCTTGATAAGAAACTTATTGGAACATTATTTGAAGAAGAGGAAATAACCAAAAAGGATAATTTCTATAACATGGAGGCTAGAGATGAAAAGGGACATAAGAGATTTCATGGAGCCTTTGAAGGTGGATTTGAGGCTGGGTTTAAGAACACAGTTGGTTCTAAATAAGGATGGGCTCCATAGAAATTTATATCCACAAGAACAAATAGAGGTATTAAAGATAAGTTAAATTAGCAAAATACAATAATTAATCAATTAAGGATTATATGGATGAAGATGATATAGGAAGATAAAAGCTAGGAGTTAATGTTACGATTTAATCAGAATATGATACATTTGGTTAGAATGAGATCAACTTTTTACAGCAGCAATTAGGATCTGGATCTGGGTATATTGAATGCACTTTAAGTTAAGATGGCTCTAAGGATCAGCACCAGAGGAATTGATTTACAGAGACAATAAGTCAGTGGGTTATTAAGTACTTATGCGATTAAGGAAATAAATGATCAAAAAGAGAAATACAAATGTTGAACAATAAAAACAAGAACCTTCTTAAGGTTATAATTTAAAATATCTAAATTAAACTAATAATTAATACACTGGATTAGGTTATAAATAAAATATAGATACATTTGGTAATCCCTCAAATCCCTTAGAATAAGCATTTTGGACTTTTATTAAATAAAATGCTTCTATTATAATTGATGAAGATGAAGAAAAGAGAAAAAAAGATAACAGAATCAAAATGAATGGATTTACATCTTAAGATAAGGAAGAAGAATGTAAATAAAAATTTATAATTTAAGATAACAATACAATTGAAGATGATGATGAACCTTATTAAAATAAAAGGAAATAAGTTAAGGGGGCTCTAGATATTGGTATGAGATTTACTAAAGACATCATTCCATTAAGAATAGATACTAAAGATTATCTAATTAATGTTCCTGAAGATTATGATCCATATCATAAAGCTAAGAAACTATTGGATTAAGGAAAAGATTATTCTTTTCTTTTTATCAATAAGACAAATTTTAAAAAGCCTGCATCTAGTTCAAAGAGGGAAGAAATATTTAGAGAAGAAGAAACTGGTAATTAATTTATTATAAAATTTAATAGCTAGTTCTATTAAAAGAGACATAAGCAAATAAAAGTTTGTCAAAGGAATCAATTAAACAATGCTTGTTGGATAGTAACCTAATTAATAGGATAAAAATGAAAGTTAAGATAACATTAATATTTTAAATTTATTTCCTCATTAACCTGATAAATAATAAAGATATGCTAATTTTGTTATGCAAAAATTAAATAAGACAACTGAATAATAAATATAATTAGATGAGGAAGAAAAAATTGATTTTGAAAGGCTTTATTAAATGTTTTAAGTCACCTCAAAGAATGTTATTGAAAAAAAATAAGAACCATAAAAACCAATAGAATAATAAGAAAAACCTAATCCTTTTTTGAGTTAGAGAGTGCATAAGAGGTGGATTCCAGAAGATTTATTTTGTAAGAGAATGGGAGTTCCTTAACCATATAATGATGATGAAAAAACTATGATAGAGAAAATTAATGAAAGAAGTCATCAAAAACCAAATATGGCAACTAATAATAGAAACTTCTTGTTTATGGATAAAAAAGAGTATTTATTATGATTTTAATAATTTTAGATTCAAATCTGGTGGTTTCATGCAACCATAAGAATATACTTAATCCTAAGCTTAATTTGATCCAGTTGCTTTAGGTTTACCATTATCATTTAAATCACACTCATATGAAAGAAATCAACAAGAACGACTATTATAACTAGAGAATATGGAAAGATCTCAGACATAAGTAGTGACTAAATAAGAGAAAAGAAACATAAAATTCTCTGAAGATAAGGAGGATATGCTGCCTAGTAGAATTTAAGATCAAAATATATTCGAATTGATATTTGGAGATGATGAAGAGGAAGATTAATAGTGATTATTGATATAATCAATATTAATAAATAAATAATATCATAATTCCCCAAATATTCTTGTTACTATCTTTTATTGAGGTCTGCTCTTTAAAAATGATTTTTAAACTTGTTTCTATTTATTAAAACTAATTTAACTAGACATTTTTTAAGGACTAGATTCGTTTGATTTATTTATGTTAGTATAAGGAAATCTTTCTGCTCTACTAGCATTTGGAGTATACAATTAATCTTTCATAAAATTGCCTCTTTGTTTTTTATGGCTGTCAGGAGATTCAGCTTCAGTGTATAATTACAATTTAGGTAGTTCTATTTAACTATTTGTTCTTTTTATTTTGATATTGCTATTGGATCCTTTTTTATAAGGATCAATGAATATAATTTAGAGAGATTTTTGTGATTATTTCTAAGGAGAAAAGGGAGCATTTGATTAAATTGGAAAGAAAAACTATGCTGTTTTATCAAAATCGGTTGTTGAGCAAGTATTCATAAATAATTATTTATTTCTTATTTATTATATATAGGCTAATTATTGAATAATATTAGATGAGAATCATTTATAATAAAAAGGTGAATTTGATATTGTTAATATAATAATACTATTCAATTCAAATGGTATTTTGGGAGTTCATTATTATTAATGAAATGATCAAACATTTCAAAGCCATTTTATCTTTGATCTTCAGGGACCATCTAATATCAATAAATACTAATAATTTACATGTCCAGCTCCTCTTACAACTACAAACTTCAAGTAATTATATTTGGTGACCCAACCTGCTAAATCTAAATCAGTATTGCCCCATGGAGTCCATGAAACTTATTCTTAGATACCTGGTATCATATTAATTGATTATTCAGTATCTACAACACTAACAATAGCATCCTAATCACCAGAATATATTAATATCCTGACACCTGATTAACTTAAAAATGGAAGTATTTCATAACTTCCATTTTTACTAATAGAGTATGCTTAATTAATTTCCATATCACAAGCAGACCAAAAATAAGGTCTTTCTAAGATATGTAATGCTTCTTAGACTTCAGCATCATTATAGTATTCTGTAATGGGTCCGAAATCAGAGCAAGGAGCCCCACTATTTCCTACTTTTTAATAATTGTTTCCTTCATACCAGGATACATATGGGTATCTGATATTTTTGCCTGATTTAGTTTTAGGTTTTAAAAAGTCAGGTGTTGTATCATCTTTACAATATCCATAAACATTATAAATATTAATGTTGGATCCTAAGCATACTTCCTCAAATTAAGATTAAGCCAATAAACATTTAATTGAATCTGGTTTCACACTGCAAATATTTCTTATAGTGTTTGTAGCAGTGGGTGGCATGAAATTTCTTCTAAGGAAATATTCTTATAAGGCTGCCCATCTCTTTTATTGATTTGATACCAATAAACCATTTCCAATTAAGATACCCTCCAAAGGTATTTTTAATGATGCTTATTTATTTCCATTCACAATAGCTTTAGAAGTATAGGGAATGTACATTCCTATATATTATTTAATTTTGAGTACCTGCATATGATTCTCCTGCAATAAAGAATTTATTTCTTTAAAATTATTTGAATGCTTAAAACCAAGCCAATATAGCTTAGTAGTTGTCTTCACCAGAATTTTCATCATTATATTCATATGAAGTATCCTTATTAATTGAAAATCCAACTCCTGCAGGTGATTCTAAGAATAAAATATTGGCCCTAGAATTCCATGGGTAAGGATTCTTTTTGAATTTCCTATCTTCATCAACCATTACAAATGGGCCAATTTCTTCATTCAATCCAAGTAACGAAGAACATCCTGGACCACCATTCAACCATAATACAACAGGATCAGTAGAGGGATTACTTTGACTTTCAAGAAAAACATAGTGCAATTATCTAAATCATTATTAATCAAACCTTAATCCTGCTCCAATTGGAAGATATCCTGAATAAGAGCTAAAATTATATACTCCCCACCCTGGAAACACTACTTTATCAGCATCAGGATCAACAGCATAAACTGTTCCTATTACAATTCCTACGATTAATAATGACATTATTATTATAATAATTTTTATAAATACTATAGATTCATATATATGATAATGATCAATATTCCATATGGAAACTGAACTTTATTCGTCATTATTTGCTAAATTTATGTTGTTTACTTAACTTATTTTGTTATAATATTAATTTAATAGTAGAAACTTTGATTAATTAATATGATTTGTATTATTATAATATATAGAATTTAAGAAATCTCTAATAGCCTTCAATTTTTCATCTCACAACACCTTTCTAAACAAAGAGTTATTTGAATAATTAATTATATCTTAATACTAATTAATTATTATTTGCCAAATGAAAAGAAAAACATACAAAAAAGAATATGAAGTTGAATCTATTGTGGAAAGGAAATTTGATGAATAAACTAAAGCCTATCTCTATTAGATTAAATGGAAGGGCTACCCACATTCATAAAACACTTGGGAACCAATAGAGCATTTATAAAATCCACATGTTAAAAAAATGGTCAAAGAATTTGATTAGGCACAAGAGACAACTTCCACTAAAAAACAAATTAATTTAGAACTCCTTAAACAATGTCTGTTAAAGAAACTCACAGACTTTTTAATTAAAAATGCGCCTTAAGAAAATGATTTACAGGAAATTATTTTAAGTGATTTCAGCATATCATCTAATGAAAACAATTCCAATAATAAAATGCCCAAATTTAGAGAAGAAACGAAAAGTTCCAATAAGAAACCTCATTCATAGTTCTAAAATGCTCTAAATTCTTTAAGTTCAAATTCTTGAGTTATTTTAACTAAAGCAATAAATTATTATATATTTATTTTATAAAAAGAAAAATTATAAAATTTGTAACTAACTATTACTCATTTACTTATTTCTCTCACTTAAATATATAATAATATGTCAAATTCTATATCCTATTTAAATTAGTTTAAATTATATTATGTAGTTTTTAAAAATATTTAAAAAGTTAACCTTCATACAATATCATCCCCTAAATATATATTTTCTAATAACTCTAATAATTAATTTATTTTTACAATAAGAAATAAAATATTTTATAATTTATGTTAGGGAAATCCCAAAGAGAAGTTGTTAGTTCGTTGGATCTGAATACATCAAATGTTACTTAATAATAAAATCAAATTGTATTCAATGGAATAATCTTAAAACCTAATTCCCCAAGAACAATTTAAGCATGTCAGAAGTTAGGAATAGATTTAGGCATTTTCTAAATAAAGTAAAATGATATTATATATTTTTAGAGATCTTAACAATTTTCGTACTAATGATTGTTACAGTGATGAAATTCTATAATTACGATATGAACATTACGTTAATAAAACAAATTGTAAAGATCAACATTATTTTAGAATTATTGAATGAAATATTTTAGAAAAGAAAAGAAATCATACGAAAAAATAGATAACGTTAATTATAATGTGCTTCAATTGAGTCTCTTGAAAGATCAGTTTCTCTTAAATAAGGTTCTACTATTGATTAATTAGAGTATGTATTATATTTTTTAAATATCTCTAGACTGAAAAAACAAATGGATTATGCTTATAATAAAACTTTATAATATTTGTAATAATAGGGATTAGTTGAAGGAAATGTTACATAAATGATAGGGGAATGTTAGGATGTTGCAGAGTTGGAAGGGGGATTAAATAAAGAATTATCAAGATATAATAAACATAAAATTTAGAAAATAGTATTTAATAAATTTATCTTAGAGAGAAGCTTAAATTAAATTAGAAGAAGATAAAAAGAGAGTTGAACTATTAGAAAAAATACAGGAAAGAGATTAAAGAATAGTTCAGGTCATGAGTAAAAAATAATAAGAAATGAAGGAGAAATATAGTTCAACTAAGAGAGGTGAAAATAAAAGAATAGATACTTAGGAAATGGAGATAAAATCTTAACCTAGAGAGAGTGAAGCACAAAAAAATATATAATAATAATCGTAAGTGTAAATTAATATTAAGAAATAATGAAATTAAAAGTAAAATGTTAATGAAAGGTGATGATTAAAAAGAGAAGAAAAAAAGAGAATAAGTTTTATTAAGAAAGGAAGAGTTTGAAAAATAAATTGATATTGATTGTCAAATGTAAATGGCTAAGATACAATAAAAATTAGAAAATAGTGAGAAAATGTAAAGAGAATTAATCTAAAATAAAATTGAAAAAATAAAAGAGTAAAATCTTAAAGAGCAATAAATTATGAAATAACAAAAATAAGTTAAAGACAAGATATCATAAGATCATATACATTAACTTTTAGAAAAGATGGTGTAAAAGGAGAAAGAATTTTAAATAAACTAAAAATCAATTTTAAATATAGAATAAGAAAAAAAAATAGAAATTAAATAAAAATAAAGAAAGATTAAATCTAATTAAGGAGATATTTTTAAAGATAGAGAGTAAATATAGATTGTAGCTTTTTAGTGAGAAATTAAAGTAAATAAACAAGAAGTTTTTAAAGATAGAATAATTTAATAAAATAAAAAAAGTAATTAAATTAATCAATTTAGGAAGAATAGGATTATAAAATTTTATTGAAATAAGAATTGAGAAAATTAAAAGAATAAGATAAATAAGATATATTAGATAGATAAAAAAGATAAAATGAATAGAGAATGTTAGAGATTACAGAAAAATACAAGTAAGTAGATGAAAAAAACTAATTAAAATAATATTAAAATGTATTATTTTTATTTATAATATTAGACTCTTTTATAATAGACATCTATGTAAATAAGCAAATAGGAAATATTGGAAAGAAATAGAATCTATTCACATTTATAGCAAATGAGTGATAATCTCTTTAATAAAAAAGTTAGAAAGCGAAAGTAATCAATAAAATAACAATTTAGTATAAGTCAACTAGAATAAAATATCCTCACTATTAAACCTAAAGTAAAAAATTAAAAAGAAGACACTGAATTTGAAGATCATACAAGATTATTAATCACAATGCTCCAAACCTCTGATGCTGAAGAAACTTAAAAAATTAAATAAAGTAAAAGACATAATTGATGTAATTTTTATTTTCTTTTATTTTATGTTAATATCTAATAAATTAATTTATGAATTTCACTTTTTTTTATCATCATTTTATATAAGATCTTAAATAATTTTAGAGTCTTGTGCAGTATCTTAATTATTAAATTATTCTATTTTTTCATCTTTCTAATCTAATTTTTAGTTAATAAATGTTTGATCAGATTCATTTTTATTGTTTTGATAATTAATCTTTGCTTATAAACTAAATTATTCTTTTATGCCTATTTTAGGTTCAACATATGAAAATATTGGCTTTTTATTTGATACTATTTATTTTGGTATTGGTTCACTCAATAGTTATAATAATTCTTAAAAAGAAGCTCTTTATTTTTCATCATGTTCAAGCATTCTAATTAAGATATTTTAAATTCTTTGATTTTAAATGCCTTTTAATAAATTATTTGTCCTAATTTATCCTTATTCTCCCTAAATTACCTAAGTATAATTACAGCATTTAATTTCTATATTTCAGAATTAAGTAACAATGTTGTTTATAATAAAGTTATACCTAAAGAATAAACATCAGACTTTTCAACATTATGAACAATCTTATTAATATTGGCTATTTAGAATTTAACAGATTCAAATGCTTTCCATAAAATAGGAGATAAATATGAAGGAGTACCTACTAATGTTCCTGCAATAGTTGGTAATTTTTCTTTCATTAATTTTTTAGATACACCAAAATCTGATAAGAGTATTTATAAACCACTAGATTTAATAAGGATGTTCTCAGGTTTTATATCTCTAAAACTTATAAAATTATTTACCTATGATAAATATTTGAGTGTAATTTTATATCATTGAGTGTTTGTATACACTATAAAAAAATATGATGTAATTAATCATCAGGAAAATGCCTTTATTAAGTAATCCTCTCCTTTATCTCTGTCATTAAATTGTTATCAGCTAATTCCATAACTAACACAAGAGTATAAGTTTTAGTAATTTAATTTGCCCAGGCATAACTCTATCATTTTTCATTATTTAGTATTACTTTGTATAATTTTATAATGTTAGGATGCTACTTAGGCAAACTTTTTAAAATCAAGAATTCTTTCTAAATTGTATTAAAGGATTTTTCAGTTTTAGCATCCATCATTTTTACTGCCAAATATTGACTCATAAACGGCACTTAATCTTGCTCCCTCTCTAATTCAGGATTTATTATCCTTTTTGTTTTCATTTTATATACTGCACCATAAGTACCTTTTCCTAATAATTCATTTTCTTTATCGAAATCCTCTAAAAATTCTTATATATTAGGATAACTCATATATTTAATATATAAAAATATAATTAATCAAACATATCGTTTACTTGTGATTGGATCAAAGTAGAAATTTAGAATGGGTCATCTAGTATTTTTACAAAAATTTTTTTAGATATCTCTCTTATTTTGTGATAGTATATTTTTTAGCCAATTTAGTTTTCAATCAAATTAATCTTATTGAAAATATCAATTAAAAATTTCCAACAAATATTTATTCTTTAAATCTTTATCTTCCTTATTTTCTAGTTGCAGATTTATAGTAATTTTTTCATGGTTTTCTTTAAGATTAAATATGATATTCTTTAGAAAATAAATTCAATTTTACATTAAATTTATAAGAAACTTTATTGCTTTATTTATTATCAAATTCAATTATCTGATTAGTTCATTTAAATTTTTTAAATAGATTTCTATTTTTTTACCTAATTTATTCAAATATTTAGGAATTCATTTAATATCCTTATCATTTCTTAATCTTCTTTATTTTTTCTATATTATTTTCATATTAATTTAGATTCATTTTGAACTAAGCCATTTTAGTTTTGATATTCTGAAACCTTTTTAGATTAAAAGTTAACTTTTATACTTTTTTAATATCATATTAAATAATGTTAACATTATTTAATTAAGTGCATTAATATTCTATTTTAATTTTTAGATTAATTATCATAAACAGCTCTTCCTCATTTTACAATGAAATAATTTACTTTTAGGATTATAGAACTAACACAAAACATATATCAAAAGGGATAAATGAACAAGAACAAAATATATGACAAAGATATTTTAATATAATTTATATTTGAGAATATCAATTATTANTAGCATCCATCATTTTTACTGCCAAATATTGACTCATAAACGGCACTTAATCTTGCTCCCTCTCTAATTCAGGATTTATTATCCTTTTTGTTTTCATTTTATATACTGCACCATAAGTACCTTTTCCTAATAATTCATTTTCTTTATCGAAATCCTCTAAAAATTCTTATATATTAGGATAACTCATATATTTAATATATAAAAATATAATTAATCAAACATATCGTTTACTTGTGATTGGATCAAAGTAGAAATTTAGAATGGGTCATCTAGTATTTTTACAAAAATTTTTTTAGATATCTCTCTTATTTTGTGATAGTATATTTTTTAGCCAATTTAGTTTTCAATCAAATTAATCTTATTGAAAATATCAATTAAAAATTTCCAACAAATATTTATTCTTTAAATCTTTATCTTCCTTATTTTCTAGTTGCAGATTTATAGTAATTTTTTCATGGTTTTCTTTAAGATTAAATATGATATTCTTTAGAAAATAAATTCAATTTTACATTAAATTTATAAGAAACTTTATTGCTTTATTTATTATCAAATTCAATTATCTGATTAGTTCATTTAAATTTTTTAAATAGATTTCTATTTTTTTACCTAATTTATTCAAATATTTAGGAATTCATTTAATATCCTTATCATTTCTTAATCTTCTTTATTTTTTCTATATTATTTTCATATTAATTTAGATTCATTTTGAACTAAGCCATTTTAGTTTTGATATTCTGAAACCTTTTTAGATTAAAAGTTAACTTTTATACTTTTTTAATATCATATTAAATAATGTTAACATTATTTAATTAAGTGCATTAATATTCTATTTTAATTTTTAGATTAATTATCATAAACAGCTCTTCCTCATTTTACAATGAAATAATTTACTTTTAGGATTATAGAACTAACACAAAACATATATCAAAAGGGATAAATGAACAAGAACAAAATATATGACAAAGATATTTTAATATAATTTATATTTGAGAATATCAATTATTATAATCAAATAAATCCTAAATTACTAACACTCACTTGGGATCTACAATACTTTACTTAAAAAAACTGATCATTATGGGTTAAGATTATAATAAAATTAAATAATAATTATCTCATATTTATAAGATTTTGAATTATTAACCTATAGAAGGGATTAATAAGTTAAATTATAATTGTAAACACATAAAATAATTAAGATAAGATAGGCAACTCAGAGATAAAAGAGGAAAATATTCAATTAGTAGTTAGTTAAAGTGGAATGAGAAAGAATTAAAATTATATATATAAAGTAACATAAGATCAAAGATTTATGATTGACCTAGTAGATAACTCATATTGCTTGAGGGTAAAGGCACAGTCCTTAAAAAAATGAACAAACAAATATAAGGGAAACAAATTATGGATAAGCACAACTAAAGTGAAGAAAATAAAGAGTCTTTAAAATATCATGATCCAAAGATAATCTAGTGTAATTCCAAATGGCATCTAATTTATTTTGTCATTATTAGATATGCTGTTATGCTATTATGAAATGAAACTAAAATCTATTAACGATATGTATTTTTTGGGTTTTTCTGTTTGAATTCGAAGCATCTTTTGAATTATCGACTTCAAATATTGAAAATGGATAAAAATATAAAAATATAAATAATAACTATTATTTTCAATTCTCCTTTAAATAAAGAAATTATATTTAATCTATTATACTACCTATAATAATTTAATTTATTTAAAAGAATTAATACTAAACTAAAGAAACTTTAATTCTATAATAAAATAATTAAAGTTATTGAAATTGAAAAATAAATCATATTAAAATACTATCGAAATCTTCATTTAATAAATGCTTATTTACAAAGAAACAAGGGAATAAATTATCTCCATCAAAAATGATAGCTGCAAAATACCAAATGTTATCATTTTTATATAATTGTTTACGGAATTCAATTAATTATATATCTAATAGCATCCAAAAATAAATAGTAATTACAATCACAAACCTAATTATTTAAGAAATTACCAAAGAATTGCAGTTTCAAAATCATTAAACAATAATACTGAATAAACTCCTCCAAATTCTAGAATAACTACTATACTTATTCTAATATATTTTTTATGAATAAATTACCTTAATAATTAATTTTTTATTAAAAAGCAGTTTTTGATGTTTGATTTCCTATCTAAATGAAAAAATATTATCATCAAAAGTAGATTTATGAATATTAATAATTAAATCAATTCAAATCTTATGAAATCAATCAAAACTACTAAATAAGCTATCCAAAATATTCTTGATAATGAATTGATGATCTATATAATGATAAATACATATATAATACAAATAAAATAATATTTTTAGGAAATTTTTATGTAATATCCTATTCGAATTATCCAACTACTAATGTTATTACATATATCACTAATAATACTAATAAAACTAATATAGATATTTCTTCATAAATAGTAAATAATTCTATGAACAAAAATATTCCAATTACTAAAAGAGTAATAAATTATAGTGTTGTAAGCATTATTAAAAATTTCATTTGATTTTCTTGAATAATTAGAACTTCATTAGTCAGAGATGGATTCTTAGCACCTCCTTCAACAATTGCATTTGCACTTATCATAGCTTTTTTAATAGTATATTCAGTATTTTTTGCTATTTTATGAATTAACTATTTATGAGATGGAGGATTTTCCTTAAAAAAAGATTTTAATTTACATCAATAAGGATATCTCTTTCATTCATAATTATAAATATAAAAAAATCATCATTCAAACAACCAATTAGATAATTTTTTTAAATACTTTAGATAATTATTACAAACTTATCTCAAATTAATCCAAATTTTTAGTTATACTATTAAGCATAGTTTAAATTTCTGTACAATAATTTTTATTATCCTCAATATTCTATAAAATATACTTATTGATTTTTGTACTTTACAAAATGAACGCTTTTAAGTTAATTAATTGTTTATCATCACTACAGAATCATTGATAAATAGATTTAATGCTAATCTTAAACGTTTCAATTCTTCATACATATTGGATTAATTGTAACTATATTAATTAATACTAAAATACAATAAATATTTACTCTGAAGTATTTTAAAATTTATTTTTAATTTAGATTACTACATCTTTAAAATATTATTCCAAATTATGATAATCATTATTTTAAATAACAATTTATTATTACTATAAAATTGGTTCAAATGATTTTCTTATTTAAACAATTTAACATTTTTATGATTGAATAATTTCTTCAATAATATTCTCAATATTTGATTCATAATCATAAAAGTTTTCATCATTCTCATCATAAATTTGATGACTCACATATCTTTAAAGAATTTGATATGTAAACTTTTTAAGACTATAAATCTCTTTCAAATGTCTATTTCTTTTATCTTTTTGGGCTTTATTTATTAATTCTCTATATAGCATAATTATGTTACATTTTAGCATTTAATTATTTTATTTTTCCTTCTTTTTCTTACTCAAGCATTTCAAGTTTTTTAATTGCTTATTTTAGCTCCAAATTTGTAAAACTATTTTCTAATAACCTATCATTAAGTGTTTCAATCTAATTCTATAAATCTATTATCATTCTTTCATATTCTGTTGAATCTGTTTAGTTTTAAATAGAGTATCTACTATCTTCGCCATATCTATCATTTTCCTTTATCATTTATTATATTAATTACCTAAATAAATGAATATTGAAAATCACCCATAACATTAATTATAAAAGAGAATTAAAGAAAGATTTGTATATGAGGCCAAATTTTTAGTCGATTAATGGAGGTAATAGTAATCTTAATCCACTAGATTAATATTTGAATAGAGACACTTTTAAGATGGAAAAATGATTAAGTACACTCTCGATTAAGCTGCAGAAATTGTAGGAGTTTCAAGAAAAACATTAGAAGATTATTACTATTGCTTGAAAAAAGCAGAAAAAATAAGTAAACTATTTAACTTATAGAATAGTTGATATTATTTAATTTATGAATTGTAAAATGGGAGTAATCCGAAGAATCATAAAAGAACATAAAAAGCAATCAGATGAGTAAAATATAATAGATACAAATTAATTCTTTGCTCTAGAAAATGAAAATAATGAGCCAAGAAAAAATAGTTTTGAATATGATGATTGAGTAAAAATGATAATATTTATTTGTGTAAATTACCTACACTAAACAATATTAAATGAAAATAATTGTTTGATAATCTATATTTATTACTATAAAAAATACACAGATCCTCAATTAGATCAAAATTATATAAAAAATTTTTATTAAATTTCATCATTTCTTTGATTAATTAAAATACTTAAATTAAAAGAATATTCAATATTTGATGATCATAATATAATCTATAAAATTACATTGAAATACAAAAATAATATTATATTTATATTTATTCTATGTAAAAAAGATATAAATTACAAATTTTGATATTATGTATGATCATTAATGATTATTATCTAAATAATTGAATAATATAATAATAATTAATTTGTTTAGGATTAATATTTAATATTTTATTTATTAAATATATTCCATTTAAGTTCAATTTTAACTAATTAGATTCTAACTATAAAATTAGAAGATTATGATTAATTTCAATTAATTAATACTATTATCTATTATCAATTATCTATTATACACAAACATTTGTTAATTATATATAAAAAATTGAGAAATACCATATAATAATTTGATTATTAAAGAATATCACATTTTCCTAATATATTTTGATCAATATATCAACTATCATTTCTTATTAATAACATTTTTTTAATAAGAGATGATTTTAGATGATTTTATTCTTAAATTTAATAGATAACAATTATGGAAATTAAATTGACTCTATTTCAAACTATTTATATTAATCTATTAATCTATTTGAATTTAGACTATTTGTATTGATAGTTAATGTTGGAATTTATACTAATCCTAATTGATAATTATTAAATATAAGCAAATGAATTTTTGATGTTTTGTAATCATCAATAATATGCTAATCGAATTCTTTAGAATTAAACTATTATTATTTATTTGAAGGATTAGAATGTATTAAAGAAATTTAATGATTATTATGAATTATTAGATTTGTTAATAATTTATAATTATAAGTAATTAATCCGTTTTTAGATTGTTTTTTACTATAAAACTAAGGCAATTTATCAATCCATTTTCATTAATAAAATGAAATCAATCATCATTTTGGTTTTGGTTGCCACAGCCTTTGCTACAAATTTAGCTGCTTTTGAAAAACTCGAAAAGAGCAAACTTGGAAAAACATTGTTGAACACAATCGCCATCCAAATGCAAACAGGTGAACCACTTGAAAGAATCTTCTAAACCCTCTATGATTTGGAAGACAGATACTAAAACGATTAAAGAGAAGATGATGCTGAAAACAAGGCATTCTAAGGTGTCTGTGATGCTGATCTTGCTGGACTCAACTAAGAACTCGCCAATCTTGAATAAAGAGATACAGAATTATAAGCAACACTTGATGAACTCCAACCAGTCCATGACTAAAAGGTCGGATAAAGAGTTGCCAAATTAGCTGAGAAGGCCCTCCTTTAAAAAGTTATCGATGAAACCACAGCCAAGAGATAAGAAGAAAATGATGACTTTGAAGCTTAAAGAGAAGAATTCACATTCGTCTCAGGTGTTCTTGCTGAAGCTAGAAGACTCTTCACAGACAACTTATAAGCCCCAGCTTTCTTATAAAAGGGAGCTAGCGAAGCTGTCCACTATACCCCATAAGTCTTTGCTTAAGTTGCTTCACATTTGAACGCTGCTGCTCACAAGGCTGGATAAATGAAACACATTAGAACCTTCGGAAAAGCCATCAAACTTATGGCTTAATTGGCTGTCAAAGCTTAATAATATGCCAACTAAGAATTAACAGGAAGAATCATTCAATTGATCGATGACTTATAAAACTAATTATAATAAGCTTTCGATTTGGCCAGAAAGACTGAAGATTCAAGAAGATAAGCCTTTGAAGCTTACAATACCCTCTTAAACAGAGATATGAATAAGCTCAACTCAGCTATTGCTAACTTAGAAGCTGAAATCTAATCATTGGCTGATTAACTCGCTGCCACCCACAGCTCATAAGATGACAACACCGCCAGACATGTTGCCAAGACCCAATAAAGAGATGACAGAAGAGCTGAATGCTAATAAGCTGCTTATGAATACTAATAAAGAAGATCTGCCAGAGATGGAGACAGATAAACTGTTTCTGACTTGATTGGTCATTTGAACACCAACATGAGAGATTTGAAAGAATACATTGCTATGAGAGTTGCTGCTGGTGATACTGATTTAAGCCAATGAGTATATAACAGTATATCATTTTTAAATAACAGCTTTCCATTTTTATCTTCTAAATTTAAGTTACTAATTTAAATTTAATATTTAAGTTTATCTAAAATCATTAATCTATTTAGTCTCTAATGATATGGATAATATTCAATAACAAAAGCCTTTATTTTATAATTGTAAGCTTTATGATAATCTTTTGTAAACTGTTTTTTTAATTCTGATCTCTATTATATATTTCTCTTCAATATTATACTCATGTAATTTGATATATTTTACTTTAAATCACATTTATTTCATTTATCCAAAATCAATTATTGTCATATTATTAATACCTTTGTATTCTAATATTCAAAAATAATAAAATATGCTAAAGGATTCATCTTTATCACTATCATTTTTAAATCTAAAGGTTCTTATTACTTAAATCATTCTTTATCAATTTCAAAAACTTTAATTCATATTCACACTATCATTCTCTATAACCTTATAAAAAAGATATATTTTCTAACTCTAATATAAACACTTTTATTTATCTTTTTTTATGTATAATATTAATTTTTATGAAATTATTAGAAATTTTATCATTTTTACAAACTTCTTTTTCCATCCTCTTTGTCAAATATTACATAGAAATATATTAATCAAATAATAACAAAAAAAATTATAATTTATGGAAATTTTAGAACCCTTTTATAAGGATAGCACAAAAATATTAGAGCCTGAAAATGATGAAATAGATAAAGGATATCTCTTTTTAGGTAACATTAAATCAGCATAACCTTACAATCTGGGACCTAAAAAAATTAATGCTGTTTTGACTGTAACAAAAGAATCAAAAGTTGTTTATGAAAATCCAAATATTAATCATTTCAAATTGGATGTGGAAGATGTTGAAAATCAAGATTTATGTAAAATATTAATTCTAATTAATTAGCTTAATTTTTTGATTAATGCATTACATTTATAGATGAAAATTTACAAAAAGGAAATGTTTTGGTTCACTGTATGGCTGGAGTCTCAAGATCAGCTTCAATTGTGATAGCTTATATTATGAAAACTAAAAAAATGTCTTTTAGAGATGCCTTTTAATTTGTCAAAACAAAAAGAACAATAGTTTGGCCTAATGATGGCTTTATAGAATAATTGAAAAAATTTGAAATATATTTAAATGATATTAAATGAATTCATTAGATCAAAAAATAATATTTGGGATATCTAATAAGCATGATTGTTTTTATCTTTTTTATGTAATGGCATTATTATTGTCTATTTTATTTGAATTATTTTGAATTATCTTTGAAGCTTCCTCAATTAAACTTTGTAATATTGGAATTTTTATTAAATTTTACTAATTCACAATCTCTTATTTTTTTAATTCTATAGCTTTTGTTGATTAAACTAAACTTTGAGAAAATTAAGTGGATTTGTAACTTGATTATTTCTAGAAAGTTTAATTTCTTTCATTTTAAGGATTTTTAATTTAATCAATAAAATCTTTAGCATTTATTCTCTCATCCTTTTGAACTTTAAGTGATTACTAAATTAATAATTTCAGTTTTTAATCCTAAATATCTCTATCTACAATAGAATCTATAAAATCTTAGTCCTTTTTCTTATCAAGATTATCTAAAAGTAACCTTATTGTAATTACCTTATGTAAACATAAATTTTTCAGAGTAGAGATTATATAAACTCATTCCTAATGACCATATATCACACGATTGATCAGTATTTATGGAATATCCTTAAATCTCTATTTCTGGAGGTGCAAATTGTGGTGTGGCTTCAATGAATAATTCTTAAGTTAGTGCATTATCAAGAGGTTGAATTGAAGAGAAATCACATAGAGCAAACTTAAATTTCTATTGCTAATCTATTTTGTAAACAATATTGTCTGGCTTTACATCAAAATGAATAAATTTTGAATTATGAATTTCAAATAAAGCCTCAGCTATAGTTTTAGCAATTTCAAATATATTATTCTTAATTTTTTCTGTCTCAAGTTAAGAGAGATTACCTTCAAAAAGTTCATATTCTGTATATAAAAAGCCCCCTGCTATATTCTCAATTGGATATGTTGTATTTTTCCATCTAAAATTTTTCAGCTAATTCAAAAGCTCATAATTTGGTTTAAAATATCTATTTTATATTCTAAGTGCAACATCTTCATTTTATTTTATTTTATTTATAAACTTTTCTGCTCTATAGACTTTAGCACTAGCTCCAGATCCTAATATTTATCCTATGCGGTATTCAATGTTTTAATATTTTATGATTCCATCTTCATGTGATACTTGCACCTTCCAATCATTTTACATTTCTATTACAATACTTCTATTAAAATTTATAAATTAATATAATTCAATTTTCTTTTATCATTATTTTCTAGAGAACATTATAATAATTTATATGATAATAAACAAACAAAAACTTATTTATTATAAAAATATTTATCCTTAATAGAAATCATTTGGTTGGCCTGTTATTTTAATACAAATGTCCCGCATTATTATTTTATTTTTAAGATGTCTATTAATTGAGTCCAAATTATTATACTATTTAAATATTTGGTTATTAAGAAGCGAGTTTAGTTTAACGAGCTTAATTATTATTTGAATTAAAGCAATTTCCTTGCATTGGATTTAAAGACTATTGTTTAGTTTAAGTCAAATGATCTTTATTTTATTAAAAACTAGAATTATCATCCTTAAATTATTACTTTACATAATTGTGCTATGTTGAAGTGTTATTATTTGGAAAGTTGCCATTTTAAGGAAACTATTGATTAAAGGGCTATTGAACTTTGTTAAATTAATTATTCTATTATTATTATTAATCACAAGGTTAAGAATTATTTTAAGGGTTATATTATTATATGTTTTGGTTAGCCATATTAGGTATTTAATTTGATTATTATTATTAAATAATAGCATTTTAACTATTAAATGGTTAAGAATTGACTTACTTTTGTATACTATTTTAAGGAAACTGGTTAATCTATAGATTTGTGGATTATCTTGTCTATTGTTAATTTGGAATTATGTATTATTATTATTATTATTGAAGAAAATTTTAATTTTTTTCTTAATTATTAAATGGTTAAGAACTAACTTACTTTGGTATATTAGTTTAAGGAATTATTCCCTATGGATTATTGGAAGCTCTAAATTTGTTTTATTCCTATTAATTTTAGAAATTAGTTTAAGGAAGATTGCCCTTCACATTATTTAAGCCTGGCTAATTTTAAAATTATATTGGTGTGATCGGTTAAGAATTTCCTATATCCTTATTTTATATCTCAATTTAAGCTCGAGCCTCTGGTTTTCTTGATAACATTGGCTTCATCGTGCTTCTTATAGAACTATATCCAGGCTGATTTTAAGTAGATGGTGGTGGTTAAGGAGAACGATATATACATTACTTAGTCTTTTCTTCTTCATTAATATCTCTTCCTCGAGATAAGTTTAATAGTTATTCTTATTATTTAAATTAATTCTGTGGAGGAAAATTAGGTGAAAAACTAGGTGGAAAATTAGGTTACTTAATCTTATCTTCTAAGTCAGTATTTCTTTCTCTTGGTTATTATTATTATTACAATTTAATATCATTAGGATTAGGTAAATTAGGTTAATTAGGTAAATTAGGTTAATTAGGTTAATTATTAAATATTTTTTACTAGTTTTATTGATTAATGGGTTATTAAAAACCAATCGGATTTGGAATTCCTATCAATTATTGAATATCATAATAATTCTTTTTATTGACATGTTTTTCTTCATTGTTTATATTATTAGGTTTCTCTTTTTGTCCATTTGTTGGCATATGAGTCATTTATGATGTTCCTCTCAAATCACATGTAACCTAATTAATATCATGCCTTTTTTGTATATCAATTTAAAGCATATTTAAAAGAAGAGTTCTATATTTCCTTTCTATTTTCAAATTATTCTAAATTTTTTCATCAATTTGTTTCTAAGTAATATTATTTATTTTTAACCAAACTTACTGCTCAGAAGAACCTATATTTAATTCATAAATTACCATCAAACATTGGCTATCCAGTCAATAATTCGTAAATCAATGCACCAAATGCCCATATATCAACCTTTTTAGAATATTAATTTGATCCATTCACTTATTCTGGAGCAAGATAATAAGCAGTACCAATTACTTATGTTTTAAGCACATCAATATTTTTTATTGTGCCAAAATCACAAATTTTATATAAATCTTAAGTATTTCCGTTGTCAGTTATTTAAAATATCAATATATTTTCAGGCTTAATATCTCGATGAGCATAACCTAAATCATGAATTTCTTTTATTCCATTTCCTATTTCTTTCATAATGAACCTTATATCTTCTGCTTTGATTGTACCTTTACGTTGAAGTCTTTCAAATAAACTTTCTTTACAATATTCCATTACTATATAATACTTTCTACCTATTTGTTCAAGATTAAGAATATTGATTAAATTTTTAAATTTTTATCCTTTCATTTTCTATAACATCATTAATTCATATTCACTTATGTTATCTTATATTTTTATTGCTACAGTTTATTAAGTTAATTTAGTTTATCCTTTATAAACTTTTCCATAAGAGCCTTAACCGAGCATTTCTCTAATCAAGTAAGTGTTTTGTTCTATTTATATTTCGTTTCCTTCTTTCATTTCTATTTCTATTAAAATTAATAAAAAACTAAATAAATATTATTAATTAGATTAGAATTGTAAAGAAAAATAATAAATTATTTTAAATTTTAAGATATATTAACAAAAAATAAAGATTTTTGTTAGACTTTTGTTTATTTTAGAATTTAAGAACTACTCTAATTATAATTATTTAAATCTTAAATATTTTGTATTATACATTTGATTTAATATATCAAATTAATATAATTTAGATAATTAGAATGTGTGACAATATATTATATAATGATGAAAATTTACATAGTGTAGAAAAATAATACAAAAAGAATGCATAATTTAGAAATTAATTATTGATTTTATTTAATATATTCTTTTTAGTTTTTATTTAAATATTGGATATGCAACTATACAGTCTAACTTTACAAAAAAGCACAGGAATACAAAAAGCTATATACGGAAATTTCTCTGGACCAAAAGCACAAGAGATTGTTGTATCCAAAGTAAAACACATTGAGCTTCTTAAGATAAATGAGAGCAAGTATAATGATGTGATATAATGTTTAGTGGTAAATTAGAGACAATAGCATCATAAGAAGTATTTGGTATTATACGTTCAATCCATTCATTTAGATTTCCTGGAGTAAATATTTAATAAAATTTTAGAACAATAGAGATAATTTAGTTATTGGTAGTGATTCAGGTAGGGTAGTAGTGTTGGGTTTTGATGGGTTAAAAAATATGTTTGTAAAAGTGCATTAAGAAACTTATGGGAAAACTGGATGTAGAAGGATAGTTCCTGGTTAATATTTGGCATGTGATCCTAAAGGAAGAGCATTTATGATAAGTGCTGTAGAAAAACATAAATTTGTATATATATTAACTAGAGAAAATGAAAAAATTACTATATCCTCACCTTTAGAGGCACCTAAATCTCATACTATTGTATTTGATATTGTAGGGTTAGATGCTGGTTATGATAATGCTTAATTTGCAGCAATAGAATCAGATTATGGGGATTGGTAAGATAAGGATAGTGCAGTATGCACAGGTATTTAAACAAAATTCTTAACAATATATGAAATGGATTTTGGATTGAATACTGTGAGAAGATAAAGATCAGATCCTATTCACATTTCATCTCATTCTTTATTAATGGTTCCTAATGCCCCAGATGGACCAGGAGGTGTTATAGTGTTATGTGAAGATTTCTTGCATTACAGAGGTCCAAAGAATTAGGAAATGAAAGTACCATATCCCAAGAATCAGGGAATGCCTGCTGATAGAGGAGCAATGATAAGTTCATTTGGATTTTATAAATAAAAAGTAATTATTATTTGAATATATATTAGTCATCATTTTTATATTTGTTATAATCAGAGTATGGTGATTTATTCGAATTATCATTACAATTCACTAAAGATGAAGTTCATTCAATAAGAATGATTTATTTTGATACTATTCCAGTGGCTAATAGTTTATGTTTGATGAGAAGCAAACATTTATTTGCAGCTTGTGAAAAAGGAAATCATTGTTTCTATAAATATTAAAGAGAGGATATAAACACGAATATAATTTGTACAGATTCCAGTATGGCTTTGGAAGAATAAATATTCTTTAAGCCTTAAAAGCTTAAACATTTGTCACTTTTATAGGAACTTAATAATTTTAGTTGTATTAGTGATTTAAAGGTTGCTGATTTAGCTAAGGAAGGCAATCCATAAATTTATATTTGTTGTGCTGCTGGTAATAGATCAACTTTAAGAGTCTTAAGACATGGTTTAGAAATAACATAATTAGCTAATACTAATTTGTAAGCAAAGCCATTAGGAATTTGGACTTTAAAGGAAAGATATGAAGATCCTGTACATAAATATATTGTGATTTCATACATTAATAAAACATTAGTATTGAAAATTGGTGAAAAAGTAGAGCAAGTTCATGATACTGGATTGGAAGGAACAAAACAAACAATTCATGTAGGAACATTGATTGATGATTCTTAAATTCAAATCTTAACAAATGGATATCGTCACATTAGAAAGAATAAGCCTCCTACTGATTACATAATTGATGGTAAAGTCATTAAAGGTGTTTCAAATGAAAAATAAGTAGCATTTGCCTTAGCAGGAGGTGATGTCTATTATTTTGAATTGGATACTACAAGTGTTTAAGGGAATTTAATAGAGATTACAAAAGATTAAATGGATAATGAAATTAAAGCCTTAGAATTGGGTCCTATTGAAGAGGGAAGATAGAGGTGCAAATTTTTATGTGTGGCTTTGAGTGATTAAACTATTAGATTATTGAGTTTAGAACCTGAATCTTGTTTTGAAAGAGGAGCCATGTAAGCTTTGCCCAGTGAGGCTGAGAGTTTATGTATGATGGAGATGGCTTCTGAATAAGAAGGTTAATAAAGTTTTACTAAATAGTTATTTTTATTTATAGGGTTAAATAATGGTCTTTTAATGAGAACTTCAGTTGATCAATTGTCAGGAGGATTGTCTGATACAAGAACAAGATATTTAGGAACAAAGGCTGTAAAATGCCTTAGGATAACTGCTAATTAATAATAAGCGATGTTGGCATTGTCTTCTAGATCATGGTTATGTTATAATAATAGTGGTCGAATATTCATGTAACCATTATCTTATGATTATTTGGATTATGCTTCAGCATTCCTTGCTAAAGAATTTTAAGGTATTGTTGGTACTAATTAAAGTACTTTACGAATCATCATGCCAGAGAGATTTGGTGAAATATTTAATTAGTAGTCATTAGATTTGACTTATTCACCTAGAAAAATGATTTTTCACGAACCTAGCAAGGCAATATTCATTATAGAATCAGATAACCGATCCTATAACAATGTATAATAAAAAGTATAGGAAGTCTATTAGACTTAAGAAATACCAGAACAATGGAATTAAATTCAAGCTGAATAATATAAATGGGCATCATTGATTCGAATAGTTGATGCCACTAAATTAGAAACTATAAATGTTCATTAATTCTACGAGAATTAACATGCATGTTCTATTTGTTACATTTAATTTGCTGGCTATCCAGAGTAATATGTTTGTGTAGGAACAGTAAAAGATTTAGTAAATGAGCCATCTAGAAAATTCAGTCAAGGATTCATACATACATTTATATATGATAATAAGACATTAAAGTTAAAACATTCAACACCTATAGATGAAATACCTTATGCTTTAGCTGCTTGGAGAGGAAGATTACTAGTTGGAGCTGGATGTAATCTAAGAGTATATGAGATGGGAAATCAAAGAATTTTAAAGAAGGCAGAAATCAAAAATCTTAATTCATTTATCACTTCTATCATGGTAAAAGAGGATAGAATATATGTAGCTGAAGTGGCTGATTCTATTCATCTTCTTAGATATAATATTAGAGACTAGACATTTATGGAATTGGCAGATGATATATTACCAAGATATGTAACAGCAAGTACTGTTCTAGATTATCATACTGTTATTGCAGGAGATAAATTTGAAAACATTTTTGTTAGCAGAGTACCATTAGATATTGATGAAGAATAAGAAGAGCATCCTTATGAATATAAAATGAAAATGGATCAAGGTTGTATGAATGGAGCTCCATTCAAAATGGATTAAATTTGCAATTTTTATGTTGGTGAGGTTATTACTAGTCTCCAAAAAATAGCTTTAGTTTCCACTAGTTCAGAAGTAGTTGTCTATGGAACATCCATGGGGTCGATTGCTGCACTTTATCCATTTGATAATAAAGAAGATATAGATTTCTTCCTCCATCTTGAAATGTATCTTAGAGTTGAGCATCAACCTCTTTCTGGAAGAGATCATATGTAATTTAGATCTGCCTATGGACCTTGCAAAGTAAATATTCCTTATATTAATTCTATAGTCTATAATCGATGGAGATTTATGTGAATAATTTGGAAATATGTAATATAACAAATAGAGAGCTGTTGCAGAGGAATTTGATAGAACTCCAGCTGACATAATAAAAAAACTTGAAGACATAAGAAATAAAATTTTATGAATGTTTTTAATTATGCAATAATAAAATAAAACATTAATCATCACTTATTTATTATTGTTAAGAATATCAATAAACAATCTTTATTTTAGAAGCAAGATTTTGAAATAAAAATTCAATTGGAACATAATAATTTTTTATTTTTAAAACAATAATTTGATTTTGATGACAGAAATATCCTTAGATAAGAAAAAGAAATTGTTTATTTTAAAGAAATTTGACAGTGTTTCTCCACCTAAAGAAAGAGAATAAACTTAAAATATTTTTAATGGTAAATTTTATATTAATATTAAGGAGAGCAACTTAGATTTCTTCATGGTATTTTAATATATTCATTAAATTCTCAGTAGGTTAATAATAAACTTTACAATAAAGATAAATTGTTGGGAAGCTCGAATAATTTTTGAAATAAAGAGAATAATATGAAGCAACATAAAAGCAACAAAATTCATAATTTAATTAGTCAAATTCTACAAAAATGTTTGCTAAGAGAATTACTCTTAGGAATTCTTCTCAAAAATCTCTATTAATCTGTTCTGATTAAAATCAAGAATAAAAATAAAAAAAATAAAAGGATTATTAAATAGTGTCTTAGTAGTTTTTATTAAATTTTGTTAAAAAGACAGAAGTATAAAAAATAACTATAATAGGATAGAATAAAAATGAATAATGAAATTGAAGAAGATTTAAAAAAGCTAAATGATAAAAACAATTCGCTTAGATAAACAAGAGCTTTAACAAAATTTCAATAATAATAATAAATCTGGGAATAATAAGTAGAAGAAGCTACAAGGAAATCAAAAAAATATGATTATGATTCTGTAATCAGAAAATCAACTTGTAATAAATTTTATTTTATTTTAGTATTTCGTGAAAAAGTTGAATAAATAGAACATTTTTAAGCCTTAAAGTAATTAGAAGGTACTGCAAGGGCTTAAGAATGGTATATGACATTAAGGGATAATTTAGGATAATCTAGATAATTATCTCAAGATGAGAGAGAATAAAAAAGAAGTCCATATTAAGATCCATTTAATTAAAATACTTATTATGTTGATTCATCTTAAAAACCAATTGAAATTATTAGAAATCAACAATAATCAACTTCTGTTTCAAAAAGTGGATTTAGAAGAAACAGCAGTTTAAGTTAAATAAATATCTTTAAATTACCTCTTCATAAAACAGTCTAAACTATAGGGGAAGACCTTTGTAATTTGTAAATTGAAGGATAAAATGTTTTACAAAAGGAAACTGAATTAATAAAACATTATAACTCGAATGATAAGTTCAGACTTTATAAATTAGAGAAGGAATGTGAAACAGACGTCTGACTTAATATAGTAACTTCTAATATTCATCCTTTTTATCATATTCTATTTAAATTATTTTATGAGAGACTTTTAGTGATTTTTTCTATATATTCTCCTAAAATACTCTTAATGATAATTTGGTCAATATTCATATTGTTTTGTTGCTTCACATTCTTAGTCAATTTCTACTTATTCTCATTTGAATTTTCTTCTATCTTCTTTTCACCATGAACTTCTTTATATATCTTTTAGCTTTCGACATTTATATCTATGATTTTTAATTAAAAAAAATATTAATTTTATCATTATTATCTAATTATTAACCAGTAATTTAAAATAGAAATTCTACATAATTGATTAGATATAATAATTTAATTTATTATATATCATGACCTAAGAAAATTATTAATTTCAAAATTACTTAGAGAATATGGACATAATTGTAAAAGTTCCTACATTAAATTTTATTACTCCATCAGGAAAATTTGGAATTGGAAATCTTATATTTTGTAATGTGATAATTAATCATAAGATCATTTGCTAATTTTCATCCAGAATGCTGGAGTTTTGCATAAATAATTGAATCTATGATGATCTCAATCATTTCTTTTATTTATATAAAGGAAAATACAACTAGAGTGATGATTAGTAGTTCATAAGAAAATATATATATTATGAATTAGAATTGAATCATCATTAATTAGATTAATTATAATGAATTAGTTTTTTTATTAGAGACATTAATATGTTATTATTGATCTATTTTTTTATTGTAAAGTATAGTTTAATGATATATAAATCAATTTTTACTCTCAATTATTCATTATTAAATTTGTTGCATAATCTTATTGTAATCTTCACATCCTTTTCTTAATGAATTAATCCAACTTATTGGAGCTCTAGAAGCAACATAGTTAACTAAACTCTATTTTTATAGCATAATAATATTTTACTTTTGGAATATCACCTTTAACATCATTGTTTGAACAAAAATATAGTCTACTTCCACCAGGTATTGATTCTAAAATATAACCTGAAATTAATGTTTCAGCTCTTATATGGCCTTTAAATTTAGGAGCCTTACTATGCTCAACACTAAAATATAAAAGACAGGTTTGTCCTGGCTTTGGAAAATCATATTTCAAAATTCTTTTTTAACAAAATTCTCTATTATCAACACAAGGTGGACTTTTAACATAGTAATAAATGATATCTACAATTGCAGATTCCCTCTCTAATACTTAGAAACTCAATAAAATTTTATCCCATTTTTATCTATACTTTTCATTATGTATAGCTTTTAATAAGACATCTATTGTAATTCCTATTAAATCACTATGACCTTTTACAAAAACAGCTGGATTTCCAGGCTTGAAAGTTTTGTAAATAATCAAATTTTCTTTTTTTAATATGATTTCCCATCCATCTATAGGTTCTTCAATAAGATCAACTAGTAGTTTAAATTTTTCTTCTAACTCAGCTGAGAGTTAATAAGTTCTATCTGAATTGATTTAATTATCTTAAGCTTATTATTATACTCTATGTATTTATGATTGTTATTATGAATGTTCCATTTGTAGACATAATATCTATTATAATTAGCTTTATTGAATCAAGTTTTCTGGAATACATTAAGATCCTCTTTTTTCTGTATTATCAAAAATAATTTAATCAGATTATTGTAAAGGTTATTATTGTTATTATTATTATTATTAATTTTATTAGATGATTAACTAAGATTATTATTTTGAAGTAAATTGTTAATCATTTTTATCATCATATGATTTAGCTCTAGCTCTCACTTAATTTTTCATTATTAATGGAACTTGAGCTTGAAATTCTTAATCTATATCTTCATTTATGGATACCATATCTCCTTAACTTTTCCTTCTTTATTAACTTTTAGATGGTGAATTTTGCTCTCTATTTTATTATTATTATCTATAATTTTGTATTTATAAGAATTTTTCCAAATCTTCAACCTTAACTTTTTAATTAAGTTTAGCAGCGAACATTTTAATAAATTCAATGGAAAGCTATTAATCAAAATAACTTTATTAGCACTTTAGTACAATTTTGTTAACTTATAATTATTTGATTTTTTATATCAATAATCTGATTACATCATTTTTTTCATATTATTTTGCATCTTAAAATAATGTTAAAAAAGGGATTAAAACATCTGAAACAGTTTCATTTAACACATATGAAATCTAAAAAATAAACGATGATTATATGTAGTTACTTCATAATTACTAAATTTTGAATAAATTATTTTTTATTCAACTATTTGAATATATTCCTTGGTTAATTTATAACTAAGACATAATGCATAGATTGATTATTCTTTAGACAGCCATTCTCTTATTTTTACTAATAAAGTATGTGATTCTTTTTGAAATTTCTCATCAAAATATTTATAATGCAATAAAGGTTTAATTTCTGTTAAAATTCTTTGAACACAAAACCTCTATAAATTAATATTGTTTGTATATTTGATCATAATCAATTTACCCTAAATTATAAAATTGAAATTTACCCATTTTAATAAGCATTTTACTCGAATAATAAATATATCAAATTCAGTTAAATTTATCCCTTTAGTAGCTATTTTTTTTGAGATTTTCCTTCCTAAATATCTACCTAAAATAATCCCTATAGCTCCTCCACCTATGGCTCCTAAAAAAGTAAATCCAAGTGCCAAGAATCCAATTACTCCTAAAACTGTCATTCCGATTATAGTGCTAATTTAGTTTCATAAGTTACCCTAAGTTTTAATTATTACCAAGTTGAATATTAGTAAAGATGGTTTTATGCTCTAGTTTTTATTAATCAGTAAGTCCATATATTGGCAAAAATGTAGCATCACTCAATAATTAATTAATTAAATCTTTAAGCTCCATAGGGTTATGAATGTTTTTTAAATATAAATTTACTAGTGAGGTCAGCGATTTTGGATTTTTTAATTTCATGTTAATCATTATAATTTATTATATATATATATTATATAAATCTAATATTAACATAGAAAATGACTGAATAACTACTTCCTAATTTCAAGCTTGATTTCATTTCCATTAACCTTAATTTATAGAATATATGATGAATTTATTATTAATTCATACGATTATAATCATATAATAAATCTAAGCGAAAAGATATAAGAAACAATGACTTATAAAATAAAACAGAGATTCTTTATAAAAAAATTGATTAAACCAAAATTGACAATATGTACACCTTTAAACTAAAAATTATATATATTTATTTAATAAACTTATATTTTATGTCTAGACAAGTAATTAGATTGCCAGCTGAAGTAAATAGAATACTTTATGTAAGAAATTTACCTTATAAAATTACTTCTGAAGAAATGTATGATATCTTTGGAAAATTCGGAGCTATTAGATAAATTAGAAAGTAAATCACTTTAAATCAATTTTTTTTAGAGGAACGCATGGAGATAAAAAAGGAACAGCTTTTGTTGTTTACGAAGATATTTACGATGCCAAAAATGCTTTTGATAACTTATCTGGTTTTAATGTTGCTGGAAGGTACTTTTCTTATTTTATATAAATTCTTTTATAGATATTTGATCGTGCTTTATTATTAACCATAAAAAATGTAGGAAAGGCAAGATCTAGAATTTTAGAAAAAGTAAATTGAAAAACTTCGTGAATAATAGAGATAATAATAGTAATGAATTATATAATGAATTAATAATTTACAGATATTATTAATGATTAACTCAACCCTATTCTGGGTGAATTTACTTCTCAAACACTAACATCTTCAAGCATTATAAACTCTCCCCTTAAAATCATTAGGCAATCTAATGTAGTAGAGATTTAAAACGTTCATACAAAATACAAAAGAGTAATTAAAGAAACTATATAATAAATAATTCTTGAAATTGAGAAATATTATCAATAACTTATAGAAAAAAATTAAGCCATTATTTTTAAACTATATTAAAGAATAGCTGAATAAACTTCAGTTATTTAACAATTGTAGGACATAGTAAATTAACTGACTTAAGAAAATATAGAGTTTAGAACTAAAAAACCTGAAGAAGAAATTACACAAGAATTTTATGACCCACAATAATACACGATTAGACAATAGAAAAAGGAATTATTGGAATTATATGAAATAAGTGATCAATTATAAAATAAATTAAAAAGATAAGAGAGTATAAATAATTAATTGCTCGATACAATTAAAAGATAAAATTCATAATTAAGTTCTTAATAACAAAGTATTACAGAATAATAATAACTGATATAAAAGGAAAAGTCACGGATATTAGAACTTCAAAAATACTAGGCTGAATTAGAATAGCAAATAATTGACATTTAGAAATAGTCCTAAAAAATAATAGAACGTGAAAATGATTAATAAAGAATTGAAATACATTCAAGCAAAGCCAAATATTTAACTTTGAACTAAAATGACTCAATTGATAGTAAATGCAATAAACCAGAAATTTAAAATATAAATAATAAATAACTCAACCCATTAAAAAATTTACTAACAACAGATTAAGAAACTGAAACTTAACCATCTTAGAAATGTCTATTTTAAAAAAGATAGAAACTTCTTTTGCAATCTTTAGAATATCAAAATTACAGTGACTTTGAAATCAGCGTTAAAAATAGATACCAATCCAAAAATACAAATAAAAAAACAGAATTATTTGATATCTCTGAGATCATTAAGCCAAAATATAAAAAAAAACCTTAAGATTTGGATGAATTATACTTATACTCTCATAGATATAGAAATAGCAGTGTAGACCATTATTATGAACCTCCTAAATAATACAGATTTAATATTAAAAAGACATTAATTTCTCCTTTAAGTCAAAGAAACACTGATTAAAAGAGAATCGGTCTCTGTACATTAGAATGATGTTTATTGTATTTATGTGAAAAAATTATAAATATTTATTTACCTTTATTTTATTATATAATGAATTTCTATTTCTTTATTTAATTAGCAGTTGAAGCAGAATTAAAATTAGAAGAGATGAGGATATTGTTAGCAAATTTAGATAATTTTGAACCATTTACAAGTAATAATTAATATTAAATATTAGCTTATAAACGATTAGATTAACGTAGAACAGGAGGATTAAAATCTGATAATATTTTTGAATTTTTAAATGATAATGATATTTAGATAACACAAGATCAACTTGATTACATGTTTAGAGTATTAGATGAAGATTCTGATGGCTTAGTATCATTTTAAGAGTATTATTTTGGTTGAAATAATTAGCTTTAAAAGAGCAATATTACCTAAGATGAATGATTAAGTGAAAGATTAAGCCTTGAATCATAAAAGTTATGACCTTCCAGTTAATATGTTACTACCAAAAGAAATAGAAGCATAATTATCATAATTCTTTATTTAGATAAAATAAAATTATATGTAAATGATGTTCTTATCCCCAGACAATATTAGCAAATAGAATAAAAAATTGATTTGAATTAGTTGGATATTTATGATAAAGATAATTATATTACAATAAATTCATTAAAGTTTTGGTTATAATAGCTAGGAAAAGATATCAAAGAAGAAATTCTCTAGAATTTTATTATTATTATATAAGGATAGAAATAATGGCTTTAAAAATTATTAGATCAAATTTACACTAAAAAAGAAAAAGATTAAGATTAATTTCACAAGTAAAGAGAAGAAGAGAATTTTAATAAAGATCATTAAGAGAATGATGAAGTTGATATTGAAAAATAAAAAGAATTAAAATAATTCTAATAAAATGATGCAGAAACTGATATATATCGCAAGATTAGTTAACTCAATAATTAGTAGGAACTCTAATCTTAAGTATTTGAACATAATAAAACGCATAATTATGATTTACATTATGACATAGAATTTGAAATTTGTTAATTAAAGAATAAAATTTATGACTTAGAAATACAACTAGAAATACCATCATAATTAAATAGAAGATCTTAAATAGGATAAATGTTTGAGAAAGTATAAAATAAAGAGTTACAGTAATTCTCAAGAATGAGTTACCTAAAAATATTTGATTATCCCCCTTCTGAATATGGCAAAGATTTAATTAGTTAAAAATTATAGTTAGATAAATAAATTAAAAAAGAATAAATTAAATAATAAATCTTANTTGTTAGCAAATTTAGATAATTTTGAACCATTTACAAGTAATAATTAATATTAAATATTAGCTTATAAACGATTAGATTAACGTAGAACAGGAGGATTAAAATCTGATAATATTTTTGAATTTTTAAATGATAATGATATTTAGATAACACAAGATCAACTTGATTACATGTTTAGAGTATTAGATGAAGATTCTGATGGCTTAGTATCATTTTAAGAGTATTATTTTGGTTGAAATAATTAGCTTTAAAAGAGCAATATTACCTAAGATGAATGATTAAGTGAAAGATTAAGCCTTGAATCATAAAAGTTATGACCTTCCAGTTAATATGTTACTACCAAAAGAAATAGAAGCATAATTATCATAATTCTTTATTTAGATAAAATAAAATTATATGTAAATGATGTTCTTATCCCCAGACAATATTAGCAAATAGAATAAAAAATTGATTTGAATTAGTTGGATATTTATGATAAAGATAATTATATTACAATAAATTCATTAAAGTTTTGGTTATAATAGCTAGGAAAAGATATCAAAGAAGAAATTCTCTAGAATTTTATTATTATTATATAAGGATAGAAATAATGGCTTTAAAAATTATTAGATCAAATTTACACTAAAAAAGAAAAAGATTAAGATTAATTTCACAAGTAAAGAGAAGAAGAGAATTTTAATAAAGATCATTAAGAGAATGATGAAGTTGATATTGAAAAATAAAAAGAATTAAAATAATTCTAATAAAATGATGCAGAAACTGATATATATCGCAAGATTAGTTAACTCAATAATTAGTAGGAACTCTAATCTTAAGTATTTGAACATAATAAAACGCATAATTATGATTTACATTATGACATAGAATTTGAAATTTGTTAATTAAAGAATAAAATTTATGACTTAGAAATACAACTAGAAATACCATCATAATTAAATAGAAGATCTTAAATAGGATAAATGTTTGAGAAAGTATAAAATAAAGAGTTACAGTAATTCTCAAGAATGAGTTACCTAAAAATATTTGATTATCCCCCTTCTGAATATGGCAAAGATTTAATTAGTTAAAAATTATAGTTAGATAAATAAATTAAAAAAGAATAAATTAAATAATAAATCTTATTATGAATGATTAATAAAAATTTTATCTTCTAAAAAATAATTGGTCATACCATAAATTAATTGAAGAATTCAGAAAGAACAAATTGTTTCAGTTTTTTTTTGGATGGATCATAAAAGTATTTCATTTTCTTAATTTAGTCCCATGTATCAAAGTCCTCTAGATTCATCCAAATTTTTTTCTGATTATTCTGGAAATAAAGTAAGACTTGTTAATTATTTATAGTAAAGTAAAAGTAATAGAAAATCATATCTAAATTCCTTCTAGAAATCAATCAATTTTAGCAATAGAAAATTTTGAAATATTTAAATAATATTTATTTATTTTTTTAATTTTATTAATCTCATTTTTCATCAGGTGTTGGAAAACTCTTTGGATCAAGAATAAATCCTTCACCTGATTATTCTAATTAATTTCCATTTGTATAATAATATTAATTATAATGCATTTGTTATGAATCTTTTTATCCAATTTAAAATATAGTTCTATTTTAGTTATTTCTATTTCTTTATTATCCATATTAAGTATTATAATTATTATATTAATGTCTATTATTGTTGTTATTTTAAACATAATGTTGTTAATTGTTCCACGATGATTACGATTGATTAGGTTGAACAGGTTTGTAGGCTTTGGTTTAATCAATCAATGAAGGATCCATTGCTTTTAATTTATCCAAGGTTCCTTATAATATCAATTATAAATTTTTTTAGAATTATTCTAAATATATCCACTTTCCTGGAGAACCCCATGAAATCATTAGACTGGGTTTGAAATAATTTTATGAATACCAAATATCCATATTTTTAGTTGGAAACCCTCCTTAAGTCTAAATAAAAAATCCAAATTACTTTGTTTGATTTATCTATATAAAACCATAAAGATTCATTAATGTCTTTGTTGTGTAATTAAGCTTAAATAGAGAATGGCGAAATTTTAATTTATTCACTCTTAAAAAGAACAGAAGGAATCTAATCTACTGTTTTAGTATGCGAATTTTCATTATTGTTATTAAGACCCAAAAGTTGATTTAATTCATCATCACTGATACAAGTTTCTTAAACTTACGATACTTCTTATAATTTATTATTATTATTATGAATTTAATTCAATTGTTACTGCTTTTCTATTTCTTCAACTGTGAATATCGTATGATTAATCTCTACAGGCTATTATTATGATTCGTTATTTGAAGAAAAGAGCTCAATTAATTTTAATTTAGTTTCTATTGCAGCTTATGATTATTTTAATTCTTATTCCCTTTTTTCTCTGTATTTTTATTTTTCGATTTCAATACTGTCTATTGGATCCTGCTTAATTTAAGATTCTTCTATTTTTTATCTCTTCTCTTCCTGCTTTTTTTCAAATGTACCATGATTTTTTTGATATTGTTCTCTTTTTTACTAAATTTCATTTTCTATATCATTTAATTAAAAAGGGGCATTGAAATATGACTCTTGCATCCATTGAGGTTCTTCTTCATCACTATGATTACAATGTGAATTCTAAGAGATTGGCTTGAATGGTTTAGTTGTAAATAATTAAGGTAAATTTTTGATCAGCAAGATAATGTCACCTGGAGGTTATAAATATTCTCGGTAAGCTGAAAGTAATAATTTTGCATCATAAACATTATTTTAAGGCTAACATATTTATTATTTCTCTAGAAATATTAGTAATATCATATTTACATTCATATTCCACTCTCTTATTATCATTTTAATAATGCTATCGATTGTTGTAATATTTTTTGTTTCTTGAATATCCATCGTAATTATTATTATGTGACTATTAATAAATATTTATTTTTTACTTTTCGATATGGTTAAGTATCTCTTTTCTATTCCTGTTGATCTTTAGCTATATACTAAACTTGATAATGATATGATTTTGACATTATGTTTATTTTATTCTTTTTTTTTATTAATATAATTAGAATTTCTAATTAAAATTTGATTCATAGCTTTCAGGTATGAATATATTAGTCTAGAATCTTAAATTATCATCCTTAAGTTTCAATCTATAAATTTACCCGCTATTATACAATACGACATAATAAAATTTCAAAATCCTTCTTTTGGATTAAAAAATTAGAAAGTTGAAACTCAACGGATTTTTTTACTAAACTTAAATGTTATCAATTATTTTTTATCTATTTTTTGTTTATTATTTAAAATAGTTTTAGCTTTTATATTAATATTTTTTTAATTTAATTAATATGAAAAAAATTTTTTTTCTTATATGTTACTAAAAACTGACTGAAATTGGAGCAAGATATTGATTAAAAGCAAATAATTTATCAAAAAAAAATATAATTAAAACTAATAGATAAGCATGATTGTAACAATAAACAATTATTCAGGTTATTAAGGAATTAAAAAGAAAGAGGATGCAACTTCTACTTAAATAACCGAAAGGTATGCATAGGAATCGTAAAATAATACTATTTTAACACAAAATTTGGGACATTACTAAAGTCGACAATAATCAGATGCAAACATTGAATAATTCAACCTATATCCTAATGATACTCATATGTATAATACTCCTAAAAAGTAATAAAACTAAAATACAGAGTTTATTGAATAAAGTAATGAAATATTAAAAAACTCTAAAATCAACATAACTACTGAGAATGTTAATATAATAACCAGAAAATTAAGTTCATCTACAATTGTTGTTAAAAAAATGGAGGAACAAGAATGTAAATATTGCAGATAAGTTGATTCGCTATATAATTTTATACGCCCTTGCCTTTGCAAAGGATCCATGTAGCATGTACATCAATAATGTGTACAAAAAGATATTGAGAGTAATTTTATGGATGAGAATCAAAGAAAATTCATCAAACCTATTAGATGCGAAATTTGTTAATTTGTTTTTAAGATTAAAATATATAGAGAGACTAATGTACTATAATCTTTTAAGGATCCTAATAAACATGAAAAGCTTTTATTTCTATCATTTGTTTTGATAATTTTAACTTTGATAACGATTGGGCTTGTCATATTGTCAATTCTTATTAAAGAGGAATTAAGAATGCATATTGACTTATTAATGGGAATTGTGATTGCTTTTTTGATAGTTTTAGGATTAATGATAGCTTTCTCTTTAAATTTTATAGATTTAATTACAAATGTATTTATTTATAACTTAATAATTATAGTATTATTGGTTTGTATTGGATCGACAAATTGCAAATAAAGTTGATAATGGAATCTAAGTGGATTATTAGAGTTTGAATTTAATTTTGCTAAGTGGATCACTAAAATACTAATGGAAAAAAAGTTAAGTACTACCACTAAATGAATGAGAATATTTTATTAATAAAAATATTATAATATAAAAATATATCTCCAATGAATGTTGAAGATTTAAGAAATGAATTGAATGAATTACACAAAAAGCAGGCAGAAAGTCTTACAAAAAGGAAAACGATTATAAAGGAGATTAAGAACTTCTCATTTTAGTATTGGTTATTTATAATATGAATTAGAAAATAAGATTACAAAAAGATAAAATTAAATGATGGAAAAGAATAGGTAGTTCTTATTGTTTTGATTATATAGAAAGTATTTCAAATAAATCTTGCGGGTGCTAAGGAAGAACGCGCAGAAAAGTAAAAGTAGCTTGATGAACAAGTACCCACTATCTCGAAGGAGAAGGATCGACGTTTAGCAAAATCTTTATTAGGAAATCATCTCTAAAAAGCAAAATAAGACTTGATAGGTGAGAAATCGAAGGTATCTATTTTCTAACCAATTAAAATAGTTGGAAAAATAAATAGAGATAAATAAGCGATTAGATGATAAAGACAAATTGGATTTACAAACTCTCAAAGAAGATTAAAATGTATTTCTATTTTATAAATTTTCAGAAAAAGAAGAGTTAATTAGTTAATGAGAGGAAGTAATTAGAGCGTGATTTAGCTGCTGATGAATATAAAAGATAGGTATTAAAATAAATATTTTTAAGGTTCTATTACTTGAATTATAAATAAAAATAATGAGAGATTTTTTTATTACTAAGTAAATTATTTGATGAAAATATTTTAGAACATATCCTCATATTTTATGGTAGCCTGCTAAAACCAATGAGGGTATGAATCCTCTTAAAGAATATAGTAGTGAAAAGTTTAATGTAAAATATTGATTAGAAGTAAAATAGGAAATGGAAAAGGATTTAAAGGAAAAATTGTTGAGAGCATACACTAACTTCAGTGAATCGCAATATTAAAAGTTGAAGGAATAATAAGTTTAATAGGAGCACGAAAGTTCATAATCAGAAAGCGAGGAGTCATAGGATAAATAAAAGGGTGAAGGGTAAGAATGATGAAAAATTATAGGTAATAATATAAGATTTAGTTAAATAAATATTAAAAAAATTTTGTGTGTTTATTTATAAATAATTTATATCAAAACTTGATATTTAATCCATAAAAATGTCCAGTTAATTTGAAGGTATTTACGATATTTAATAATTAATTTTTACATAAAAAAAATTCTCATATGATAAGTAATCTTAGAAGTTAGGATAGTGTTCAAATGTCTATGATGCAGTAGCCATTTTCTTTCTAAAATGTTTATCATAGTTTTGACGGTAATGATTAGAGAATAAAGGTAATCTAATAAATAATAATTAATTAGATAAATTAGCTCCAAATAATTTAACATAAATTTATAAAGTGTCTTAACAATTTGATTCGACATTAGAATAACAAAAAGAAAGGAAATATAATTGTTTTACCAAACCAAAATAATCAGCTATATGTATTTAATAATTCTAAAATTCAAGATTATTTTTTAGGATGACAAAATCTTTAGAAAGATTAAAGTTTAGGAATCAAATGATAGTACTTTCATGTCTTTTCCAAGAAATACTTTTCCTCTTATATAATGTAACAATTTTAAAAATCATTAGATTAACCATATCCTTAATTTTATGCTAATTATCCACAAGAATAATTTGCACCAATGCAATACTAAATAACTAATCCTATCTTATAATCTTAAGATAGATTTTTAGTTTAACCAAAATAAGTTCAATAAAATCAGCATTTTCGAACATCTGATTTTTAGTTTTTTGGTTCTCATGATGATTCTGAATCTATTGAACCTCAATAGGTTGAAAAAGATAGTAAGGAACATAAAAATTCTTATTTTAAATTAAAGAATAGAATTAAAAAAGGAAAAGTAAATGATACCAAAAACATTACTAAAAATTTTTCTAAAGCAATAATTACTTATATTATATAAAATAAAGACATTGGACTAAAAATAATGAATTATGAATAATTTGAAGAATTTGTAACAATTTTAAAAGATAAGAAAAATCAGATGACAAATATTAAATAACTCAGGGATCTTTGGGTTGAAACGAATGAAGAGAAAAGTTAATAATTTAATAAAGCATTTAGAATTTTTAGGTATATTTTTTATTAATAATTTATAGTGAATACTTTTTAAAACAATAGTCAGTGTCTTACATTTATAATTCAAGAATAGCAAATACTGGATGGCATTTAAAATACAGATATAACTTACTTCGAGCACTTAAAGAACCAGAAAATTTTAAATACATCAAAGATATTTGAATTATAAAATTTTAATATATGATATTTATTTATAATTTTCATACATGTTTACTTAAAGCTGCTTTAACTGATTTTGCAATATTTGTTTAATCCTTTTTTTCATCCTCATTATTATTCTATTATTATTATTATGGCTTTTATGTGTATTTCAACAGAACATTTCCTGTTGGTGCTTATTATTAACTTAAAAAGATATGAAAAAATATTACTTTTATTGTAGCTTTTTGAATTGAACACTTGGAGAGACAAATTAATTCATATTTGGAGATTCTTTAATAAGTATTCATATTTACCTTCACATGCAACAGTTCTTCCTGTTATAACTGGTGTTCTCATAATCATTTGTTAATCTTTATTTTAACCTTCTTTCATTTTATTAGTAGCTTGCATAACAGGAGATTTAATAGGTGAATTGGTTAATTGATTAATTCTAAGCATGTCAAATTTTGCTGCTCTAAATAAATAGATTTTTAATTTAATACTGTTCATTAATTTATTAGATCCTAACATTTAGACCTGGTTTATCATCGGTATCCCCAATATTTCCATCATCTTCCTATTAAACATTTACAGGTTTCTCGCATAATGCAACGAATTCATATTGTAAAGCATCCATTGCTGTAATTCTTTTTTTAGGTGATGGTTCCAACATATGTTTAAGTAAATCAAAAGCAGGTGGTGGTACAACATCAAACACTGGACTTTTGAAATTAACTTTTGCTTCTTTATTTTATTAGACTATTGTATTGTAGCTTCTCCCAGGAAATCCTGGTTTACCTGTTAACAAGATATGGAAGACTAATCCAAGAGAATAAATATCACAAACACTATCATAGGTTGTTGTCATATCAGTAATATTGATAACCTCTGGAGCAACAAATCCAGGAGTTCCACATCTGCAATAAAGATAAACTGGTAGATTTACAAAGGTAGCTAAACCAAAATCGGCTATCACAACTGAATTGATATCGCTATTTTCGTTTAATCAATAATAATATTATACTTTTATTCTTTGAATAATATGTTTTCTAATTTTAAATCTCTATGCATAATATTTTTAGAATGCATATGTGCCAATCCTTCCAAAAGTCCTCTCATAATTGCTTGAATTTATTTGTTTGTTAAAATTACTTTCTTCTTCATTATTTCATATAATTATCCCCCTTATAATAATTCTAATCCCATATATAAAGAATTCTGAGTTTCATAAACCTCATATAATTTCATAATATTAGGGTGATCAAGTTCTCTCATTATCGTTATTTCATTAATTAAACCTTCCTTTAAATATAATCATATTTCAATACCTTTCCATTCTCTTCAGCATAAACTGCACTTTTTGAAAATGCCTTGATTGCCATTTATTATCCATCCTCTATTCTTTCAGCTAAATAAACACTTGCAAAATTTCCTTTTCCTATCTTTTTAAAAACTTTGAACATATGATGGAATCCCATCTGATTGATTTTTTATCCAAAATATTTTCGAAATGTTTTTAAAATTTCTTAATCACCAGTGAAGTCCCAATATTTTTCTGTTTTTTCACTTTGTAATCTTATATGCAAGATATCACCTATAGTCTGAACATCTTCTGGTTTTACAATATCAACTCTATTAGAGTGAGGAGTATTAGGAGTTGATTTTTTTTAAGATGCATTGGCTTTCAAAACAGGAGCATCTCTAAATATTTCAAATCTTGTAGTAAAATCCAAAGGAAGTAATTTATGAACATGTTTACTTTTATCCTTTTCAATATAACTTCAATTACTTTGAATAATAATATATGTTTTTCAGTTATCACTAAATGTCTTTCATGTTATTTCTTTCCTAATTTTGTTACTGTGGCTTCAAATTTAGGTTTGGGTAATGCAAAATCTTAAGGCACAGTTTACCACAATGGTCCTTGTCCCCCTTATGTTTATTATTATAACATAAAATTAAATATAAAACAACCTTAATTAGATATTGTAAGCAAAAATAAATTAAAATATATCCAGAAAATCAATATTTATTATATGTGTAATTGGGATTCAATTTATTTCTTATAAGTTTAACAAACCTTATTTACTACTAATACTCTCTTAATAAAAGTATGATAACTAATAAATATTTTAGATTCAATAATAATCAAAAAAAAGGGAATGAATGTATATTTATAACTAAATTTTATAAATTTGTTAATATAGTATTCAAATTCATAGAATATTTGTTAGAATATCTGATGTAATTAATTAATATTAATTTTTTCTCTCTTAAATAAAAAATTACAAACTAATAATTTATAATTTAAAAGTATAAAATTATGATAGGAAGTGATAATGAGTTAGAGCTGCTCGTATTTGAATTAAATGGTGTCTATTCCTATTTGTAATTATATTTTAGGTTTAAAAGTATTTTTAACAGCTAACATCTCTACTTTATTAATAATACAATCAAGTTTCTAAAATAGATGTTTCCATAGATACATTACGAAAAAATTTCATCAAATTTATAATTATATTCAATACTTTATATTTATTCTTTTGGCACATATCTTAACCAATTAATCATTAATTCATAGCAAAAAATTAAAATTATCATTGAATTTTGTCATTAATAGATTAATAGGAAACTCTTATCATAGCTAACCATAAAAATTGAAATTGAAATAAAAAATTAATATTAAGTTCAAAAGTATTTGAATTGTTTTAGTAATGAAAATTTTATTAAGACATATTTAATTATTCTGTAATTTTGATATATTTTGAACTTATGAAGAATATATTTTTATCAAAGTTTCCAAATTTTTTAATTTTGTATCAATATAATCAATTTCAAACCTCAACATGTGAATTTTGCTTTTTTTAATTTTATGTCAATGGAGCAAATTTTTTATAAAATACCCTTTTTTAGAAAAGTCCCATAATTTTTGTAAACATACTAGTTGTATTAGATTAAATTAAGTAAGGATTGCTAAAGAGCAATCAATATTGAATAAATTCATAATTGTTATATATATTTTATATATAAATCCACTAAATATTCTAATTTACTATATGCATTTATGATAGTTTTTTGTTGAATATCAATTTTTGATTTCTCTTAATTTAAATCTATTCCAAAATGAAGCTATTTTTTGTAATTTTGACTTTTCTCATAAACTATTATCAGTTAATAATCTTTTGTCAATTCTATTTTTTATATTTTATTTAAAGGCAATCTCCTATAATCTTTTTATATAATTGGCTCTTCGATCAAAATTTATGAAAGTGATTTACAAAACTTTCCTAAAGTGAATGATCTTTGTCTCTCTTATGTGTAAGTATAATACAAATCGAAATAATCAATTCCCAAAATCACATTATTTCTATATTATTTATCAATTTTTTATAATTCATATTCTTAATAAGAATATAAGTTTCGAACTTTATCTGTATATTCAGAGGATTTACCCTCATCTTACAAAAATCTATAAGACTTATTTGCACTTTTTGAGAAAATTGTATCTTTATTGATATTTAGTGTAAAACTATCTGTGAATTATCGTAATGAACGAATGGGTTCATTTTGAAATTTTTAAGTGAGTATTAAATAATGTATTGGTAACTTACTGATAGGTATCTTTATATTAATTGGTTCCTTACTCATATGAATACATGGATATTTTAATATTAAATTATAATCAGTGATTCTGTATTTCTTATTTACTTTTTTGCTTAATTCTATAAATAATTCTTCAATTAATTAATTTGGTCGAATTTGAATATGAAATCTACCTTAACTTATAGGTTCTTCAATAAGAATAAGAATATGATTTGGAAGTTATTAATGCAAGATTTTAACCATTTACAAACTAATATCTAATTATTTTGAATCTAATATTGGTACAATATCAACAGATTTATAATATCTCATTGGTGATTCTAAATCAATTTAAATAATTTTGTCATCGATATCATCTGCTAATAATGAAATTTCAGCCTATGAAATTGGTTTCTAATCATAATCTATTTCATTTAAACTTTCTCTTCTTGATTTCATCTTATCTTCAAGAGATCCAAAACTTTTGTATCTTTAGAGTGGTCGTCGATATTAAAATTCATCTAAATCTTGTTAATCATCCTACCCTTCAATTTAATAGGCTAAACTGTAATTTGGAAATTCATACAAAGATTGATCTAATTTGACGTCATTTTGGAATTATGTTAATGCTAAAACAATAAATTCTGCAGCCAACATGTCTTAATCAATCATTAAGACTTTAGTTATTGTAGATCGAAAATAACGAACCTATATTGGTTTCTAATGTTATCTTATATTTGTAAGAAATACTCTTGAAAAATTAGATCTCTTAAATTTTATTTTCTCAAATGATGTTTCTATAATTTAATTGTTTTTTTTAATGAAATATTTTTCAGCTTTTTAAGGATTATGTTTATGGATAGATTATCCAATCAAAATTGTAGTTTAACATCTTTTTACTAATTTCTTTTTATTTTAAGATGCTTTAACTTATTTTAATTATGATCCACAAATGCTATTAGATTTTTATTCTGATGTCTAAGCTACATTTTCTTAACAATCTTTCTAAATAGAAATATCAACTTATGATTAATGAGCAGAATCATTAATATGTTTTTGATTATCTAAATCTAAAAAGTTAGTTTTCTCTGATTTTAAAGGACTGCTAAATTATTTACTTGATTAGGAAGACTCAGTATCTGTTTATATAGATATAGATAAAGCAGGGAATTTATAATTTTCCATTATTAATTAAAATATTTATTTAAGAATCAATAACAATGATATTGAATCAATATACAATAAACTCTGTTTAAATTTAAGTATTTTAATCATCTTATACATTTCAATGAATTCTTATGAATAAATTTTAATTTCAATCTACATTAAGTTAATTAGTAATGTCCAATTTATATTTTTTAAGGATTAATATATTTCAGTATTATATATATCATTTTTTGAATTTTTATTTTACATATATTTGAGAGTATTATAATAGACTGGATAATATTATTGTTTCTTAACAGTATTTTATAATTCATAATATAATTAAATTTTAAATTTAAACCAGATGGATAAATACAAAAAAATTAGAGTTGTTGGAAAAGGTATTATGATAAAATAAATCAGGTAGTTTTGGATATGCCCTTCTAGCCTAGGCATTGTCAAATAAGAAAAATTATATAGTTAAAGTATCAAATGATTTAAATTAGATTATTGACATATCTAAGATGGATAGAAAACAAAGAGAGGAGGCATTAAATGAAGTCCATGTTTTGAAGGCCATGAGACATCCTTATATTATTACATATAGAGAATCATTCATGGAGAAAAAGTATTATTTCTTTATTAAACTTTTTGAATAGATGTTTATGTATAGTAATGGATTATGCCGATGGTGGTGATTTGTATGGTAAAATAGCTAAACAAAAAGAACTTGGAATTCTATTTTCAGAAGAACAAATATTAGACTGGTTTGTTTAAATGGCATTGGCAATGAATCATATACATGAGAGGAAGATTTTGCATAGAGATTTAAAAACTTAAAATATATTTCTTACAAGCAAAAATGATGTTAAAATTGGTGATTTTGGTATTGCACGTGTATTATAACATACATATGATTGTGCAAAAACTGCTATAGGAACACCATATTATTTAAGTCCAGAAATTTGTTAAGAAAAACCTTACAATTAAAAATCTGACATTTGGTCACTTGGATGTATCTTGTATGAATTAACTACTTTAAATCATGCATTCGATGCATTATCAATGAAAGAATTGGTTTTAAAAATATTACGAGGAACTTATCCTCCTATACCATCATAATATTCTTCAGAATTATAATCATTAATAGCTGATATGTTAATTAAGGATCCATCAAAGAGACCTAGTATAAAGAGAATATTAGAGAGAGATTTCTTAAAATAAAGAATAGGAAGTTTACTTGTTTCAACATTGAATAGACATGAATTATAAGAGATGACAGAAATAAAACCTACAGAAAATCTGTAATATATTAATCTTATTTATTAGTTTTATTTAACCACAATAGACTGCATAATAATTTATGTTACAATAAAAATAGTATGAATAAAATAAAATATCTTAAAATTAAAGTTAAAATAATTCACCTATTACTTCAAGACAGATTATTTAAACTATTGCAAGTAAGAAACCTTCACCTAAAAAGGACAATAGTAAAGTAGAATTAAAATAATTGTTTAATAGACAAAATTCACCTTTGTAATCAATTAATTAAAATTATTCAATCCAATAATAATCAATTCATACTTAATAATAATAGCAATAACAAATAGATGATAGACCATAATCATTTGCTAGTGTAGTTAGTTAAAAAGAGAATTAATAATAGCCTATTAAATATTAAAATTTAGAATTATTAAATAAATTTTATTTAAAAGATAATACTAATATAGTTAGACTATAAAATAAGAGTCCAATTTTACAAGAACAAAAAAGAAAGGAATCTATTGTAAGTTTAGTAAGAGAAGATGACAGTTTTGAATAATAATAGGGTTATAAATTCCTTATTAAAGATATGAGAAAATGTTTGGATAAAAAATAATCAAAAGAAGAAGAAGAATCAATTATTGTTGACAATTTTAAAATAGTTCCATAGTAATATTTTATCATTAATTTATTTATAGATTTCTCAATTAATAAAAATAATTTTAAGTTCCTGGAACTTCTGAGAGAGACACTATAGGTTATAAGATAGAAGCTCTTAGATATTATTTAGAATAATAAATGGGTTTAGACTCTTTTATGAGAGCCTATTAGACCTTAGAGAATAGTTAAGAGAGTGAATAATTGAAATAAGCAAATTAATTACTAAATTAAGAATAAAGGAAATACATACCATTAATAATCTAATTAATAGTTTGTGAAGATTCATATTATTGATCTATAGTATTCAAATTAAAAAAATTATAAGGATTTCTCATTTCTTTAAATGATTAAATTGAAAATATATTCTTCTTCTTCAATAATAGTTTATAATATGTAAAGAATCAACATTTTCTAATGAAAATTAATATAAATATTATTACAATTTTCAATTTTGGATTTATAAGTATTCTTTAGCTTTATTTTGAATCTTATACAGATTATTTTAAAGGAATAGGAAGAGTATTTTTATTTTAAAAAAATGAATCTTTAGTTTCTAAAGATGTATTTTCATAATCTTCAATCTGAAAATTCTTAAAATAGAATTACTTTAATATATTTTTTAGGTAAGTGTTCTATTTGATTCATTAGATTTGACAATATCTTTTAATCTTATTGAATCATATAATTCATCTTTTGTATGTGTTAAAAATGATGACATTGTAATTATTATGAAAGTATGTAAATATATTAAATAAATATATATAAATAAATTAATGAGAGCAAACAATATTATAGTATAAGAGGAACCAAAATAAAATGTATTAGTTGCATTTTATAATACATTGAAGTCACTTATCAAATGTGAATGTTTTAAATAGTAATAAGGATTTTTAATTTATTAGATTTATGCCAATCTCCTATAATTAAAAGCCAATACAAATTCCAAAATAATCCCTTTAACATTTGGGTAGAAAGACATTAGTGATCGATTTAGATGAAACTTTGGTTCATAGTTCTTTCAATTATATTTCAGATCCAGATTTTATTTTGAAGGTTTGAATTATGTTTATTAAGAGATAAAAGTAATGAATGCAAATTATACAATTTATGTTAGAATAAGGCCTGGTGCTGAAGAATTCTTAATAAAAATGGCAGAATTTTATGAAATCTTTATATTTACAGCTAGTATTTGTGAAGTATATTAATGAATATATTTAAGTATGCAAATCCTGTGATAGATAGAATAGATTAAAAAGGAGTTTGTGCATTAAGATTATTTAGACCAAATTGTTCAATATTGAATGGAGTTTTTGTGAAAGATTTATCAAAATTATAGAGATCAATTAATAACATAATAATAATAGATAATACTCACACTTCTTTTTCTCTTTAACCTAAAAATGCTATTCATATAAAAAATTATTTTGATGATCCTAGTGATACAGAATTATTGGATTTAATACCATTTTTATAATTACTAAGTACATTTGATGATGTTAGACCAGTTGGAGAATATTGGAAACAATATATAAGATCAGAAAAGATCAGATATACAAGGAATGGAGAATCATATATTTATGATAGGAATCGAAATGAATCTTATGATGTATAATATTATTATAATTAATTAGGAAGTAGATCCTATTAATTAGACTATTGATTAAGTTAAGGATGATTAAATGTTATTGGGAAAATAATAATTGAAATTATAAACTAACTTTGCTATTGATTATGATGAAGTGAATGATATCACAGAAAATGATGAAGAAATATAATTTAGAAATGAATAGGGAATTAATTCTCCAAATTTAAATAAATAACATTTTAATGAAATAGATTAGAGTGATTAAAATTTATGATTAATATAAATTTTAATATAGTATAAATAATTATATATATATAAATAAAAAATAGAAATAAGTAGAAATGTCTTTGAAAGACTTTTAGATTTTGTAAGAACTAGGTAAAATATATCATTAATTTAGGTGAGGGAGCATACTCAAAAGTATATAAAGTAAGAAGAATTGCAGATGGTTTTGAATATGCTTTAAAGAAAGTGAAACTACAATCATTATCAGACAAAGAAAAATAAAATGCTTTAAATGAAGTTAGAATATTAGCAAGTGTCAGACATGCTAATGTAATTTAGTATAAAGAGGCATTTTTAGAAGAATCTACATAAAGTTTGTGGTATAAACTATTATTTCTAAATAGTATTGTAATGGAGTATGCAGATGATGGAGATTTATTCTAAAAGATTGTTGAATGTTAGAAAAAAGGAATGTTAATGGCTGAAAAGGATATATGGAACTATTTTACATAAGTAATTGATTTATCTACTTTAAGATAGTTAAGGGATTAAAGACATTGCACGATATGAAGATATATCATCGAGATTTGAAATCAGCAAATGTCTTTATGAATGGAGATGGAACTGTTAAATTAGGTGATATGAATGTATCTAAAGTGGCTAAAAAAATATTATTATACACTTAAACTGGAACACCTTATTATGCATCACCTGAAGTCTGGAAGGATTAACCTTATGATTCTAAATCTGATATCTGGTCATTAGGTTGTGTACTTTATGAAATGACTACATTAAAACCTCCATTTAGAGCTGAAGATATGAATGGTCTTTACAAGAAAGTTGTGAGAGGATATTATCCAAAAATACCAACTATATATAGTTAAGATTTAAGCAATGTTATTAGAGCTTTACTCTAAGTCTAACCTCATTTGAGACCATCTTGTGATAAAATCTTATAATTATCAGCTATTGTTAATAGAATGGATGATAAAGTTTTAATTGAAGAAGAAGGTGCTAAATTCTTATTGTAAACTATTCGAATTCCAAGAGTTATGCATTATCTTACTGATAAATTACCTAAACCTAATTATGCACCTATTAAAATGATGAGAATTGATAAAAATCAGTTTATACAAACTTTAGCTGTTTAAAAATCTAGTCAAGATAATGTTGAAGATTCTGTAACCAATTCTAATATTGAACATTTACCAAGGATTGGTCGTAGATTAGATGATTCTTAAATTTAATCATATGATGCTTAATCTGTTATTAGTAAAAAATAGAATAAAATTGATGAATCTTATATGTTACCTAAACCATCTCTAGAGATTTCATCTTAAGTTACTAAAAATAATGAAAAACTCAGTCTGATTCACTAGATTTATTCTGGTAATCCTGTTAAAGCTCTAAAGAAAAATAAAAAACCTATGAAACCTGAAATTTAGATACTATAATAAAAATTAGTATAAAAGAAACTTGATATTGAAGGTGAACCAAAACCTTTACTTATTAAAAAGTATATTATGTCTTATAATCTAAAGTGTTAAACATCAATAAGATGAAAAATCTCCATCTCCATTTTTACCTGCTCTTCCTGCCATTTCTAAAGAGAAAAGAATAATGAAAGATAATAATGAAGATGAGTAATTGAAAAGGATTAAATAGACTGAAGAACAAATATAATTGTTAAAAGAAAAATAATTAAAATAAAAAAGAAAATATTAACTTAGAAATTCAGAGAAATGATTATTCTTTTATTAAAATATCAATTGAATTCATTTTTTTTATTTTTATTACTATTTTTATTAATTAAGAGGTGATAAATATTATCCAATATATTACATATATGTATTTTTGAGTTATTCTTTTATTGTTGGAGATTAAGATCTTTAAGATTTATTTAATTCAGGAGGAGCAGTTATAGGTTTAGGTGATTGAGATCTTTATTTCTTTTCAAAATCTGCTTTAATTCCTGAAGGTCTTATATTTTCTAATTCCTCTAAAGCCCTCTTTACAGGACTCATCTCAACATCTAAATTACGTTTATAAGTATATCCCTGAAAATATTTCTTATTTAAATTTGATCCATTCTTATCCTAATCTGACTCTTCTCTATTATGAATTATATGTTTCCAAGGTTCTTTCTCTTCAAATTTATCAAAATTAGAAGTTAACATTTTTTTATCAGGAATATAAGGTGCCCTTTAGTTTCTAATATTAATAAAATCAATTCCATTAAAAAAAGGGTGTTTTTTGATTTTACTAGCATCACCTAATCTTTCATTGGCATCTGTCATTAATTTAGTGATTAAATCATAACATTAAGGAGATACTTTTGGATTACTTGGAAATTTAAAATGATTTTTCCATTTTAATATCTTTTAACATGTTTTTTATGGAGTATCACTATAAAAAGGAGGATATCCAATTACCATTTCAAATAGTATTACTCCTACACTCCACCAATCAACTAATTGATTATATCCTTGTTATGAAAAGACTTCTGGAGCTATATAATCAGGTGTTCCAACTGTTGAATATGCTAATTATCTTCTCTATTCGTTTCTTGATTTCTTTTAATCCATTATATTATTATTCATATTATAAGGAATTGCCATATCATAATGTTAACCTAAATGTTTACAAAGACCAAAATCTGATAATTTTAAATGACCCTATGCATCAATTAATATATTATCTGGTTTTAAATCTCTATGAATATAATTCATATTATGAATTTCCTCTACTGCTAAAACTAACTCAGCTATATAAAATTTTGCATCTCTTTCTGGAATGATATCTTTTTTTATTAATAATGTCATAAGATCTCCTCCACTTAAAAACTCCATCACTAAATACAAATTTTCATCATCTTAAAATGAAGACTTGAGTTCTACTATCCATTAACATTTTGATGAAACTAATATATCTCTTTCAGCTCTAACATGTCCTAATTAATTTTTGAATAGCATTTCTTTTTTCTTCATTTTTTTAATTGCAACTATTTCATTTGTATCTTTCTATCTACAAACCCTTACTTCTCCAAATGCTCCTCTTCCAATTATAGCAATAGATTCAAAATCTTCTACTGTTATTTTTTATCTCCTATAATATTATATATTTATATTAACTTCTTTCTTAATTGCATAGCTTCCTTATGTTAAATTTCCTTCTTAATCAATTCTTATTCAATAGAAGTAAAATTTAAATTTTGTAATACTTATTACAATTACTGCCAATTTTGCATTTTTTCTCTCTCATTTGTAATTATTCTTTTATATTTCCTTTCTATATAGGCTTTACAAGCGGCAGCCCTATCCTTAGTTTGATTACTAATTTTAATATCAGCCATTAATATTAATTCTAGTGTTTTATCTGTAAATAAATATTATTATATAAATAATTCATAATATAAACCAAAATGTACTATCTTGGAGTTATCAGGCATATTATTATAAATAATTTCTAAGACTTTATTATGAGTTATAAATTATATTACTTATTATGTGAACCTCATATTCTTTAATTATTTATGTTAAGTATATATAATTTATACTTAATTATTATCTAAAGATTTTAAATTTACTTCTTTGATATTATTAAAATCTTATTGAATTCTCTAAATTTATTTATAGAAATCTTTACTTAATGATATTTACTTTTTTATTAAATTAAGTAGTAATTATTAACATCCATATACTTTTCAACAGAAATAAATATTTTGGAGATGATATTTTCTAAGAATGAACATATTAATAATATGATTATTAGGAAAGAAATCTTTAATTAATTGATTTTATTTGGAAATCAATTATTCTTATCTTCTGAAGTAAATTCCCTTTTGAATTAAGTTTTTATAAGAACTTATTATTTTTTTATTTATTAAAATTTTACTTATTTTAATTCTTTTAAATTTACCCTATAATCAATTATATTTTTATTCTATTTATTATAAATCATTCAAATATTTCCAAATAGTTTACTCATGTATATCATCATTTATATGGTATAGTTCTTTTTATTTGAGAATAGCATTTATGGAAATAATTAATGTTAACGATTTCCAAAAATATTTTATTTATTGGGAGGTGGCGAATTAAATTTTGGTATGAAAGCTTATAATCGTTTAAATGAAAGATTATAAGAATTTTTATTCGAAGCAATTCTTAGAAATAATAATTGGAATCAAATAAAAAATTAATAAAGATAAATATATTTCTACTTTTTGGATATGATATTAATTATGTCTATAATATAATTCAAGATGAACAATTAATATATCGATTTTAATCATCTAATAATTTCTACTTTTCTATTTAACCAGCTTCTATTAAATTGTTTGTAACACATGATTTACTATATTATATCTTAGTTATTTAAATCATCATACATATATTACTTATATTATAACTTGAATTTAATATGTTTTTGTTTATTTTATGAATATTAAGATTAAGGTAGTAATTAATTATATTAATGAATTAGTTACTACAATTATAGTATATTTCTTTGTGCTCAAGAGTGTTGTAAGAATTAGAGAATCATACAGGGATTAAGGATAAGGTGTTGGCTGAATATATTATTGATTTAGGTAGATAAAGTAAGGATGAAAAGGAATTTAAATAAAAATTGGATGCAGCAAAAGCTGATTTTACAGATCAATTTACAAATTCTCTATTCAATATCATAAAGAAAATGTCTCCTTAAGAAAAAAAGTAAGTAGAACAGCCACCATAAATAGAGTAGGTAGTTAAAGAATAGAAATTCCCAGGATTAGCATTACCAAATCGTGAAATAGTTTAATTAGAGGATATGGAAGAGTAATCAAGATCAAGGTCATTATCAAAAAATAAGAAGAAGAAGAAGGATAAGAAAAAGAAAAAGGACAAAAATAAGGATAAAGAAAAAGAAAAGGAAAAAGAAAAGGAAAAAAAGGATAAGAAAGAGCCATCTGCATCTCCATAAAGGACTCATAGAGATATAGAAAAAGGACATATATATGAGGGTGTTGTAACAAAGGTGCAAGATTTTGGAGTTTTTGTATAGATAGCTGGTTTTAAAGGTAGAAAGGAAGGTTTAGTTCATATTTCCAATATAAGAGAGAAAAGAGTGACTAATCCTTTTGATATTTTGAAAAGGAATTAGAAAGTGTTTGTGAAGGTGATTAGTATTGTGAATGAAAAGATTGCATTATCAATGAGAGATGTGGATTAAAATACTGGTTAGGAAATAGAAAAGAAAGCTAAGGCAATGAATGAATATGATCAAGTGATAAAATAATAGGAGTAGAGTAAGGATAATAATAGATATGGAGCAATAACAGGTGTAAAATTAGATGTGGCATAAGATGCTTGTAAAAAGAAAGCAAAGAGAATAGCATCTCCAGATTTATGGGAGAAGACTAGATTAGAATATAATTCAAAATTGGTTCGTTAGATCGACAATAAAGCTATTGTAGAAGATTCAGAATCAGAAGGTTTTGTGTCAGATTCAGAAGATTTAGAAATAGATATGAATGATTATGAACCTCCATTTTTAAAAGGATAAACAACTAAAGCAGGAATAAATTTATCACCAATAAGAGTTGTGAAAAATCCAGAAGGGACTTTGTAAAGAGAAGCCTTACATGCATAATAATTGGCAAGAGAAAGAAGAGAAATGAGAGAATAATAATAAAGAGCAATAAATGAATAAAATAGAGATAAATATAGAGAGGATCCTTTAGCTTAGATTTCAGGGAATATGAATTAAATGTAAGTAGAAATTCCTGAATGGAAAAAAGAAGCAATGTTCAAATCAAGTGTAAGGAATAGAACACATATGAGTATTAAAGAATGGAGAGAATCTTTACCAATTTATAATTTTAAAAATGAATTATTGTCTGCTATAAAAGAGAATCGAATTTTAATAGTAATAGGAGAGACAGGTAGTGGAAAAACAACTTAGATTACATAATATTTAATGGAGGCTGGATATGGTAGAAATGGAATGAAAATAGGTTGCACTTAACCTAGAAGAGTTGCAGCAATGTCTGTGGCAAAAAGAGTGGCTGAAGAAATGGGAGTACAACTTGGAGATGAAGTTGGTTATGCTATAAGATTTGAAGATTGCACAGGTCCTAATACAATAATTAAATATATGACAGATGGAATGTTATTAAGAGAAGCATTAATAGATAAAGATATGAGTCAATATAGTGTTATAATGTTAGATGAAGCACATGAAAGAACTATTAATACTGATGTGTTATTTGGATTATTAAAATAAGTAGTTGCTAAAAGAAATGATTTTACATTAATTGTAACATCTGCCACTTTGGATGCTGAAAAGTTTTCATCTTATTTTTTTAATTGTAAGATATTTAGAATTCCAGGACGTAATTTTCCTGTTGAAGTATTTTTCACAAATGAACCTGAAGAAGACTATTTGGAAGCTGCATAATTATGTGTAATTTAGATTCATTTAGAAGAACCAGCTGGTGATATCCTATTGTTTTTAACAGGATAAGAAGAAATAGATACAGCATGTTAAGTACTTCATGAAAGAATGAAAAAATTAGGTCCAGATGCTCCTGAATTAATTATTTTACCTGTGTATTCTGCTTTACCTACAGAATTACAATAAAAGATTTTTGATCCTGCCCCTACTGGAGCCAGAAAAATTGTTATAGCTACAAATATTGCTGAAGCATCTATTACTATTGATGGAATTTATTATGTTGTTGATCCAGGATTCTCTAAAATCAAAGTATATAATCCAAAATTGGGTATGGATTCCTTAATTATTGCTCCAATCAGTTAAGCATCTGCTTAATAAAGAGCTGGTAGAGCAGGAAGAACTGGACCAGGAAAATGTTATAGATTGTATACTGAATAAGCATTTAATACAGAAATGTTACCTACTTCAGTACCTGAAATATAGAGAACTAATTTGGCAAATACTATTTTATTATTAAAAGCTATGGGAATACATGATCTATTGAATTTTGACTTTATGGATCCTCCACCTGTATAAACTATGATTGCAGCAATGGAATAATTATATGCATTAGGAGCTTTAGATGATGAAGGATTGTTAACAAAGGTAGGTAGGAAGATGGCAGAATTCCCTTTGGAACCACCATAAGCTAAAATGTTATTGACTGCAGTTGATTTAGGATGTGTAGATGAAATCATTACAATTATTGCAATGTTGTCAGAACCTAATATCTTCTATAGACCAAAAGATAGATAATAATTAGCAGATTAGAAAAAGGCTAGATTTCATAGACCAGAAGGGGATCATTTGACATTGTTAACAGTTTATGAACATTGGAAGAAAAACAATTTTAGTAATGTTTGGTGTCATGAGAATTATATATAAGCCAGATCTATGAGGAGAGCTTAAGATGTTAGAAAATAATTATTATAAATTATGGAAAGATATAAATTCTAAATTACCTCTTGTGGTAAAGATTTTTGGAAAATCAGAAAAGCTATAACTGCTGGTTATTTCTTTCATGTAGCTAAAAAAGTATTATAAATTATTAATATTAGGATTAAGCTGAAGGTTATAAAACTTTATCTGATAATCAATAAGTCTATATCCATCCTAGTAGTGCATTATTTAACAAAGGACCTTTATGGTGTGTTTATCATGAATTAGTAATGACATCAAAAGAATACATGAGGGAAGTATGTGAAATAGGTATATAAAAATAATAATAATAATATTCTTTTAGAACCTAGATGGCTTATTGAGGTTGCTGAAAATTACTTTAAGGCTCACAATCAAATGGGATAACTCTCAAAAACCAAGAAATCAGAGAAACTCGATCCATTAAGTTGCAAATTTGGAGATGCTAATGCATGGAGACTAAGTAAGCGTAAAGGTTGATATTAAATATTATATTTAATATTATTTATATATTTCATGCTTGATTTTACATGTATTATTTCTGAAATAAATAGAACAAAGTGATTATCCTCTATTTTAATTTAATGCTAGAAGAGTGAGTCATTTGGTTTTGTAATAATGTACTACTGCTAAATCTTAAAAAGTCTAAATGCTTAATTTACAGAGGAAACCAATAAAAAACAATTCATTAATACATTGTTTTCGTTTATTAAAGGGATAAACAGATGACTATAATTTAAATCCAATCCAAACTGAAAAGAAAATAAGAAGTAAGAAAATTATAAATTTAAAACCATTGAAGAATGTAATTGAAAAAATAGCTTTAATAAGATAATAATAATAGCCAAGAAGAAAATCTGCATATGGAGATACATTTGGTGAAATGACAGCAAAATAATTTTCTAATTTACCAACTCAAATTTAATAACATCATTAAATTGATGGTTAAAGATTTGCTTTAACAAGTTTTGCTGATATTTTAGAAAGAAAGAAATAAAAAAAAACTACAAGAAAACCTAGTTTACTTAGAAAATTAACTAAATAAGACACCATTGTTGGTACTTATTATTTTAATTAATTTAAGAATATGATAATATGGAAAGACCACCTTCATGTAAAACACCCCCTAGATAAACTACTATTAGATTAACTCATAAATCTTAAATGGAAATTGAAAAAGAAAAATATTTCAAAGTTTAAGATTGTAAAATGATTTAATTTTTAGCTGGAAAATCTGAATAATTAAAAATGTTAATGAATGGCAATAAAGCTATTACTCTTAATCTCTAATTAACAACTCCATAATCTTCTTAAATTATTGTTAATCATAGAAATTCAGCCTTATTTCCAACACTTCCAATCAATAAAATTAGTAGATGTATAACTAACCCTTATGAAAATAAATTTGGTCTTCAATTAAGTAGTCGATCATTAAATAATCAAAATACTCCATATCTTAAATAAAATCAAATGCTCACAAAATAAATATAAATAGAACTTAAAAATTAATCTCATCCTTTATAGAGATTAAGTTATCATTTATGATTATATTTGATGTTAATTATTTACTATTTTTTATAGAGTATTAATAAAATTCACTATCTCTATTTTTATTTTTCATTCAATAGATGGTTTTCTGATGAATGAACTCTTTTTTGTATTTGTTTATCTTAATATTTAATGAATAGATTAAACCATCTATTATCTCTATCTAAAACTAGATAATTCTTGATTCCTTGCACTATTTAATATAGTAGGTTAACTATTATTTTTATTATGAGCAATCAAAGCCTTTGTTTTTTCTATTGTTCCCATGATCTTTTTATCAAATGATTCTTTAAATTATTATTTTGTTATTTTATTTATTTGATTCTCTTTAAAATTACGAAATGAAATCACTTTATTTTTTTCTTATAAGGCTTATCCTTTTATCCAAGGATGTTAAATTGCTTCATTAGCTTTCATTCTTAATTCTGGTTCCCAAACTAAACACTTTTGTATGAAATCAACTAAATCCTCTTCTGTTGTTTTAAGTAATTCATTTAAATTAATTGATTTTGGTTTTCTATATTATTTAATAGTTTTCTTAGGATGTCCTTAATCATCAAAGAACATCTTTTTTCTAGGGCATTTCAAAGCAAATTCAACTTTTGGAATACCTATAACTTCCATTATCAAATTAAATTGATCTACTTCATTTTCTCCAGGAAACAAAGGCTTTCCAGTATGAAGTTCAACTATTACACATGCCAAACTCCACATATCTATTTCATAACCATATTTTAAACCAAAAAATACTTCAGGAGCTCGATAATATCTAATATATTTTAAATTGTATACCTACTTTAAATATAAGTATAAAATTAATTACCTTCAAAACATCCAGTTCCAAAATCAACTATTTTAATTATTTTTTGTTGCATATCGCTAATCATAATATTTTCTGGTTTTAAATCACAATGTACAATATTGCATTACCTTAAAAAAATCAGGCCTTTCACTATCTAATAGGCTATTTTCTTTAAAGTTTCATAATCAAATCCTCTAAATAATTGATATTTCAACATTTCAAATAAAGTGCAGTCCAATTTCTCAAAAACTAAACATTAATGTCCTCTAAATGTAAAATGATCTTATAATTTAACTATTGATTAGATATTCATAGGATCTTTTGCTTATATTGCAAGTAAGATATTTGTTTCAACCTATGCTTATTTTTTTAAATTGTCTTAATTTCTAATTATTTTCAAAGCAACCGTATTTTTTGTTTTATGATCTATTACTTCAAATACATGTCCAAAACTTCCAGATCCTATTTGTTATATAATTTCATATTGATATCTAACATGATCCTTAGGATGAGCTAAATAATCACCATTTGGTCCTTCTGATGATATCTTCTATGGCTTATAATAATAGACCTAAAATTTCAAGATTAATTACTTGTTTTAACCCTGTCAATTCACCGGTTTCGCTTTTGCTTAAATTATATAGCTTAACAAATTAATCAACAAGAAGAGGGAATTTGCTGAAAGTACTTTCGAAATCTGTTGACTTCTTCTATTATGGAGACAATATATTTTAACTCGATAGAGAGTTTTAAACTAGTATTAAAGGTTATTGAGTTTTAATATTTTTGGTAATCCCATTTGGACTATTTGGTTGAGTACTTATTTTTTTAGTTGAAGATGGTAAAGAATTCTAAAATTCAGCTTTAAATGCTGCGAAATCTAAATGAATTGAGAGTTTCTTAGGATTCGAATATTTCATTAATTCAACACTTCTGTTAAAATTATTATGAGATTTAATTTTATATTGATTGTACATTTAATTCTCAATAATTTCAAGTAAACATAAATTATCGATAAAATAGATCATCCTTGGACAAATTTTAGTTAAATTTTCATTAAAATTATTTATAGATTCTGAAAACATAAAATTAAGATATTTAAATACTAAATGAATTTTAACTTTTATTAGACTAAAAAATGCTGACTATTTATAGTTATAATGATTGAGAATAATAAAATAATATTCTTTCAAAAAAAATAACAATAAGAGCTATAATTATATATAATCATTCTTAGTACTAAAGCTACTGAAAATATTTTTAATTAATTACTAATAAAAATTGTTATAGAATTTAAAGAATTTACTCATATACCATATTCTTACAAATAAACTATTCAAGATAAAAATTAAAAATAAGTTTATAAGATTAGATAAATAATTAAATTAAACTTAATTTATATATAGATGAACATTATTTATAATAATATATAAACACTCATTGATAATATCAAATTTAATGCTAAAAATATCAATGTGATAAAATAGTTTAATAGAATCAAAGTAATCTGATAGAAATTAGTTTGAAAATTACTATTAAAATATAAATAAATAAGTGTTTTATTAAAGGAAATTATTATCAATAATCTATTTACTATTATCATAATAATCAATACGATTATTTTCAAGAAACTTCTTTTTTGTATAATTTCTATTTTTATTATTCTTTAAACTCTTTTATTTTCTTATCAAAAATACTTAATTATCTCATTTATTTTTCTTTTTCTTCCTAATCTTCAAGTTTTTATTAATATGAAAAATTGAAGTTATAGGTCTATTCTCCTCCTGAGAGTTCTGTTATTTTGTGACTTAATACTTTTTCAAAATTGACTTAGATACCTTTGTTTTCAGTTAATAATTTATGTGAAATTCTTTATTTTTATGAATTGCCATTTTTAGTATACTTAGGTTTATTATCAATGTGATCATTGGATCTATTACTCTTGAAACAACTTTAATCAATTTTTTATTCATCATAACTCCTATTTGAAATTTGGGCAGGTATATTTAATGTAGATTATTCTTTTTAATTTACTCTGATGGGAGGTAATGATGATGGTTTTTTTTCTGTATGAACACCTTAGATTAATGATTTATTCTGAGCTAATAAATGTTGGTATGACTCAAATATTCCTTATTTCTTCTTAAATCCTTTAGTCTTATATTCATGTAGATATCTTGGAATATATATATCCTTTTATTTAACAATATATTCTGGTCTTTCAACAGAATCTATAGTTTAAATTAAAGGATTATAGATTTGAACAGGAGGTAATTTTTTAGTTATGTAATATGTTGGTTTATCATTTTAGATTAAAGCATCTTGATGTAAGGGACTATTAAATTATCGATTATTTGGAAGATGACTTGAGCTCTGGTATCTCATAATGTCTTTTACTCTTTTTGTAGGTTAAGGATCTCTATTCTCAAGAAATTTAAGCATTTTATTATTTTTAAAATAATGAAATTTAGCATAGAAATTGAAAGGAGTTAGTACAGTATATATGTTAAAAGTTGAATAGATAGTATTTGATATTATATACAGATTATCTATTTGATACTAAGTATATTATAAATTATAATATTAATTAATTGAAAATGAGTTAAAAGAGATTGCCTTCGGTATTTGAAATATTTATATAAAGGGAAAATAAGACAGACACATTTAGGCAATAAAGAAATATTAGGAATATGAAAATAGTAAGACAAGTTAAGCTAAATTGAATGATATGATTAAAGTGAAATGAAATTTAATTTTTAGGGGACTAAAACAATTTAATTATTACCAAAGCCAGGAGAATTTGTTACAGTTGCTTCAGACAAATAATCAAATTAATAACCATATATGGATATTCCAATCAAAGATTTATTAGATGGCACTAAAACATTTACAGAATTGAAACTGCAAAGCATAGAAAGATAAACTTAGAGATAGATGAAGAAACCTAGGGAAAAAGATAGATTTGATGAAGGTGTTTTAAGAAGAGATGATTTGAAACCACCATAAAGTGAATTAGATGAAGTATAGATATTTGTAATAATATTAAAGTTTGGAGTGGAAAGAGGAGTCTAACCTAAGTTTACATAAAACATTAGAGAAATTATGAAAAATTAACATAAAGAGATGTTGACTCCTGCTGAATAATTGATTAAAGATTTATAAGAGAAAAGATTGCCTTAAATTTAATATTCCCATTCTTAAAAGATTGTTCGTCCAATATCTGCTAATTTTGTTATTAAGGCTTTGAATATAGGAGAAGAGAAATTAGAAAATTCTAAAGGAATATAATAATCACTATTTCGGACTAAAAGAAGTTAATTACAATCTGCAAAGCCTAGAAATTTATATGTTCCACATTTTCCAGAAGAAATAAAACATTTAACTGGTTATCAAACAATTAAATTGAAAGCAGATGATTTTATATAAACATATACAGAAGAATATTTGAAAGAGAAGGAAGAAAAGATGTTGAAAAAACATTTTTAAGTTTCAGCTGTTGATCCAAGATTATAATCACCATATATGAGAGTATTAATATTATTATTAATATTAGGTTAATCCATATACAGAGTAAATAATAAGAGAAAAGTAGAATGAATTAGGAGAATTAGAATTAACTAAACATAGAGAAAAATTATTTATGGCATAACCTTTTGAAATGAAATAAATATTTTTACCATTAGATTATTATTATATGGAAGATGAGACAGGTGATGAATTAATTGAATAATATAAAGAGAAAGATGGGAAATGTTTTGGATTTTCAAAGTGGTTTGATACAAGTGGAAATTTTATATGGGAAGAATGTTTAGTTGAAAAATATATATATGATACTGATATGTATGAGATAAGATTTATAAAATACAATAAGATTAAATAGGTAACAAGAGTAAATCTTAGATTTAAAAGAGAGAGTGAAGAATATTTTAAATAATAATTAGAAATCGCAGATTATTATAGAAAAAGAAGTGAAGTGTTTATTAAATATAATTATATGATAGATAAAATGGATGATCCAACATCATAGATATAAGAAGATTAATTAATGAGAATATAATTATTTGCAATGGGAATCTATTTTAAATAAGGATCTATCAGAGATCCTATTGCATTTTATAAATTAGATCCATCAATTAAATTTAATTTTAAAAGATATTTAATTCCAAAATAATTAAGTAGAATAGATTTAGGTCCAAAAGAATTGTGTAAATTAAAGAAATATAGATATGATTTAATGATTGAACTTTCAGAAGAAATTAAAAAATAATTTATTAGAGCCAATCATGAAATTTAATTTAAAAGAATGTTACCATATCATGAAGAAAAGAAAGCCATTTTTAAAGGTTATTTACCAGAAGAATTATTTCAACCTAAATATGTAGAAGCTAAATTTCCATCTTATGGTATAGGATAATAGAAATTTATTGAATTATTTACTTATATGAAAAAGAATCTTCATTAAGCTGTTTAAGAAAAAAATAAGGCTTTATAAGATGCAAATATTAATTTAATTAAGTTAGAAGAATAACATCTATTTTGTCAAAATTATCTAGAACCTTAAGATCTTCATGAATTAGATAAAGATATGAAATTTAAGATTGCTGATGCTATAAGAGATTTAAAAACTAGAATGTATGATGTACATTATTTAATTATGGAAATGATCGAAGTTGAAGTTAAACAACTTAAAGTTATAGAAGAAGAAAGACTTAGATTAATTGTTCTTGAAGCAGAAAGACTTAAAATTTAAGAACAAGGTTTAATGAGTGAGACACTTAAATTATTATAATAATTTTAAAAGTTGATTAACATTAAATTTGAAAGATCTGGATTAGAAATGTGGTAAAGAAGCATAGCAAGATTTATCTCATATATTGAAATAAATGTTGATCAAAATCTACCTCCTTTGCAATAAATTTATTAATATGCAAAAGATAGAGAATATAGAGTTTTTAATGATAATTTATTAATTAATATAGAAATTAAAGTATAAGGGATTTAATTGATACTTGAACCTAATCCTGAAGAAATTAAGAGATCATTGAATAATTATGTTTGGTTAGCAATAAAAGAATTAACTACTGTGCCTTGTATGAGAAGTAGAGAAATAGAATCAGCAAGAGAAGATATGATTATGCATATTTTTACTGGCATAGATGATATTGAAATACTAAATAATAAATAACTTGTTCAATAATATTTAGATTTAAATTTCAATCTTTTTAATGTATATTTTGAAAAGTTAAATGAATTTGAATCAATTTTAGATTATGATATTGAAAAGAGATTAAAAAAAGGATCTTTTGAAGAATATGCTAAGGAAATAGATAAATTAATTATGATTAGAGAAGATATGTAAAAGTATATGTTTAAGAAAAAATTGAGATTAGGATTTTATAATTTGAATGTAGAACAATATTAATAACTTTGTGAGGATAGATTAAAGAAAGCTTCTGATAGTTTGTATGAAAATTTAATTTAAAAGATTACTAAAGAAAATTTAAAGATTGAAGGTGAGATTAAATAAATGATATAAAAATTAACAGAAGAACCTAAAAATCTAGAAGAAATGGATGCATTAAGAACATATGCAAAAGATTAATTGAAAGAAGAATTGGTGATATTGAGTAAGAAAATAAATAAAGTAATGGAAAAGATGACTTTAATGGAGAAGATGAATTATAAGATAAGTTATTAGAATTTTGAAAAGACTTGGAATATTTATGGTATGCCATTAAAATTGATGAGAAAACAAGAAAAATGTTTGAAAAGGTTGCAAAATAATGAAAAGAAATTTTAAGATGATTTGATGACATAATAAGGTGAATTGATTGGTGAAATAAATTATATTAGTAAAGAATTAAATGAATTGATTAATGAAGAAGATATTAATTAGATAAATCAAATAGCTAATAGATTT